CCAAGGCGTATGTACCAAGGCGTATGTACCAAGGCGTATGTACCAAGGCGTATGTACCAAGGCGTATGTACCAAGGCGTATGTACAAAGAAATCACAGAGCTCAACCAAGTGCACTGCGAAATTGTTTCAGCAGACCACTATCCTTCCCATACCAAGCTTCGCCCACGACCTTTCCACCCTTGCGCTTCCCCTGGCTGCGTTCCCTTCTTTCCGTTGCCTTGAGCAATGTGTCATCAACATCATCACCAGCGTCATCGGTCTCGCCAAACGCAGGCTTCCCAACGTCCCATTCCCTCTGCTCACCCTTCTTTGACCATGTAACATCTCGTAAATCACCATCGGCATCCAGTCGGGGGTTTGAGGATGCACTCTTCTCCCACCGGTCAATCTCGTCATCATCGAAGCCAGCTTCCCGAAGCCGTTCAGCTTGTTTTTCGCGCCACGCTCTGCGGTCGCGGAGTGCTTCCAGAGCATTGTCCCAGTCTGCCGCTTCGGTGTCTGATTCTGGATCCGCCCCGACATCGAGAGATGGATTATAGTTGGAAACGAAATGCGCGTCAATGTTGGAAGATTGACCGCCTCGAATAAATCCGCGTCCTCGCTTCGTCGTCGTTGATTGGTCTCGAGGACTCGGTCCCACTATCGACTTCAAAGGATCTGAAGTTGTTGAGGAATGAGAACTTCGCCTGCGATGTCTGTGGGTACGAGATGATTCGGGCGTATCGTCTTTTCTGTTATGGAGCCTGTCGATAGATCTCGAGCGTGACCTGGACAGTCGTAGAGACTTATGGTCATCTGAACGTCTCCTCTGCCGTGACCTACGTTGAGGCTCACTTCTCTCGTCGTCTCTTCTAGTCCTGTATCTTCTTTCCCTGGTCCTGCTGAGCTCTCCGTCAGGACTTCGACTGCGACGGGTCTTTTGTGATCGATGGGCTCTGGGGCGTCTAGCTCTCTTGTCCTCGTCGTCACTGTAGCTCAGACGCCTTTTCTTTCTGTCAGGTTCCCTTGGCTTTTCCCGATGGTGCCCATGATGCTCATCTTTGTCGTGGTGTTTTCGGGTTCGGTCCCCCTCGGACCTTGGGTCATCTCTAATTGCTCTAAGACGCGCTCTGGCCTCAACTTCTTCCCTCTTCTTCAGTGCTGCATTATGACTATCTGCTTCGCGAACCAGGGTCTTCAGAAACCGTGTGTTGGGCTTCAATCCTGAAGCAGTCGACTTCGCAGGCAGGAGTGCCGACATTCCTTGAGAAGCATACTTGATCGAACTCTTTCGTGCGTCTTCGGCGAGTAATTTGGCAACATATTCGTCATCATCGAAATCCTTTATATTAGACATGTTAAACTCTGTGTCTCCAGTTAGCAAATTTGTAGAACATGGTGGTCAAAGCGACAACTGACCTGGGAAAGGAAAGTGAAAATGGCACAGAGGATGTGAGATGGACATCTGAGAATTCTCGACTCGGCAGAGTTGCCTCACCGAGCACGATGAAGTAGTTGCATAACACCAGACAACACCCTCCCTTATAACCTGCATGTTACGGAGTGACAGCAGAATCATTCAATTACTGCCTTAGGTTTGATATTTCTTCTACGTTCCTCATCTATACCGGTAAGCACGACTTGCCTCGTGCTCGTGCTCGCTCGTACAGAACTTCCCCGTTTGATGGCTCCCTCGAATGTTCCCCCGCACTACTCCAACATGTTGTTTCATACGCAGTGTGTCCGTTTGCGGAGAATGAGCAAGGGGCTGACACTTCCAGCTAGCACCATTTGTAGAGACGCTGACGGGACAGACCCATGGGGCTCGGCAGATGTATTTTGAACGGCAAAGACTTGCCGAAATGTACCATAGACGATCACTGATACCGGCTGGACATCAGACTTATATAGTGACCCCCGGCAGTTCCAGTCCTCTAGGACAACAACAGTGAGTTTCTGCTCTTTGCATAACCGGTAGGATCCATCCGTGTTATCTATCCCTTCTTCACCGTCAAAATGCCGGGAGTTCTCATCAATCCAGAGGTTGAGTTCAACCACCTCAAGATCAAGCCACTCCATCCTACCTTTGCTGCAGAGATTGAAGGAGTTGATTTCTCGGAACCGGTCTCGGATGAGGTCTTCAACGAGATACTCGCTGCGTCGGCCAAGGTGAGTTGGGAACCTCCCTAGGAGGACCGGCCCGTCGACCATACTTGACACTGATGGCGAAGACAGTATGGCGTGATTGTATTCCGCAACACCGGCCTCGACGACAGGGGTCATGTCGAGCTCTCACGCCGCTTTGGAGACCTGGACGACATCAGGCCGTACATGACGAATGGGCGCAAGCCAAGATACGAATTCTATGAGCTCTTTGACGCCGGCAACATCGACCCCGAGACTGACACGGTCTTGTCTCCCGACTGCCCGCGAGCTCAGTATAACAAAGGAAACGCACTTTTCCACGTCGACTCGTCATTCAACCCCCGACGAGCCTCGTACTCACTGTTGAAGGCGCATGAGTTGCCCCCGCCAAACACTGGAGGAAACACCGGCTTTGCTGATACCCGAACAGCCTTTGACGAGCTCGACCCAGAATTGAAAGCTGAGCTGCTAGAACATGACTATGTCGGTGCTCATTCGCTGTACTCGTCACGAAAGAAGGCTGCGCCGGAATACTTCAAGGACGTCGACGTGAACGCATATCCCATGCACAAGCACAAGATTGTTCAAAAGCACGAACCATCTGGGAGGATGAACCTGTATATTGCGGCTCATATGGATCATATTGTCGATGTGCCCCCCGAGCAATCGAGGGCACTGATGGACAAACTTATGGCACACGCAACGCAGGACAAATATACCTTGAGCATTCCCTGGAACAACCCCGGGGACTTGGTCATCTGGGACAACACGTAAGTCTGAGGTCTCGAAGAGATAGTCTCTGATGCTGACGTTTGCCACAGTTGTGTCATGCATCGCGCTGAAGGAGGTTCGTTCGCTGGGAAGTATCGACGAGATTTGCGAAGGACAACGGTCCACGACGCTAGTAGTCAAGCATGGGGTTTAAATCCACTCGAGTCCAAGAGGCCTGGATTTGCAGTGACTGCGTTGTAGTTTGAAGTTGCTGGTAGATCTTCTCGTACTCGAGATAGCTGTCCCTGTCGTATGGTTGAATTTACTTGTCCATCATATGTACTTAGCTCTTCGAGTCCTCTCATGCATCGCTAGTGGTGTGTGGTTCTCACTTCAGCCAAGTCCATCGCCATGTATCGCGTAGCACGTTTGACATCAATGTTGTCTGTGTATAAGAGTTTCGCGTCGCACCTAGGCCCCAAAAGTTATCGATGGTGGTCTTACCCACCGGATACTCCGAGCTAAAAAATCGGATTGCACAGACCAAGCTAGCAACAGTCGAGGCTAGTTATAGTCCTCCATGGAAATTCTAAGGCCGGGAAAGGGACAAGGTCCGTCATATGTACTGGTGGTTCGTGGTCTGGCCAATTCTTCTCTCCACCGTCTCCACAACGAGCAAACCGTGTTTCTCGTCCAAGCCGACATTTTTGTCCTGTCTCCCTCTATTCGGTACCACCTTGACTGCCACAAGAGTCGGCCGCTCCTCTGTCGGTGGTATGCCTTCGCCAATCAGACTGTCGGGGCTACCGCCAAGTTCTTCATCTGGCACTCCGCCTTTCCCTCCAACTCAAGCGAGACTCATCTTTTCTCACGCGATCTTCTTTAGTCGGGAGAGCTCAGATTAGCCGGCCGTCAGTACCCACTCAGCGCAATGGTCTGGCTTGAGGCCTACGGAGAGTACTAACTTGAGATTTATCATGGCGTTCGCGCCCTCCGAAAAACCTGTGATGGCGCTGACTCTGCTTCACGTGGGTGTGAGGAAAGAGAACATGTCCTTGTCGGCCTTTGATGTCCTTTCAATTGTTCTATGACTGCTCCCTTCTCCTTTTGAAGCACCATGGGTGAGCGGGACGAGATCCATGAAGCGCCGCAGACGACGGTCGAAGATGTTACCCCCGAAGACACCGTCTGTGTCAATCACGAACATGCCGAACGTATGGATGGCGCTTTCCTCTCTATCGTCTTGAGTGCATCAATTCCATGCGGCCTGGTGATCATCGTCTCGGCCATCTTACTTGGAGTCATCTATGGCTTCGAGGTCGACCGCAATCAGGGATGGCCCCAATTGCTACTCGCCAAGGATGAGGGTGGCCAGTTGGGACTGTGGGCAACGCTCAACGACTGGAAAAAGACAGGAGGAGGTGCGGCCATATTTGTCGACTTTAATCCTTCCTCTCTTACTGCGATCGCCTCATTGACCGGGAAGATCATCCCGTACCTGTCGAGCTCCATCATGGCGCTTGTTGCCTTTTTCGTCGCACGGCGGGTTATTCTTATATCTCAGCAAGGCAAGAGTCACGAACTGCTGTCGCCTCATCAAATGTCCATCTTGATCGGGCTACTTGGTGGTAATAGCTACGGGCCTTTGAAGGATTGCGTTCACTACCACGTTAAGCACAAGAAACGATGGTTGGCCCCAATCCCACACGCGTTTTCGGCACTGGCAATTGTAACGGCACTAGCGTGAGTGCTCCTTGTCTGAATATATGGCTAAGACACTAATATACTCTTTAGACTCGTCATCCCTATTGTCGATACCTGGTTTGCAACTACCGTGACTCCCGGCAAAGTCACAGTCGTGAAAAAGTTTCTCGTTGAAAATGCTACGACTTACGGTCGTGGCACCAACTATACGGTTGATCCTTATTATTCACTGAACGCCGATAATTGTAATTATGACCAGTGGTACTCTATCAACCAGATCTCAGGTCTCAAGTTCCCATGTAACGCATTATGGTGGGACCAGAATAACACAGCTACGGGCAATGATAGTGTCTTGACGAACACGACGGACTGGGACTACAGCATTCTCAACATCAATGAAATCTCCCAGACGATTGCCAACCAGTCAAGCAAGAATGCCATCATCGTGTGGCCTCCACAAAACCAAACAGTCAACAGCCACCACTTCCTGGCCGCTCTCAATCTTGACACATCAGTCGACTTCCGTGCGAGTACTTTTGCAGTCAGAACTCAATGTAAACCGATGACAAGCACTTGTTTTCCACAAACACCAAGCCAGCTTGCAGAGAAAAAGCTTCAAGGTCTCAATGCCACTTATCTAGGGGACGACTACGAATTCAGTTGTACCCCTGGCTTCACTGGTGATCTGAGGTCAAATGGAGTCAGCGTTGCAACGGGCCTCCGTCAGACAAGCAAGACCTCGAACGGCATCGGATTCTCTCCGGATGCAGCCCTCAGTCGTATGATCGGCAACAGTGCAAGCCAGCTGGAATTCGGAGCCTATACCAATCCTTTATATTTTGGTGCTTGGTCGGTAGGCTTTAAAACCCTCAACGGAGCGCTTAAACTCTCCGAGGCCACCGACCCTTGGGAAGGCGATCCAGAAATCTATTATGATCAATACAACAAATTCGCATGGATGCTGAATTGTAGCTCTTCAATCTACCAAGTCAGCTACGACTGGGTCAACGGGACCATCCAGCGTTTCGATACCACCTTGGTCGGCGACCCACTCATTGGCGGCGTCGTCTCTTATCCATTCGTCTCCGGGATAAACGTCGCCCACAGTTGCATCGAGTGGGCAACCATCAAAGTCCAAAATTCCAATGGTTCGAATGGCATAAGTCACGACTGGGCGGAATATTTCTCGTCCTGCGCCATATCCATGCTTGCTTCGCCGCTGCAAGGCATTCCACCAGTCTTGGTGCAGACGAGAGATGACAGCTATGCCGCCACGCGTGTCCCGATCGTGCCACTGTTCGCCCTACTGGCCTTCAAGTTTGTATACTGTCTAGCTGTCTTCATTCTGGCTGTGGCAGCATACAAATTCACCAACCCCGCGGAGACGCAGTCTGTCAAGGAGAGGCTCTCGGTTAAAGGCCTAGCGGCGACCGCGTTCTCTGATGGTCCAAACCACCAACAAGTTGCGGTTAAGAATGTCGAACAGCTGTTCCAGCCTTCAGCGCCCAAAGCTCCTGACGCCGAAGCCGCCACCCCACCACCGCCAGATCAAAAAGTCGGCATGGTAATGACCGAAGCTGGCGGTTGGGCTTTTGTGAAACTCGCCGCCGGCAAAGTGTATGATGCAGTATCTCCGATTTTTGAGAAGGAGCTGATGCAGGAGGCCAACACTGGGACTTTTGGCACTGGAGGAAAAGAGGTGGCCAATTGGGTTTCACTTGTAAAATAAAGCAGCAATGTGATATTTAATCCTCATCCAGGGTCAAGGGTGTATCAAAAAGACAAGTATACATTGTTCAGAATGTGAGCACTTGTCAGTAGACAGGTACCTGTAAAATAAAGTCCCAGGGCGGCATCATCCTCTTACCGGATCAACCACGCCTTGGCGTTCTTATGTAATGCGTGTGGTTGGGCAGGCACTCTGCGTACTTGGGCGTCGACATCCCCGCGCTCCGAGTACATCGTCTTACTGCAATACAAAATCCTCTAGAGCGGTGACGTTTCCCTCTTCGTACGTGACCACATCTTGGTTGGGCGTTCTGAGTCTCCTTTGTGATAAAAGCACCCCGTCCCAAACTACTTAACATACCTCCAGAGTACGAGCGACGACCTCTGGAATTCCAACGACCTGCTCAACTTCAACCAACCTAGAAAGAGATACAAGTCACTAAACGAGTGCGCGCCTTTCCGAACCGTCCTCGACCATGGCGAACGTAAACTGGCGGACGATAAACGTCGACGCCTACGACCCCGAGTCGGCGCTGAACTTCCCCATGACCACCCTCCTCCCAGCCAACCTCCCGGCACCGTCCACGTCGGCCGAGTCAGCACAGATCGGGCAGCAGGTCCGCCAACTGCTCCGCGCCGGCGACAGCTTAGGCGCGTTGCAGTCGGCGCTCGAAACGGCGCCCTTCGCAGGCGACGAGTCGGCGAAACAAGTCCACCTCACGACCGTCCTCGAGGTGCTGCAGGGCATCAGGCAGAGCGACGTCAGCAAGTTACTCGCTGAGATGCTCGGGCAGCCTGGCGGCACCGCCCTGGGGGACACGCTGATGAAGTACATCTACAAAGGCATGGCTAGCGGCGCAGGCGGCAGCGGCAGCGGTGGCAAGGGCGTGAGCCCCCAGGCAACGGGGTCGGGCTTCAGTCAGATACAATCGAGAAATTTTGGAGAAGGCGGCGGCGGACAGGTGATGAGCGTGTTGCTCAGTTGGCATGAGAAGCTGACGGAGGTGGTTGGCGTCGGAGGTATTGTCAGAGTCATGTCTGATCGCCGGACGGTATGAACCCGAGAAATGGATATCAAAAATCCCAGCACATAAAGACACCGATCCGCATGATGTCTGGCCTGTGAGTTCCAACTGGGTTCGTACGACGGCTCTGTCTTGTGAGCTCCGACCGGTTTCACATGATGTCTCTCTCGGCCTTGTCAATTCCAGCTACTTCCACATCATGACTCTCGATCAGGTCTTAGGAGTTCCAACAAATTTCACTATATGTCTCGTGGAGAGTCTAATAAACTCGTGAGAAAAAGGGTATTCCAGGAATCACTATGGACCACTGTACTACAGGTTGATAGAACAGGGCAACGCACGTCGACGTAGCTTCTCGAATTGACGAATGAATGGCATTGTGCCTGTATGAGTTTGAAGAAATTACCCATACGTCCTCCATAAGGAGTAGGTATGTGAGTAACCTACTTACATGTGTAAAGTACCAACAATTCTTTGGGGTATCAGTATCACGCTAGCTCGAGGACCACCAGTTTGCTTTTGTTTTTGTTTTTGTTTTTGTTTTTTTTTGAAACCGATGGCTTGCTTCCAGCTTTTAGCAATCGACTCGTCCAATGCCGAGAACCATCCAATAACTTAGTTCCCTCTTCCCATCGTCGGCATCGTCGGCATCTCCTCCCTCGAGAAGTTTGCCGTCTTTCTTTCGGCGGCGCTCGAGGATCCCGCCGTCCTCGTCCGTGACGGTCCATTCGAGCCTCACTCTGATGGGGATTTCAACGACGTCCTCGTCTTCGTCCAAGACGTCGCCTTGTTTTCTGAATATGGACGCCGGCACAATCTCCAGCACGACGCTGACCCAGTTTCTCCCCTGGTCGTACAGTTTGCCGGCGATCTGGTCGCCGCCCTCCGTGGCCCTGGTGCTGGGAAGGTTGCTGTTGCTGTTGGTTGTTTTCAACGCGTCGTCCCACGCGTCGCTGTTCTTGCCGATCTGGAACTGCGGACACAGAATCGTCACGCGGTGGCCATGCTTGCCGGGAGTGACGCTCGGGGTGCCGAGACTGACGCTCACGTCCTCGAACAGGGGGTTGCGCAGCGTCATGATGAACTGCACGGGTTTGGCGGCGGGGAGGAGCACGTCGGCGCTGCCGTCGGGCCCCGAAGGTGGTGGTAGGCCGCCTCCGCCGGGGACAGGAAGCGGTTTGACGGTCACGTAGGGGATGTAGTTGAGCGCGATGAGCTTGATGCGGTAGCGTGCCGAGCTGATCTTCAGCTCCGGTCGCGTCAGGATGTGCTTGCAGGCTGCGCAGCGCTTGGAGCGCTTGGTGCGCATGAGTGTCGGCATCGGCTTGAGGTCCCGCGCTTTCACGGCGTCTGGGTTGCCGATGAATGACGGGTACTGGAACGCACGTTGGGAAGAGGTCGTGGCTTCGTCGTAGTCGAACGGCTCGGAAGGCTGCGCGGCTTGGAATCCTTCGTCGCGCGTGCGGGCCTCGCGCATGATGGTGAGTTTCTGACGGGACCGCTTCAGTGAGCTGGACGGGTTGGTGTAGATGTTCATGATCCGTTGGAGGGACGACGGGGAGGAGTAGGCCATGTCGAATGTCGATGCTGGGAAGTCGGCGTCGGTGGCGGACGATTCTGTGATTTGTTCTTTGTAACTGTCGGGGTGAGCTATGTCAGTAATCGATTTCCCGAACTCTAGCGTCTCTCTTCCCCAATCCCGTGGAACGGTTGGGTGTAAACTCACAATGTCTTGAGAGCGTTGAACCTGGATGCTGCGTCCATTGGTGCTGTTCTCGGCACGGCTTTGTCTGATGGTTCCGACGTCTCGGTCTGGTCGTCGGAAGGAGAAAACGGCGGCAAAGCAAGTGAGGATGTTCTGGGAGGTTGGTCTTGACCCGAGTACGAAGATTTGATGATGGAAGATGATCTAGACTTAGCTCCTCCTCCGTTGGCGAGCTCGTCCATCTGAGTACGGATGCCCGTGGGCTTGTCGAACTTAAGGCCGACATCAAGCGTGTTCCACATGCAATAATTGCAGTTGAGAATGAATGGTCCTTCCTTCGGGTCTCCAACAGACGTTGTAATCATCTGAGAGGTACATATGGGACAATGGTAACAGTTGCGTGGCTGAGATCCGCTGGTCAGCACAGATGAAAAGAAATTACCCTTTGGAGGAAGCAATGCCGAAGAGATGGGGACAATGTTCAAAGCCATTCCAGCAGTAAAGACTTACACATCTGTTGCCTTCGCCTCTGACCATGACTTTTGGGCTCTCGAACAAGCAGTCTGGGCAGTATACAGCGTTGATTTCCTCTGTCACACAGCGGGGACATTTGATATCGTGGCACTCTTCGCAGTAAAGGAGATTTTCAGGGGGGAATAGCGAGAAGGACGACCGAGGTTGTCGAGGATCAAAGGTTTCTTCGTCTTGCTGGATTTGTTGATCCAATTCCACCTCCCGCGAGAGCCTCTTGGAAGTCAGTGCCCGCCGAGACGCATCGGAACAGGGGCAGGAAATGAAGGTGTATGGAAACAAGCTGGCCATGGTTAAGATTACAAAACCCGGGGGCGAGAGACTCAGTTCCTCCCCTTGATGGAGTCATCTGGCTCATCAGAGGATGGCTGGAGTGTGAAACATCCTTACAAGGTGTCGCTACGGTCGTATTGGGTTCCTGTTACCCACTGGTGGATGTGTTGGACGTTTGAATACCGTCGACGCGCTCGAAACGCTATCGGCAAAGATTCCTTGTTTGGTTGGTATCAACAGACTGTTTTCGCTGGCGACCTCTTCGCTCGTGGACACCCATGTTATTGGCGGTCTATTTATTGATTTCTGTCACATGAAGAGTGACGGACAAGGTGGGCTCAAACTTTGGTCAAGATAAAAACCGTCTACTCTATCCATTCAAGTCCAGGCTTTACAGTTCCCAGGTGGTCAAGCCAACAAGCATCGCAGATCTCTACTACGAGGGCAGTACTTAGCTAAACTGTCATGTCGATAAGCACCGTCTAGCTTATCGTGGAGGTGATCAATGCCCTGTCACTCAACTGAGTGGTATTGTCCCGTCGCTACTGGACCGTCCTGAATCTCCTGGGTATTTCTTATTCCAAGACTCTCTGGTGGGGTGTCCGCTTACGTGTCACGATGTTGTGCCAAAGGCCACGCAAAAGATATCCTGAGAGTGGTTTCGCATACGCGGCACTCCGCTTTATCATAAGTACCTCAAAACGATGGCGTACTTGGGGCAGCAGCTAAAACTATAGTATCCAGTTCTACAATGGGTTCTGTCATAACAACCCGCAGCGTTGATCAGAGGCCAATTGAGACACGAGTCAGTCTTCGGCCTAGTATTGGTCGATGCTCCCTCTGGACACTTCCTTGTTGATAACCAAGCGTGCATAAGTCCGGTTAAAGACAGGATCGACTGCAGGAAGCGATAACGCAGAAGACGGACATGGATTGGTGGCGTGGCCGCTCTCAACTCTCGTCGCAAACCCCCGAACCCCAATTGAGGACCAACTCGTGTTCACCTACGTTGTCTTGGTTGAAGAAGTTGCACTCAATTCAATACACTTGGAACAACAATGTTTGATGCTGTGGTTGTGGGCAGTGGCGCGGCTGGGATCGCCACGGTTGGCAATATTCTTGATTGTCATGAATCTGCCAGTATACTCTGGATAGACCCAGAGTTCAACGGAGGCAGAATAACCAAGAAATACCTGGATGTTTCAAGGTACGCGTGCACTTCTTGACGATGGCAGTGGTGAAGATGGTGCTGACCACTCTCACTTCACCCACAGCAATACCAAAGTTGCTGTCTTTTTGCAATTTGCCCATGCTCTCGAGCCATTCCGTGAGATTGTCCGCTCAACACCGAAACCGAACGCCGTGCACGTACTTGAATGCCTCGACACCAACGCGGGATGTGACCTGCATTATGCATCGAACATGTTGTTGATGTTGACCGAGGGACTGAAAGAGCTCCCAAATGTGCAACCACTGATCGGCACTGTCGTGGAAGCCAACTTCGACAGCAAGGTAGGCGAACAAAATTATTCTCCTAGATATCCTCCAGTGTCCTGATGGGTGTCTTTCAGTCACTAGCCTGGTCCATCCAGGTTCAAGATGAGGAGTCATCATCCTTCATTCACGACATCTCGACTCGAAAACTTGTCCTATGCACAGGATCTTCCCCATCTGTATGCGATCTAGGATCGGCGGGAGCGTCAGTGAAGCCCATCCATCTTGACGTGGCTCTTAGTCGACCTAGCCTTCGATGCGCGCTGCCTCCCGACGGGAGCGTCCACGTTGCAGTTCTGGGCTCCTCACACAGTGCCATCGTGGTGATAATGAATCTGTACGAGCTGGCGACCAGAAGCCATCCGCATCTCCGGATCAAATGGTTCACTCGACGGCCACTGCAGTACGCCACACCCATGTCCGACGGTCGAATTGTGCGTGACAACACGGGGCTGAAAGGCAGATCAGCCGATTTCGCCCGCAATCACCTAGAGGATGGCAGATTTGAGACATCACCTGTGAGTCAATACTTGCAAAGATATGACTGCTCAGTCAACGAGGAAGGGGTGTATCAAACGCAATTGACCCAGTGCACCCATGTGGTGCAAGCGATTGGCTTCAAGCGCGACCCGGTACCTCCACTCCGGGTCGACAGCAAGAGGCTGGCCACACTTTCATACGACAACCGAACCGGCTTGTTCCAGGACGGCTCAGGCCATCGGATCCCTGGGTTATGTGGCGCGGGTATTGCCTTTCCTGAGAAAGTGGTTGACCCGGCCGGCAACACCGAGTACGCCGTTGGATTTTGGAAGTTTATGAACTACCTGAGACGAGTGGTTCCGCAACACTGGGATATCAGGAAGGAGTAAATACATTGGGATGTTTGTTGAAGGCATGATGCATCCTGCAGGGTGTCTTGGCCGGGAAATGCCAGCTTAAATGCATTTTTCTTCGTTGATGCAGTGGGAGTAGTGACAATCATTCCATACAAATTCAATTCCGGAAGTCAGTCTTGGGACCGTCGCCCTGCAGTCTGCTTATATATGCTGGCGCAGTATCGTTAGGTCCTCTTGCGCCAACCTTCGCCCAAATCACGCAATACGGCCACACAACGGTCGTGAATGAAGCCGTGTATTGGGCCAGCTTAACAACCATCGAGTTGCAACAATCTACTCTGTATGCGGTCAGGTCTCCTTTTCTCAAAGCCACATCTAAATCGACATCCCGTCACATCCCCACGCCATGAGTATTTTGTCTCTGCAAATGTGCCGGCGTCATCGTCGGAGTCCTGGATGAAGATAGATCTTTCCCTTCTGGCTAGCTGGGAGTGATAACAAGGACACACACTCTCTGTAACTGGCTACGGTGAAACAGGACATCCGTTTGTAGATGGAAGTCAATTCTTGTGGCATCCTTCGAGTTTTCTCCGCCTCCGTTAAAGAGAACCCCAGCAGAGATTAAACACGGTGGGAGCGGGGACTACCAAACGCCAACTCCCCTGCAACCCTCCGAGGACGCGGCACCATAATTGAAGCTTCGGCACACTGCCGTCTCCCTAACCCTACGCTAGACGTTCGGAAACAGGGCAGTAATAATGTTGGCTAAAGAGAGCTAACACTTTAATCACCGCGCCAGCATCAACGAGACCAACACAGGCGGATGTGCTTGTGGCCGCTTCAGCGCCAATGACTAGGACGAATGTAGAATGATGCGTTCAGCATTCGCCCCACCATTTGTGACGAACTTCTTCCATCTTGACCTCCTCAGGATCGGGTCGGTCGAGAAACTGGTCAAGCTTGCTCTGCCATCCTGGTTTCATTGTGTTCCCAAACCAGGCTGATGTGTATTCCCAATACTGGGGATACCATCCTGAGAACTCCCAGTCAATGATACCAACCACTTTTCCCTCTCGGATGAGAATGTTGGACGGATTCAAATCGCCGTGTGTGAAGACTGGCGGAGGCCACGGCCCATCTTGCCGATTCATCATCTCCTGAAGGCCGTGCCAATCTTGGTCGCGCTCTCGACCTTGTAGATCTTCGGGCCGTAAGCCTTTTCTAAGCCAGAAGTGGAAGTCTCGGATGGTCTTGAAAGGTCCGAAGCGATGGTTCCCCTGAGGTATGCGGGAATCATACAGTGACCCACCAACGCAGCTCTCTACCCCCGTGCATGGAGGTGTGAGAGCGCGTAACTCCCGTATTATGTCCCTCAATTGCGAGAAGACATCCTCAAGTGATTCTTTTGGCATGGTCTTCAGGGCTGTCGAGAGCTCATCGCCCTGTATCCTTTCCATGACAATGTATGCTCTGTGCCTGCATAGAAAAGAGCAGTAGACCTTGGGAACAGGGATGGCCGTATTCTCGGCTAGGTATTTCATGGTTGCGCCTTCCGTCAGATGGACGCGGAAACCCGTCTTGAGGATTTTGTGTTTCGAGATGGGTACACAGAGACCGTCTCGATGGTAAAGCTTCCCTGAAGTATGCAGTGCTAATCGTGTCAAAAACCGGCGTAACTATGTGTTGTTGATGGCAAGGCGTTCAGTCCCATCGTGCTGAGCGTCAAAGTTATATTCAGACGGGACGTACTGATGTGCCATTTTGCGATGATGCGGCAAACAAGGGAACGCTGGCTTTCGTGGGAGAGATGAACGAAGGAGCCGCCTCAGGAGCGAGCACCGGGGTTGGGGCCTTCATTAACCTGAGCCAGAGAGAGTGGTCAGGAGAGTACGGGGAGCATATTCAGACAAGCGATGCAGGCCTGAGCAGGTGCAGAGCGAATTGAATTCAAAAGAGCGAGTAAGATACATATCTCCTCACGCTCGCGAGGTGGACAGTGGGAGCTGTTGTCGGCTCGGAAAATCAAGTCTAATCAGTGAGATGAGCTGAGCCTACTGTGTACAGTCAAGCCATTTGACTACCAGTGGTTAGACCAGCAGCGGAGATATCTTTCCCCGCTCCGAGAGGGGTGGAGATGCCACACTATTGTTGTTCATATACGAGTCCACCCCATTCTCGATTTTATGTTCAGTCCATATCTGGCTTTGCAGGGCAGATGTTGCGACAATCAGAAGACAATGGAGGCCATAAAGCACACAAACTTAGCATGTCAATGGAGTTTCGAGCATTCTATCATGAGTTCAGATGGGCAGCGACGTTCCAGCCGTCGATAGCTGACTGCTCGCTTGTCAGACTCTCATAGTCTTTTTATGAGGTGTTCATGCTGACCGTGAATATGTCCACGATCTCTGGCGCAAACACGGAGTCTAGGATCAGGTTCAGGGAGGAAAGGAGTCGTGATTCTCTATGAGTGTGTTACAGTAGTCTGCTTCTTAGCCGCATTTTGGCTGTAGGCAGCAATGAGGGTCGTGAAGGTGACAATGCTGTTTGCCTTGGGCTAGCTGTGTCTCTGCTGCTGGTGCGGAGAAGTGTCCTCGTGAAGTTCTGTACCGTACGACTTAATGCTGCTCCGTGATCGGCGTCTCGACGGGCTCACTCTCGGATGGTGCCACATCGGAGGAGAGAGCGAAACCTCCTTTCTCCAACATTTTACTAACCACCCGCAATCTCCCCGTCATATCATAGGCCGATGGACAGGCGGTATTGATGATTGAGCGAGCGTCGGCTGTTGCAAGGGCAGAGTCGAGCGTGGAGGGGGAAAGGCCAATGCTACTCGGTCGGTCTATACTGAGATCAAAAAGTCAATAGATCCTTCCAGGTAGGAAGTGCTTCTGGCTTCACTTTTCTTTCATACCTTACAGTCTATTGCACCCCTGGGATCCTCGTACGCCGAATCTCCTGGTCGACCCAACGATCTCAAATCAATTCCCCGCTGTACAATATCCGGGGGCAGATTACAATACGCCCACAGACTGTCTCGAGGCTTCACACGCACACGCGTCGGACGTTCACCAGTGTTGACACAGCCACCACCCGCACAGGATCTTGTTCTGGCAACCCGCCATGGCAGCACCAGTACTTCCCAACTCTGGCCCGCAGACGTTCCGCGTCCTCGTCCTCCCAGGCGACCATGTGGGACCGGAAGTGATGAAAGAAGCGATCCGGGTGCTTGACGTCGTCGAGGCGTCGTCGCAGGGTCGAGTCAAGTTCCAGTACAACTGGCAGATATGCGGTGGATGCAGCATCGACAAACACGGCACGCCAATCACGGACGAAGTGTTGCGAATTGCAAAGGAGGAAAGCGACGCCGTGCTCTTTGGCTCAGCAGGGGGCCCTGAATGGTAAGGTGTAGTGAGTGCTTGCAAAAGCAACAACACAAGTCTTTACATGAAAATCCCCAACGAGGCGGCCAGACACTGACTTGGTTTTCACTCGTTATTGAATTATACAGGGGCACGAAACCACCCAATCCCGAAGCCGGGCTCCTTCGGCTCCGCCAGCACCTCGACGCCTTTGCCAACATCCGGCCGTGCAGATTCTACTCGCGCAGCCTCGTCGAGCACTCTCCGCTGAAACGGTCGATCGCCGAAGGCACCAACTTCATCGTCCTCCGCGAGAACTGCAGCGGCGCCTACTTTGGACCCAAGGTCGAGGAGCCCGACATGGCCAGCGACTCGTGGACGTACCGGCGCGAGGAGATTGAGCGGTGCGCGCGCGTGGCTGCGGCGCTAGCGACGACCATGGGCAGCGACGGCCAGGGCAACGGCCCCCCTGCGGTCGTGTGGTCCAGCGACAAGGCCAACGTGCTTGCGTCCGGCCGGCTGTGGCGGCGCGTCACGTCCGACGTCTTCGCCAAAGAGTTCCCGCACATCGACCTCCGGCACCAGCTCGCCGACAGCCTCAGCATGCTCATGGTCAAGAACCCGCGCATGTTCAACGGCGTCATCCACACGGACAACACGTTCGGGGACATGCTCTCGGACCAGGCCGGCGGCGTCGTTGGCACCCTCGGCGTGCTCCCCAGCGCGAGCCTGTGCGGCGTGCCTGACGGCCGCTCGCGCTGCCACGGCATCTACGAGCCCGTGCACGGCTCCGCGCCCGACATCGCCGGCAAGGGCCTCGTCAACCCGACCGCCCAGATCCTCAGCGCCGCCATGATGCTGCGCTACTCGTTCGCCTTGCACTCCGAAGCCGCGGCCATCGAGGCCGCCGTCGAAAAGATCCTCGACGCCCGCGACATTGGTGGCCTGGAAATCAGGAGCGGCGACCTCGGCGGCAGCGCGACCACTTCCGAGATGGGTGATGCCGTCTGTCGAGTCCTGGCCGAGATCCTCGACGGAAACAGCACTGGTGTCGCCACTGGGCAGAATGGCTCTGCTACTGCTGCTGCTGCTGCTGCTGCTACGACGGCTCCTGGGGACATGGTCTCGCCCGTGCACGAGACTCACAGCGGTGAAAACAAGCACTGGGAAAACCTACTGAAGAAAGAGCATGGTCCTACAGGGCCAGGCGAGAGTCTCGTTCTTTGAGGATGTAATAGAAATTTCCTTGACAAAATCTTTTGACGTTCTTGACACCACTCTTCGGTTCAAAAACAAGCTGCCCCGCCCCAACCACCGTCGTTCTACAAAATGATAAAGCAGACGCGGACTCAAAATAGGATATGTTCAAGTGAACAGCCCACACATGGCACTTTGACACGTAGATCCGGACTTTTCTCGCCTATTGATGTGAAAGGGGTAGAGAGGCCAACAGACCGTATTGCGTTAGGACACGGCATCAAGCAATAACAACAACAACAACAACATTGCTAACCAAGGTTCAGTGAACTGTCACTACATTACTGCTATTCGCTGCCATTCCCATTATGCATTCATAAAAACGTACTTCGTCCGGCTTATTCTGTGCTTGGGATACCAAAAACAAAAGAATCATCACTCGTTCTGGGTTCAGTGATCAACGCGCCAGCCCTTATGGACCGCCACCTACTCTATCACATGACAACACAGTCTCGGTCCCGACCTTGCATGTTGGCAGGCCTCGATGGCCCCCCACCAACGCCCTGAGGCATATACCCACCCGGTATACGCTGCGGCTGCGGCGAGTAGTACGAAGTCGTTTCGGTGTACGCACTCAGTCTCCGACCAGGTTGTCTTCTACCGGCCCCGTTTGGAGCATTCGGCCCCGGTGGATGAGGCTGGTCCACGCTTGGGCCGGGAGTGTTACTAATTGTCCCTGTAAGTTGGGTGTTCGAGTTCGCTGGGCTGGGCTCTGCTGTGGGATGAAGTGGACTACCGACTGGAGGGATATACGGTCGGCCCTTGGCAGCTTCATCGTACGTGGGTGGTGGGGCCTCATCTGACGGATCAACAGGTCGATTGACTCCTGGATTAGTAGTATGGGCATTGCGTGGTGGAATGACTGGTCGTACCTCTGGCTGTGACCTCAGTGGTATAGGAATATTACCAGAAGACCGTCGCGGAGGATGGCCGTTGCCAATGCCAATGCCAATGCCATTATTGTTATGGCCACTACTGTTGGTGTTGGTACCTGGGGTGGCGGGAGTGCTTCTGCGACGATTTCTATCAGCTCGCTGCCTCTGTTCTTCCTCTTCCTGTAGCTGTAATGCCATGGCGTAGTCTGCGTCGTGTTGTTCTTGTTGTTCTTGTGGTGATAGTGGCATCACAGATCCTGTATCATTTGGTGGCATCATTTGAGATGTTCGCCGTGAAGCTGGATGCCTTCGAGAATCATTCGCACCGTCACTGTGGCTGACAGGCATAAAGTCACCCGAAAAGAATTCGTTCTGTGTGCCTGTTATGTCAACGAGACTCTCCCAGATGACCTCATCACGATCCGCATATCCAGCGTCGGTTATCAATGCGAACAGGAGACCGCTTTCAGGATGCTTGTAGATTGTGCTGAAGTGGTCATTTCGAAACATGATGGCAAAGCTTCCTGAAGGTATCGAATTTTGTACTGCATTTAAGCCAGTCGGTGTCAATTGGGTGGGGTAGGTAGCCAGGAAATGCTTGATCGCGTTGATGTCTTCCCACATATTCTGTTCTGTTGGCGTCAAGCCTTGTCTCGTGAGTTTATACTCTAGTTCCTCCTCACCAAAAAGTAGGGCTTGAGCATCCTCATAGGTTTGTGCTGACCGGGAAAACGCCCTATGTGCATCAGAACCAGGATCTGGAAGCCAGCCATGGACAAGAGGAACCGAGAAGGCACCATAGAGCTTCATATCGGTGGTGGACTCGAATGTTCCTAGCTTTGATCGTTCTCGATCATCTTGGGGCATGCTAGTCATGGAATCGTCTAGGTCTAATAGATTCGGAGTTGGCGCGGATGCTGCAACAAATCTTGGGTTGGCATTCATACCGCTGCGTAGTCGCATCAAGAAACTATTCAACTCATCCACGTCAGGGAGGTTTCCTCCTACGTTTTCGTATCCGCGAGACAGCAGCTCGTCCATCAGGGTTTCGATGATAAGGCCCAGCGTTACCTGCTCGCGTGACCGAAGGGCCTCATCCAGAACCGCTTGGGACTCATTCGGCGCCCCTAAAATCAGAGCATTGACAAGGGCAAGTAGCGGGCATGGCCCGTTCTTGTTTTGCGTCAACATTGAAGATCTCCGCAGTCTACGAGAGCTGTGATCGAACCAATTGAAGTGCTTGATCTGATACGTCTCATTCCGCTGCTCAATCATCTTTGCGACCTCCTCATCCGAGGGTACTGTCATACGTATGCTCGGCCGCGGAGGTTTTGGCGGTGGTGGCCCCTCAGGCGGTTCGAAATATTCCGTGTCCGAACGTTGGGAGGGTCGTTTTGGCAGAGGCGGTCGATTGTCATCGTCTGCTTCCAGTAAGGAAGGCTCTTCAAGATTGCCTTGCTCAGTAGTGGCAGCATTCGGCAGGGTCTCTAACTTGTCCTTGAGCGACACAACTCCGGTATTCTGCGGACCACGGTCTAGTAAGTCATTATTGTAAGTCGAGACTTGTTTGTGCGATGGAGCGAACGGTATAGGTGGCGTTACCGAGGGAGCCGGATTCTGATTTGACACCCACGGGTTGTCTATACTATTTGACTCGGACAAGGCGGGAATTAGTGGAGGCTGTGAGCTAAAGGGAGAGAAGGGCTCTGTATGCGGAGGTGGTGGTGGTGGTGGAGGAGGAGGAGGAGGAGCCTGTGGCATGGGAGGTTGTGAAGTCGGTATCTCATCTTGCCCTTTTGCTGTTGCTAGATCTGGATATGTGAAAGCGTCGTAGGGTGACAGAGTCGTGGGCGTGCTGCCAATTTTGAGGTCCTGAAAATGATTCACAACATGATGAGCTTCTCCTCTATCAGGTTCCTTGCCTTTGGTCTCCTGAGGGTTACTCTGACCCCAATAAGGCTGGGGAAGAGGAGCACCATCCTCTATCGACTGAGAATGTGACGGCCGCCTAAACGGATTATTAGAAGCAAACGCTGTATCTGCTTCCGGTGTAGACAATCCTGGACTCAGACGTGGACCACCAGCAACTGGTTTTCTCCTTATCTCAGGAGACTTCTCTGCAGCCTCCGTATTCGCCCACGGGTCGTGACTAGTCTCGATGTTTGGCACTGACGCTGTAGGTCTCTCGGGACTCTTGTTACTTCCATCTTCTTCATCCGATTCTTCCCAGAAACCCTTCGACCGGTCACTGTCCGATGACGATCTCGGCGTGTCTCCCTGAGACTGTCCTGCTCGTAAAACGTTTGGAATGTTCGATAGAGAGGTTTGCACGGGCGAGGGTGCAGTGTCATACTGCGTCCGGGCAGAACCTGCCTTCAAAATGTCCGGCAACGGTCGATCTGCTCGCAACTCTTGCGTTGACACATCTGACCATGGGTTGTGAGAATCCTGAAAGCCGCCCTGTCTGTCCCTTGGAGATCTTGTAATGGGAGGCAGTTCAGTCGAGTCGGGTATCAGGTTGGGTTGCGTGGAGACGGTTTCAGAAGAGAAATCAGGCTGCGGCAAAGAGCCTGCGGGGTATGACAATGGTGTCTTGTGCATAACCATAATGTCGAGAGCAGAATATCGGTGTTGGGATGCGTGCTGCAGTTCGGCGCTCAAGACACTCAAGGGCGGGATTGTGTGTTGGCTGCCTGCGAGGCACTTCGCATTATAGCTGGAGACTAGTCAACAAAACCGTCGAGGGCAGCTGGGAATACATCAGGTCTGTTGCGCTGCTAGGCTGAGATCTAGACGGCAAGATCTTCCCGACACGTAGACGATCGACTGAAGAATAGATTAGTGGCGACAGGTGGTTCAGTGAAGTGATGAAAGTAACAGTCTGCGTAAGCGTTTGTTTAACGGGTTGTTTGTCTTCTCAATGCTTGGACGAGCACAGACAGGGTTGATCCTTTGCACCGCAGGTAAAGTGACGTACTTCGGTACGTACAGTAGGTACGCAGGACAATCAGGTAGCAAATAGGCGCCGATAATCGATCCAAGTACGAGTACGAGTTGCGAGTACCACAGGACGGATCCCTTAGATAGTTGGAGGAGACAGCACTCTGTGGCTGTGCCGGCCGTCCTACTACCTCTTGCGGTGAACAGGCATCACAATTAACAACTTGTCCTCCCACAAAAGTACCTAACGAGAATAGAAAAGAAAAACGGGTCCCGTCTTTAACCAGAGCCTTTTGGTAAGCAAGTCCTTCTTTGCATTGTACACCTTGAAGGCTCTATGTCCTTGATATTGCCACAGATGGAGGATCGGCCTCATCGTAGCCCAATGCTGTACGCACCAAGAAATATCCCAGTACAAAGATCCGATGCCTGCGCCTCCAGTTCAAACAGACTATAAAGCTACATAGGTCATACAAATGTGAATAAAATATCAAACATTAGTGGAGTAATCTTCGACCAACTTCGTTTAACCGAACAAGGATACACAACATTTTTAACGTCGTTCATCTCGTCTCGGATCTCCGCCTTGGCTGAGTCCTCTGAAATGGCCAGCTGCTCCTGGGTGAATGGAATTGGAAGGTTGAGGTTGATGGACATGATGATGCATCTGGTGCGGTGGAGGCTGGCCTGCGCCCTGTGGTTGGTTTGGTGGTGGTGGTCCCTGGTGCTGGTGTTGATGCTGGTGCTGGTGTGAGTGCGGATGCGGGTGCGGATGCTGGGCCTGGGGTGGCAAGCCATGAGGATGGCCAAGAGGCGCGGAGCCAGGTCCTCCATACGGAGAGTGTCCATGTGTATGTGAGTGAGGTGGTGTAAAAGTTCGAGGGATTTCTCGCTGTCCAAACGCGATATGATTCTGATTCGCGGCTGTACTTAGTTGATTGTGGCGAGAAACCATCGTCGGTGGATGGTGTTCAACAGCATATGGATCTCGCCGGAGCAAGTGTTGTTGTTGCTGCTGCTGCTGCTGCTGCTCCCTTTCGCGTTCACGGTCGCGCTGGACAAAATCAATTTCTCGCTGTCGCTGCATTTGTCTCTCGTGCTCTCGATGTTGCTGTTGCTGCTCCTGCTGCTTCTGCTGGGCAATGTGCTGCTGAATGGTTAGTCGGGGTTGGCTGTAATCTAGCGATGATTGAGCACGGTGATGAAGGCTCGGCACAGGCGTTGTGCCTGTTGACGAGGGATGGCTCGGCGGTACCTGCTGTTGATTGAGTTGGTTACCTTGGCCAGCTGTTGGGCCTGCAGCATAGCTCATCGACCCGCCCCGTGTGTGAGACCCGCCCGAGGCGGAGCGATACGGAGGCACTCCACTTGGACCTAGCTGCTGAGGAGGTGGTGAAGGAGCGTGGGGTATTGGACCGATGCCACTCAGTAATGTCCGTCGATGGTCGAGACCGCTGCGCTCCATTGAGCGGGGCGTTTCCGCCCGCAATGAATTGGGCGAGGGTCCGTTGGTAGCCTGTGGAACTGGGGGCACTACAGAATAAGGCCCTGGCGCAGGAGAGTGGTGGTGTGTCCGTTGTTGCTGTTCACTAGGCGTGCTTTGGTTTCTCGGATCAAATCGAGCCATCCACGGATCATTGGGATCTTTTGCCGGGGTCGCTGAAAACCCAGTTGAAAATTCTTGAGGTGCTGGCTGACCAGATGCTGCCTGGAATCCTCCACCCATACTGTACAGACCTCTACTACCTCCGCCTCTCATCGCCGTGTCGTCCTCAGGAAGGACCTGACTGCGAGGCTGCTGCACAGAAGGTTGATGAATAGAGCCTGGTGCAACCTGGGGAGACATAATTGACTGTCGTTTTGGAGGCTCCAGGGAAGGCCGCTTTGGAGGCGGATCACCTGGGTCATCATTGAGGAGACCAAACAGATTGGACCTCTTCTTCGGTGCCTCTGCTGTAGGGGGCGGCTGGGTGGCTTGAGGAATCTCGGGCCTTGGTGGCTGGGATACTGCGGTGACCGTGGGAGTAGGCGCTGGAGATACTGCCGCGGTGGCAGAGTAGACCGGACGTTGTATCTCAGTCCGACGTAGTGATGCAAGGTCTTGTGCATGTTCCAAAGAGGCTGCACTGGGACCAGTCAAGCTGGTATTCCGGCTATGAGCAGGACGAAAGGTAGGTTGCTTGCCGTATTTGTCAGATTGAGAACTAGGGGCTCGGGCAATTGGCATCCCGGGAATCTGGAGTTGAGGTTGCTGGGCCATAACATCCCTTTCCCGCTGACCAAGCATTGCTTGCGCCAGCGTGGGCGTCGAAGAGGCGTGATTGATATCAGAGCGAGGAATTTCGGAAAGCGGGTGCTGTGGAAGTAGTTGAGGTGAACGTTCATCGATGGCCAAGCGCAAATTTTGGCGAGCTTGCTGAAATCCATGTGTTTCCTCCTGGAAAATTCCTGTTCTAGGACCATGCAGGGACTTCGGTCCGAACAAGTTACTGCGATCATTGGCCAGTCTAGAGTGCTCCAGAAGTTTGGCAGAACTTGGTCCAGAGAGCGGCGTTTCGCGAGCCAACTCTTGTGCAACTATTCGGGGGTTGGAAATTATCTCACCAGTGGAACTTCGTTCGATCTTGCCGCGTGGGAATTCTTCGATGACTCCAGCCTTGATGGCAGGGGCTATGGCATCTGAATCAACCACTACCTGCTCAACTTGAGGAGGTCGAGGAATTGATGGTGCCGGCGGTAGATGGTCATAGCGACGTTTCGCCGGGGCGATGGGGCTAGGGGGTTGGTCGGGTATCTTCCCCTCTAATCGAGCTTGGTCGCCCATTTGAGCAAACCTGTCGAATTCGTTCTTGGGATCGCTGAGCTGCCGTACAAAGTAGTTCTTGATCTATCGCAGGTTAGTAATTGCAGGTTGCCTTAGGTATAGGACCTACCATGGTCTGACTCTTAGTCTTCATAAAGTCTGCAATCGCGGCAAAATCACGACCGTAGTACTTAAGCAATTCGGGGAATTTGTTTTGCTCAGGAACCGACCAATAACTTGTATGGGATACCGTTGCCGAGTTTGCGATGGTCTGAGCAGCAAATGACGGATCCGTTGTAGGATATGGGGGCAACGGTACCTCAATGGGACGCTGTGCATCTTCGAGGGGTGGGAGGTCCCCCCCGATTGGGTTATTCTCCGGTCGGATGAGGGTTCGCCCTCGTTCGGTCTTCGTCGTGGTTGCAGGCTTATCCAGAGATGCTTCTTGCTGCTGCAAAAGCAGTGCCTGTTGATCTGCCTGGATCTGAGCCTTTGTGCGGCGAACTTTGGTAGCGGTGCCGGCCTTGCGACCTCGAGTAGGCTTTGCCGTTGAAGGCTCTGCACTTCCATCCTTCAGCGCCGCAGTGAGCTTCTTAGACTGCGGCGCCGGGGTCGAAGAGTCAGCTTCGCTGACCGGATCACCAAAAGTGGGTGCAGCGGCTCGTCTTGGTCTGCCACTCTCAGTCACCGCTCCTTGGGCTGTATCTCCATCCTCGCCATCAACGAGTTCTGACATTAGGGCCGTTGAGCGTGGCTTGGTTGCGGCCTTCTCTCGCTTCTTTCGTCTGGGCTGGGCACGTCGCCAGAGGTCCTTGTAGCGGGTCTTATTTTTGGTCAAGTAGTAGTGAATGATACAATCCTGGTATGTCCGATTAGGGATCGACTCGGCGATTTTGCCCCATTTCTTGGGGTTCAGACAATATGCCTGAATGAACAGCTCTTGCTCCTCTTCGGTGAAGTCATCTTCTGGAGGCACATAGGCGAAAATATCCAGCGCCAGGTCGTCGGGGACGCTCCTATTAGTGTCTTTGAAGATCAGCAGTTCCGCGTCAGCAGGCTTCAGCATTGGAGGCACCACAGCTTCGAGATCCAAGTTTGGTAATGAGCTAGAGGCAGCTTCGCGTTCTCTTCTCTCCTCTTCCTCCTTCAGAGACTGTTGTGACATCAAAATCGCAGCTTGCAAGTCCGCCTCCGTGGTATTTCTAGCCCCTCGAGTCCGTTCATGTGTCAACGACGGAGTGACCGAAGGAGCAGCAGACGGAGCGGGAGATGCAGGAGCTGGGCTGGCGTGCAACTCGCGCCTCTCGTGGTCTAATGACATGATCTCATGTCGCCACATGGGATATCTGCGTCTGTATTCTGCGTGCATGTCTTCCAGGTCGCTCCTCCAATCCCAGGCATTGCGCTCAAATTCTTGCTGGAGGAGGGTGGTCACCGCCTCATGTTCAACCTCGTTGTCAGAATCTTCGAACACTATTCTTTCCGGCCGATCAAGCGTGCGATATGGTAAGTCCTCTATAGGTGGAGTAGGAATGGGGTTGACGGGAGGCTGTTTAAGGGGTCTGCCCTTTGGATGAGGTGATTCCCGTTCATCGACCTCATCTTGACCGTCTTCCAGTAGCCTATTCTCAACATCTTGCGAGCCTCGATCGGGCGAGGGGAGGCCTGTGGGAAGCGTGGCCACGGTAGTAGGCTCTTTTTCATTGATTGTGGCGGGTGTTATGGGACTTCCAGAGGTGTCTTGCAAGACCATTCCGAGGAACTGCAATCGGACAAGCAAAGAAACAATATATGGGTCCTCAAATGTTGCCGGAGGTTTTTTAACTTCAAGCAAATCCATTTCTTTCTTGTGCCTCTCCTCAGATTCTGCAAAGTAGTCCTCGTCAAAAGAGTCGTCTTCCACTTCGTCTTCATCCTCGCTGGAGGCCGGAGCCGACATTTCTATATCTTCAGAAGCATGTGGCTCTTCAATGGACCGCTTGAGTTGAGATACCAAGGTCTTGCTTTCTTGAACTCTTGGGCTTGTTGACATTACCTTGGGGCCCAAGGGGATCGAATGAAGACTGTCATTATGAGATTCTTGCAATCCCCGCGCTTTCTCAGAAGGGCTATGAAAGGTGCCCGGCTGTCTAGAGCTCCCAGAGGTGAAAGCTTGACGATCCCGTAAGTCTGGCTGAAGGGGCTTGTTCAAGGCATTCATGATGGATGGCTTCGACTTATAATCTGATGACATCCATATATTCGAACCACTGGGCAGAAGTTGTCGGCTGGCTTCTCTCTCAGCTCGTGGAGCGTTCAAGCCTGTCCCAGGCGACGGTCGGGACACGTCACGTTCATGACGTCCGGTTCCAGATGCAGTCCCGGGTAGCGGTCTTGAGGCTTCCCGGTCAAGTCGTGGGCCCGTGGGAATGACCATAGGTTTCGCGTCAAAGGTTGTTGGCTTTGGAGCTTCCCTCGGCGCACTCGGCGGCTGCACAGGAGGTGCAGGTTCAGTCGAAGTCATTCGCTGCTTGTAGAGCGGCGCGCTTCCTAGCCTTGGACCTGATGGCACATTGGGTGGCATCTGACGATCTGCGGCAGGCGCTGTTGGGGGCTTTTGCTCAACGACGGCCTCTTCTTTCTTGGGCTGAACGTCAACATGGCTGTGTGTTTTAGGAGTCTGGGAAGGTCGCACAGAGCGCAGGGCCGGGTCAGTACGTGGCCACGCATCGTGAGGTTGTATATTCTTTGTGACTGGAAGGCTAGTGGGAATAGATGCCCTGGTAGCTTTTGGGCCGCTAGGTGGCTGGAAAGTGGGCGAGGAAGTAGCAATGGGTTCCTGCTTGGGAGCTTGCGGCCGTGGTGCTGCTGGCCTCTCGGTTGGAGACGTTGTGGGAAGGGGAATCGAGGGAGGAGGTCCATAGTCAAGCCCACCCGCAGCTGATGATTGAGGCGTGTTGGCGGGCGGATCACGGCGTGTGGTTTCAGATCGGGGTCCAAAATAGTCTGCCTGTTCTCCCTCACGTCGACCTTCACGTAGTGCACCAGCAGGAGTCGCCGGGGCGCCGGGGCGCTTGCTATTGTCAAATTCTGGCTTGCTTGGTCGCTCAGGGATGGCACTGGAAGGTGTCTTTGCGGTTACGCTTCCATCGGCAGCGAAAGTCTTAGTAGGAGATGGCTCTCTCGGTCGTGAATCAAGGTCACGGTCTCGAGCTCTGGTTTCCCGCTCTCTACTGCGATCATAGTGTCGTCGTTCGCCCCGCTCAGCCTCAGAAATGGGAGGGCGACCTCGGTCGAAATCGCGGTCACGTTCTCTCCAGCTCTCACGAGACCGGCTTCTCGGTGCGAAGAGATCTCGATCCCGCTCACCGACAAAGGATGTTCTACCTCTGGTCCGGTCCCAGTCTCCCCTGCCTCGGCCTCTGCCCAAGCCTCCACGCGTTGCAGGGGCATAGTAGGATGAAGTCGTATCTGATGGTCGGCCAAACGTTGATGGGAGAGATTCCCTGGAGTCCCGACGCGCGCGGAGCGGCGAAGCAGAGCGATCTCTGCCTACATAGGGCCGCGCATCCCTTCCTCGATCGGCTGCACCACCGAATTCGCGATCGCGGCGAGACCAATCCAGGCGATCATCGTCGCGCCCTCGATAAGATTGCGGCCCTGGGCGGCTCTCTCGTTCTCGCTCGCGTTCTCTTTCTCGATCCCTGTCACGGTCCCTATCCCAAGCGTCTCCTGCGCGAGCAGGGAAGCCACCGCGTCCACGGCCAGCAGGAGTGAAGCCAGAAAACCCGCCACCCCGAAAATCCGCTTTAGGTCCACGGGGAGGCAGCCGATCAGATGAAAGCGGTGCAGGCTCGGCCGGTCCTCGATAGGAAGATCCTAACGAGCCATACGTGCCGGATGGTCGTCGGTCGTATCGGGGTGGTGAGCGGTCTCTAGCGGGAGGAGGGTACCTTGAAGACATGTGATGGGATTAGGTAATGCAACATCACGTGGTTGCGGGTGGAACTTGGCGTGGTCCAGGCGGAGTGGGGACGAGGCGAGTCTGGGAGCGGCCGATGATTTGACACACTGGCTCTTCTGCGTGATGCCACACAAAATGCTCTCCAAGTCGATGATGGAGACGGATGAAGGAGAAGCGGCTAGTGTTTCGTGGTTGCGAGTGACCGAACAGCCACACCCACTTTGGCAGCTGACCTGCAGCTTATCGTTCCACGCCGCGATCTCGAACTGAGACTGGTGCCTTGAGCGGACAATAGCTCGTCTACACAACAGATCCTGGTGGGCGGGATTGCCGAGACTTCTCCTGCAAGCAGGCCAAGTAAGTGAATATTGTGATTTTTCAACACGTCGTCGATGGATGCGCGTTTGCTGAGGCCGGCAATCAATGTTGTGATTCGACTGTGCACGATTGACACCGTGAGATCCCTCCAGTGGCGCGATTTGCCGGTGCGTGGGCCTGTAACCAATGCTGGTCAAAGTCAAGAACACGCTTTTCGTGGGAAAGAGAACCTTGTCCCAAGGTGAGGCCGGTGCCTGGAGTTGATTCGCGCCTGGGGTAGATAGATGACGCCGTAAACACGCGAGAACCACCAGAACGATGCGCGCACAAAATAAATAGTGGTCGGGATACCGTTGAAAGAATTCGTGAAGAAAACGATAAAAGTGACCAGGAGGAAGAAGACAAGAAGAGAGGGCGTCGGGCAGCCAAAAGTGGCGCTTACGCTTCGAAGAACAAAGGTACGAGTAGCCGCTGCTGATCCGCCGTACCATGGATTTGCTGCGCGCACAGATTCACTTGACACAGGGATTGCTTTCTGCCGCGAACTTGGTCGTAGCGGGATCCTGCAATGGATTGACTTTGACACATCGAAGAGTGGTCAATAAATTCGCATCTGGACATTCTGGATGCATTCGAGGTCTCTTCAAAGTCGCACTCGTCGACGGTACAAATACTTGTCTTGGTGAGAGCAACCCATCTTAGTCACGTGATTCAACCTATTTAGTCATCCGGGCTCTCTTACCTGAGGAGTCGCTTTGTGGAAGACAGATTTTGTTAAAACGCCAGAGATGCCAAAATATTGCTATCCTAAGTGAAGACCCGTTCACCCTCCCTACTAGCGCCTCGGAATCAGTCCGCTGGTACTCGTACAGAGTACGGGCTCCCTCGGTAGGCTAGAAAGGCACCCGCTCATGACTCAGCAAGATCCGGAATAATTACTCCGTAGATATCTTGATACAACAGAAAACGATTTTTCCGCGAGGTCGAATTTGAAGTACACTATCATTGCTTTCCACGCTGGCTCGACCACACCTTCTTAATCTTGAACACCATGGGGTCTGCACCACCGGAAAAGGCTACCGATGCAGTCCTCGTCGCGTCAGAGCCGATCCCAGAGGGTGTCCAGCAAGTCAAGGGCATTGACTGGGCCTCATTGCCTCCGGAACAACGAACAGTCATATCGAACTTCGTGGATCAACTCACTGGTCAAGGCTTCCAATCAAGTTCAATAGGCGATGCTATTCGCATCATCAATGATATGGTTGGTCTCTCCACGAATGTCATCTTTAGCAGGTAGGTCTGACTGCTTTTAGAGATTGTGGCGGGATCCCGAGACGGGGGACAAGACAACCATCTTTCTGGGTTACACGTCCAATATGATCTCTTCTGGTCTACGCGAGACATTTCGCTACTTGGTGCAGCACCACCACGTGTCTGCTATTGTGACGACGGCCGGTGGCATTGAAGAGGATTTTATCAAATGTTTGGCTCCCACATATCTAGGCTCGTTCTCCACTCCGGGGGCTGCATTGAGAGCCAAGGGCTTGAATCGCATTGGTAACCTGGTTGTGCCCAACAACAATTACTGTGCATTTGAGGATTGGCTCGTCCCTATCTTGGACAAGATGTTGCAGGAGCAGGAAGAGCGATTCGCGGCCAACGGCGAGCGCTTTGTGTGGACTCCAAGCCGTATCATCCATCGCCTCGGGAAGGAGATCAACGACGAACGCTCGGTGTATTACTGGGCTTACAGAAACGATATACCTGTGTTCTGTCCGGCCTTGACGGATGGCAGTCTGGGGGACATGCTGTATTTCCACTCGTTCAAGGCTTCACCACTGCAGCTTGGCGTCGACATTGGTCAGGACATTCGCAAAATCAACACGATCGCGGTGCGAGCCAAGCGGGCCGGCATGATCATCCTGGGCGGTGGCGTGGTCAAGCACCACATAGCCAATGCGTGCCTGATGAGGAATGGCGCCGAAAGTGCGGTGTATATCAACACCGCCCAAGAGTTTGATGGTAGTGATGCCGGCGCCAGGCCGGACGAGGCCGTTAGCTGGGGCAAGATCAAAGCCGACGGAGACAGCGTGAAGGTGAGTGCCGCATGCAATGTCTGCACATGTGTTCATACTAATGCTAGCCAACAGGTGTACGTGGAGGCAACAGTCGCCTTTCCTCTGATTGTGGCCAGCACTTTTGCTCAAGCTGATTCGTGACCATGATCTGACGGGGTGTCTTTGGTGCAAGGGGATTTTGGCCACTTCCGAGACATCTCTGCCACCGAAATACTGTCCTTGTAGTCGCTTGGAATCCTTGCACTATTGTATGACTAGTGAGGTTTCCTGGCGGCCACGCAGGCTGCAGGCTGCAGGCCACAGATGCGGGGAAATCTACGTGGTGTGTTCCCTGGGCCTGGCGAGCCCCCGGTTGACTGAGGTTTCAGAGTGGCCTCCTTAGTCTGGATTATGTACTGATAGAGCTTGACTGAGACTCAACTTGGCTGCGATGGATTGGGAAATGGCCTCGGGTGTTGCTGTCCTCCAGATTGTCCTCAAGACCAATACGTGTGCACATGGAGGAGCGAGTGGCATTCGAGGAGTGGGAGGAAGTGATGCCTGACTGCAGCGGATGTCTGACGGGGCTGAGGCTCATAAGCTGGCAGAAACACCCACCGACATGGGCGTGGGGGGAGGACCGCAGGACGCCCATCCGATAGGCTCCTGCTCGCCGTTGGGGCCCAGTAGGGGCCCTGCTGAGGCGACCTCCAACACCAGTCACTGCGCCCTCGGTGGCGCCTCGATGTGCATCTGGTGTCGTTGCCTGTCTTCCGTATGCATTGTCCTTGACTCACTCACAACCGGTCAAGACTGCTATGCACCACCCCTGCTTGCTATATTCATTTGGGCCTGGCAGGCACCTATCGACCTAGTCAGAGTTGAAGCACACAATATTTATCTGCATCTCGTGGCTCGCATTTCGTCCGTATCTCTCTCTGCAACCCTCCTGCTACACTCCGATCACTGATCCCAATCACACCCTGGTTTGATATCAGCCTCGCGATTCGCTTCGTCGCCGACTTGCGTGGGAACATGTAGCACGTTTCTGATCGTTGTGCACTCTGTTTGTTGTTACTGCTACTGCTGCAAGGTCATCTTCTTCATTCTCATCCTCCTCGACATCACCACCATTTCCGTTATCTGCTTCTTCGTTGCAACACTAATCCTCACCGAATATTGACTCGTCCTCTCGAGTGACAAGAACACGATGGCGAGTTCACAGAACAGTCCTGTGCTCGTCCAGCACAGCTCACCTCCCCACAGACTGTCGCCTGAAGTGGCACTTGTCTCAATTCCTCCTTACAATCCCGAAACATCTCCCCTCCAAGAACCTAGCCTCGCAGAACAGCCATTGCCCGGAGACGAATCTTCAAGCGAGAGCGAACCTGCCACGCCCACCCCAGAAATGGCCGACACTCCCATGGTGGATATACCTCCTCCTGAGGGTGAAGAGTTGGACACAGCAGTATCAAACGAGCGGAACAACGTCAACACAGAAGAGCCATCCTCAGAGCCTGAGGCGACCCAAAGTTCCGAATCCTTGCCTCAAGAAGCCGAGGTAGACCCATCAGCTGTCAACGAGACCTCGCAAGAGCCCCCTCGTGTCCCTCCTGAGGAACAGCAGGTCCGGGATGAACCGCCCGAATGGGCTACGCGGGAGGACGATCATTCTACCCCCACCGAGGATGAGATGACAGAACTGAATCTGAGGGAGTCAAAAGGACAGGAGTTGAGTGCCTTGGATGTACCGAGCGTGGAAAAGCGGATCTACCAGGATGTAGACGACCCCGACCAGCGACCTGTTAAGAAGTTACGGCTGAGTTGGATCATTAAAGGTGTGCGTGGCACCCGCGAGAACCCTAACCGTGATCGAGTCATGGTATCACCACCTGCGAAAGTGGATGGGAACTATTGGCAGATCAAGTTCTACCCACGAGGCAATAAATCGGTGTTTCTCAGCGCCTACATCAAGTGCAGCAGACGTCCTCCTCCATCGGGTGCTGAGTATGCCGACGGGACATTCTCCTGCTTTGAAGGACCACCGAACGCCGACCTGAGCAACGGATTTGCCCCCAGTCAAGTGATCCACCATCAAACCTCCGATGTGAGCAGTGAAAGACCCCATCGCACGCATCCTCAAACCACAGACGACTCCCAGAAGGAGCAGAGTGGTGGCAGCCAAGAGTCTGGGTCCGCACAGGCCGGTCATGGCGCCTCCGCTGAAGACACATCCCAAGAGCAAGATCTGGAGGAGGACTGGCGTGTTTCTGCACAATTAGGCATGGTTATGTACAATCCAGAAGAACCTCGTACTTGCCATGTGATGTCTTCCGAGCATCAGTTTGCAAGGACCAACGATGACTGGGGATGGACAAACTTTACGGGCCCATGGGATGAGATACATGTTCGAGGGCACCTCCAGAGGGCGCCGCTTCTACGAAACGACACAATCGCCATCGATGCTTATATCCGCATCTTCGACGACCCTACACAGGCACTCTGGTGGCACTCTTCAGAGGCCGAGTTTCACTGGGATTCCAAGGCGCTTGCAGGTTATTTCCCAATGGGGACACCTCCACTCTATCACAGTCCGGCCGTGGCAGGTATCACATCCTGGCTTCTCCTGTATCCGATTCGCAAGGTGCTTCAGGAGGCCAACGCAGTGGAGTGGCGTCAGAACTCGCAGGTTCGTCCACGACCAATCGTTAGCCATATGCAGATGATTCTATTCCTGATGCGTCACCTAAGGAAGGAACGCGAGAACTACGTCGATGTTTATCCCGCTATTCATGCTATAAGGGAATTGGGAGAGACATACAATGATGTCAAGACCTTTTGGGAGGTACTCCGAAGAACTATCGAGCTCGAGTTGGAAGGCGACGAGAATTCTTTGAAACAGTTGAGAGCCATTTTGGACACGCCAAACGGACCATTGGACCTTCCGTCTCTACCTGTCGAGAACATAAGTGATGTACAAGAAGCTCTCACGCAGGTCCTGCGTTCCAGGAACTTCAGAGGACAGTTGCCAGATTTCTTGCCATTAGCTCTGGCTCGTCAGCATTTCGACAAAACAAAAAGAGTGTGGAAGCTGCTTCATGATCGTGTTGCCCTCAACGAAGAGCTTGACATGGCGGAGTTCTGTCCCAGCATCGGTGATGCCAAGTACACCCTGTATGGTTTTGTAGTCCACTTGGGGGAGCGAAACTCGGGAAAGTTCTACAGCGTCCTTCGCCCGGGTGGTCCAAACTCCAAGTGGCTAGCTTTCGAAGATGGCGACGGAAACAAGGTATTTTCATACACCAGAAAGCGAATATCACAATTCGAAGGACTCGAAGGCCAGGCCCTGAAGGATGCCACAGCTGCGCAACAGACGGCGTACATGGTCATGTATATCAGAACGAGCCGTCTTGGTGAGTATCTTCCGGGTAAGCTCGAGCCATACAAGCTTCCAAAGTCGCTTCTGCCTTACCTAGAATCTCAACATCATGGTGGCGAGTTTGTGGAAACCCCCCAATCGATGGAAGGAGAAGACGTCAAAGTTGAGTTGTATTCCGACCAAGCGATTATTGGCCGGCAAGGCCTGCTGGACATGTTCAACATCAAGCGCCAGTGCGAACATAAAGGGTTGTTTCACATCATGAAGTTTCCACGGACCGCGACATACCAAGAACTACGCCGACAGCTCGCAGAAAAATTGGGGATCGAGAATACCAAGGCAATCCGACTCTTCTTGATGAGCAACACGGGGCTAGGCCATTATGTCAGCGCACAAATGCAGGCTGTTGACATGATTGACCTGTTGCCGGACACAAAAGGTTTCGATCAACCCTTTTGTTTATGGTATTCCATCCTGAAGACAGAAGAGGATATCAAACTGTTCGGAGTGCCTGACCGTGTAGCGATGAAAGACGTTGTGAAGGATGTCGGAGGTGCTGCGCGTGACGAACAGAATTCCAGCCAGAGGGCATCGTCAGTGGTCTCAGAAGAACAGCTGGCAGCTCCTGATTTGGAGCAAGCGTCGCTCCAGGAAGCGGTCTCCGCCGATGTTGAGAACGCCAGAGCTGACCGCCAGTCTGTGGCTCAGGCTGTTGAAATCTCAGATCCGGACACCCCCATGCAACTCGAACCGTCCCCGCCTCCCACCATTGAAGAAAGCTTGGTCGCCGAGGTCCCCCATGGGCACCTGATTGATGCGCTTGCTCAAGGGGCCATGACAGTGCCTTCTCTGAGTGTCGCCGAAGCAGAAGTAATTGCGGATACGAGCGGGAGCTTTGATGCTACGAATACCAACGTCATGGAGCTTAGTGTAAACGAGCAGGACGAGCCAAACCCTTCCAACGCAGGAAATGACGGAATACCACAATCTGCGGAAGGACCTGTTGAGCAAGCAGAAGGCCCTGTTGACAACGTATATGGATTCATCCAAATCTTTGATGCGGATAACCAAACCTTTTACATTCACGATACATTCTTTGCCAGGTACGATGATAAGATCAAGGAGAAAGTTCGGGACCGTATGCGCTACGATGCTCACAGCACATTCCCCGTCTGGCGTCGCGAAGGTGTTGTTGGTGGAAGCGCCATTCACGCAGACGAAACTTTCAGGGACCGCAGATTCATCAACGGCTGTGACTTGATTGTGGCTGAACCTGTTTCGGAGACTAGAATCACCCAACTACATCTCGAGGGTAAATTCTCCAATCCTTTCGACTTGTCAAAGTACCTCCGGATGGTTGACCGGAAGCACCCAGTGTTATCCAAGACGAGCGAAGAGCCCATCGAACTTGGCGAATTTGGCGCAGATTATTACAAAGGCCCGCTAGTCAACGGGCGTATGCATGGCGAGCGTGCGCTTTGTATCAGTTCAACCGGCCATATGTATGAAGGACCTCTTGTATGCAGCAAGAGATGTGGAAAGGGAGGCAAGATGACGTACCAAAACGGAGACACCTACGAAGGTGACTGGGAGGATGATGAACGACATGGGCAAGGCACATTTGTGGAGCAGAGAACCGGCAACAAGTACGTTGGTGGGTTCGAGTATGGCAAGCGCTGGGGCATGGGCACTACGTATTGGCAAGTTGCGGACGAACAGGCCGATCTCTGCCAGATATGCTACGGACAGGAGATTGATGCATTGTTCTTCGACTGTGGACATGTCTGCTCGTGCGTCGAGTGTGCCCGACAGTGCGACATCTGTCCTATCTGCCGGAGGAGCGTAAAACAAGTGGTGAAGATGTTCCGAGCCTAAAGGGAGAGAGAGGGGGGGTTATCAACGGTCCGAAGACGGTTGGATTGAAGGGTTTGCATTCTTGGAAATGGGAAGCAGGGTGTGACTGGCGTTTGATGCTGTAATGGCTCATTTCAGGAATGATGGAGTGCATCACTTGAAGTCTCTTCCCGACATAACGAATCTGAACTGCTTTTTTTTCTTTTGCGGAGGCGCATGGGACGTGAGTGTTCGTTGGTGATGATGATTCATTCACCTAGATCTTCTACTCTGATGGAACTCACTTAGCGACAAGAATGGGCGTTTTTAGCTGATTGAGAGATAGATACCTCAATACGGAGTAGCTCACAAAGGATGAAGGATTGAAAACATGCTCATGCTTCTGCCTCATGTGAGGCACGTTTTTTGACCGTGGTCGTCCGGACCGCACGTCAACTCTGAGCGCAAAATGGCAAGTGTTCTTAGTCGTCTACATGAAGGCCTCGGTTTTCCGGTGCTTGTGGTCTTTGAAAAAGCACCATTCCACGGCGATCATCAATCTGAGATTATTCCCCCGTGTCGACCTTGTCCGATGTCCTCGCGATCCCTCGGATTCTTCGCCGCAGCGCTCCCCCAGGGGACATGACTAGATTTACCAGTCATGGTCGATACATATCTAGCTGGAGGAGTCTTTGAAGGAGGAGGCTCGCAACAGACAGAGAAGCCCGAGGTACATATTGGACCCGTATCTTCCCCTCCTGACAAAGATTGATGGATAAAATGTCACACTATTGTGTATGTGAGGGGGAGAGCGCTCGTCAGATATGTGTATACGTACATATTGTCATCGTCACTTATTCCTGATTCACTCTGCCAATTTGGTCTTCAGCCACGCGGCATCTCTAGCAGTGAAGGCGCAATCGAAAACCCGGGGCACGGCAATCAGACCCATGACGTCGGAGAAGTCGAGTCTTCCAAGCGATGGGAGCCTCGTTCCTTGGACCTGTTTGAGTCTGAAGGCCAGGATGAGACGAAGGAGCGTCGAGTAGATGATTCGATTGGCGATCATGTAAGCAGGGCAGATGCACGATCCTGTGCCAAAGGTGAGATGCGGGAGGGGCGACGTATCGTTGAGAAACCTTTCAGGGTTGAATGTCAGTGCGTCCGGGCCGTAATGTTCGGGGTCGTGGTTGACGCCTCGAATGTTCATCGTCACGCCCACGCCCTTGGGGAGGACCGCGGCGGCGGCGGCGTGTCCAACGGTCACGTCTTTCGACGTGCGGCGCATGTTGAAGGCGGACGTGGCGTAGAAGCGAAGGGTCTCCTTGTACAGCGAAAACAGCAGCGGGGCCTTTTCTTCGCGAAAGGCCTTGTCCTAGGCAAGGTCTCGGTCGCCATTGTAGACTTCCAGAATGTTTTCCAGGCACTCTTCTTGGAACACTTGTCCTTGGGCACTGCACAGCCACGCCATGCACTGATAGGTGCTCGAGGAGACCGTGTCCGGAGCGGCCTGAACTATAGACATGCAGGTGCCGAACAACTCATCCGGCGTCAATCTCTCGGCACTCAACGACGACAGCAGACAGTCGGGGGCCTGTTCCTGTTCCGCTTTGAGCCTGTACTGCTCGTGCAGGACCTGAGCACACGCGTTCCGCTGTTCGGCTGCCGCGATGAGCTTGGATTTGGACAACGGCCACCACGCTCGAAGGAGTGGCACGTAATGACGATATTCGGCAGTCGAACCACGACATTCCGTAATAACGCTCAGACTGTTCAACAGTCGATTGGACAGTTCTTCATCATCAAAATCCCCCTCTTGAATCCCGTATGTCATGTGGAGGGCCAAATTAAACATCATCTAACGGCCAGTTGTTAGCTTTTTGAGTGGCAAAAGAAATTGCATTTACTGGCGTGGGTTGACGAACCTGACGAAGCCAGGGATATGTCTCTAGGGGGACTTGACCGTTCCTCCCACTCTCATATATCCTGGTGATGATCTTGACTGACTCGGGCTCAATCAGTTTGTAGTAGCCAGGCCACATTGGTTTTCCAAGCGCTCCCTGGATATCAAGCGCGAACATCAGTGCGCGGGCTTTTGGTTTAGGTAATAAGTCTGAAGAATTTCAACAATCCATCACGTACAAAAGCGGCTGCCCTGCACTTCTTCACATCTGAAGTCAACGAAGACCCTGATATGTCCAGACCAATGTAATCCGAAAACCCGTGTTGTTGCACTCGGTCCAATATGGAGCGGTTCTTGAAGACGAAGAGCTCCTCCGTGGCGGCCCAGGAACTGACGATGACGGTCCTTTGATACCCAAGTTTGATCTGGTAGATTCCCGAAGCCAGTTCCCCACTCCACCTCGAAAAGACATTCGCGTCGTTCACTCCCAAACGACCCCCCAACGATAGCAAGTGGCCGACGAAAGGGAAGGATCCTGGGGCTTCCGAAAGGTTGGAAATGCGAGAAAAATTCGTTCGGTACGCTGCCCACCACTTCAAAGTCCTTCAGTAAGCGCTTTGGATGATAGTCAGAGACCAAGTGTCTCTGTGTGTACGTATGTGTCACTCACGATGGAAAGGAAGACTGCCAGAGAGACTTCGACAAGGCCGACGACAGGCCATCCCAACGCCATGGTTGTTCCAGGGACTTCTGACAGAAAGTCGTTTGCTCCTTACTGGCTATCCATCCTGGATTGGCAAGTCTGAGAGTCGACATGAAAAGAAATTTCTGGTTGAGCGGTTTAGAACAGGCCTTGCCAATATCTTTATGTGTTTGTGGTTCGTGCAAACACCTTTCCTGTTGGACCTTGGAAGCTTTGTGTCTTGCCCCATACGTTCGGCTGTGCTCTTGAAATGCAGCCTTATCTTCTTTTTCGTCAGTCACGATGTCCGCCGCATGATAAGGGCCTGAATCCGTTGTCTCCCCAGGGCATGCTTTGTCTTTAAAAAGGATGGAACTACCGATAAGTGGCCGGTGTCACGGTGTCAGACAGAAGGCATTATCATACCGTACGTGACGCTCCATTCCGAAAGACCGTGTCAGTTGTGGGATGTCTCGGCACCAATCGGTACACACAAGGTACAGAGGGAAAGCTATTAGGAGGAGTAAGGTATATTTCTTCAAGCTCAATTCTAACGAGAAGTTCGCCTTCTCCCAATTCTCCGCCTCATGTGTGTCTGTGTCTGATCTGCCAATGGCAGCCTAAATTCATCCTGTGAAGCCCCCTCGATGCTGTGAAGTCGGGCATCCTGTGGGGTTGACTTCCATGTCGACGCAACCCCGTGTTTCACAGCGCCAGCCGTTGGCTTGCTGGGGTGAGTTTCGCTCGTCATATGGAGGAACATGTCGTTGATATACACCAGAATGTACAAGGCGAAAACGTAAATGTGACAAAACCATACCCTGTTCAAGATGCGAGCGGTTAGGACTCAACTGCAGCCGCGAGATTGTCCACATCCGTCGTCGGCTGGGTCAGCATGGCTCAGAGATTCAATTCTTGACGTCGATCAGGGAGGATTTGGAACGAGCTGAGCCGACCGAGATCGAAAGCATTGTCCGAAGACTAGCTGATCACATCGATTCACTCAAACTGGGGACGGCTTTGAATCTAAACGCAAGTCTCGACAATATCCCCGATCGTGGCCGTCTTCATAATGATTCAGTCGCCGTCGTCGAAGGACAGGATTCGGCAATCGTGACGGCGGTCGAGCATCTGGCTTGGGGTCGCAGCAACGGCAACTGCTATCCGCATCGACATTGCGCATGTTTGTATCGACAGCATTGGGTAGCAAATTCCCCAATGAACAGCCAGTCGTTTGACTTTGCCGCATCCCCAATGGCCGCCGTGGCCAACCTTCCAGACTGTGCCGACGCCGAGAGATTGGTATCCTTTCACCTCACACGGATCGCCTGGCACCACAATTGCATCCACTGTCCGACCTTTTGGAGACAGTGCCAGGCGTTCTGGCAGACGGGGAAATGCGACCATCCCCTGTGGATTGCCTTGTATTGCTCTATCCTGAGTACAACCCTGTTTTGCGTCCAAAACAGTGCCCAGTTTCTCGAAGAATTCGATCTCGAAAGCGGCCTAGAAACGGCGCAACAACTGTTCAAGACAATCGTCGAGGTGCTCTACGCCGGCAACTTTCTCCAGAACATGTCGTTTTACGCTGTCCAAGCCATTGTCATTTCGACCGAGGTGGCGCACAATTTTGGCTTGAGCCAGCTCAACGCGACTCTCTTCAGCGCCGCCATCAGGATAGCAGAGTGTTTGGGGGTGCACAAGATTCAAGACGGCGTCTCCCCTAATTTGACCACCGAAGAGGCCTGGCACGAAACTGTCGAAAAGGAAGTGGGCAGAAGGGTCTGGTGCCAGATCATCATCCAAGACTACTTTGCGATTCCTTTTACCGATTCGTACATCATCAATCCTGCTCAATATTCCACTAGTCTGGCCAGCAATGCTCATGACCATGACCTCGCTGCAAGACCGGACTCTGTGCCCACCGTCAGTACATACACCCGGGTATTGGCCACGATTGCCAAACTGATGCCCGACTTCGTCGACGGGTTAGGGCCATTGAACGCCCGGAAGCCCCTAGCCGAACAATACCAACACGTTTTGCGCATGGATCAGAGGATGCGCAATGTTGTGCAGACAATTCCCGGTTTCCTACTTCGTCATGACGTCCAGAAGGAGGCGCTGGTGGGCTGGTTGGGTATTGCGCGTCGCAGCCTTGCCATCACAGCGGCTGAAAAGGTATACCGAGTCCTGACTCTTTTTTGACGCATGTTATAACGGTCCGTGAGTACTAACTCAGCTAGATCATCATGATTCACAGACCGTTCATCTTTCGGTCGTTTCTCTCCGACGCATACGCTCGCACAAGGAGGACGTGTGTATTTGCAGCTGTGACGATTCTTCGAGAGCATGAGAACATTGCCTTGTCCGGAGAGTTATGTCTGTGGACTCACACGGCATTCTGCATCACGGCCGCGGTCATCCTCTGTTTTGAAATTGTCATGGGCGGAACCACACATACCAATGATCGACACGAAATGTTTAGAGGTTTGGTTCGTATGGCGACGAGTCGTCTTGAGGGCCGCAAGCACGACGTCCTGGCCAGACGTGGGATATTTTTGATCGGTGCCATCCTCGCAGAACTTGATGGAGCCATGACGACGGAAGCAGAAACCAACGAGCAATCAACAGGCCCAGACCCGAAGAAAACGATTGATTTTCACGACATTGTGAAGCGGTTCAGTACAGACTGGTTTTCATTGGGTGCTACAGCCGAGCTGGCTCCGCCGTTCGTTTACGACGGCCAAGTCTATGAACAAGCACAGGGCGGCGCTGCCACTGCGGCATCTGGTGCACACAACCAGTCCATGTGTGCCGATGAAGACTTCGAGTCCTGGTTCATCAACGTCTTTAACACGGTCGAGATGGAGCCATGATCGTTTTTACAGCCAGGCCACAGGTCGAGATTCCCCTCAAAGAATCTCTAAATTGCATGCGTGGCTTTGTGCCCTTTATCTATCCGTCCACTACCAACCCTATCGTGCGGATGAGTCGAAAATCTTTCTCGCCCGGGCGGTCCGAGCACGGGCAAAGGGATATATATACAATGTGAGTAGGCAGGACCAGATGAAAAGACTATTCGTGACAAGACATTTCCCGTATTGTATGGTAATGAAGTGTATTGCCTGCCACCTCTCCTCGAGAGGGCCGGAGGGCGGGCGAGCCCAAATGATTCCTCCGCCCCCGTTATCGGTGCGGACGAGTCCAGAAGCCCACCCGCTTTCAGGGACCCGGTTCCTGAGGCCCAGATCACCAAGAACGATTCGGTAGCTTTGGACTGTCGAGCGGGCGAAGGCTGCTACAGCCTATAGGTAGTGTTCCTAGTCATATCTTAACACGAGCAAAATCTCAGGCGGGCCAAAGCGTGTTTTATCGTTGTCAGTATCAATAGTTTACTTTAGACATCACCGCATCGGTAGCCACTTTTCGTCGCATCCACCGGCACCCACCCGTCGCAGCGGAGATATATGCAACCTAGATACCAGTGCATAGCTATATAAGAGAACTTGACTCACCAAAAAGACAACCTGAATCCATCCTACGTTTGATAAGTGTATCCAAGGCATTGATAATCGGAGCGAGTCCAACCAGGCAACACCACGATCGTCTGGCTTCCGATTTCCACCCCTTATTGTAGCAGCAGGTCAAGACAGCCAATCTCTCTCGAGCAACGGGTGGAGCATCAAGATTCTGAAATCCTGGGGCCGATAATTGAGTCAAAGCAGCTGCTATCAGAGGACGCGGTGTCAGAGTGGTCGCAGCAGGAGCCAATAGGTAAATATTCAACCTTGGGGGGCCTTCGTCATGTCCAGTCGCGCCGAGGAAAAGTCGGACGTGCGAAAACGCGTGTGGAAGACGTTGCGCACCGTCGCCCGTCCCGACTCGCGCTTTCATTTCGACTTTGCCAGCTTCATCACGGACTTTGAGGGCTCGGACCGGGCGACGGCGAGGCTGGTAGAGTTGTCGAGCTACAAGGACTCGACCGTCGTTTTCATCACGCCCGACAACTGCCTGGAAGAGCTACGGCTGCGGGCACTGCGAGACGGGAAGACCGTGCTGATGACGACGTACGGCATTCGCCGCGGGTTTTGGGAACTGGACCCGGCCAAGATCGAAGAGAGCCAGTACGCCAACGCGGCCATGTTGGACGGCATGGAAAGGCTGGGCCGCCCCCTGAGTCTGGCCGACATCCTGGCCAAGCGCTGGCACATCCCGTTCATGGTGACGGGCACGGGGGCGGTCAACACTCGGGGGGTCAGGTTCGGCAAGGGCCACGGGTTCTTCGACATCGAGTGGGCCATTCTGTACACGCTGGGCGTCGTCGACCAGACGACCGTCGCGGCCGCCGTCGTCCACGACTGCCAGGTGCTCGAGGAGGAGCTGCGCCCCGAAGAATTCGACACCGTGTGCGAGCTCGTCGTCACCCCGACGCGTGTCCTGCGTGTCCCCGACGTGCAAAAGCCCGCCTGCGGCGTCTTGTGGCCGCTCCTCCAGCCCGACATGCTGGAACGCATCCCGCCGCTGCAGGAACTCAAGGCAATGAATGAGCCTGCAGGGATCGTGACGGGACAGAACGTGAAGGGATTTCAGTGAATCGGGATGTTACTTCACCACCGGCCAATAGATGTGTGAGGTGAAAAGCGATCCGGAGGGTGATGAGACTCTCTCTCAGGCACCAGAATACAAAAAGTGATACCACCAGAAGAACCACCCCTCCGTGACAAATGATCCCAGTTTCTACCTGTCTGTCCAACAAGCCTTTCTGTGAGGGAGCCAATATAACGTAGCTCGACTATTGTAACGTGCATCGTGACATTCATTCCAGTGGGTCACTTTCTTACCATTCGTCTGTCAGAGCATGCACGCATGATGCTCCCTGGATCCCTTCACAGAGGCACGATGTTCCCAATCTTTCTTTGCCCCTCTCTCGCTTCCCTCCCCCTTGAGTGGAAACCTGGACCACCGCACGCCTGAAAAGGATCGTACTGTCCTCGTACCAGTGCTTCCCTCCACCAAGGCCCGACAGTGGCCATCATCCCATGATCCTTTTCACGTCAAACATCGACATCGACATACTCGCAGGTAAAATTCCGATCGCCGTAACCTGCCAAAGAGGGAAGGCTGCCTCACCCAAAAGTGGAAGCCTCGTACTGCATAAGGCCATGTCACGTGATATCAGTTCAGACGCGCCGGGGTCATTTTATCCGCTTCGTTCACTATCGCAATTTTGTACCTGATCTCGACCGTCATCTTTTCTATCTTACTACTAGGCTTCCGTTGACCTCGACTCTCGTACTATTCCCCTCGCCAAAAACCCCCGAGTTCGTCTAGCTCATTCATCTCGTCCATGTTCCGGTCATGTTCAAATGTAAACTCGTCCCTCATTCTTGCCTGGACCAGAACCTGTCTACAGACAACTTCATCAATAAAACCATCTGTACATTTCCGAACTCGGCCCATCCCTCATGGATTCGCTCGGGATGTCCTGGGCGCGAATCTTCTTTCCCATCCTCATGTCGCGCCTTTTGTTGTCGATGATCATCCAGAAGCCCAGCAGCAGCGTGAGGAGACACCCAACTGCACCGAAACACGCCGTCGTCACGAGAGCGGGAAGGTATTTAGGTGCGTCCTTTGCTTGGAAGATGTTGGAGCTAAGAGCAAAAAAAGAAAAAGAAACGTCAACACGTGGATAACGACGCATGGAAGATCAAGTAGGCATACCTTACTACCCCCATGAGGTTTGCAACAGGTACACCCACGCTCGTTAACATGACTCGTTTGTTCTCGTCGGCCAAGTTATTGTTGTACCAGACATCTAGAATCACGCTCGGCGCCGATGTTCCCCATGTCATCATGAAGCAGGCAAAGTATGCGACGTGGATCTGAGTGTGAACATTCTATCGGCGAAGAGATAGGAGTGTCAATTCAGGCCGAATCCTTTGAAGACAGCTAAAACCGCAGGAAGAAAGCACTTACCACACAAGCATAAATAATGAAGCCGATACAGGTGAAAGCGAATCCCAGTGCGACAAAAGGGAACCTCCACCTCGTAAAGTCGCTTGCGAATCCGAGGATAAGAAGCATTGCTGCTCCCGTGATATCTGTCATGATCTGGTTAGTACCATCATCAGTCAGGCAAGTTACGAACTCTGCTCGCTAGAGAATGCGTCTATCCCTCCCTCCCCGAATGAAAACAGATCTAACCCCATTTCGCTTCTTTTCCATAAATATCAACCAGTCAAAGGCAATGGCAACGGACAACGGCAAGAAACTTACTCGGCGCGACAGTGTACAAGTTCGTCTTCACCGTACTGTATCCCAGCCTTTTGACGATGACGGGTAAGAACAGCGACACACTCTGCAGCGGAACCCCCAAGCACATCTCAATGGCCAAAATGACCCACGTGGTGGGGTGCTTGAAAATACCCAACGCTTTGCGCAGATTGAATTTCTCATCCACGATCGCACTGCTGTCGACCTGGATGCGGTAGAAGGCGAGCTCCTTCTCCTCGGCGCTTAGGAATGTCGCAGACGCTGCGTTGTACGGCAACACCCAGAAGGCGAATATGGCAAAGAGCATGCTGCACGCCCCCTCGATGACAAAGAGGTACCTCCAGTTCGCAATCGAGCCGGAGTGGATGTGGAAGACGCCAAAGGCCAACAGACCGCTAAAAGCATTCGCAATTGAGGATGCGGCGTAGAACAGAGCTAAACGACGAGCGAGTTCGCCTCGACGATAGAATACTGGAAATCGTCAGTTGTAATAAAGGAGAATGAAGAAGAAGGAGGAGGAGGCTCAAGTGGTGTTTGTGTGAGAGACATGTTACTTACAAGTCTGATAATAGATGACAAGCGGGAAGAATGCACTTTCAGCCTATTGATCATGTCGACACCACCAATCAGCATACGGGGTTCAAAGTATTTGCATGGCCATTTTCTTCTCTCATCACCGGTACGAGTCTGACGGAATCAAGCCGTTCCAAAGAAAACACGGGGCGGAGGGGAAAATGGAACAGGAAGTCAAGGGAAGGAAGGAACAAACCATGCCCAAGAACCATCGACAAGCCATCAACCCTCCAAAGTTTTGCACCGCTACGACCATGAGCGTCGAAAATCCAAAGCAGAACATCATGATCGGGAGCACACGACTAGGACCGAACTTTTTGCCCGCGATACCCAGAAACGGCGCCGTGAGAACGTACGGGACGAAAAACACTGACAGGATTATATTGTAGTCATTGCCCTGCAGGTTGAGATCTTTTTCGAGTCCGGCTGTCTTTGCGTTTCCAATATTTCCTTTGTCCTTCGTACCGGAAACCAAAAGTGTCAGCCAGGTTTCAGCATCTTTCGCTGATTGATTGATTGATTGATTGATTGACCATTGACCAGAGCCAAACAAGAACAAGAGCAAGAGCAGAGCCCCGAGCCCCGAGCACAAGGGACAAGGGACAAGGGACAATTTGAACTCACCAATGCATTGAACAAATACATGATTGCCAGGACCGGGAGAATCCTCAGATCGAATTTCCACACGAGTCGTTTCTCGGCTTCAGGATCGATAGGTTTAGATGCAGACATGTCTCTCCCTTCTCCAGACCCGGACAGGCTCATGGTCTTCGTCAGGAGTCCATCCTCGTCGAGCACGGGTATAGGTCCTTTCTTGTCGTCTGCAGGGGAGGAGGAGGAGGTGGTGGTGGTGGTGGCGGTTGTGTCGACGGCGTTGGTAGTAGTGGTGAGGTTGTCGGTGATGGATGATGACATTTTCGAATCACCCATCTTGAAAATTGGATAGTACAGAACACGGGAAGGTTTCGCTCGTACACACACTCTCTTTTTCTTTTGATCTTTCTCACACACACCCTCCCTCTCTGTAGGTGCCTGTCAAAGCGGCGTATCGTGTCTACCGCCACCAGGTGCTCGAAAAGACTCCTTCACGAGATCGTTGTCTCTGTCTGTCTGTGTGGGGGTTTGTGTCTCTCACATGCAGACAACAGCGTCACAACTCGATGTCTCGCTCCAGTGCCCGAGTAGTGTCGTTTGCCACCGTCTTATCGTAGTAGCTCGTCACTGTTTCGACAAGCCGGTATAGACCGACCAAGTATCAAATTATATTTGATTTGATCTGATCTGCTTTGCAGATTCGAGACTTGATCAAAAAGCACCACAGCCCAACCAAAAAAGAAAAAACCAAAAGTGAGCAAACAGAAGCACACGGAGAGAGAGAGAGAGAGACAGACACGAACAGATATGCACATCGACCAAACTAGACGAGACGAGAAGGAGGGGGATGAGATGCATAAATGGACAGACGAATTCCACCCATAGGTGGTACGAGTACCTCGCCGACCTCTCACGACCCTAGATGGAGATGATCAGTCTACAAACTCCAGATCCGGAGAGTATAGTGTCCGCCTGGACGCCCATTGCAACTCGACCCCCCCGGGTACGGATACAGTGAACGACATTTTTTTTGTCTCCGCTCCAAAGATTTGACAGACAGGTTGGTCTGGTTTGGTTGGTCGGAAACCGCTTATCTTTTGTTGTCGTTCTGCATACTTCTTTTTTTTTTCTTTGCGTATCTTCTGTACAGAGCTGCCCCTCCCTCCCCCGGCCCTTCACGGAGTACTCGCGTGAAGTTACATCGAGACAGGGAGGAGGGTTGTCAACTCTGTTCAGCTTTCGTCGTCACACCTGATTGGTCCCGCCGGTGGTCGACGATCATACCTCATTATCATCAACCCATTGAAACGTCTTGATGTTTCTGCAGAAGTCCGTCTCGACAAGTCGTTACGTACTTGACAAGTCCAGTCGTGGGAAGCTCACAAGGGGGATCGCCCACGGGATTATGCATATAACCGATGCCCTGCTGCTGACCTTCGGTGAAAGTTAGCCTTGAACGTGCTAGGAAAGTTGTGACATCCAGTCCGACCTGCTTGTCCAAGGCGATGTTTTACCATGCAGATGATTTCCCAAGGTAGGCAAAGATACCGGCGAGAGGAATAATTACTCCATAGTATGTGAACTAAATTTCCTCGCAGGGGCAAATACGCCGTCACGAGTCCTCTCAAAGATGCCTCTTATCAGTGGAAAATGATCTCCGCGCAACCCACAACTAGCGGCCATCTCCCGGCCATGGGGTGGACTTGACCGCGGCGATGCTCATACGACTAACCACTCCGTGCAATAATACCACAAACTTGTCAGTCCCGAGATGCTCCACTCCTAGAGCACTGGCCAGTCTCGAGTACGAACGTCATCGGCCACTACTCCCAGAAACAAGTACAACTCCGATATGTGATTGATGCTTGTGTCTATGTAGAGAACAAAAGAGAAAAAAAGGCCCAAAAGCGTACAGTCTGGGACGGAACCAAGGGGGTATTTGTGGATGTGCTAAAACATGACTCGCTAAACAAATGATACCGTCCCAGGCTGGGTAGGCATCTTTTTCCGCATCGCCAACCGACAGCCGAAGAAGATGAATCGAATATTTTCCTTCCAAGAGGAAAAGCACCGGGATACTTTGTCATGACTCGTGACTATCCGTGATCAGTATCATGATCAGCTCACACCATTCCTGATGAACAGCCTTATAGCGCAAGGGGCTGAGAAGAAGATATAGCATTCCAACTTTGCCATGCCGGCGCCACAACATTCTCTCCTGAGCATCGATGCCTTTCAAAACACAACACTGCATGTCATGTTTTCTGGTTTGGAGCGTATCAAATGATACAATACTTTGGTTGAAATAAGATTATACAAATCATGACTGTTAACGAGTTCGAGACGGAAGAGCAATGGGGATGCCGCTACTTTGTTTGGGTCCAGAGGGGAGTCCATTCGATGCTGGTATTGTTCGACGGTTCAGACGATTAGTGCGCCATCGCTCATAAAACTGCAATCAATTAGATCAAGCCCAAGATGTGGATTCTGAAACCGTCGACTCACCACTTCACGACTGGCTTCACGAAGCTCAGACCTCCATTCTGCAAACACGGCATCTTTCAATTTGACAAAATCACAATGCTCCAGGTTGTACGGGTCAGCGAATCCCCATGGGAACTGACGACCGACAGGACCATCCTTTGCCTCCAAGGAATACTTGTCAGGACTGATGATTGACCATGGTACAAATCCACTGTCGAGAGTCGGATCGCCCATGGACATATTGGATGATTGACGCTTGTGGGGGGTTGCGCGCTTTGCATTGGGCGCAGGAGGGTTCGTGTCAGAATCATCGTCACTCCGGGCAGATCCGTCTCTGCTCTCAGCTTCACTACTGTTTTCATCTTCGTCGCGTTCGTCTAGCCTGTCCTCATCCGAGTCTTCGGCCTCGAAGCTCAATGCTTCGAGTGGATCGAGCCCGGCCTTCTTGAGACTTTTGCTGACTTTCTGTTTCAGAAATGCCATGTGAGCCGTGGTGATGGTGTCGGCCTTGCTTATCACAGGTATCACCGTAGTCTTCCCCGACAACGCCTTCATGACTTGAATGTCGAAATCTTCGTCGAGCGCTCCGACAATCCGAGGGGCTTTCCCGAGTCGACCCGCCTCGTGTGCGTTGCTCCCTTCCTGGGAAGCATTGATGTTTGCATCGAGTCTGGCCGGATCAAGGATGAAGAAAACGCAATGGATGTGAGTGTCCCGAACGCCCGGTGCACGAATGACTTTCATTTCCTCGATGAAGGTGTCATCAAACTTGCTTTCCACAAAATTGGCCATGTCTCTCATTTGGAGATCAACGACGCCTTTGTCCAATCCTTGAGAGTCCCACAAAGTCAATCCTATCCGTTCGCTGTCAATTTCGATCTCCTGGTAGTGATGAACAAAATAAGGGTTCGGTCGGGCCGAGGAAGGAGGCGTGTCGCCATCGGGCGCACGGACCGCCTGTTTTCTTGGTGGAAGGGCGAGAGACCTCTTCAAGAAATTGAGAAAGGAAGTCTTGCCCGAGTTTCGAGCACCGATGATGAGGATATTGTAGGGAGTAGGATCTTTGCGACGGCGAACTCTACGAGGCGAGTTGACTGTTGACACAGTCGAGGTAGCGTAGGAGTATCGGCCGCCTGCACAGCAACTCAGTCAGCTTGAACATCAGATCAAGGTAGGTCGGAGGACTTACGGTGCGTCATGCTCTCTGTACGGGCATATGGATCAATGACTTCCTTCTCAAGGTGATCGGGTAATGGAGGTACGGGGGGAGTTCCCCTTGCTCCATTGGTGTACTCTCCAGACTGTGCCGGAGGCTGGTAATTCTCACCACCAAAAGACTGGATGCCTAGAGGCTGGGGGGTGTAGCCAGGAAGGCGAGGAGGAGACTTCGCGGTGACTCTTGTCGACTCATCCATTTCGCCTTGCTTCTTCTTCAACCGGCCTGCAGAGGACTTTCTGTCACCCAGGGCTTCCCCACTCTTGGATCGAAACAGACGGGAGCCCAGACTGGTACTTCTGCGAGAAGTCTGGGACTCATTGCGGACAATCTGAGGAGGAGAAGTCATGATGTCGGAGGCTGACCGAGAGGGTCCGGGTGGCAGGTGCCGTTCGGGGTGATCAATGCACAGCGAGGGTTTGGCGGAGGTGCAAGCAGTCGCAATTGCTTAGTCGAGGGTCACTCGTTTGGTAGAGAGTAAGCAGACGTGGTTGACACGTACGAGGATTGTCGTGCAGCAGGGGCGGCCAGCGCAGGAGAAGGTCCGAGTCGCAAACTCAATGAGATGCGCCACGAGCGATCAGGGTTCCAGGTGCAGTAGAAGCGACACTCGTACAGTGTAGTTTGTCGCTCTCAGGAATACGAGGATCTTCGTGGCCGACAGCAGAGTCTGAAGTCCCCGTGGTCTGCCTTGACGGGGGCGTCGAGGAATGCTCCTGGGACCTAGGATGCCGGCTCGTGTGGACAGGAGGTTGTTTGCCTTGAAGCAGGGAATATGGGGTAAGGTTGGGCGTAAGTACTGCAGATACAGTAGGGACTCCGTCGGTGGTGAAGGGTCGCAGCGAGATTGCGCCTCTGACTGGGTCTTCAAGCTGCCACTTTCCGCTTCTGACGGGCTTCGCACAGGCTTCTAGCACAGGCTCGGGGCGGATCGCCAGGTGTCAACCACGCAGTCCCGTAACTGTATTGTACAGTATGTGCCCTCAAGGGTCCGACAGACTTGTGCCACGCATTGAAGCAGGCGAAGACAGAGGAATGAATCCAGATGAGAGGAATCAGAGCCAGCTGCTCCTCTACTTCTCCTCCGTCCCTCTTCCCACACTCTACTACAACATCCCCCTTCCAGGCTTTTCTTCCGCCCTTGAGCAATATTCAGGGGAAAAGTGACCCAGCCGGGGCCTGGCTTTACTGGTCAACAGCTTTCGTTTCAGATCACTTGTCACACTAGCACGACAATTAGTCCCAAGCTGATTGTCCCCCCTGCGCGGAAAAAAGCACTGGTCGAATTTTGCCTGCATCTTTCTAACCACTCATCGACTTCCTACGTTCTCAATGTCTCCTTTAGTCAATGTCTTGCCCCGTCTATCATCAGCTCCTACTTACTGTACGGTTTTGAACACCGCGGTCTCGCGCCACCCATCGGCGTCGGCCCGTTGGAGAGACTTTTACACCTGTACATCGTCGGCATTGGCCTCGCATACAACTCTAACTTTCTAGGCCCATCATTTTGCTGACTCCATGAACACCGTGATCTTGATCTCGCACGCTGCCTCGTTCCCGCCCGACTTCCAGCATTCTGCCTTTTCAACTTCGCTCACCATCCTGGTGAAACTATCTCGCATTCCAGGACGCAACAAGATGTTGGACTCCTCATCCAGCCACGGAAAAGAGATGATTGCGTAGCGGATGCTTGCGCCTTCAACACTCCATCCCCATGATTCTACAATGAAATCAAATAAGCGGTCCACATCTCCACAAGCAAGCAGGGTGGTCGGCGCACTTGCGGCAGGGAACCCATCGAGCCACACCTTGAGAGTCACTTTCGCGGGGTCGAATGAAGTGACCCTACTCTCCTCGTCGGTCGTGGATAGGGTTGGCTCAAGATGACGTCGTTTGCCATTCCGTTTCAATGCCGGAGTCTTCCGCTTGCGCTTGGTCCCAGCATTTGACGCCTTAGATTGTTTCTTGGACGAGAGTCGCGCTTGAGTCATTTCGATCTCTTCGTTGACCGCCTCTTCAACATCCTCGGGGTCTGGAGATTGGCCGGTCCGTCTTGAAATGGTATGCTGATATTTGTCAAACTTGTACGGGTTCGTTTGCTGGACAGTTCGCTTTCGCAATGATCGCGATGAGTATAATTCAGCCTGAAAAGCCGCCACATCATAGTTTGCTTCTTCTTGTTCTTCTCGTGTGTCGCTGCAAGCCGAGACAGTCACACTTTGTTCCCGAGAGGACAACCTGCGCCTGTCGCGTGAACCTGATCTAGGTTCTGGAGTGTGAGGTGTGCGGAGGAAGCCTGGAGACTTGTAGGACGTCGCGTCGGTAGGTTGTGAAACCCTTGTGTGCCGCGAGCCTGGGGTGGCACAAGTTGAGCTCGAAGCGCCTCTCGCGACACGTGCGCGGCCTCGTAGGGATTTGATCTCTACGTGCGGATCACTCTGGTGGTTATTTTCATGAACACGATGCCGGCTCACACCACTCACGGAATCAGGCTCAGAATCCGATATTATTGTCCGTCGACGAGTCTGATAGCTGCGCGGGGGCATGCTCTCGTCACCTTCGCAAGCGAAATCCTTGGAGAGGGAGGCTGAAGGCGGGCTTGGTGAGAAGGTTGGTTCAGGTGTCTCGTATCTGATCTCATCACAAAGTCGATGCGGTGACAGATGGCCAGGCGGCGGTTTCCAGCCAAGCATGGTTCACCTGGTTTCGGGAAGAGAGGAATGACGAACGGCGCTTAAATGGTCGCTCAGGGCGAACCTGTTTGGCGCGCGGCAAAGCAATTGAATACCCGGCCTTAGCGCGAAGGATTTTGGACAGAGACATGAAAAGAGGCGGTGCAGTGTCGAAGAATCGAAGAAACGGTGCAGGGCGGTGCAGGGCCGCGTTGAAACTGGTGCAACGCAAAAAACGTGTTAAAACATTGGGGGAAGCGGTAGTGCCGGGCCCTGTTTTGGGAACTGTTACTGCCCTTTGGCACAAGTGTCTTTCATCTTCAAGACAAGATCTCTTCATTCCTTTGTGCCGTCTGCCTGTCCCTGCTCTCGCTTCCTCTTGTCCATGTAAACCTTCAAAAGTCTCAGATCGAGTGGCATTCGATCACCGAGCCACGTCGCCCGCTGGCTATGGTCTCTCAGCTCGTCCCCGTCCTCCGTGTTTGGATGTACCAGTGCCGACAGAGGTCCTCTATTGATCACCAGCCATGGGATAAAGGCCCCGAACTGCGCCGGGGTGAAGACATTGACCTCGAACATCGCTACGAGGTGAGGCCCGACCGGGCGATCCCAAAATTTGTATATTCTGCGAAAAAAACAGGAATCAGCCAAACTCTGCGGTGTCTCATATGGCGCTGTGCCCCGGGGGAAGGGGGGCGCCCGTTTTGTGCCCACCTCAACTCTGGAAACTCCCTACGGATTCTCTCCCACAGGGCTCGAGCGAAATTCCTCTCGAACTCGCTACCGTGATGATAATAGATGTGGATGTCAAAGCCACCGCGGCGGCCGTTGGTCACGCCGGAGGTGAATTTCTCATAGCTAGGACTCAAAACACCGGTCTGGGGATTCTTGAAAGATTTCCCATCCTCGTTCAACTCGTCCGGGAGCGGAGGCAGGTTTTCGTAGCCTTCCAGTGGTGACGGGTAGTCGTAGAGAAAAGGGTCCGACATTGTAGAAACTTTCCAAGTCTACTTTTTTCTTACCGCAACTTGAAGAACAACAACGCTCCGGGCAAGGCTGAGCGGATTGAGCTTATAACATCAAATTCTTGGCCACCGTACGCAAATTTTCACGAGGATTGCATGTTTCATCTCTTGACGTTGGTTCCCCCGACCTACTGTAAAGGTAAGTCGCTGGAGAGATTGATAAGCAACGAGTCAAAAGGTTAGACGCGAATTTGCGAAGCTACGGAATTACTTCCGGTCGCTACGATGCACCCACTCACGCCCCCATGCGAGTCGACGACGACGTTGACGCAAACACACGCCTCTTGAGAGGATTTGCAGATGGTGGTCGATTGAAGGGAAGATTCACAGGTTGCTGGCAGTACGCCGTACGAGCGTGTCAAAACCGTTCAGAGACTACTCAAGACACAACCGGACGCTCCATTTCGCTTATACGCATGTTCGCATGATTTCGTTTCATTCGCCACGACTCCATACTCTGACCGATCCATCACCCTTGATCTGATACAGGCGCTCCATATCCGCGGGACGGTCACTCGGGGTGTCGACATCATCGTCTCCCTCAGAATCCATACTCCCTCCCCGACTCACCCTGATCACGCCCGTGACGTCCTTGGCGGTTCCCGTGTCCAGGCCGCGCAGTTGCCACACCCAGCGACTGTGATGGGCCTGCGTCGTGACAAAGTGCGCATGGTCGCGCTCCAGAGGCGTGCCGGCATCTCCAGACGACGTAGCAGGGTGCAGTAGCGGCGCGTCGGCCTGGGCCGTGACCACCACGGCGTGACAGCGAGCCCGTATGGACCCGAGGACCGAGTCAATCATCGCGGGCGTGACTTCAGGTTGCGACGCGAGGATAAAGTCGACGCCGTCGATGAACACGAGGGGACTCGCGCTCGCGCTCGCTGCAGGTGCTCCCGGGGCTGAAGTGGAAGCTGACGGTGACGGTGACGGTGACGGTGACGGTGACGGTGACGGTGACGGTGACGGTGACGGTGACGGTAATTGCCGCTGCGTCTGAGGCCGAGGTTGAGGTGTCCGAGGCGTCGTCGGCGTGGTGCCGGACGGCATCGACTGTTGTTGCGAAGTAGCAGATGTGGTGGTCGTAAGAGTCGTAGATGACGAAGTTGAAGTCAAGGATTGCACGCCGGCCTCGACGGCTTCTTGAACGTGCTGCGGCGAGAGTGATTTGAGCTTGATCGACGGTAGAGGCCCCGGCGGGCTGTCTGAAGGAACCTCCGGAGGACTCGAGTGTCGCGCCGCGCCGCCGCCGTCGAGGACCATGCCGTCGATGTAGACGATACCCTTGCGCTTGAGCAGTGACGGGATATCCAGCCCCTAGACCATGGCGTCAGTGTGTTGCCTGTGTAGGTAGTCTCCTTCTACAGGCATGCAAAAGGAACTTCCCCCTCCTCTCTCTCTCTCTCTCTCCCACACTCTGTCTGATCGGGAACAACGTACCACTTTTCTACCCATTTCAACCCACAGGCTCAGCGGTCTAAGTAGACTGACGAAGATCACCGGCCTCGTCTCATTGTCGGCCCCGTGTTCCGTCGTCTGTCTGTGTTCGTCCCGTGCGGAATCCCCCACGCCGTAAATCGCGGCATACACGATACGCAGGGCGAGCCATGTCGAGGGCGTGCCGAGTATCGACGTGATCAGTGTCGAGGCGCGATGTTCCAGACACGTCTGAACGTAAGCGGCCAGCGATGCCGGGATGTTGGGCGGCATTGTTGAAATACCTTTAGTAGTGCTTTACATACAGAAGGGACTCATGGATTGTCGTTGACTATACCTTTTCGTCGTCGTCGTCGTCGTCGTCGTCGGGGGAATTTTTTAATTATTTTTTTAAGGACAATAATCACTTCCCACCCGGAGACTGTGAGATCACCCACACTGAAAAGGGGAGTCAAGGTATTTTAGATGATCGGCGCACAAGGGATCAAGATTTTCAGTCAAGCAAGATTCCAGTAAAACCGTGCGTCTGAGATAGCTATACTCCTCGAAACAAACGGGTACGACAATATGCACCGAATCTCAGAAAACCGCGTGGATAACACTACAGTACTCCAGACAAACATCGAGACGATGCGGTTTCAAGAAACTCTTACGGACCGAGCACGGGATATCAGTACTATGGCACTTCGAAAGCAATTGCGACACGAAATGGAACGGATCGGAGGAACAGTAGGGCCATTCTTGTCATGCATTTTTGCGGTGTGAACGCTTTTTTAGGTACGCTCTGCATCATTTTGATTTGAATTGTGCAAGGCTGCCGCAAGCCGAAGAGGTCTTCCAACGCCTTTTGACAATGTGGGTTGTCTTTCCTTTTTTCTGTTCTCATGCCTTTCCAGCAACATCTCAAAACGCTCGTTACGGTGTCGATGTTGCGCGCTCTACCCTTCGACTTTGGTAACAGCAGCACGTAAGACGCTCCCTCTCTTCCGTCCCATCCCACTTGTCAACAGCGGATACACAGTAGCCCCGAGCGACTCCTCCCCTTCGAGAAAAGAAAAAGTCGTCATCGCTGATCGTCAACGCAACCTCGCGACATGATCTGTCGTTTAAGATGACTTGGCGGGACCCCGAGCACCCTTGGGAGTGCCATTTTGGAAGCCGTTCTTGAATTTCCTGGATGAGTAGACACGTGTCAGCCGTTGCCTTTGTTCCGCCTTCTCGTCTTCTCCGTCGGTCGCCGTCGTCCAAGCGAACGATATTTACTGTTTCCTCGCATCGTCGAACAAGAAAATCACCAATGTTCATGACAGCTTTTTTCCATCGTTCGATCTCGTGTGTCCTCCTTGCAAAACAAAGACTCGTGCTGGAATAGGTATATGGCCGTTTCTCTTACCTTGCAACAGTTGACAGGTGCCTCATACGGCCAGTGCCGGTAGTCTTGCGTCTCTTAGCCTTCTCGCTCCATTCGTACTTTCGCGTCTTCGCGGCCGGGTACTGTGCAGGCCGACATCGTTAGCTCAAGAGCGTTCTTTGTTCTAACGTCTTCTGTTCTCTTTGAAATCAAGGGTGGTAACGGAGGACACAGGAAAGGGGATTCGTACTCCGCAGTTGGCGCAGGTGTGCTTCTGGATATGTAGACTTCGGCGACCGCATCTATCCCCAAATCAGCGCTGGAATTAAATCAGGTCAAAGAAGAACTCAGGACGAACCTCCGGCACAGAGTATGCGTCTTGTTGTGTCCTGTTTCACAATGCCATCAGAAAAAAAATTCCCTTCGCCCGTTTCAACTGTTGCCGCTCACGCTTTCCGAAAGAACTCGTTCCCTTGGTCATCTTGACGGTTTAAATTGTCGAGAACGATACTGCAGAGGCGTCAGCTGCGATTCGTAACCGTCCAGCAGGAGTACTCGTACGAGAATTGGGTGGTCGACTGAGAAAGCACTGTGTTGAGGTTCAATCTCGAAACTTTTGGCTGCGGCAAAGCGCAATTGTGGGCGATGCCAAGGCCGAGCATTGCCAAGGCTACAGGGAGTTGGCTCGCTTACATAATATCGCCTCTTTTCAGTCGCGGTGCTCATCCTTCATGATTGGTCAGGCCCGGTCAGCCTCGTGTAAACTGGGAAGTCGAGCATTTCTTTGATATACTATGTCTACATATCTACTCAAAGAACTGTGCTAGGGATCTCCGTCCTGAGGGTTACCAACTTCATACTCGCACTTCCAATTAAGGATATGAAGAGCGAGCCCACGCTACTATTCAATTTCACTCCCCAAAACGCCTAGTGGACGATACTCGCCTCTTTTCTCATCCAAGGACTGTCTCTTCAAAACGGAAATCACGCAACTAACCTCTCCCATCTCAATGGTGACCGCTTTAATCTCCACGACGGTGTTCCTGCTTTTTGTGCTCCAACGGTCATGGCTGGAGTAGTCGAAGATGAATGGGCCGATGCATAACTAGTCATCAGGCAGCTGCAAGCACTACTCACTCTGTTCACGTTGGTTGAACAGCCCGTCAAGAATGTTGGTAAAGGAGCTGGGTTGGAGGCGATGCCGGTGTAGCCTGAGCAGAATGACACCATTGACGACGAGTATCGTTTGTCAATCATGTTGCGGAGGCAGTTGTCTTGATTACAGACCATCTTGGTGGCTGTTGCTGGATGGGTGGGGTTGACGACATTTTGACTAGGTGTATTTGTTGAAGTCATTTGTTGGTTGGGAGGGTTTGCTGCTGCTGTGGTTGTCGTTCGATCTGGAGAAGCGGGGTTGGTCGAGCTCGGCGACGCAATACTGCTGGTTGGAAAAGCAGATTCAGAATTAGACGAGATTACTGCAGAGGTGAATTCTGACTGGCCAATAGACGAGCTCGTGATTGCACTACTGGCATAAGATGCGGACGACGAGGATGAATTGTCGGTGGAACTTGCTGAATCGTTACTTCCCGACCGGGATGGTGCCACCGAAGAAGACACCACACTACTTGTAGCGCTTGCAGAAGAGATTGGCAAATCCAAGTGACCTGCAGAATTGGTAGACGTTTCCGAAGCACTGATACTGCTGGTGGCAGAAGCAGAAGCAGACGCAGACGCAGGTACGGAGACAGACGATAAAGAAACCGAGTTACCAACGGGGGCGCTAGTCTCTGGGATCGAAGAACTTCCGGTGGGCTTGATATGGCCGGTTGCACAGGGCGCACTGAGAGTTTGTCCAATTTGGAGTTCGTCCCAGTCAACACTCGGATTGGCGGAGAGAAGAGCATCGAAGTTGCAACCAAGCTTACCGGCAATGGCCCAGCCAAAGTCGCCTGCAACCACAGTATAGGTAGATGCGGAAGGCGTCTGTGCTGGGTTCGTCACGCTCGTGGTACTAAGTGTGGTTGAATAATTAGTGGAGTCAGGGACACTAGTGCCGGACAGACTTGAGGGCATGCTGGAAATCGAGAATGAAGCCCAGGTCTGCACAGGAGACGATGTGTCGACATTGGTAGTTGCACTTGACAGTGAGTTTGATGCTGAAGTGGACATCAGACTTGTGGGTGAATTGGTTGGAGAGGTCGTGGAAATACTCGACGGTGTCAGAGAGCTAGCTATAAAGCTTGTCGTGGTTGAGCTGCCTGAAAGGGATTGTGAAGTGGAGCTTATTGAAGAGGTAGACTGAGTGGTTGCTGAAGATACGGGTGTTGAAGCCGCACAACTCCCGCCGGGGACATTCAGGGGCTGTCCGGCCACCAACAAGTCCCAATTGAGTCCGGGGTTTGCAGCTTTCAAATCGCCCAACGTCACCTCTAGACTGTTCGCTATCGTCTGACCATTGTCCCCAGATTTGACCGTGTAGGTACATGGTAAAGTTATGGTCTGATCTGTGCACAACACAGCCTGGTAAGTTCCATTGAATGGATTTGGAAATTGCCAGCTGGGGCAAGGATAGGACGTGGTGATCTTGACAGATTTGACAAAAGCACTGAAAGGTGCAAGACTGAAATTGGAATAACCGCCTGCCCACCAAACTGTAGCCGGGTTGTTGTCTTGGTCACCGGCAGCCCAAACACCAAGATGTAAACGGGAGGGTGTTTGTGGATATTGGTATGCACTACTGGTCTGATGCGAGTTCTTGGTGGTGTAGACATTGGAGCCGTCCACTAACCACGTCAGAGTATCTGGAGTCCAATCGAACACGTATGTGTGATATTGGCCTTGAGGGTTGTCTACTTGAGGCTGGGACCCTCTGTCGTAGGTCCCCGGAATGCCCTTGCCAAACCAATTGGTTTGAACACGACCGCTGGACTGCGCGAAGTTGTTTCCTGACCATTCCCAATCTATCTCATCTAGATCATCCGACATCATGACGGCGCTCGTAACGATACCTGTTCCTGGTGCGATCTTTACAACGGTCTCAATGCGACCGAACAGGACGTAAAACCGGGTCCAAATATAAGGCGCGTCGAAACGCTTTCCGATGGTGAAATTAGCACCATTCTTGCCGAATGTTACTGGGGCACCTTCTGCTTGGATCCAATCTGAGGGCAATCCGGTTTGTTGGGTAAAGTCGATGGAATACGTGCTTGTTGGAAGGCCTGGAATTGGCGAGCATTGATCTATAAGGCAAGTTAGAATCGTTCATACTTTCATGCATCTGATACTGACCGTTCAACGGATTACACTGCGCATTTGTTTGATCCAGGAAGATGGTGGTCACAGCCAATATGGCATGAGCACAAAAGACTTTCATCATTGCGAGTCTTCTGTCACAGCGAGTTGTTGCGAAAGTGGAGGGAGGTTTATCGCGATATGCGCTGGGCACAGTACGAAGCAGAGCAACGGAAACATGGAACATGAGATGGATTTTGTCTGCAGGTGAAGACAATGAAAAATGACCTCTGTACGTGGAGTCTTACCTATCATAGCCTCGCAAGTTGCACACAATGGAGTCAAACAATGACAGTCCGCATGCATGCGCCAGAGTAGGTGTTAATTTTGGCGTAGGTGGTACATTATGCTAGTAGACTTCTCCATATGACATCGAGATGCCACAGGTACTGGTATTGAGTACTTTTCTCTTGAATAGACGTGGCAATATTGCGAAGGGCGATCCAGCTCTTGCTGTTCTGTGTACGGTGAGCACAGTGCAGTACCCTTCTTGGCGAGAAATGATGGCGTCCTACAAAGGATAACAACAAATCCTGGAACAGAGATCATAAGACAGACCCATCCTCAAAGAGCATGAGATGTTCTTTGTTGAAGTGTATAAAGAGAGAGACAGTCAGATGTGGTGTGTAAACAAGTTGAGAAAGCCTGCCGCACCCAGTGGCGCTTCGGATGACCGGAAGATCCTTATCTCCGAGCAACGAAAACGACTGCGAGTAAACTAGTGCAGATCTCCAAACTCTCCGAATACTGCAATTGGGGCGGACCTTCTAGCCGCTTGCACCTCTTTTCGAGCCCCCCAGGGCCGTATGGGATGTGGAAGGATACCTAGCTATTTAATACGACTATTTGAATGTGGCTCAAATGAGTCGACACAATGAGGAAAAATTTTGCCTCGGGATCGCCCAAGAAAACTCCATCCGAGACCACGTTCCACCAATGAAATCGCCAGTCTTCGATACGCATGGAAGATCTGAATCAATCACAAGAACGCCTTGACGCAGGTCGCTCGTGCGAAACAAGAGCCACTGCGGAATTCAGGAGAGGATACAAGTCCCCGCGAATGCAGCGTCCGCCAACGCGCCAGCACTAATGCCTGCACATGCGCTTGGTGTGCACGAAAGCTCAGTTCTGTAACCCACGCTGGTCGATGTAAGTGTTGTCAAGGAGCAAGACGGGGTGATGCCCGTACAGATATCGACTGGCTGGAACTTGTAGATCGTCACCGGGACCACCATGGTCAATGTAGTGATGGCGTCCACTACAAAGCCTCCTGGCGCTGTGGAAGTGGTAGTGGTGGCAGAGCGGGTGGTTGTCACCTGTGTAGTTGGCGTTATCGAGGGGGTGATCGTAGTAGATATTGCCTCGTTGCCACTGCTCGCGTAACTGCTAGCTGCGCTAGATGCCGCACTGATCGACGATGGCGAGACTAAGGTCGATGAGGTGGAGAGACATGCGGTAGCGCCAGGCGGGCAGGATGTGACAAAGTTGGTGCTGGTCAGAGTGGTTGTGACTGTGATCGTGCCCAACCCTACTCCTGGGCTTTCCGTTGATACGGTGGTACTGAAGGCTGTGGTGCTTGGAGACGCATTCGAGGAACTCGTCGTCGATGTTGGTACGGGATCGGCGGTTGGAGGCTGACTTGGTGCGCCAGAAAAAGTTGGTGCTGGCTGCGGCGTGGCGTAAATATGTCCATCTGGCCCCAGAATCAACAGCGCAGAGTCCTGCACATCTGTTTGTTTTCTCCCGGTCAGCCAATTTCCCTTTCAAAACGCTCTGCTTACACAGGGCGTGGAATCTTCCCGGTGACGACTCTCCTCCATCGGCCAAGTTGTATATTTGCTTTAGGGTTTCTTACTTCCTTCTTCGCTTGCCAGGAGCAAGTCTTGCACATCCGAGTACTGTGTGCACTGTCCCACAGCTGCGTGGTTGGCTGCGTTGAAGTTGATCCCCAGGCACGCGCCCGGCTCATTCGCGGCGTTGAATGTGACACAACTTTCAATGCATGCGGCCAAGCTGTCTGCATTGTCTGTCGATATGATACTTCCGATGTAATTGGTTGTGCATTGGAGCTGCCACGTATAGTTGCCAGAACTGACATAGAAACATCCATCGTACTGGTCGCACTCGGCTGTCGGGGCTACAAGAAGGGGCGCGGTTTGTCTGGATTCGAGCTGCAACGGTCAGCAAGGTGCAGTGGAGGTCACGTATAACGCTGCGCGCACCCTGTGAATGTCTTTTACAGAACTGCCTCCTCGGATAGAATGGCGAAAAGTCGCATCCCGAAGCCCTGCAGCCTGTAGATCGCGTACCTTGAGATGCACCGTGGCCAGCGCTGGTTGAAATGCAGCCACGCAGTACGCAGCAACTGTCACAAGAGGGATATACATGTTTTTCTGACCTCGAGTATGGTTGCAGGAGGAAACAGTTATCTCTAGGCATTTCAAAGGACGGTTGGTGTTATGATTGCACGTCCCTGCATTCTCAGCAAGCCGGAATGCAACCACAACAGAATCCGTACACAAGGGATGATTGTGCAAAGGCATCAGGCAGGGCGAAGTGCCCTCCCTTCATCTTGATGTGCCATGGGTTGATGGTATTCGAACAGCTTCGTTGTAGGAAACGACGCCCTCGGATGCTGTTGCGCAGGCTCTAGCCAGGCAGTGCATATTGGACCGCATAGACAGAAGGGGTATCGAATGTCGGGATCAACTCATCTCCCGTGGGAAGCGTATTGGATAGGTATACCACATTCTGCATACATAATTGTACAGGTGGTTCTTTAACAATACAAATGGAATCGAACTGATGAAACTCAGAACAGATATTGGCTTGTCGCCAATGAAGGAAATGGCAGCCCAGGAAGTAGAGCAGGGTGAGTGCAAGTACTCCGTATATGACTGACTGCGTAAGGCCATGGAGCCTGGACGACTACTATTGGGTAGGGTACCCATCGGCTGAGAAACACATGTTCCGTACCCCGTACAAGGAAGTAGAGGGGCCTGTCCCAAGCGAGTCCAACCCATTCAGTTCTCAGCTTTGGACCTTTGGTCACCACTCGCACCAAATCCATGGCGCAACGGCCAGCTCGCAGTGGCCAGCGGCCCGAATGCAAGCCTAGTGACCCTCCTCTCAGTCTACAATGGACTCTTGGCCCCGGTGACGGACTTTCTCCCTTGGGATTGCCTTCGACCGAGGGAGAAGGCCAACACATATGATATACTCATACCGTCGTAAGCGCCGTACTCGAGAGTCGAAAGCTGTCACCCCTTTTGACCTTGGGCGTGTCCTTCAGGGTCTGGGGATCGATGATTTGGGAGCGGGATAATTTCGCGCCGCGACATAAATAGTGTGAAGATTAGGGCCCATCGATGCCGCGGTGGTCCCTGTGTGGCGCGGAAGCGGCTCAAACATCGAGGACGAGGGTGTGACTATCCCAGTACCTTGAGACAGCTTCCCGTGCTGTTTCGTTTTGCAGGTCTGGTAGAGCTCTGTGATAGTTGAACACGGCGAATTCCAGCTGGCTCATAATGTAACTATCCGGCTGGTCCTGAATATTGTTCCATATGCGGCACAAGGCGAGCTCCAGTATGTGGAGAATTATGGGGTCGATAGAGCCATTCTCACTGTTCTGGGCGATTTGAATGGCTTGTCGAGTCGTGATCTTGATGGTACGAGACATGGTAGGTGTATGATGTATTCCAGTGGGTGTGGTGAGTGATGCTCGAGAGCGGCGAGCATGTATCGGTGATGGTGGTCGCTGAAGACAGAGCCTGCTGTGGTGAAGTGAAAGGAAGATTTACGGCTGGGGGGGATTTCTACACTGATATCTGATTCATCCATAGCCAACAAGGTTTCGCACGGCGGCTGAGGCAACACGGAGGATGATCCATTTCGCGTGGTGGTACGGATGCACACCAGAATAGCCCTGGATAGGAGATGTGATGGCACAGAAAAGACAAAACACAACAAACTCTGCCCCACCGTTTGCACAGTGTCACTCGAAGCCACGGACAGCACGGTGTTCCCCTTGGCGTCCATCACTTGACCATGGCCATAATAGTGTTTGTAAGAGGGAAAAAGGATTATTAATGGGTAGAGTTTGTTTGCTCAAGGCTTGATCTGAACCTTCGCTGCTGGGTGGCGCCGCCTGTGTCGTGCTCGTCGACAGGGCCCTAGATGCAGCTGAGTCTTTTCAGGTAGCCAGACGACGCCGAAGCCGTGGCTAATGCGATGGTGCATGACCCACCTTGGGGAGTACATCATGCAAAGGACGGATATACTTCTCCATTGGGGCCACAGGACGACGTCAATGTGGCAGAAAGGTAGATTGTGCCGTCAGCAATATGGCCAGTAGCCAGGGGCACAGAGATGTGCGTGTTGATGTGGCATGACTGCCCGGATAATACGGTAGCATAGGCCAAGGTCAAAGAGGTGGGCGACCAATTGACAGTGTATCTGCTTGTATTTTGGCTTTTCGGACCAGTGTATAAACATACGCCAGACTGGGTTTGCAGAGAGTTGGAAACTTTGGTACGGGGTACGGTGGCGCTTTTGAAAAGTCATCCGAAAAGATGCAAACCACCGAGGCCGGAAAGTGTGCGGCGACGGGGCTAGGAACGGAATTTGCCATTACCTGTGCTTTGGCTGGGCAGACTACAGTACGGCCACCGATACTGCGTACTCGTACAGTCTTGTACAACATTGACTAGTGTTTGGCAGGCCACTCTGAGGCACCGAGTATTGTAGTTATATAGGATGAACGTCTCTATCCAGGCTTGCCAGGCTGCGCAGATTTCGAGATGGAAAGTGCGTAAAGCTGGCTTCCAATGACGACTTTCCACTGCCCAGCACCTTGCGCGTCCCGACATGATCCAAATCCCAATAATATCCATACACGATGCTGGTCCCTTGGCTCTGGCATTTCGCACGCCGAACGAGTACTGAGGCAGGGGGGCTCTTAGGCCCGAAGTCTCTTGCCGAATCGGGGTCGAATAGAGTTTGAGGGATGCCTGACCACAGCAGTGGGACCTCTTGACACACAAGGACAGTTCGCCGAAGTACAGTATCCGTATGGAGTACAAAGTCATACTATAATGAATAATGTACGGTTACAGTTGATAGACTGTCTCATGGCGAGCGGGTCATGCTCTTTTCCTTGCCAACCTGGTCCCCTGAAGACCGCCAAGGCCAGTAGCTGGAGCCCCGGTACGTCCTCCTCAGGACCCGAATAAGGGGAGCGACAGTGATGACAGCAGTCTGGTTCAACACAAGCCGGAGGCTGACAGAACGAAATCGGCTGCTTTCCCCCAGCCAGATCTGCGATAGGTGCGCCGTGTGCGGTTTACGGAACGGGGTGTGGTGACAGCAGTGTGACATGCTACTATCGATGCAAGTGGTCGGCAAGGCCTGTGACAGCGGTGGGCATTGCCAAGGGAGGATTTCACCTTTCAGAGTCGCACCGTCTGTTGCTTGTCACAAAGTTAGTAACCGAGAACCAGGTGAGAGCGGTCTGTCCACGGCTGATGCGCAGCTAAGTTGCACTAACAGAAGCCTCTTTCCATACTCTAAGTATTCGAGTATTCTCCACGGTCCCTCTGTGCTGTGGTAGAAGCGACTCGGGCGGAGTGGGATACGAGTTCTGTACCCCCTACGGAGTACACGTGTCCATTAGTGAGGTATTCATTACCTAGGAATCCTGTATCTGTACACCAGCCTAGCGGAAGTATGGGGCCTAGCAGATACAATATCTCCAGGCTACGGAGCTCAATGGTTGCAAGGGCAATACCTGAACCTAGGTAGGGAGTACTCTCTAGTCCGAGCCGTAGAGCAATGGCATGGCGTCGGCGTTAAGATTTGTTGATGTTTTACAGTTCCAGTGCTTCTCATCCGATCAAGGCATGAATGACTTGCATAAGGGCGTCGACATGCAAAGGTAAATTACCGTGGACGTGTTGGTGAATTGCCGTGACCAGGTTACGCATGCGCAGTCTAAGTTTTTACTGAAGAGCTTCCTTTCTGGGCATCTGAAACGACAAAGTTCACCGTAGAGAAGATTAATTTCCACGCGGCTCAGAGCAGGACCTTCCTTTCCCGTAATTCTCCCGTTTAGCCGGCGACATGGCCCTTGGTTCCTCCGTCCGTATTTGTCCGTCTTGTGCCCATATCTGTCTACAGCTACCTGGAATGTACGATGTGTTCCTCCGTACCCTGCTTCGCTGTCATATTGTATGCAGGGCTGGGAACGGCGTCAAGTAGCCCCGAACTCTTTTGCCTGGCGAAAAAGATACTTTTGGCTTTCCAAGTTCTCACCCGTATCTCACCCATCTTCTTGTTTTATGATCAACTAAACACTCGTCTCCTTCTCCTCCTTGTTTCGCCTGTCCACACAACGGCCTTGAGCACTTCCGCCGCTTCTTGTGCCGCTGCTTCCGCACTCGACCACGTAAGCACCTGAGTCCGGAAGCCGACATCCCCTACGAATAGCACAAAAGGCTGTTGTTGCCCCGTTTGGCTCTGACTTACAGGCTACTGGACACCCAGCCAACTGGGGCCTTGGCCTGAGGCTCTAACACCTCGTTTAGGGATGAAACGGCACAGCACAAACTCCCTTCTCTTGCTTGATCAATGATAAATGGTCGCCTCCTGCGCTCTACTGTAGTTGCCTAGTGGTGTCTGCGGCTTTGTTCTTCCCTACCTCGACTGGGTCCCTAGCTCTGACTCCAGCAGCTCGCAAGCAACTCCTTCTGCGAAAATCCTTCTCTCGCAAAAGATTGCCCGATGGCATGAGAGTTTCGAAACTTTATTTTCCCATTGGACCCGGCAAACTTTTCGGGGTCTGAAATGTCGTTGCAAACACCACGTGAGAAAGTTAGAACGGGTGCGCACGAGAAGGATGAACCTTAAAAATTCCGTCTCTGACCGCCGATGGCCAGCACTGACGAAGATCTGGAGACCAGAGCCGCCACGGCGCCGCCATGACTCGTGAAGCATCCAACGAGATGGAGTACAAGGATTCGTATCCCTTGCCTCATTCTCGTACATTGCCCGCCGCTCCCGAAAATGACGAAATGGCTAATGTGTCACCGGCAAATGTGGGACAAGGCCGCTTCCAGTACGAGTAAAATATCTCGGAGCAAACTGGAGTGACGCCGCGAGTCGCTTTTTACAACTTGGTGATCCCTAGGACTGTCTTGAAACGCTATACGAATATCTCAAGGCCATAATTCTCAGTAGAGTTATGGATAAGTGCATCGCTAATTGCATTAGGAAGCCGAGAATATATCGAATCTTGTTGGCTTTTAGAAGTCTTGAGGCAAGGAATATCACCAGGCAATCAGTGATTGCAGATGGGGGTGAGCATGACATGCTCAAGGTTTGTATTGCTGTTGCGCTAACAAAGTTGCAAAATGGTTTTGCATTTGCCTAGAGCCTTCGTAAGAAAAACAACTGGGCTCATGTGAACTCCTCACGGCATACGAACCCAATACATTCCTGGTCTGAGCCATACTACCATGATCACCTCAAGTTGCACTCGTATATTCGGAGCTGGATAGCTGGGTGTATCGCCTGATATACTCGTCGAATGTGGAGGGTTGGCTTGGTTGCCGCTCTGGGACATCCATGTTGGGGTCGTTCGGTGCCGATACATCCGTGCTCCTTAAAAAATGTCCTTCTACGCTCCTTGATTCTGAGGCGATCGTCCTCTCAGTCACGAGTGGGAAGGACTCTACAGTTTGGGGTGCATCATCTCCATCTACATCGATCTCGGCGTCAGACCTGGATACGCGCAAGAAACTATCAAAGTCGAAGTCGTCGGCCACTGCGGAGTCACCGAGAACGAAACCTGCGACGTCAATTCAGAATCATGCAGGAGGCTGGATTTTGAACGAACAGACCTTTGTCAGGAGGGAACTCTACCACTGGCTGATTTGGCTTGGGAAGGTCTGGTTTGGAGGTATCTAGCAAGTTCTCGACCTGCTTTCGAAGAACGATGTTTGGCTCCATTTTGTCGGTTGATACGTGTTGCCTGTTTTGGCCCCGACGTCGGGGTCGCTCCACCCTTTCACGATCATCGGGTCGCATGCGGTGCCCGGGAGCTGTCGTTTCAGTCTTTTCGTGAGAGAAGCTGAAACCACTCGTTTCCAACTTCGACAACCAAAATTGGACCTGTTATCAATGATGTTAGCCCATAATGATAACACAACTATTCCCAATGCAAGTTGAAAAGATATGCGGAGGACGGCCAGGGCCATACCACTTCTGGCTGCTCCGAAAAGGCATCCATCAGGACTTTCTCCCCATACACTTCGCGCAAAGGTGCCCATTGTTGCCAGTGCGCCCCTAAAATTCCACGCTGTAGCTTGTCCCGGAAGTCGTAACCTATCATTTCACGATTGAAAGAGTTCACTTCCGTAAGCAGAGTCCGGATCGCTATCCCATGATTTCGGATTTCCTCGAGGCGAAATCTGAGACCAAAAGGCGGTGGGGTTCTTCTCGTCTCCGAAGCGTCGATTTGGCCCAGGGCCGTCACCGGTCGAGGCCCTGCATTGACAACGGCGTTCACTGTCCCATATGGCAATGGGTGCCCGGTCACCGTTTCATTTGCTTCCTTGTCGGGCCGTTTGGCAGAAGCCTCGCCAATCGCTTGTTGTGCTTGCTGATACCTCCGCTCTGAATCATTCTTCTCCTCAATTAGGATCTCAATCAACTCTCTATGGTCTTTAAGAAGGCCAATATCACGATGGCTTCAGTGGAGCAACGCCATGTTGTCAGGCTTGATCGCAAGCAGACGCGCAGAAGGGAGAAGACTCACCTTCTCGCCTGCGCCGCAAATATGAGCACGTTAAGCATGATTAGCAGAGAGCTTTTCAGCCTTTCCATATTTGTACGCAAGAGTTGAATCTGCTCCTCCAAGAAAGGGAACTTCAGCCTTTGTTTCCATCCTGCCACTATCGAGTTAGACGAGAGATTCCCGTCCAGCGAAGAATTCAGGTCGTTAAAGACATCCATGCATCTGTCGACGAGGTCTTTTGTTGTGGCGAGGGCCTCCTTCGAGCAGAGCTCCGCGTTTTCATCTTTGGACAGCTCATTGCCGAGTTGATGTAATACGGCGCCTGTTGCTGCGATTTCTTGTGAAATGCTGTCAATGGATTTGTCGGCGGCTTTGATTTTGCGTGAGAATGTAAAGAGCTTGACAGAAAGACGAGCGCCCAGGTCAGCGATTTGGATCACACTAGCAGCCACGCCGAGAATTTCGATTCCGGACATTGTTTTCTACAATGCAGGTGGCGTAGGTTGCTGTGAGAAATGATGTAGCATTGCGGAAGGATGATCTGAGGGCTGGCGACGCATGTTGGGCAGTAAGAAGGTCGAGCTTGGCGTGGGCAACAATGGGGGAGGCTGTTTCTAGGCTGGTTAGCTGCATATATATACATAGCCTCAGCCAGTGGAACGGAGAGTAATAAGTAATTGAGAGTAAGTCATCGATAGCATGTCGTAAGCTGGAAGCTGGACAACTATAAGTAATGATTATCCCGAGAGCGCGGAATCCAAGTCGGTGGCCTCGACAGGTTAGTGGGCTGTTAACTAACTAGTGCCTAGAGCGAGACTCTAACCAACTAACTACGTAACTTAGTTAACTACAAGTACCTTAGTTAAGGTAGGCTAGCTACCCTTAGGTACAAGTATCTGTCTTACGTACCGAGGCATCGAACCGGCGAGAAACTTTGTTCTGCATCTTCAGCCTAGAGAGCCTCAATTTCACCTCACGAGCATCAACATTTGGCTGCTCAGCATCGCAACACCCTTGACCAAGGATCAACTAATCCCGGAAGAGTCTATGCTTCGGAACCCGTCGCCTTTACTCCCTCGGCCCAACATGGCGCAAACCTTCATAAGCTTTCTGTACGCCCTGCTTGTCACCCTGCTTTGCGCACGAGATCTGGACTTCGCGTAGTGCAGTACTGATCAAGCAGGTGCCTCATGTACATGACCACTTGACACCCATCCTCAAGGCAACAACGACGACGTAGTATGTGATGGTGCCATGAGGGATCGAGACAGCGTCCCGTAGCAACCATTTTCTGTTGGAATGTAGGTGCTTGTTGCTAATCACAATCCGCATTCCTGTGCCCGCATAACGCGGACAGTAGAATCCCTTTAGTTATCATGATCCCGTCAATTGGCGCTACTGTTGATTTCCCAAGCCAAATGCGTCAACTCTGGGTGCCTGTCATCAATCAGCACCATGTTTCTGTCCTCAGACCCTGCAATACCTAAGCCAGCTTCGATCCACGCACCAAGTCAAGACCAAAGCGAAGGCGACAGCGAGGTGGTGGAGGGGCATACCCCTTGGGCCGGACACGTGCAATCATACCCGCGCGCAGCCGCAATGCCGTCGCACCGGCTGGAGGAACATGATCAGCAGGAGGGTAACAAAGCACAACAGCAATATAACGACTATGACCAGCTGCCTTCGACTAATAAGCGGCCGGATAGTCAAGACGCTTTGCAAGCTTCTCTGGACTGTCGATTGGGAGAAGGACAAGTGGTGTCTGCACAGACAACTATGGAAAGTCGTTCATTTTCAAAGTCGGTCTTAGGTTACCCGTTGGTATCTTACACCCCAACAATTCCATACCATACTCCGTCAGATGCAAAATACGAGATAAAGTCACCGATGTACTATCCTCCGAAGCCGCCTACTCGCTCACCGAGCTCGCTCCTCAATGAAGGACCGAGTCAGCCAGAGACAGTCACATATCAGTACATCGGGCCAGACTTGTCACAAGAGTCAAAGGCCAACTATCCTGTTAACATTCCAACCTATTTTCAAGATTCAAACGCGTTGAATCCATCGTTTCGGTACAGCTTAACCAGCCAAAACCACATCGACAGTGTATCGTTTGACCGAATGGCGCCCGTTCACACCACCCTTGATGATCATTTGGACTCTCATAGTAACAGTCCTCACCAGGGACCCTATGGCGATCCAAGGACTCCGAAAGAGGTTCAAATGCCCGTGGACCTTGGCCAGCAGCAGACATCGGCGGAGGAGGCATGCTGGCAGCAACATTCCCAAGCAGAAGCACATCGACAGACAAGACCCTCTGACCTCGACTCGCTGTTTGACGGCTCGAGTGGAGTGGGAGATGTGTTGGATGTTTCAGAACAACCAGGAGGCGCCACCGGTGACTTAAATGCCGTCCAGAAGGATTTATCTCCGTCCGGCGCAAGAGACATTGACTCGCCGGAATCGACGGACCTTTTAAAGAGCCAAGACGGTGCTGGCCTGGGCCTGGATAGTCAGCAAAGGAAAGATAATCCGATCTTGGGGCTTCCTGGAACGCCTGCTGGAGACGATCTTGCCTCTCCACTGGCGTTGCAACGACAGAGAAGCTATCTCGATAGGGAATCTCGCCTAATGCAATCTGCCGCAGACAGATTCAGAAATATCTTGGCTGCAAATGGCATAAAGTGTGATCTTGTGCCGGATAATCTCGCAAGAGTCCTCGAGTCTGCGGCAGCGGAGAAGCTTACAGAAGGGATACATCCACAAAGCCATCAAGAGGTAGATGAGACGATTGAGCATAAAGCCCCTGGAAATTGCGGATGCTGTGAGCCAGAACAGAATTGCCGGTGCGTTCCATGTGCTTGTCAGGGCTGTGATTGTGCCGAAGTACCTGACTACAACGCCTGTTGCTCCAATAAGAGCATCTCTCACTGTTCACACTTTCAACCGCAGCCTATTGAGCGTTCCCCGTCAGGAGATGATACCTCTGTTGATGACAGCCAAGTGGATGGTGAAACCATTCAAGAACCGCTGAGTAGCAGTGCTGCTTGGAAAGGTCAGTCACAGGGCGACATGAGCGGAATCTCAGATAGGCCGAACGTCTGTCTACCTCCCAGTCGTCCGGACACACCACGTCCCCCTCTGGACCGAAGTACGTTGTTGTTTGCGCACGAGTTGGTAAAGGATCATGTTCGGCAGAGTGTGGAGCCAGAATTCCCTGTACCCAACTGGATACGAGAATCAACTCCAGCTTACGAGGATAGGTCCAACAATCCCTCTCCTATCTCGCGTGGGGACAGTGATATTCAGATGCAAAATGCGTCAGACTACGAAGTGTCTAGTCCTGGCCAGAAGGGAACACATTTCTGTTTTCTAAAGTCACCTGAGCCGACTAGTGTACGAACCCAATCACCTGCAAAACCAGCTCCTCCACCTATTCCTGATGACATTGCGACCTTGAAGCAACCGAAACGCAGCGATCGGAGGAAGTCTGCCGTACAGAGCGGTAAGGTCGAGAAAAGGTCTGCCACGGGCTCAAGATCGAAGGGCGTCCCAAAGAGCAGAAATGTGACTCGCAAGCCGACCACGTCGATGGGTAAATTGATCGAACAACCCAAGAAAGGCTCTCCAGCCAACGATCAGGACAGTCTCAATCAAGAAGCTCAGAATTCAATGTCTGTCGGGACCGTGGCCGCCGCTGTGCAGAAGATTGAAGAGGAACTCAAGAAACAAAAGGATGGCACTCCAGTAAGGCGAAGCCAGCGGGCGAATAAAGGGGTTAGAACTCTGCTGCCGTAGCTGCCATGAGGCTGCAGTCTGAAGGCTAGTTGTCACGAAGTCCTTTATACTATGTACCAATTGAATTTAGAAGTTGGCGATGTCTTTTCTGGACCATATCAAGAGCGAGACCCCAAGTCAAGTCCAGCTGCCTATAAGTATCTTTTCTTTTTCTTGTACTCTTTCCAGGTACCGTCGGGCTTTGCCAGACCATGACATCCGCCTATTCGACCATGATTGGTCAAGTGTTGCAGGCTCGCACGAGGATGATGTATCACCTTGCATCGCGACCTCAGCCTCAGTCCATGTCGAGTTTCGATTCAATTATAATTAACACGATACCAACTTGGATACTTTGTCTCTCGGCGACTCTCAAAACAACAAAAGCACCGAGAGCGTGTCTCCACTTGGACTACAGTCGCTGGTGATACGGAGATGGGTCTTGACTGGAACCTGACAACCACACATTAATAAATCATGGCCCTCCCAATGCCCGAGCCAACTATTCCTCCTCTCGCGCTAACCCAATACAAAGTATTGTCATTCGACGTCTACGGCAGCCTGATCGAGTACAAGGCGCACATCCTCGACGCGTTCCAACCGTTGATCTCCCGTCTTCCGGCATCGTCGCCGTACCGGGACCCGACGCCGCTGTCGACCACGATTCCCAACTCGGCCAGCGTCGGGTCCGTCGAGTTCCTGAAGGCGTTCCAGCGGCAGGAAGACGCTATCAAGCTCGAGAGGCCCGTGAAGCGCTTCGACGAGATCCTTGCAGAGATCTGGCGGCGGCTGGCGACGGAACTCGGCGTCCCGAGCACCGAGGACGAGGCGCGGCACTTCGGCAGCGAGGAAGTCATAGCCAGCTGGCCTGCGTTCCCGGGGACGCTGGACGCGCTGAAATCTCTGGGCAGACACTACAAGCTCGTCGCGCTGTCGAACATCGACAGGTACGCGTGGTCGGTCACGGCAACCTCGCCCGTCAGCGGGCTCGGCGACGACGAGGTCCACTGGTGGAGAGTCTTCACGGCCGAAGACTTCGACGGGGGTGACGGCGGCGGCGATGCCACGCGCGCCGACGAGGTCAAGCTGGAGACGGTCGTCGAGTACTGCGCTGGAACCGGCGTCGCGAAGAAGGGGGAGATCCTGCACGTCGCGCAGAGTCTCGGACACGACCAGGCGCCGGCCAAGAGACTCGGGCTGAGCAGCGTGTGGTTGATAGGCGACGGGCCGAGATGGGGCAAGGAGGCAGAGAGCAGGATGGCTCTAGAGAAGAACCTCGTGGGGTATGCCTGGCGATTCGACGATCTGCGAGCGTTCTCCGGAGAAGTCGAGAGGGCTTTTGCAAAAGGAGGCGTCAGAAGCAGTCAGTCAGTCAGTGACTGATTGATTGATTGACTGAATCACCGACAGACAAGTCTCTCTCACTAACCCTTGAATGAATGTATCCTCAGATCATAGTACGATGCGTTAAGGTATTTATATGCCTTTTATGATAATGACACGACACGACACGACACCACATGGGAAACATGACACAGTCCTTCCGTCTTTCGTGGTGCCACACATTCCATCTCCAGGCCATGATATCTCATTTTGTTCCAATGAATGCTGAGAGTGACTTTATGATTGACAACAGAGGATGTATCCGATGATCTGTTTGTCTAGGTGAAGGAAGTCAAAGGCAGCTACATCATCTCAAAAGAATTTAAAGAAGAACAAGTCTCCCTAAGTGAAGGAAGATCTTGTTTTTCAGGAACAGTATGGAAACTTGAGGAATTTTGCTTCGCTGACTACAGCTAGATATGTACATTTCGCTCGCGCTTGTAACAAGACAATATTTCGTCGATTTTAAATTGCTACGTACAGGTACAGACGGAGCAAATAGCTACCGCCACCATTTCTTGCCCCATCCACCTTTCCTTGGACCCCAATCCTCCTTTGTTGCAGCGTCAATGTTGTCGACGCTCAGGTAGTCGACGCCCTCCCGGACCAGTACGCGCCAGATATAGTTCCGCACGCCAATCGGCCAGGGTGGGACGCCCCAGTATCGAACCTTGAGGCCGCGGGCGTGGGCGCCGCGGATCTGTTTTCGGAGAAGTTCGAGTTGGAGCTGGGAGATGGACGAGTGCCATGGATACCCGATGGACCTGACGAAGGACACCGAAGCGGAGTAAGAATTTGCGGAAGAGTAGATGTCTGGGTCCTGGGGCGGAGATGAGATGTCATGCTCATGATCATCTGCGCCGGTCGAGGGCGATGGAGAGGCCGATTCGGCCGAAGAGATGGCTGCAGGTAAAGCCGTCATCAGATTCAGAGGCGCATCGTAAAAAATATCGCGGTAGGTCGCATTTGCCACGATATGGTCAAACGGTGCGTTTCCCGAGACGACAAGCGTGACCGGTCCAGGCACGACCGTCGTTCCGTTGAAATAGGTCAAGTACTTGCGTTCACGCAGGGGAGCAAGCTCAGCCGACAGCAGGCGCCACATCGTCGTGGGATCGTTCTTAAAGTCTACAAGCATGGTAAGCGACTGCTTTGGATCGGCGGCAAAAACGCCGTGGACTTCATCTTCTGCGACAGATCCGAGCCACGGCGAGATCCGATTCTGATGGTCGAGGATGTCGAGTATTTGATCTAGGTATAGGCTTTTCAGGGTCCGGTCCTGACGGATGGCGGGTATTGTGTGCGCGACGTAGAGTTCACCGTCTACATGCCAGACGTCGGCTTCCACACTGGTACAGCCCGCCCGAATGGCTTGGTAAAGAGGTTCGGCGCGGAAATAGTCATTATGGGAATGACACATGATGGGCTGAACCCCGGCAGTGAGGCGGTCCAAGCCGCCGTCGTCCAGTCCGAACGGCGCTTTTAAAGGCCCTGAGATCAGATCCAGGCCGTCCGGAAATGCCGCCCCGAGAAGGCTGTTGAGGGTTGAGAGCGCTTGCAGTACTCCCCTGTCGTGTTCTCATTAGTCTAGTGCCTCTGCGCAAAGTGACAAAATACTCACAATAGCATCAAGGCCACTTTGGGTAGAGATATACCGTGCGAACGTCGGATGATAACTCTTCGTAACCTCGAGACTACATGACGGGGGCTCCAAATCTTCTTCTTCGAAAGTCGCTTTGGGCTAGACGAATGCTTAGGGATCAAGAGCTTTAAGGGGCGTTTTGATGGACCGCTCTCTGTGCGCATCGCATCATTCTTTGAGATACGGTCGCTCGTGTGACCAAGTTCCATATCATCACAATCACTTGCAAAATCATCGTTGAGGTGGGATGTCTCAAACATCTCGATGTCTTCCGAGCCTTCCAACGCAATTTCCGGCTCTAGAGCCTCAACCTGAGATGTCGTTTCTCCGACCAACGAGTACTCGGTCTGCCTTGGGTACGGCACATCACACTCTGGATGTGTGAGCAGTGGATAATCTCGGCGATATGTTGTATATGCGACGACCAAGCCCAGAAAACTGCCGCACGACACATCGTACACGTCATGTCGATAGTCTGCCAGCCGGGACATGGCCACGAGAGATGCGCAAATCAGGGGGGCCAGAAAAATGAGAATACTCGCGAGATCGGGCCGTGGTCGAAAGATGTGCCTCTGGCCTGCCAAAAAAAAGCTGAAATACCCCAGGCCCGAAAACGCCCAGCTGCTGTGCGCGCTCGGAAAACTACGCCAGCCATCTAGCAAAAGCTCAAGATCGGGCTGCGTGCAGACAGCCATGGTGACTAAAACGTCGGTCGGCGTTCCTGTCTTCGGCTGACATCGAGCTATCAGGTCCGGGCGAGGGCGACCTATAGCATTTTTGATGATGTCCGTAATAAGCACGGTAAGGTACACGCTCCAGAACAGGCCCACCATCGTGACATGGGCCTTGTGGACGCCGGGTCTTGCCACAGCCGCCCAAAGAACCAAGAGCACCAACGGCACTACGCCAGCGAGCAGGGTGTTCTCTTTCGAAGTCACGCGTTGGACGCTGGCGAATGGATATTGAATAGCTCGGTTGTCGAGTCGAAACATTTGTTGCACAGGCTCCAGGAATGAACGAATCTGTGATGTCGTTCTGTCAGCCACTTGGTGATCACCACCCACTCCTCGTTATAGGGACTGACCGAAAATAGTGCCAGGACCAGCAGAATGAATCCGAGATAGTCCAAGGCATATGATCGATGCCAGAGGCGAGGCACCGTGGCCAGCCAAGAAGGCCACGACCTCTTCGTCGGCCGGGTCATCGCTCGTCGACGGCGGTTTGGCAGGAGTGTAGGCAAGCCACGGTACCGAAGAAAAAGGCGATTGTACTGGCTTTGACCGTGGATGAATTGAAGAGCAAGAGAGTCACTGTAGCAGGAGACATTGGTTACATTGCTTCCGCCTGTCTTGACGAGGATTGCGTATGTCTTGTCTGATTTTGAACCATCTTTGGACCATTTTTCATCGTCCAATCGTCGTCGGCCGATCTGACGCACGGCCGCTACGGAGAAGTACGAGTTTCAAGTGCTGCAGTGTGCTTTCACAACACGATGATCGACCGTAGACTTCTGTGCTAATACGCAGATGCTCGTAGTTGCGTTGTCTGGATTTGATCTAGATCTACCAGGTTCGCCCTCGTCTTGGTGTTGGCATGGATTTGTGGATTTCTTGAATGCATTGCATCTTCGCAGGCTGAGGCACGTTCTATTCCATCCTCAGGTTGCGTTTGTAAATCTGTCTTCGTTCGCTATGGCCATCACCTGAAACACACCCTGCACGAACAACCGTGAATTGGTTTCAGGAGGTACACCACAACAGCCTCTGACTGGACGAAATGAGATCCAGACGACAACGGTCAATGTTTCAAGTCATTTGTATCTGTTTTAGCCTATTCGCACTTACACCACCAGTGGCTGCTGATGACGACGCTCTTTACCAAGTTGATCCCGACCAACTTTTCCAATCCGTCAAACTCGATCTGCAAGGAGACCCGAGCGATAGCGACAGCTACTCGCCATGGTCATACCGACCATTCTGCACCGACACTCTATTTGACAAGATCAACGACGAACCCCTCTGCGTCTACACGAGCACGGGCTTTGCAGGTGGTCGAGGACTGTCTCTGTTCACCACACCGAGTGTCGCCGACCATATCGTTGCCACGACGCCACTCTTCAGTGAACATGACACATCCGTCGTGTCCTCTGGCGTCAACACCCACAGCGGGAATTGGTACACGGCACCCATCCCAGGTAAAGGCACGGGGATGCTGGCCAGCAAGGCACTCCGTCGAGGAAACCTTGTCCTAGCCACGACGCCGATCCTGATCGCGTACTCTGAAAATGTTCTTGACGCAACCACTCGAGAAAAGTACCTGCGTCGTGCAATCGACCAACTCCCCAGTGTGACACGCGCCATGTACCTGTCCCTTGCCTCGCTCTCGGACAACGCCGAGACGCAGGTCCAAGACATCGCGGCCGCCAACACGTTCGGCATCAGCCTTGGCAGCGAACGCGACCGCGAAGGCGAACAACGACCGCATCTCGCCGTGTTTCCCGAAGCGTCACGTATGAATCACGACTGTGCGCCAAACGCAATATTCCACATCGACACCCGCACGCTGACGCAGCACGTGCACGCCGTCCGCTCCGTCGCTGCAAGCGAAGAACTCAGCATCGCGTACACGAGCCCTCTGGACAGCACGGCGGAGCGACAAGCCTACCTCCGGCGGTCGTTCGGGTTTCAGTGCTCGTGCTCACGTTGTCGTCGTGGTAAAGACAATGCGGACGCCGACGCGGATTCAAACTCAGACTTGGTCCTGTCAGAGATGGCGACTCTGCAATCAATTCTGGGCGACTGGTCCCCCGCGTCTAAAGCCAGTGTGTCGCATGCCGAGCGTCTGGTCAGTCTGTACGTCCAAGAAGGGTTGCAAGGGTACATGGATCCAGCGTACTGCCATGCCGCGTTGGTGTATGGTTCCGTCGGCAGCGCCAGGGGGGTGAAAAAGTACGTCGACCTCGCGGTTCGGGCCATCGAATTGAGACTCGGTCCGGACAATGAGGACATCAAAGTGTGGAAGGAGATGGCGGCGGCGCCGGAGAAGCATTGGAGCTGGAGAAGGAGGAAGCAGAAATAATCTCACTAGGTCCCCCCCCCCCCCCAACCTAGGGAGGTAGGAAGCCTCGACCTAGCCTTAACTCACCTAGGCCCATCCTGTACGAGTAGGTACTAACCTGTATGATAAAAACTCAAAAGAGATGCTTGTGACGCGTTTCTCAGTCCAAATAGGTTTGCATGTGTGCATGTTTTCAGGTTCTGAGATTCCCAATTCTATCTGTATACCAAAGACGACTTTCACACAAGGGTATCAATCAAGCAATCAATCAGTATGTCATCAATGCTCCAAACGACATCAACAAACATACATTTCTCAACAGCAAACGGACGGGAAAACCAAATATCTCCTCGCGCGCACACAAAAGTCTTTCCCGTTCTTTGCAACCATAAAATCAAACAAACAGCAAGTATCGTCATGATCTTCGTCATCTCATTTCATATGCTTTCGTTCCCCGTGCGCGTGTGTGCAGCCATGGGGCGCCTTGAGGAGGGAGGGTCAGGAATCAACCGAAGTCGACCGAAGTCGAGTCCTTCGTCCGAGTATGAGTAGTGTCGTCCTCAGCAGCCTTTGGAACCAAGTGATACCCCATGTTCAGTAATCAACCCGAGTAATTTTCAAGGTCCAAGGCCGCCGGGCCCATCCAACCCAGAAACAGCATCAGCATCAGCATCAGCATCAGCAGCAGTACCCATCCAGAACTTGATTTTGAGAACAGGGACCTAAAAAAAAAGGGGAGTTCGAGGTGCGTGATGACTGATCATCATCGTCTCACTTTCAAGGTCTTATCCTGCTTCTGATCCTTCTTCTTCTTCTCACACACCTCCTTGACTCCTTTCCCTACGCGTTCCAGAAACTGCCAGCTGGTCCGGTCGTCCTCGAAGACGAGGTACCCGTCGAAACTGCGCGCCTTGGTGTACTTGACAATCTTCCTCACCACCTCACCGACATTGTCGACGTTGATGCCGTCATGGCTGCTCGACAAGTCCCTGTCCGTGGCCACCGCCTCGCAACAACAGCTCTCGCTCTCGTATCCGCTCTCGGAGGACGAGCCCTGGGCCGCGGTCCCGGATCCAGCCTTGTTTGCGGCGGCGGCGCCGACGGTGTCTTCTTGTTCTTCGGTGTAAAGCATCCCGATGACCTCGGGGATAGGTAGGACCTGGATACAACTCCCTCCGGATCGAGGGAGGCGAGACAGTTCGCAGACCCGCGGGCAGACGATGTTGTTCTGCGGGACGAGGAGGATGAGGTGGGTGCGCGGCTGAGACAGGAGCGTCGAGATGGTCGCGTGTGTATGTGGGTACATCACTGATCGTGACGTCGGGCAGGATAAAAGGTACGTCCTGCTTTCGAGCGCGGAGGGGGGAGCGGTGGTTGAGGAGGAGGAGGAGTTGGCGGTGGTGTTATTTTCACATTTGAATGACTTTTGTTTGTGGCGGTACGAGAGAATGAAGTTGCTGCGCGGCGAGTCTGGACGACTTGGATCTCGAGGCGAAGATGATGAGGAGGAGGAGGGAGAAGATAACGTCGACGGAGATGGCGAGAGTTGTGTTTTACGGGTCGAGTTGCGTTTGGTGAAGATGTTGCATTCTTTCGGTGTGGGAGTCGACCCCGGCAATGAGAGGGCGCATGGACCGATGGCATATGCAAAGTCCCAGCAGGAAACGCCTGGAGACTCCATGACGGTTTGTTCTACTGCCGTGATGGTGGTGGTGGTGGTGGTTAATTTCATGGCCTCGAGTCGGAATACTGAATGGAACGACGATAGATAGGAGTATCGAGTGTCGAGAGTATCGAGGTCGCCTTCGAAATCTTGAGATACTGAGATTCAGCCCTCGGTCACCGGTGCAATCGCATTGGTCTTGCGCGCCCCGAAAGACTTTGCTGACAGATCCTCGTGTTAGCCTGACGTGAGCGGACGGTCCTCGTTGGCGATAAAGCTGATGCTCGTATAGCTGAACGAGGATGAGATAAGGCTTGAGGCAGTACTAATCGTGGTGGCAGTTGATTCTTCAAGCAAAACTCTATAATTCACCAGTTGAAGAGTAAATTCAGGAGAACTGGACAGTGAGAACGAGGGTAATAATAAAGGTATCCAGAGAGCACGAACGGTGGGTTACATATTGCACGGTCGGTGACCCGTACCTAGCGACCCCCGTATTCCACTTTGAGGTTGGCCACAGATTTTGGGATAAACGGATAATTCGCCGGACACCGCTTGGAAACAACCAAGACCAGGAGGAGGAGAAGAAGGGGGTTAGATGAAGCTCTTGCCGCATAGGGCTCTTGCAGACTTGCAGGGTGATCGAAAAAGATTGTCATGCAAGAGAGGGATTTTCTCGGGCCTGTTTGATGAGGTGAATCTCGTGATGGGCTCCGTCCAGCTGGATTTTTACAACGCCGACTTTGCCGGTATCAGCCGATGGCGGCAAAACGTTGCGGAGGCCACTGACTTGATGAGTTTTGAGGGTGTGGAGTGTCCAGGAAGGATTAGGGTACACATCCTCGTACTTGGGTGGCCGGCGACGACTACTCCTTCAGCGACGAATTGCCTACCGAGGGAACCTACTGTAATGATAACAAAAGAACAACAAGCCGAGGATACGGACTGTCGCGGGGACAGAGAGCGCGAGGCCGCGAGGGCGAGTCCTTTCGTGCTAACACTACTGTAGAGTTAAATTCCCTCAGATCGGCATTTCAGGGCGGAGATGGCGATCCGAGGTGCATGGGAAAATCATGATTCCGATTTGGCCGATATCAGTATTGACGGGCACCGAGCTGTAAAGAGATCGTAAAACAATTACCATGCCTTACCCGAGGTTGTATTCTGAGAATAAAAAAGTGCAAGACTGCAGATATATGGAGTTCTGCGGCCTCTACACAGATACCTCTGCGGCTGAGACATGTGCGAAATAGGCTTCTCTCCCCCTCCCTGCCCCTCTGTCCCTCTTGAAATTCTACTCCGTACATTGTAGTCTTCCTAATGTCATGGACTTACTAAGTGTTCCAAGACTCTCGTCATTGATATGCACAGTTATATCTGGGCGTCCCGCAAGAAACGAAAACCCAGAAGTCATTTCCTCCATGACTTCTGGCATTTCGTGTGGACAGGCTAAATATCATAGAGTGACAAGCTGCACACAACGTCAACCAGAATCTGGACTTGCGTGAGCCTATCGAGAGCGTGGACTGTATGCGAATCATGACGTGCGACAGCATATCACAAATGCACACGGCCCCTTCAACCTTTCAAGATGGACCGGTCTAGAGTACAGCATGTACCTAGCGATGAGTACGGATTCAACAACTTTGTGTCCCATGGGGTGGGGAGTCGAGCAGTGTCTCGATGCCCGCTAGCTACCTTGGACTCGTTCGACACCTCCGCCTGCGTGATGAGTATTTCTGAGACTGTAGAGTAAGCTCAGGTCCGTTAGACGGCAAGGTTACAAACAATAGGTCACCAGGCAGGGTTGTACTATTGCCCTACTGTACGTAAAACAATGAGCAATGGTCGAGAAACAGTCTGCACAACAAAGTCAATGGAGAGTTCCGTGCACCAGCCCAGTAACCCCAAGATCGAGCATACAGTAGTGTATCGATCTACCAGTAACCTGAGGAGACACTCGTGTCGATCGGTGGCTTGCCCATGTGGTCTCTCTGTGAAGGCTTGTAACTTCGATCGATGGACAACACGGAGTGTGGCTGTGCGGAAGCGTCCAGCCGGTGGTCGTAAGTGGTCTAGAAGCACTCGCGCAGAGTGGACAAAGATGGAGTCCCAGCGGGACAGTGTCTCGTATTTCGTAGCCCCAAGGAATCTGGGCAGGTTCCGTCGGCGCAGGATGATGTCGTCGACAAAGGAAGCTGAGCGCTGAACTGACGACAGTGGAGGGAGACATGATGGATCCGAGCGCCGTCAATAGCCAAATCCTCCGGTGTTGATTGGACGTTGCACGCCAAGAAGGTAATGGAGGCCAAGCTTTTGCCAGTCCCCCACAGGCTGAGACGCCCCGTGATTGGACTGCAGGGATCTCGACGTCATTTTCTCCAGATGACGTCGGGGTCTTTTTGCTGGCTCGAACCCGTTTACTCGATGCACGTTGCTCGCAATTGTGGGCGTTTCCGTCCTGCGTACTCGTTGCAAGGGGCTTTGACCAGCCTCATTCTGAGAACTACAGAGGTGGGTTCGCCGTGTATATAAACACCACTCCTCCCCAGGCAACTCCATCCCTTTTCTTCATCAGCAAAACACAAGTCAAGAAATTCGCAATCCATCACTCAGTCAAACCTACACAAGACTTTTCAAGTCAACCTCAAACAGCCATCGCAATGGATACCATCAAGTACGTCCTCCCCAATTCGCACCACGCCGCAGCCCCCTTTTGAGGGTTCGTTCACTGACATTGTGTCCCAGGAACGCCGCTAACTACGTCTCCGAGTCGATCTCTGGAGCCACCTCAACTGCCTCCAAGGAGGCCAACAAGAACGTTGCCAAGGACAGCGACGCATCGCTCACCACCCGAGCCCAGGCCGCTGGTGATGCTCTCGGCGACAAGATCGATGAGCAAACACACAACCGCAAGGCTGATGTCCACAAGGAGGCCGCCAAGCACTAGACAACAGTTACCATCTAGAACCAATACCATGAGTTCATGATGAGGGATAAGGAGTTCCATTGCTGAGCCGGGAAATTCTCAAGGCAGAATGCGACGGAAATCATTTTGATACCCAATGTCCGATGAGACGGACAAGCCTTGAAATAGGTAGAGAAATCCAAAAAAAAAATTTATCGGTTTAATGCCAGGTGAACCTGTTTACATGTAGACAAACTATACCTCTGTGTGATCTTGACTCCGACTGCCGCTCCGACCCTCGAGAGCTTCCGCAGCCAATGTCCGCATTCGTTCCCTTTCAAGAGGATGAATATTCTCCAGTGCCGCATCCACGTCTCGTCGCTGGCTTGCAATCACTTCGCTAGCCCCGCTGTCGGAGAGGTAGCTTGGCGGCCGGTATCCCACCGAATGCTGCACCTGGGACATGGCTTCATCGTAAGTAGGCGTCAATGGCGAGGGCACCACCTCGACCTGCTTGGTATACACGAAGTTCGGATTGATTCTCTAAACAACAAAACACATCATAAACATCAGCTGGGGGGTCGACACATGATTCCAAAGAATACAAGGACACACTCACCATGCTTGTCCGCGTATTGCCGTATGTAGGAGGCGGCTTGTTAAGAAATGTCGGGGGATTTCCAGTTCCTGCCTCCAGATCAGGACCAGGGCCGTCATCATCATATCCCCCCATATGGATCTGAATCGGTTTCTCCGGCGGCATGTCATGCAAATCTGCGGCGGTCTCTAAGGTCGACCCTTCTCCTCGCCGTCGTCTCTGTCGGTGTGTCGAAGATTGCAGAGTTCCGTTTCTTCGGCGTTTTCCCGCGTCTCTTTTCAGCATCAACATACTGAGGAACTGGTGGAAAAACACCCCGGCCAAGGTGAGGATGAACAGAATGGAAAGCACGTGGAACATGATCCCCCTGGCAGTTCGCGTAAATGCCAGCACCAAGTCTGTGAGCGCGAGTCAGCAAGCAATCCACCAACTCGGTGCATGTACCCTGAAAAATGGTACACGCGGTGTTTCAAAACCTACATATAACCGCTGCAATAAGTAAGGTGGTGCCGAACGCAAAGCTGATTCTCGCTTTCGCAGCAATCCTGGCGTTATGGATCGACTTGGCCGACCTGACAACCCGCCGTCGAGCAACCCGCCCTGAAGGATACGTGCCGACGCGGCTCCCGCCCGAGGAGGAATTCGTGCTTCGACTCCCGCTTCGTGCAGATGAGTGGTTGCTACGACTACTGCCACTGCGCAGCGAATGTGTCCCCCGGGCACTCGATGTGAACTGTAGATCGTAATCGTCCATGTGACGCGCCCGTGGAACCGACTCTGGAGCCATCTGCTGACTGCCATGGAGGCTCGCAGCGTACATGTCAGAGCTCTCATCCTCATCTCGGTGACGGGTCGAAGAAGAAAGCTGCCGTAAGTCTCTCGCTTCAGGCATCCTGTTGTTAACATGCGCCTGCCTTGGATCGAGCGGTCTTGAGACCGTAGGTAAGGTGCCCTGAGCGAACAGATTGTTCCGAGTAGATGATCTTGAGGTAGAAAGAATCAAAGGGACGACAAAAGTCTTGCCAGGTGTTGTTGTAGTTGAGCTGGAAGAGCGAGCAGTTGTTTGACTTGGCCGCAGGAGACGCGAAATGCGGCCGACAATGGTCGGCGGATTTGAAGGCGCTGCGCGTGACTTTGCTCGATCCATTGGGTAGTAGAGCTATTATGGCAAGAAGAGACATTGACGGTCGAACATACGGCCTCGTAGACAGAAAGAGGATGGGAGAAGAGTTTAAGAACACCTAACTCGTGTAGGCTACCTTCGGTCGCGAAATGATCGAGCGTCACACACACGTACCGCGATGAGACTGGAGAGTCACAGAAACCACGGGTCTAAGGGCCTGCGTGTTGGATGAGAGGCTGCGCAGACGGACACTCCCTGGCTCTCGCAAAGGCAAGGAGGAGCGGCATGGGAGGCGTTGGTGGCAGTGAAACATGACGGGATATCAACCCAAAAAGTTCGAGGACTTGACACGGCGAAATTGATTATTGAATTCCAGACGTCAAAAACGCTGCACGGAAGAAACGAGCTTTTACAACCTCTCAACCAGGGGCTGATCCCGAAGGCTTCTCTGCGCGTCTAAAATGACGAGTCGCTTCGATATAAAGACGCGATCTGAAACCATCCAGCGCAGCAACTCAGCGCAGCAACTCGCCAAAGTCGCGTCGTTCCGCGTTTTCTTGGCGCCTCATCCGACCCTCCTCTACGAGTGGTCGGCCTAGTTAGATACCTAGGTATGTATCCCACGTTGAACGCTACTGTAGTAGAGGGTGATGCTCCAAGCCAAAGCTCAGCGACTATAGTCGTCAAGAGGACAGAGGTCGTCGAATGGTACAGTACGTTACCACAGGTATCCGTCTCCGTGAATGCCCCAGGGATAGACATGATAGACCATTGCCAACGGATACCACTAGACGACCCTTGCTTCCAGCTGGCTACATCTCGCAACCAGTCTATACCTTCAGCTAACCTGGTCCGTACGATCACTTCCTGATCAGTCCCAAAATAATGCCTTGGCTTTTGCGATGTTTAAAACTGCGCTGTTCACTTTTGTCACGAATACACCTTCCGGCCGTCCAAAAGTGAAGACGGGATGGGTTTGGAATGTCGACCTAATTCCAGCATTCTTATCCTTCATGTAGCTCCTGGAGTACGGCAAGGCCGTTGATGAGGAGCCGTGTGGATGGAGGCGGAGATGGCCAACACTATTCAAGTTGTCATTTCCGACCATAGCCAATGTCGCAAATGAGTTTTGCAAACCACTGCAGAGGCTAGTGAGGCAAGCAGATGCCGCCTGTGGCGAACCGCTGTCGGCTACCATGTTCTCACAGCTTGGTGTCAGAAGATGAGCGCCACCTTTCCCTCGTTGAAAATCATCTACCGAGTTCACCCAGTATGAGATTTCGATCAGTTGAGCACGATACAACTATAACAAGTTAGCCGAACCCGGAGTATCTTGCATCAAGCCGACTTACTGATCGAGTCCTCTGTAGGTGAGAACCGTACATCATTCACCGTACCCTTGTGCCCCGGCAATTTGTAGAGCAGTTTGGCTGACAGGGTATCCCATACGACGACCGTTCTGTCACCAGATCCAGCGCAAATTTTGTCGCCTTTCGGGTTCCAGCTTGCTCTTATCAAGTTCTTTTCGAATCCAGCAGGTGCACCATCATATGTACGTACGGCACGATCCACTGGTGCAAAAGGTCGGATGTCCCATGTTCTCACAGTTGAATCGTGCGAATTGGATAGCAAAGTTTGGGAATCGGGCGAAACCTCCAGAGATGTGATGGTGTCGGTATGGCCGCTGAGCGTATATGTGACCTCCATCTTCCGAGCATCCCATACCTTGATGTCGTTGTCAATGCCGCCAGAGTATATCTCATGCCCCTGTTCGGCCATGGCGACCGCAGTGATGGGAAAGTCGGTCTCGATATAGTCGACTGCCGCTTTCTGCCGCGGGTCCCATATGCCAATGCAGCCATCGTCGCTGCCGCTCAAGAGTAGATCTTGGCCCCTCCTGCTCAGATCCAGGCAGTTTACGATCTCTTCGTGCCCAACGTGCTTGCGTATTCTAAGACCAGTCTCGAGATCCCAACTTGCAACCGTCATGTCTGCAGAAGCAGAATATATCGTTTTCGAGTCTCTTGACCATTGTAGATCCAGAACTGCCCCTTTATGGCCCGTCATGATACCATAGTTGTCACACTCTCCGTAGGTATTCCATAACACTAAGTGGCATTAGATATATCGCGCGAGGTTGAAGGGAGAGAGGCGCATACTAATAGATCGATCCATAGAGCCTGAAGCGATATGTTGACCTGTAGGATCGAAACGCACGGTAAATATTTCCCCGGAATGCCCTGCTCCAGTCAGTAATCAACCTCTGCACACAAGTGAAGGACCACATGCCTGTCATTTCCATTATAGGTGCAGGCAGCGCACTCGTTCGCAAGGACTGCAGTAAGTGATTAGCAACGAGCCTTGTGGTGATTCCATCGAGCACGTACTGCTGGTATAAGGGTTCCATCTTGTCCCTTCGCACCAACTGTTAGGGCGCGATCGTCGTTGAGATCTGAACTGGACTTTTGTCTCTTTACCAGAGACTGCGGTTGGCTGAAGCTATCGGAAGCCTGACGCTTGATAGAAGGCATCATGGTTGCGAGTAAAGTGTGGAGGTAGTGATTAGAGCTTTGGCACGCGAAGAAAGGGAGTCGTGAAGAAGACGTACATCAAGCCTCGTTCCTGAGGGTACGTGAACTTTTTCTGGATTCACCCAGCACTTCTCCAAATATTCCACTCGCATGCGGGACGCAGAGCAAAACCCCATTCTGCACCTCTGGCTCAGCAGCTTTGCCGTATAGCATCTAGGGTGTGCATGCTTCACCTTACAAGCCAATACTCATACGGTGCATAGTATCATCAAAGCTTTCCAGACGCATAGTGCAAGAATCTAGTGGCACATGTAGCGCAAAAACACACTGATTGTGGACATTTAGCTGGGGGTCACTCGCGCACAATGCCTCAGCTTCGAAGAGGGGATCGCAATGGCGGCGTTCTGGTTGAGCCGCGAAGACGTCGCGAAAGCCAAGTGTTAGACCTAAAACTCAGAGGACACCCTTAGCATTCCATAACTATTTCTATGATGACGATGCCTACGAGCACGAAGGCTGTAGCGTACGAAGAAGAGGTGTTTCGACTGTGAACCCAATACGCCTCGTTAGAGCGGCATTAGGTCAGACCGGATGACTGTCTTGGCATGCCAGGTACCTGATGTTTGGGCCTCAGCCTCGTGCTTTGTTCACAACCTCGACTTTTGCTGAATCTTCGACAACAACAACACCCTACATCCTTGATGAATTGACGAGGGTGATTGAGATGTGGGCTCTATAGGTGTGAAGTCTTTCACGCTTATTTATGGCAGCGAGCCAGAAAGCCGCCCGCGTGGGCGAGGAGTACGTCAGCTTCTGTGTGAATTGTTCTCTACTAATTTGTCGTTGAATAGGATATGGAAGTACGAACTGCTTCATGTCGACGGCGGCAAGATTTCTGACGGTATTTTAGAACACGGGTTGACAAGGTCAATGCCGAATTGGTCACTCTTACATATGGCACTATCGTTGCCCAGCTTTGCAACGACTATGACCATGACTATGCCCAGGTCAATCAGCAACTCGACAAGATGGGTTACAATATTGGCATGCGACTTATCGAAGATTTCCTGGCAAAGTCAAACACTGGTCGTTGCAGCAACTTTAGAGACACCGCAGACATGATCTCGAAGGTAGCCTGCCACAACTACGCTCGGTCAGGTAGCTAAGTAATATGACAGGTCGGGTTCAAAATATTCCTCAACATAACTCCAACCGTGACAAATTGGAGTGCAGATAACAAACAATTCTCGTTGTTGTTTGACGAGAATCCCCTGGCCGATTTCGTTGAGCTTCCAGACGACGGAAGGGCACAAGATGAATTGTGGTTCTCCAATATCCTCTGTGGTGTTCTGCGTGGTGCACTAGAGATGGTACGTTCTGGACCAGTTCTCAACTTCAACTGATGACGCTTGCTTACTTGCATTTCCACAGGTGCAAATGTCAATCGAGGCACACTTTGTGAGTGACGTCTTGAGAGGGAACGATGTCACTGAGATCCGCGTCACTTTAATCCGATATATCGAGGATGAAATGCCTCCCGACGACGACTAGACACGGCAACATGGCAGACAGGTCCTCTGGATTCCTGGGTCCATAGCACTGGAATATGTTCCGCTCGTGGTTGATCACGTGCCAACACCAGCCCCTTTTCGGAGCACGGCACGGAGTAGCAATCAATCGATTATCGCCGGAGGATTTCTGTATTCTACGTAGGGAGTCACCCCTGAAACAGTTTCAACATTCCACTAGGGATAGTTGCAAACGCATCCTAGAAGCCGACCGAGTGTTGCGTACCGATCAAACAGGTTGAAATGAAGCAATTACGGCCCAACACCACCGCCCGAGGCAGGATAAATGATCAATTTACATTTGGCTGGTTCTGCTCGTCGAGGTGAGGTTGTTGGGTTTGTGCCAAGCACCCCGCCATCGGAGCCCCTATTCGAGGCAAGCGTGCTGTCCTGTACGCGTGGCACGGTGGTAGGGCTGAAGCCGGGAGAATTGTGAGTGGCTGGACGGTGGTCAGACTGGCTCACCGTGTCGCTGCGAGCTGGGTCTTCGGTTCCTCCCTCTTCGCTCTCGAGAATTTTGCCTGCGCCCCTGCCTCTCGCCTCTATTCGTGCTGTGCCTGTGAGCGCCGTCTCTAAGCCGACAACGCAGCCTAATCCGTGAGGCCCAGCTGCCAACCTTTCGTTCCTCAGCAATCTACACCTCACTTTTGCCTCGTCCACTGCCACTTGTCACCCCATCCATCACATTTCCTTCTTCTCTTCTCGCGATCTATATCCTAGTCGTCACCCGATATCTGCTCGCCTTAGTGTGCTGCTCTGTTGCCGACAAAAGTCTCTCTGCCGCCTCCGTCACTTCGAGGTGTGCAACATTGCGCTTCAGTCTTAGTCCGGTCCACCGATAATTTGTGGCTGTCGCGTTTCGTCGACGAAGCACCTCCCAACTCGCCTCAATACTCGATCAACCTTGCCTAAAGACGTCTACCATATCTAATTACGACCCTAGAAGATGAGACTTTCCTCCCTCTTCTGATAGTCGGTGTCGGTTTGCGCGACCGGCCTCATTCCACCGTTCTGCAGGTCCCTCGATCAAATTACCTCCCGTCCCACCTGATACACTTCTACGACCGCAGTCCCTGCCCACCTCGACGCGCTTCGCTCTTGTTCTGTGGCGCTTGTGAAGGCCGAGAAATCTCAAGCATCCCGAGATATGATGAATATGGCCGGCATGAATCCTCCAGCGGTGGCTGGAGGTCCAGTTGGCGGCGGAATGATGATGAACAATGGAAGCCCGGCGATGCAGGTCAACACCAGCCCATCTCCCGACCAGGTCAAAGCTCAGCTGAACACTTACATCTACGAATATTTTCTGAAGTTGGGGCTCTATGATCACGCGAGACGGCTGGTCAGCGAAGACAAGTTTGAGATCCGGACCAAGCCTGCCGTTAAGCAAAGTCCTGGCCGCCGCAAGGATGCAGAAGTGAACGGAGTGGATTCAGATGCCATGGACACCGATGTCAAAGACGACATACCCGATGACTTGCCTCGCCCCATGCATGCTGCGGAAAACACACCCGGTATAGGATTTCTCTTCGAATGGTTCAGCATCTTCTCAGACCTTTTCACTGCTCACCAGCGATCAAGTAAAATGCAGGGTGGTCAAGGCGCAAACATGGGTGCGGCTGCCCAATACTTGATGCAGCATCAGGTAAGACTTAGTCGGTTGAGTTGCTAGATGCGATTGACTGACACTGTTCTACAGAGCATGCAACGCATGAGAGAAAACCAGCAAAGCCAGAATCTTGCCCGACCAGGAATGGTGAATCCTAACCAGTTTGCCATGCGTGCCAATAATATGCGCAACAACATCATGAATGGCGCTGTTCCTCGTGAGATGGCCAATAAAATGTAAGACGCGCTTTCTCTACACGCTCTGGCGTTGATGCTTACTCTGATAGGACCCCTCAACAGTTGCAGCAAATCAACAAAGCGGCCATGATGCAACAGCAGCAACAAATGCAGCGCGAGCAAGGCGAAGTTGACATGAATGGCCGTCCCTCGTCCCCAGTCGAAGGCGACAATGGTGGGTCTCCGTCCAAGAGACCACGGCTTGAAGGTCAACAGTTCAACGGTGGCATGATGCCTAATGTTCGACCAGGAATGCCCAACATGGCCCCTCAGAATATGATGATCCAGAATTCCTTCAATCCCAACATGAACAATGGCCAATTCCGACAAAACGGCGGCATGCCACAGAAACCCATGCAGGCAAGTCTGAGAAGCCTCCCTTCCTTGATAGATACTAACTGTGAGTAGGCCGGCATGGCAAATGGTATGATGCAGATGGGCGGCGCTGGCTCCCCCATGATGCAAGGCATGAATCCCCCCCCCTTCAACGAGAATATGCCCATGGAGTTGTATAATCAGAGGATGAGTCAAGGGCAAATGCAAGGAACGCCAGGAGGTGGGCAGAGTGGGAACCATGCTCTCCAAGACTACCAGATGCAACTGATGTTGCTAGAACAACAAAACAAGAAGAGGCTGATGATGGCACGACAAGAACAAGACAATGCCGTCAACCGAGATGGCGCTCCTATGGTTGGCATGCAAGCCGGTGGTATGTCACCCTCTGGTAGCCGAACAGGTACCTCTCCGAACCCTGGCGACCAGATGAAACGAGGTACTCCACAACTGGGAGGCTTGCCACCCTCCCCTTCCGCCGGAGATGCAATGGCAGGTAGATCACCAGCCGGTATGAACTTCATGAACGGAATGCCCGGAGGTGACTTTAACCCTGCCATGTACTTGAAAGATAACCAGGGCATGGTCGGACCTGGCGGACCTAACATAAGACCACCGACCTCCATGGATATGCAACAAGCCATGGCGCGTCAACAACAGCAGGCCCGACTGTCAGGACAATTCCAGGGAGGCCAACCCATGGTCCAGCAGCCTTCTCAGGGCCAACCCGCTCCTATGGGTACTCCGGGACAGCGAAACGAGATGCCACCCCCTCAAGCCCCCGCTGCGAACAGTTCCCAGCGCAATCAGCCAGGATCTCCCCAAAGCAGCAATGCGCCACCTACGCCATCCACGACCAACAAGCCGAACCCCAAGTCGAAGAAAGCCAAGGATGACAGCAACAAGAAGAAACCGGCAAAGAAAAACTCGACGGCGAATGCTGCAAGCTCGGAGAATGAGCCTCCTGCCACTCCGACGCCATCGACACCCATCACGCCAGTGCATCCTCAAGGCTTCGGAGGACAGGCGAACAAATCTGGTGGTGGTGGTGGCATGGCCAATGCCAACCAACCCCCGGCAACATCTCACCCCATGCCCCCTGCTCAAGCGCCGATGCATCAGCCCGATCTTCAGCCCAGCTTTACCGACAACTTTGGTCCAGATCAAAATTTCAATCTCGACTTTAGCACCTTGGAGAACACCGATGTTCTTGAAAACTTTGATTTTGACAGCTTCCTGAACACCACAAACGATGACACGTTCAACTTTGATGGTGCCATTGGCGTGGGTGGTGATTTCGGTCTAGAGCCTGGAGAATAGCTGGCGGAAGCTACTCTGCTACCCCTTTGTAACATCTAATTCCTTTGGCGTTGTTCTACAGTCGTTTCTTACGCATGGAAGGCGAAAGTGTGCGCCGTCTTCGGGCAACGCTTTGGTGTTTGAAATACTTTTCATATTGGTTACAATACCCGCTGCTTCGGCCAGGACGAAAATGACTTATTGAGTGGACATAACTTTACAGGTTATATGTGGCAGTGTTGGTTTTGGGTCTTTCCAGGCGTCTAGTCGTTCAGTTGTCTTTTTGGACAGTTCATGCAGCATTGCTGGCGTACTAAGAAGAACTCTTGAATGATCAGCTATCTTACTTCGAGTCAAAAGTTTCCCTGTTTTCCCCTGAGCTGACGTTCATCCCTGTCATGAGACCTTCACACTTGGACCAGTTGCGGCTTCCGTGACAATCTGTTCCGTCTAGCGTTGACTCGACTTGCAGCTCCCCCTGGCCTCAAGAGCAGCAACAGTCGTGGCTTAACAGAAGGCACGAGCATCTATCTGATCGTGTGTGCCTATTGAGTCTCTCTGTCCCCGATTGCTTTTATCTTACGCAACAGCTACTCAGTCGCCAGCCCCTGGTGCAATGGCATTGAAGTAGCCGAGATACCGCCTACTCGTCAACGCCATGCGATATCAAGACTGGGATGTGCTTTTGTTCCCTGGAGACTCTAAGATCCCCATTCAAGAATTTGATACGAAGTGCTATGCCTTGGAACAAGGTGAGATGTCTTTCCTTACCACTGGACGATGCTAACAAGTCGTCAAGCATCGTCCCTTCGAGGACTCGAGTTCAATCGCAACAGCTACGAGTCAATGACTATACTACCTACCCTCACATGCTTCGTGGCAAGTCTGGAACGTGGATCATCCTTTCGAGTCTCGGTTCATAGCTGGGAGAAGCCGAAAGCGTCAAACCTGCTCTTGAGTTACAAGACGATGGAGGAAATTGTTTTGTTCGAAGCTAAAATATACATCGACGGAATATTGACGGCGTACGGGTAGTAGGCCTCCGATCTACGGACGAGAGCTGACATTGCTGCCAGTTGCCGGACCTTCGAAGACGGTGCCTGGCCAGAGGTCATTGGTATGTGACATACAGATTCGGTAAAACTTTCATGCGTACTGACAACATCCTAGCAGATGGAGGTGATTTCCCCTTTCGACAGGGTTTGCTAGCAGCTAACACTCAGAAGACAATCGCCATCTTCGGTTTCCAAGCTTCCGCAAGGAAGTGCTTCAACAGCCACACTGGGAGCCTGGTGACCCTGTCGGTCGTATCAAGGTTGTGATTTCCGAGGGAGTCCTACGAGACACGACACCGCCGACTGCCTCCTCAATCATATTTGATCGGTTCCGGGACGTGGTCTGCTTTTCGTTTCAGCATGCACCTCAAAGTAAGTCAAGAACATATGAAGGAATTGCCCATAGCTAACACCGGGCAGACATTCTCGAATATTCCGGTATCGCCTGGCCGAATATGCGAATCTTTGGAAGGGCTGCAAAAAGGTCATCGCGACCACCGCCAATTGGCAGCCGTTTACCACCAGCCACTGCTCATGAATCTCATTCGCATTCTCCTCGGCGAGTTCCTGACGCAGCGCCCTCAGACAGACCATCATCCAGGGAGTTCAAGCCATTTCAAAACTTGCTGAAGGCGGAGACGTTTTCTGATCTAAAGTCTGATTCAGTGACGAAGCTGAGTATGTTGACTGCTACCAGAAAGGTGTCACCTACTAGCAGTGTAGACGGTGAAGATCCTTTTCTTGACCCATTGCGCACCAGGAGGTACTGGAGGAAGCAGATGAGGTCCAGCAGCCACGATATGCCCATGTTTGACTATACTTCCACCAACAGCGGAGCTCCCACGGAGATGTCGGGGCTTAGCTTCCCGAAGGCCAACTTTCTCAAGCATATGCGTGAGGCCAATCCAGAAGAGATTGTGGAAGCCCTCAGTCCACTACGGAAGGAGCGACTGCTTGAGGTCTTAAGCGCATCACAAAGTCCTGTTCGAGGTCCCCATCCTCCAACCAACACCCCAAGTGGAACCGTACATGGCAGCCGTACACACCCGCCGATCGACAGACTCACTGCACTTCTCGCACCCTCAGGGCACGCTAGTTTACAGGGCAACATTGAAGAAGAGCTCTGGGTTAAAGCTCTAACTAAGCGCGACAGCAGTAATGAACCTGGATCAGAAGACAGTCGCACCTACGGGGAAGAAAGATACAGCAAGATCGATAACTGCTCTAAACTGGCGTTGAGCTCCAGCGAAACTGCTAGACGAGGCAGCCTGACTCAGGCAGAAAGTAGATCATCTTCGCTACGTGTCACTAGACAGAGGTCGTTGTCGAACGTTCCAAAACGCAAACTTGGGTCACTGTCGCCTTCGATCAAAATCAGCACTCCTGTGAATACGATTCATGTTATGATTGACTCTACCCCAGCTTCACCAAGAGGACGGAAGGCATCGGGGGAGAATGGTGGTTGACTTTCGTTGCATGGACGCTGAAAGACTGCTATCATTTGGGATCCACGCCCTGGTGCTCAGCATGATGGGCACCAGATATGGTTAAAGGCAGAATATACAGAATATTGTCACACAGCATTCCTATGGGACCCTGACAGGGGGTACTTATGAAGCTCCGAGCAACTGAACACGTCCGCAGAGGTATAGGGCTTTGTTCAGTATGAACATGAGTTTCCAATGGTATGGGACGGTATTCCTTACCTTCGACATAACCGGAGATGGGAGTAGTTGGCGTACTCCGGTGATAGTGCCTAGCTATGGTTTATGGCTCTGTATCAAGTTATCATACTCGGGCGGGGCATCAGAAGTAGCAATAAGTAATGCTACTACTCGCAGGACTGAGCATCAGGCTGTGCATGCCTGGACTCTGGGTCGCATACCCTCGCTTGTTCTCGGGAAGAATTTATTAGTTAATCCTCCCACCGTAGACTCTCGTACCCCACAAATGCGCCTTTCCGCTTCTCGCTTCGCCATGACCATGTCAAAATCTTTTGCCTCCGCTTCGCCGTGACTCAGAATCACGATACCCGACTCATTGCATATATATCTTGTTGGCTGAGATTTCTCGGAAAACCGGACGAGGACACGATACTCTACACAACCCATTGACTCGAAGATTCCTGCATTTCCAACTGGTTCTCTTACCACCGAACCCTCATCCATCTGCCTTCACGTTGGAGCGGTCCCCAGCAGGTTGAGTCTCGTGCTAGCAACGTCGCAAAGATGCCCATGTATGCTGTTATACCTTTTGATGACCGTCTTACACTGCTGACCCAATCTCATCAAGGCTTCGAGAACCATGGAAGAAATATCGCAAGTTCAAACCTCTTGACCTGCCGAACCGCCAATGGCCTTCGAGAACGATTGATGCTCCTCCAAGATGGCTGGCCACGGATCTAAGAGATGGAAACCAAAGTCTTGTTGACCCTATGGTAATATTAGGTGCCCCGGTTCCTTCACTCCCATATTGTGGCTGATAATGTTGCAAGGATGGCGAGCAAAAACTGCGCTTCTTCAAGATGTTGGTTGAATTGGGTTACAAGGAAATCGAAGTTTCGTTCCCCTCTGCTTCACAGACCGACTTCGATTTCACGAGACACTTGGTGGAAACACCCGACCTTGTCCCCGACGACGTGTGGCTACAGGTCTTGTCACCTTGTCGAGAAGACCTGATCCGGCGTACCGTTGAATCGCTTAGAGGAGCGAAGAAAGCAATTCTACATCTATACCTCGCAACGAGCGAATGCTTCAGGAGGATAGTTTTCGGTATGACAGAAGATGAAAGCCTTGCTCTCGCGGTCAAGTGCGCGAAGTTCGCTCGATCTATCACCAAAGACGACCCAAGTCATGCAGGTACGGAATGGCTTTTCGAGTTCAGCCCTGAAACATTCTCCGACACCTCTCCGGAATATGTCGTCAAGATATGTGAGGCTGTCAAGGAGGCCTGGGGTCCGACCGAAGAGTCGAAACTCATATTCAACCTGCCGGCGACCGTCGAGATGGCTACGCCCAACGTCTTCGCCGATCAGATCGAATACTTTTGTACGCACATGACCGACCGGGAAAAGATTTGTGTTTCTGTTCACTGTCACAACGACCGGGGTTGTGCAGTGGCTGCCTCGGAACTCTCTCAGATGGCTGGAGCCGACAGAGTGGAAGGCACATTGTTTGGGAACGGGGAGCGGACCGGGAATGTGGATCTTGTCACTCTAGCCTTGAATCTTTATACCCAGGGCATATGGCCCAATGTCGACTTCAGCGACATCCAAAAAGTCATTCGAGTCTGCGAGGAATCGACCAAGATCCCAGTCAACGAACGATGGCCATATGGCGGGCAGTTGGTTGTTTGTGCCTTCAGCGGGTCACACCAGGACGCCATCAAAAAAGGGTTCAACGAACGGAAGCAGTTGGGATCCACACACGAGTCTCGTTGGGAAGTGCCATATCTCCCTCTAGATCCCCAAGATATCGGACGTACATACGAGGCCGTCATTCGTGTCAATTCACAATCCGGAAAAGGCGGGGTTGCCTGGGTTATCCAGAGAAGCCTCGAACTTGATCTACCTCGAGGGTTGCAAATTGCCTTCAGCAAGATTGTGCAGAAAGAAGCGGACGCGAAGGGCCGAGAATTGCTCCCACGGGAAATCCAAGCACTGTTCGAAGATTCATATCATCTCAAGCGGAACCCGCGGTTTACCCTGGTTGACTACAATATTACAGCAGTAAGAGCGGCATCTCCAGAGCTGCCCAGCAAGTCATCAGTCGGCCAACCTCCTCAGTCAGTGGCACCGGCTCAGAACACGTCAACGGCGAAACGACAGTTTGCTGGTGTGATTGCCATTGACGGCGTTCAGCACCCGGTGGTTGGTGTTGGGAACGGCGCTCTCTCCTCCCTGGCCAATGCACTCCATTCCTTGGGTATCGACCTCGACGTTGCTGATTACAAGGAACACGCCATTGGTGAAGGCCGTGACGTGAAAGCCGCTACATACATAGAGTGTACGGCAAGCAGCTCTCACGAGAAAGTGTGGGGTGTAGGGATTCACGAGGACGTGGTGCAAGCGTCCTTGATTGCAATGTTGAGCGCTGCCAGCTCAGTATGGAAGTCCTAATAGCTGAAATGTTGAGTAAGACTAACGCGTGCTACAGTTCCTCACATCTCGAGTTTCAACGCCAGTCCCTTTCCGACCTAAACATCTGCGAGAGTTTTCTGAGGCCGAGTTGGAAGCTCTTGAACGCTTGAATTTGAACAACACAGACAGTGCCAGCAGCCCGCTGAGGTCATCTATCACGCTCGAGCGACCAGCTACGCCCTCCAAATTGAATATGTCAACGGCGGATGCCGGCAGTGTACCGGCACAAAAAGTAGACATTGACTTGTTGGAAAAGAAGGCCGAGCTCAATGGTCACGCCGCTGACCAGGCGTAAAATATTGTGTTTCATCAAAAAGCTGCCACAAAAAGCTTCATTGTCATCAAAAGGCAGAGAGAGTACGGTTGCCGTCGCGCAAAAAGTCGTTTCACGAAAAGCCTGATATGCTCTTGATGGGCCATGTGATATGTGTGCACCAGGTTGGTTGACCCCCCTTGGGCAGATTAGGTAGATATCTGATGGGCAGTCTATTTCTAATGAATAAAACATCACAAGCTCAAAAAGCCCCAAAGTCTATGAAGCAGTCAATGTGTTAGCAAATCGGAATAAATCACCATGGCAATCCAAGAGTAGAAGATTATATGTGTCCACGTGCCGAGACAACATACGAGTAGCACATGCTGATGCACTGTCAGAAAGCTCAGTCTGAAGATCCAGGTGACGTCCTCCAGGCCACACTTGTTGGTTAGCCTAGGTAGTTGGGCCTCGACTCACGCACATGTCCAAAGGCTTAACTAACTGCAGGTAAAGGGGGCTTCGCTAGCTAGATTTGTACCTTAAGTAGGAGTCCTGCTTAGGCACTACTCGTACCCCCCTCCGGCCCTTGAGCCGAACCCCCCACGCCCCCCAGTAAGTGCCTGAGAATTGGGCAGCAACTGCTGGCGAAATCTCCCTGTGGCGTCCAATGGTATCTATATGGGCCTGAATCCAGAATCGCCCTCGTCGCCCTTCGGATACAAGACACCGACATGCAGGGCCTAATCCAACTATGACATCTTCGCGACAATTGCGCCCATCCCCACGTTCATCCAGTCAACCCACCATCATCCCCAGCAGGAGCTGGAGTGCCTTGTACTGCGCACTTCTGGCTGAAACTTGGCTTCACTCCCTCACGGAAGGGCCGTCTCGATCTGTATTGCTTTTGATGTCAGCTTGCCCACATTATCTTGAGCAGACTATAGCATCACACCCCTTCCGATTGTTGCTTCGACACCACCGTCAACAACCACGCCCCTTTGCCTTCACTCACCTACGGTCCGGGTGTCATAGTGCGAGCCATGGCAGTGGGAAAGAAGTGATCTCCATTCGACTACACATTTCGCCTGAACCAAAACGAAAACCCTCAAAGCGACTCCTACGCCTTCGATTGTGTCGGTTCTTGAGACCGGCGGCGTCGAGATATCGTGATCCCTATGGCTTCTCCTACCAGTGCGCCGCGTCGCTTCCTCAAGCCACTCCTCTACTCCGCAGCCGCGCTCGCCGGCGTTGGTGTAGCCGTCATATATGTTTCCTACCGGCCCATCAATGTCCCCGGGTCCCAAGGGGCCATCGTACCTGTGCAACGCACAGAAGATGGGAAAATCATACCACCTAAATTCCCGTTGATAAAGTCTCGGGCGGAGCAAATCGCAGACCTTCGAAAAAGTGGCGGGCTAGTGGGGACGGGCTCAGACACAACCATTACACAGCAGATCAGGAACAGCTTCGACAGACTCCGCAGCGCAACGAGCACGACGGACGAGAAAGATGCGGTCCTCGCCGCAGACCAAGACGCTGGCGAGCCGTATGATTTGCTTGTCATCGGCGGAGGTGCCACAGGCTCAGGCATTGCACTCGATGCCGCAACACGAGGACTCAAAGTCGCACTTGTTGAACGAGACGATTTCGCTGCCGGCACGAGTAGCAAGAGCACGAAGCTTGTACATGGCGGCGTTCGATATCTCGAGAAGGCGGTCTGGGAACTGGACTACAATCAGTACGCCCTGGTCAAAGAAGCTTTGCGCGAAAGGAAGTATTTCCTCGAAACCGCACCACACTTGAGCACGTGGTTGCCCATCATGATACCGCTACAGAAATGGTGGCAGGCGCCATACTTCTGGGCAGGTACAAAATTCTACGACTTCTTGGCTGGCAGCGAGGGCATTGAAACCAGTTATTTCCTGACCAAGAGCAAAGCGCTGGATGCATTTCCAATGCTGAAAAAAGAGAATCTCATAGGTGCCCTCGTGTACTACGACGGTGCACACAACGATAGCCGGATGAACGTGAGTATTGCGGCAACGGCGGCGTTGTATGGCGCAACTGTTGTGAACCACTTGGAAGTTACCCAGTTGACCAAGGATGCAAACGGCCGACTGACCGGCGCCGTGGCGAGGGATGTCATTGATCTAAAAAATGGCGGCAGGGGAGCTCCAATCACGATACGTGCGAAAGGCGTTATCAATGCCACGGGTCCATTCTGTGATAGCATTAGAAAGATGGATGACCAGAAGGCACAAGAAATCGTGGCGCCAAGCTCAGGTGTCCATGTTGTCCTCCCGGGATACTATAGCCCCCAGAAGAACAGTATGGGCTTAATCGATCCGAGCACGAGTGACGGCCGAGTCATTTTCTTCTTACCGTGGCAGGGTAATACGATCGCTGGAACGACGGATGCACCGTGTAATATCACCCAGCAGCCTATTGCAGGTGAGGACGAGATCGGATGGATCTTGAACGAGATCAAAGGCTATTTGTCGCCTGATATCAACGTAAGACGAGGAGACGTTCTGGCTGCTTGGTCAGGCATTAGGCCGTTGGTGAAGGATCCTAAAGCAAAGAACACGGAATCCCTTGTTCGGAATCATCTTGTTACGGTGTCGGAGTCCGGTCTGCTCACGTGCGCCGGTGGAAAGTGGACGACGTATCGTCAGATGGCCGAAGATGCCGTGGATGAGGCTGTCAAGCAGTTCAGCCTGCAGACAAGGCCTGCGCAAACACCGAGGAGGATTAGTGGTTCGGAAAAGGTAAATGATGCAGCGCCGCTCGATGGATCGTGTCAGACACATCAGGTGCGCCTGGTTGGAGCGCATGGGTATTCCAAGACGTTGTTTATCAGCCTTATACAGCATTTTGGCATAGAGACCGAAGTGGCTAAACATCTCTCCGAAGCTTATGGCGACCGTGCATGGACTGTCGCAGCTCTCTCGAGTCCTACAGACGAACGATTTCCGGTTCGAGGCAAGCGAATCTCACCACTTTATCCATTCGTTGACGGCGAGGTCCGGTACGCTGTGCGCCATGAGTTTGCCCAGAGGGCTGTGGATGTGATCGCCCGGCGGACCAGACTTGCCTTCTTGAACGCCCAGGCGGCGCTTGAAGCATTGCCCACCGTCATCGACTTGATGGCCGACGAGCTGAAGTGGGACAGCAAGCGTAAAGAACTTGAGTGGAAGGATAGCGTGGCTTTCCTTGCCTCGATGGGCCTTCCCAAGGGTAAGCTGGGAGTATCACGAAGAGACGTTGAAACTGGCCGGGCTGGCTTTGCGGACGACTGGGAACGGAAGTTGTATTCAAGATATGGTGAGATTTCCCTCCACTCCCCCCCTGCCCTGTAATGCTCATCTGGATCTCTCTAGTATGAGCACTACTATAACCCCATAGACATCCTGGCTGACAGCTGCAAAGATGGACCTGCAGATACGCTGGCGAGCGATTCGAAGCTCCAACCTGGCCAAAATCCAGGTTTGGGCCCTGAGTCCCCAGCCAACAAGTAGAATGGACTCTTATCCATTTTAATTCAAAACTTTATATCGATGATTGTTCCCGGATCTGGTGCAACCCCAACGTACCGAGATTTTCGAGATCGATTTCTTCTGGCTCAGGCCGTCCTGCAACAGACGATTTACTTTTGCCTATCAAACACTGCAAGCTACGTCAAGAGAGGTTCTCCGACTCAACGCATTACATGCCATGACAACACCACGAGTTGCTTGAAAATACCGTGATGGCTCTTGCCGATCACGAGCTGTTGCCCTGATGACAGCACCTTGGGTGGTTCTTGCCTTTGGGTGACTATCCTGGTTGACCAACAAGCAGTCTGTAGCAATTCTCAGGTAAAATGGTTCTTCTTAGCTTGCAAGGCGACACCTCTTTTGACCTGCATATATAAGTCGGTTATCCTTTCTCTTCCTGCTTCTCCTCTCCTCTTATCCTACCTATCCTTCTTCGTGCTCTAAGCCTCCCAAGCGCATGTGGTACCTAGCAGCTCGGCTCACCTTCACTCATCATTCTACGAAATACATCGTCGAGATTCCGTGCCTGAGTTGAGGCTGTGAGTCTGTGTCTGTCACCTTACACACGTGGTTGCTAACGAAAGCTTCGCTTAGAGTTGCTCCCTACATCTACGTGCGCCACATCTGCCTAACATGGCGAATACCGACCCTATGTCGAGTTCATCCTGGCGCGGATGTCTCATGAGGCAGTCCATTGCGTCGTACTTCTGCGGCAAGAAGGAGCAAGAGAAGAGCAGTGAGGCCGCCGTCGGGGAGGCTTCCCGAAACGAATCGACGGCGTCTTCGAGCAGCAATGGGATTTTGAGTGGCATATCACCTGGGGATGAGCTGGAAGAGAAGGGTAAGTGCAAAATGAGCGTATATGCCTGGTTTCAGCGATAGGCTCTAAGGCGTACCTTGAAATCACAGGGGCTACCGAGGATGATCCCATGGCGTCTCACGGTCTAAAGGATGGTGTCGAATACAAGTCTATGGCTTGGTGGTATGTTGCCAGGGTTTGTCCGTCGTGTGTTGATATTGACCATGCTTCAGGCAAGCTGGAATGGTCATGGTGGCTGAGACCATCTCTCTCGGCATTCTCGCCCTTCCCAATGCCATGTCGAAAGTCGGCATTATTCCTGGATTGATCCTTCTTCTCTGTCTCGGTGCTATGGCTTCATACTCTGGCTATGTCATTGGCCAGTTCAAACAGCGATTCCGACATATTCATTCCATGGCATGCGCCGGAGAGGTTCTCTTTGGCAAATGGGGTGGTGAGATTCTTGGATGGGGTCAGTTCTTGTTCTATGTCTTTATCATGGGCAGCCACATCCTGACCTTTTCCATCATGATGAACGCCATCACTGATCATGGGGCTTGCACCATTCTCTGGATGGTGGTTGGCACTCTCCTCAGCCTACTGTGCACCCTGCCCCGGACTCTGAAGAATCTCTCATACTATTCGGTTGCCAGCTTTCTCAGTATCGTAGGCGCCGTTATGATCACCATGATCGGAGTCAGCATCACGAAGCCCGGTTTCATCGATGGCCGGATGTCGGTCAGGTTGTGGCCTCAGCCGGATCTCTCGTTTCAGGATGGCTTCCAGGCAGTGAATACCATGGTCTTTGCCTATGCAGGACATGTCGCCTTCTTCACGTTCATCTCTGAGTTGAGGAACCCCAACGACTTTCCCAAAGCTCTGGCCTTCTTGCAAATCAGCGACATCAGTATGTACATCATCACGGCCGTAGTGGTGTACGTGTACGCTGGTGAAAATGTCAAGAGCCCAGCTTTGGACAGCGCCAGCACTGTCGTCAAAAAGGTTGCGTACGGCATCGCGATTCCTACCATTGTGATTGCAGGTGTGGTCAATGGGCATGTCGGAGTCAAGTATGTGTATGTGCGAGTGCTGCAGAACAAGCCGCATGATTTGATGCATCAGCCACTAAGACGACACAACGAAGTGTCCAACAAAAAGGAGTTTACTAAATTGGGAATCAGATCCTACGGCACATGGGTTTTGATCTGTACGCTCTCGTGGGTGGCAGCATGGCTGATAGCCGAGGTAGTTCCTGTTTTTAACGACCTTGTTGGGCTAACCAGCGCTCTGTTCGCGAGCTGGTTCACTTTCGGGCTCAGCGGTATGTTTTGGATGCGGTTGAACCTCCTGCAGGACCAGGATGGGAAGCTGAGGATGGTCCCATTCAATCTGTGGACCTGGAAAACGGCCGTGTTGTTTCTGATCAACACTTTGAACATCCTTGTGGCAGCAATTCTGGTGCGTGCACTCTGTGGCAATTGTCACGAAATACATGACAAAGACTAACGGTTGGTAGTGCTTCGTCGGTATCTATGCCAGCATTTCAAGCATGATCCACAATGGAGCCACCAAGAAGCCATTCACCTGCGCGGCTTGAGCTTCGAAGCATGACTGTCTGGACAGACACTTTGGGATAGGAACGTGTTCAGGCGATCAAAGGGGATGGAAGGGATCTCTGGGATTCGCAAATGGGCTCAAGACTTGTTGAATGAGGCTTCTTTGTATGTGGGATAGAGGGAACAGTTATAATTGACGATGCATCACCACGAAAGCGATGATGGGAGGCTCGTCTAGAATCTTTTGGCAAATAGGTTGGGAATGGTCTTTGATGTCGTCTCTGTTGCCGACGTCGTTCTTCTAGATAGATCTGGGTAATGGGTGGTTCGTTGATCATCCGTATGGTTTTATTCTTTGTGTCTGGCGCCGTTGGTGATGGCGTGGTGGCATCTCACCCAGCCTGAGTCTATAGGGGTCTTAGGGAAGGTCTCCGTAGAACCCAGCTCGTACTTGTCGTACTTTGAACCCTCCGTGGATCGGCGGCCATGGGGCTGCTTTGTGGGGGACCCGGCGGCCATCATCCCATGTTCAACTGCCGAAGCGCGCCGGTTCCAAGTGCCGCAGACCGAAGTTAAATAACAGATCAGACCACGACTTAAGAGTCAGGCAACCCGAACTTGGCTGCCGGGTGGTTTGAACAGCTGCTTTACTCGAGGCCAAGGCTGGGTTTATTGTTTGTGCGATGTACGAAGTCAGGGCTCGTTGATGACTTGTGACTCTCTTAGATTTCGCTGTGGCCAAACACTGGTACATGCGGCATTGTCTTTTCCCGCTCTGGTGAGCGGTCATCATGGTCGGGATGGGCCACGGCAATGTCATCACGTAGGATGGATCGATATAGGATGCTTCCAGACACGAGGGTGGGAAGGAATGGATTTTTTTTAAAAAGCCTCGCTAACCCCAGACTTCGTCCTCCGTGTCCTCGCTGGCTCTATCTAACCATCGCCTCCTCATCTCTCCACCCTCGGTAAATACTCCCCTGATCCTAGCATCTTTTTTCTCCTCTCGAGCCACTCAAAGAACTCGTTCCGGAAAGAAACGCACCTGTTCAGCTGCAACCGGCCGACGTCACCATCAGAGATGGCGAAGCTACAGCTCCATGTCTGTGTCGTCGGTGCAGGCCTCGGTGGGCTCGCGGCGGCCATCGGCATCACCAGAGCTGGCCACAGGGTCACGCTTCTCGAGCAAGCAGCTCAACTAGGCGAGGTCGGCGCGGGGATCCAGATACCTCCCAACACGACCAGGATCCTGGCCAGCTGGGGCCTTCTACCGGCCATCGAAGACGTCTCCGTGCGTCCCAACAACGTGGTGATGCGGTCCTACCGAGACGGCAAGGTCCTGTCCACTCAACCTCTGATTCCGCTGTGCGAAGACGTCTACGGATATCCCTACCTCCACATCCACCGTGCCGATTACCACAAAGTCCTGGTCGACGAGGCTCGGAGACTGGGTGTGGACATCCAGCTGGACAGCTGCGTGACCGGCGTGGATTTCGAGGAACCGGCGGTCCACATCAAAAACCGGCCTCAACCGCTCACATGCGACGTCGTCATCGGCGCGGACGGTCTCAAAAGCGTATGCCGCGAGTCCCTCCTCGGACGGCCAGACCCGCCGTACCTGACGGGCGACCTCGCGTACCGAATCACGGTCCCGGCAGAAGCCATGAAGGCCCATCCGCTCCTGGCGGACCTCGTCGCCGTCCCCAACATCAACATGTGGCTGGGGCCCGACAGCCACGTGGTCTGCTATCTCTTGAAAGGCGGCAACCTGTACAACATCGTCATCGCGTCTCCGGACAACCTGCCCGAGTTCGTCAGCCAGCAAAAGGCCGACCTGGAGGAGATGCACGCGCTGTTCCGGGACTGGGACCCCCAGCTCCGGGCCCTCCTCGACCTGTGCAAGGGCACGGCCAAGTGGCGGCTGCAGAACTCGCGCGAGATGCGGACGTGGTCGCACCCATCGGGCCGCTTCACGCTGCTCGGCGACGCGTGCCACGCGACGCTCCCCTACCTCGCCCAGGGCGCCGCGCAGGCCGTCGAGGACGCCGCGGTGCTGTCGCGCCTGTTCGAGAAGATCGAGCACAAGCACCAGCTGGCCGACCTGCTGACCATGTACGAGGCCGTGCGGAAGCCGCGCGCGAGCTACGTGGTCAAGAGGAGCTCCGAGACCGGCCAGACCATCTACCACCTGCACGACGGGCCGAGGCAGAAGGAGCGGGACCGGCAGATGCTCGCCGGCCAGAGGGAGCCGTACCAGGGGTACCAGAACCCGTGGCGCGATCCCGTGTTCCAGAGGTTCCTGTTCAGCTACAACGCCTTCGACGAGGCCGAGAACGCCTGGTTGAAGTACTGCAAGGGTCAGTTCCCCGGCACGGCCGGCGACTTTGGCAGAGAAGAAGAGGGCGAGGGCGTGAGGAAGGCAGGCAGAAAAGAAGTCGGCGAGCTGAGGAGGGCAGAGGATAGAGAGAGAGGAACAGGGATCGGCGGCGGCGGAGGAGGAGGAGGAGCAGCGCGGCTGTAATAGTTTGCTGTGATCCCTTTTCGTTGTTTGAAACCCCCCCCCCTCCCCTTTTTGCGAGATCTCATCTAGTTAGAGCGCGAGCCATGGCGACGGGGAACGACTGTACAGTATACCGGAAAGACTAAGACGATAATTTTACGAATGTAGCGGCAATGTGGATTCGAGGTTCTCTGAACTCGAATATCAAATCCATTTGACAGGTCCAGGTGTAACGAATAATAGACCATAGATAGGTACAGCACCGTACTGTAATAAGTACCTACCCAAGTCGAGAATGGGGGCCCTCGAGGCGTCTGGATCGGCCTTGTTCGCCTAACTGTGGAGGTAAAGTTCGCCTGCGCAAGCGAGTTTCTAGGCGGCAGGCTCTTCGGCTCTTGCGGCTGAAGATGTCCAGTCGGCGACGTGTATGCTGTGTGGAAGTAGACGTCAAGTACCTAGCATGATTGATGGCACGAATCTCATTATGAGTACTTGTGTTAGTACTATACCTAGTACGCTTGTATGCCTCTATCCTTGTTACCAGAGAATGTAAGGCAATGTATATCTTCATCATTGCTTGCCGGATCATCAACCATAACTCGGCGACTTCTTTGCACGCGTCTCGAATAGGAAACGCGTAAACACTGAACCGCAGATACAACGCGGCAGATCTGCAATCTCGGAGTCAATCTGAGCCAGTATTCAACCTGGTCGACATGCCTTCTCTGGCACAAGATGACAGAACATGAACCCGTATTCAATACCGCGCGCCAATGCTCGAAATGACCTCCCGCCACGACCAGCCGACGCACCCTGGACGGCATCCCGGTGCAAGAGGATTCTTCGACAAGTTACCAATTTTGTCAACAGACTCGAAAGATGGCACTCGACCTTGTTGGCCGCGCAAGGAGAGGGGAGATCTTGTCAAGGCCACGTTGAGAGCTCTGCGGCCACCGATACTGCGTCGGATTGGCTGAGTACAGCAAGAAAGAAGAAAAGGCCGTTGAGAACATATTCTTCTCGCAATGCGAAGACAAAGACGACCACAAAGACGACCCCAGAGACACCTTCGTCGAGGCGCACATCGTCTCGATATACTCTGAGAACGCCACGTAGCAACGGTGTTCTCTGCGTCCCTCCGACGATTCAGCAACAACCCGCACAGCAATCAAGAGGACACCATAGGAACAAAGCTGACGCCGGCGAGGAAGCCATGGTAGACAATGGGACGGGGACTGAGAGACACTGGCTACTTGGGACATATCCTTCGAAAGAACACGAAATCCTGTTCAACCAGGGCTGCTCAATCATGTCGACCTTCCTAGTCGCAACTGCAAGTTCTACGGATCCGTCACAGTACCAGGATGGCAACCGTGTGCCTTCAAGACGCGGCGCCCGGTCACTATTTGATATGAGCTTGGATAAAATCTGTCGAGAGGCCGTCGAGCAGCAGAGAGAAAGTGATGCCAGCCACGATGGAAACGACGGAAGGTGCGACATCGTGGGCTCTTTCTTCCAGGAAATGGAAGACTTCTTTGGCAACCCGGAAAACGGCTGGCCATCACTGCGAGCGGCGGTACGCACATGTGGCATCTACATGATCACTCGTATTACGGAAACAGGCATCCTACCGGAAAGCATGGCCATGCATTTCTTAACACAGTGGTCGTCTCCTCTAGTGGCTGACTTCCAAAGAGCTATCCGCCGCTCATTGCTGGAGGCGCGAAGTCACAAACATGACGTAAAGCTCGTTTTCGACCATTTGCTTGACGAAAAGATACTCAAGATGGAATTGGACTCACAATCTGTTCATGGACTTACGAGCATGTCGATGGCACTACAGATTCTCCAAAATGCCGAAGATCCTATATGTGCGATTGAGCGCTTACGATTCCGGAATCTGTTCGTAATCATGGGAATCTACCGCGAACCTCAGTCAAGGTTGAACAGCATTGTACCACAGCTGCTCGAAGCAATATTTGTAACTTCTGTCGCCACATCCGGTAAGGCCGATCGGCGAGCACTTCTGCGTGGTGGCGAGCTCGATACACCTGAATCATATTGTACTACGATATCTGATGCCACCATTAAAAGACTCACATATGGCTGGAGTATGATGGTGGCACTTTGTATCAGAGAGCACACACGCACAGCTTACCGTCCCTTGGTGGAGAGAATCTCCAAACAAGTGCAGACAGTGGTTGAGCTGGACGTACACTTGGAGATGACTGCTAATCAACGTGGTGTTGCTGCTCATGTCTTCTTGGGCAATCTCTTTCAAAGCCTGATCCATCATGATGACGTCGACTTGGGTCTGTTGGCAAGTCTCGACTCTATTCTTTCCGACGAATGCTTCTCCCTGATCTCTGGCCCCGTCATCGCCATGATTCTTTACGAGTGTGGCAAGTCTCAAGATAGTTTGCGCACTTTCCTAAGGCAGCTGTTGGAGATAGACTGTGGCGACTATCGAAGGCTGAATGTGGCGCTTACCAAGCTCGGTGTAGAAGCTGTGCAGGAATATGCCGTTGAACATGCCGAGCAGGGTTCTAACGAAGCATGGACAATGGCGATCATTGAAGCATTCGAAGCAAAGCAGCAGCGAAACGTTGCTAGCGTTCCAGGGATTCCTTCGAGGCAACTTGAGACGACCTACACATGGGATCCAACGATTGCGGATTGGATCGCCGTAACTCCTAGCGCTAGCCGAAACGTCGAGAACAGCACGGACAGCAGTTCGCAAGGCGAGGAATGTGCGCACAGCAAACCCACGTCAAAAAGAAAAGTCCGTGCCGTTTCAGACCGACGGCCTCTTGCACCCTTGTCTCGCAACAGTATCCACGAAGGCCCATATCAGAACAGACGAAGAAGTGAGCCAGCCGGTTTGGAGACGCAATGGGACGGCGATTTTCAGTACAAGCGGGTAAAGCGCGCTGGCCGGCAGACGACCGCGACGATGAAGACCAGACATAGTATGGATGACACTGATGAATCTGTGGATGAGTTGAGTTTGCTTACATAGATGTGCGGCCCATGATGGCATGCTAGGATGCGGAAGCAACGTGCGCCACAGACGTAGATTGTTGAGAATGCGCCATGGCTCTTGCAGATAAGGAATCTGGATTGCAGCATCTCAGGAACACTATACGTGGAAATGAAGAGCATGATAGCGAGTGAGGTAGATAGTGATTGAGGTCTGTGCGACAGAAACTACATCAGGCCAAGAATGTGAACGTCAGCCATCTTAACCATATGTAGTACGGAGGGTACGTGGACAGGGCGTACCCAAGTGGAGTCGGGAGCCTTATACAGAGTAGACGAGGTTTGTCCTCCTCAGAACACGAGAAAGTATAGTCGAGGCACAAAGAATAACGAGCATAAGCTTCAATAGGCGGATATCGGGATGTTATAGGCCTGGAACTAACGTTTCAGGTGTTGAAACTCAAACGGGACTGACGAGTGGAGGGACGAGATGGAAATCCATGCAGCATCATGTATGTACGTGTTGCCAGTGGACTGCAAGTTTTAAGTTATTGGGGACGAACAGCTTGAGATGGGCCACGAGTATTGCACCTGAAGCAAGGAAGCTCCAAGTACTCCTACGAAACGGAGTGGGCATTCGCAGCCTCCGGAGGCCGGCGTGTTTCAATGGCCCGATCACATACTCCCCCGGAGCCAATAGGAGTCAAGTCCTCCGGCTTGGCTGTTGAGATGGCCACATCTAATCCCCCCGATCCTTGGGCAAGCAAGATACAATAGCCGGGCCAGGACGGCGATGATCGTCATCGGGACCACCGACTGGATCCTCGATTGGTCGTTCCGAGTTTGTAGGCCCTGAGCCAACTACCATCTTCGCCATCGTTCTCTTCGTCCCTTCCTTCCTCCCTCCCTCCCATGCTCCACCACGGTATCTTCCACGACCATCTATCTGCCCAGATAACAGCCTCAGCAAGAGGCGTCTCTGGCCTCTGCGATGACTACGAGTGCAACAAGCCATCGCTCACTTGGTCGGAGTCTGTGCATCCCGATCCTTCCAGCTCAGCTACTGCTTCGAGATAAGCTACAAACTGCAGGTCATTGAATGCTGTCCTCAGACAAGCACCGTGTCACTCTCTCAGCGCCGACCCAGAGCATTCTGGGTCGTGCCGAGAGTCGATGACCCATGCACCCATGCGTCCACGATATACCTTGTTGCGTTCGTTTCAGAACCCAGTGAATACTACGAGGCGCCATAGCCAGGTGAGTTCGTCATTTCCGGTCTCCATGCAGCTATCGCCCTTGGCGGAGGTTTGCAAACTATTCACTCCAGGAACCTCTATATCACCATCATGGCATGTCCGCGTGTTGGTCTTTGTTCATGCTCTTGTTCTTCTGCAGTGACATTCCAAAGACCCTTTGTCGCCCTTCGTCTCTGGCAGACTGATCCTTTCTCTGCTTTCCTTCTCGATCTCTCCTTGCTTTTACTGGAAACATCATGGTTCCTATACTTACACTATTTGCAATCGCTATGGCGTCGACGACTGCGAGTGCTGCCTATGTGTCTGCAGGCAACGGCACGCAAGGCAGTTCACAGTATCAGAATGCCGGCGCCCAAGAGCATCTCGCTCACCTCAACAAAATCTTGGCTTGGAACTATCTTTGGGCGTTGCTGGGTGTGGCCGGCGTGGCCTTTGTTTATGCCACGTTCCGTCGCATCGACACCCACGTCCGGCACCTGGCGTCGATGAATAGACCCGCGGCGCTTCGATACTTTTCCAAACCATCGTCGACCCTTTCTCTAATCAAGAGCCACCTCCTCTACGCGCCTCTCCTGCACCACCGACGCGCTGGCGAGCTCAAGGTCTCCAAGCGCATCAGCTTCGGCACCGTTCCTACACGACTCCAGGCCGTCTTCATCTTCTTGCTCTTGGCCACGAATGTCTTCGCCTGTGTATGGAACATTCCGTGGCCCGCTCCTGAACTCCAAGTCCTACCCGTCCTCCGCGACCGGTTCGGATCCCTGTCTGTCGTCAACCTCATCCCTATCGTGGTCCTGAGCACAGTAAAGAATCCCTTGATATGGCTGCTGGACATCTCCTACGACACGTTCAACCTCTTGCATCGTTGGCTGGGTCGCATCTCCATCTTGCAGGGGATCGCACATGTGATCTGCTACCTTATCGCAAAGGTCAAGACGGCCGGTTGGGCCGGAGTCGGCAAATCGGTGCAGGCCAAGTTCATCTACAGTGGCCTTATCGCTGCCATCGCCTTCACCGTCATTCTCTTACAGAGCCCAAAGGTATTGAGAGGTCTTTCGTATGAGTTCTTTCTACATTTCCACATTGTCCTCGTCATTCTCATGTGCGTTTTCCTCTGGATACACCTGGATGTGAAAACGCTTCCACAGCGACACCAGCTCCTGGGCTTCATCATCCTCTGGGCCGTCTTTAGAGCCTGGAGATTCGCAACCTTGCTGTACCGGAGCTTTGGGTCCAGCGTCTGCAAGGCCAAGGTAGAAGCCATGCCTGGGGGCGCCGTGAAACTCCACATCACCAGCCCTCGACCGTGGCAGTACCGGCCTGGACAATCTTTGTTCCTGACCATTCCCTCGGTCGGTCTCTGGACAGCACACCCCTTCTCGGTCGCGTGGTCCGGCAGCGAGGAGACCATCTCAAGGAGCGACTCAACCAGGACTTTCAACGAGAAGGCTCCGATAGTCCAGCGCAAAGAAGTTGAGGTGGACGCCCGTGGTGACCGAACGATGTCGCTCGTCATTAAGAAGCATCGCGGGCTGACTCGAAAGCTCTGGGATCGTGCAGGCAAAGCAGAAGGTCATCTGACCGTCAATGCTTACATCGAAGGCCCCTACGGCCACGAACAGAGTTTGTCCAGCTACGGCACCGTGATGCTGTTCGCGGGTGGAGTTGGCATAACTCATCAACTTCCGTACGTGAGAGAGCTCGTCGAGGGTTACAGCCACGGCACCGTTGCGGCCCAGAGAGTCACGCTCGTCTGGGTCATCCGTACGGCCGATTGTCTGGACTGGATTCGTCCCTGGATGCACGAGGTGCTGAACATGGAAGGACGACGAGAAGTGTTGAAGATCTTGGTGTACGTCACGCAAGAGGGCCTGACTCAGTCGGTCAGAAGCCCCAGCGAAACGGTCCGCATGTCACGGGGGAGACCAGACGTGCTGTCGTTGATGGCGCAAGAAGTCGAGCAGAAGATGGGCTGCGTCGGGGTAAGCGTCTGTGCCGGTGGCGGGTTGGCCGACGAGGTCAGACGTTCTTCGCGTGTGTTGTTGGGCCAGGGTGCAAATCTGGATTTCATGGAAGAGACCTTTGGGTGGTGATGCGAATGTTTCTGGATTGTAGATTGTTATGATGGTCTTTTTGCCTTCTTTGTCCTCGAAGCTCGACTTGTGGTGAGTGGACTGGTTGTATTCTTCGGAGTCGGAGTTCTGGGATAGACTTGATCGGTGAATGAGGCGGGGGTTGATGTTGACGACTGTGAGCGGCTATAGAGATACCAAGACTAGACCGACTAACGACACACATTTACACTTGAACCATACATACGCTAGGAGACATGCTCGAGCCGAGAAGGGCAGATGCACGTAGATACATGCCTAGGCCACCCGTACTCTCTGAGTGTGAGTCGAGGACTAGTTTAATGCTGCGGGTGGTGGTGGTGGTGGTGGATGTTCCCACTGTAACTGCTGCTCCCTCATTGGCTGGTTTGTGTACGTCAGCCATGGTTTCTCTTAAATCTCCTGATCATCAGCTTTCAACATTCATTAATTCCTCACTGTCATCGCTGCCAGCAGATTCCCAAACCCTCCGCACAACAACGGCTGTCCTCCCACTGCATCGTCACCAAAAAAGTTCTAGAAGTGACAGCTGAGATTTATATCCTGAGGTTTACCGCGTCAACCGCCGCCGTCCGGGGCCGTGTCGTCTTTTATCTCACGGAGGGATTCTCTCAGCTTTGGGAACCACCGAGTTGGGCCGTGTGCTCCGTCCGCACTACAGATCTCTGTTCTTTCACCGTCAAGAAATGATCCGGCGGTGATTCACTCAGCGGACCGGTATCTACGAAAAGAAGCCCTACCAGACACGAGAAGTTTGTTTGTTTTGTTTGTCTGTCTGGACCGCCCGAAAAAAAAAACTACCCGCATCTCTGTGATCCTTTTTTTCTTTTTCAAGCATGCCTCCTCCCCGGCGGCCTTCGGCTCCAGCCCAGGCCAACGAGTACAGTACCGCGTTCGGCCGAGCTCACCCAACACTGGCGAAGGGGCTCGTCATGGTCTGTCAGAGCTCGGGACCATTGTTGATCGGGACGCTCCTGTGGACCGCCGGAGTTCTTCGCCGTCCGATGTGGGAACGGGTGACCCTGTGGAGGGCCTATCTCTGGACCTTCATCTCCAGATGGGTGCTCGTCAGCTGTGCCATCACCTGGTCCCTGGCCGGCTGGGAAGGCCAGAACGGAGACCCAGCTGAAGACGTCGGCCAGAATTGAAGACATTGCCGATATTACCAGTCACCGTCTGTTACTCTCGTCACGTCGGCCTCGAACAAATGGGTGTGGTGTTGGTGTTTTGTCTGAAAATGGAGACGATGTTCTGTGACAAGGACGAGAATCGATCGCGTCGAGTGTTCCCAAGGACACATGTGTGTGGGGAGGGGGGTGGTTGGTGGTCCCGAAAGTGATGATGAGCATCCATACACACACCCAGACGGCATCTTGGTCAAAGTGAGGCACCATCCAAGATACAACAGACAAGAAAGTCTGCGAACGCCATAACACGACATGGGTGAATCTTCTGACTGAAAACGTCCAAACGCAAACGCAACCCACAGCAACAAAGGCGCCGCTACTCTTCCCCCTCCAGCTCCGACGAACACGAGAAGATCGCAGCAGATATCCAAAATAATACCACCACCACCACCACCACTCCGCATTTACCTGTGTGTGTGTGTGTGTGTGTGTGTGTGTGTGTGTGTGTGTGTGTGTGTGTGTGTGTGTGTGTGTGTGTGTGTGTGTGTGTGTGTGTGTGTGTGTGGCTCGTCATGGTTTCTCGTGTGAGCCCCCGAAAGACCCTTCGGGGAGGTTCCCACGATCGATCGAAAGAAGTAAATTTGCGAACAACAACCCTAGGCTGCCTTACCTAGCCTGCGAGCCCACCCGCCAAGGTGTCAAGTATTCGCCTTCACGCTTTGCAAGAGAAAGCCTTGACGGTCGATTCAAATGGTCATCACGGGATATTTTGGGTCTACTCACTGCTATCATCCCGTCAAGTTGTACGGAGCGTGCGTGCAGACGGTGTGACAAGCACCGAGTACACTGTCAACTTCCGACCTGAGGCAGAGATATATCCGTAATGTATATACACAATCAAAATCACACAAGGTGCGAAACAACACAGTCAAATGACTCCAGGACGGGGCAACCAATATCGGCCGGCTATCGTGCGATTTGTTTGTACTAGACACTGCGGTGGTGAAGTTGTCAAGGGAGATCTCGTCCTGTACCGAATGTGCTTTGACTGCAAACAAATCTATGTATGCCCAAATGCTAAAAATGTGGTATACACAACCAATGAATGGATCCGCACATATATGTTCAAGATCGGGCATCCTTCCTGTCCTTCATGATGCACATGTGCTTTGGGATTTTTGGAACACGCGAGACCAGCCCAAGAAGACTGGACCCTTGCGCCTTGTCACCAATGAATGGATCCGCACACCCACTGTTGGTACAGATCCCCCCGGGTAATGGTATAATAGTTCTCGTCATTCCCTCATGATCTTGTCAACTTCTTTCCCCCCTTCGTTGTCACCTCACTCGCCTCTTCCTTTTGCCCTTTTTTTTCCCCGTCGTCGCTCCTTGTGATATGATGTGATGCGAACAACGACGCAGGACTCCGCCCCTCCCCCTCGTTTTATCATAATTCTTCATTAAAATTATATGGCCTTGATCAGTTCTTGAAGTCTCCCTTGGAGTGGTAGTCCTCCCAATCGTAGTAGACCTGGAACTCGGCGTAGGAGGTGTCCGGATCGCTCTCCATCTTGGCGGTGTATGCGGCCTCTTCCTCGTCGATCAGGACCTTGGGGATGTTTCCGCCTTGGGACGCGGCCTCGGCGAGCAACTGGCCCTGGCACGCGTGCTCCATCGACAGGAACAAAAACGCAGCCTCGTCGACCGTCTTGCCGACCGTCAGGAGACCGTGGTTTCGCAGGATGGCGGCCTTGTTGGTCGGGCCGAGGGCTTTGGCGATCTGGGCGCCCTCTTCGCTGGCCAGCACGACACCGCCGAACGAGTTGTACACGCTGTGCGCCTTGTAGAACTTGCACGAGTCCTGAGTGAGCATTTCAAGGGGCTTGCCAAACACGCTCCACGCCTTGCCGTAGACGGTGTGCGCGTGGCAGACGGCGTGCACGTCTGGGCGAGCCTTGTGGACTTCGCTGTGGATCAAAAAGCCCGCGTGGTTGGGGGGGCGAGTGCGGTTGCCGCCGACGACCTTGCCGTCAAAGTTGACGGCGATCATGTCGCTTGCCTTCATTAGGCCGAAGTGTACACCGAGGGCTATATTGTCTTGGTTAGTATTTTCCTTGCGCGTCTTGCTTTTCCATCAGGACGGGGAAAAGGGGTTGGTTACGACGCACGATTTGTCCAGAAAACATCCTCGTGTTCGGGGTCTCTGACGCTAATGTGCCCTGAGATACCCTCGACATAACCCTCGCGCGCCCAGTGGCGGAAGGCCGCTGCCATGTGCTCGAGTTGCCATTGACGCTTGGCAGCCATATCGGTAAAAGTGGGAACACCGGGGAGAGCCACGTCGCCGTGGGAGATGGCCTGAATGGGTCTCGTGTCTTCCAGGCCGTGGACGTGTTGAATCTGGTCCGCTGGCTTGACCGATTTCGAGGCCAACGGCCCCGAGGGCAGAAGATCGCTGATAGCCGATGGAGCCATGCTGAATGAGGAGAAAGATGTGGAAATCGATGAAGCCTGTATGTAGTGAAAGAAACCGGTATATGAAACAAACTTGCAAGTCGTTGCTTCAAGTCGGATGCCAGTCTATATAAATCAATCAGACCCCTGTTCGATCGGGCGGGGGATAAGTTATAAGGCGTGCAATGTCGACGTGGGGTTCTTTTCGGTCAAGTCGTAACTCGAAGTCCGTGCCGGCTCGGGGACTCCTGCCGCTTCGCTGATTTCCGAGAGTCTTCGATTGGAAGAAACTTCAACAACTAGGACTTTTGGAGGCAAGCCACGCCGAGAGTCCAGGAGTCGCTTTCCCTGTCTGGGCTGGTTGCCAGCAGAATTGTGTAGCCGGGTCTGTTGGGTGACTCGAGCTCCTCCACACGGGTGATCTTGAAGCCCTTCCTGAGCACCCAGCACCGGGCCGGTGGCAACCGGGTGTCGTAGCCTCGTAGGGGCGGACGAGGCCTCGTACTCGTGAGGCCGCAAGGCTGTGAACGTCTAGTCACGTGCGTTGACACGCTCCTGACGTCACTGCAAGGCTGAGAGTTTTGGCCGTCGCAGCCTGACGCAAATCGAACTGCGCATTTCAACCGTGATCAAGTGTTCAGACTCGGTTCAGCCACCCCCTGGACACATCTCCCGCTGATTCATGATGGCTTCGAATGTCCTCGAGATACCTTTTCGGCGGACACACTCGGTCGACCTCTCCTCCGCCATCAAACAGTACATCTCCAGCAAATATGACCAGTCCCCGGGCATGTTTACAGATGATCTTCGCGGAATCGACGCCCTCCGAGCCGATGCCATCAACGTTCAAGAACCTCATACCAGCGGCCTCAGGCGTCTTACGGCCTACGCTGCTCAACTACGATACATAGGAGGGAAGTTTCCGATCGATATTGGCGTGGACTTTCCCTGGTACCCCGCCATTGGATATGACAGGGACAAACCAATTCTGCAGAACAATATCAGGTTCGAGCTCGCGAATATACTGTTCAACCTTGCTGCGCTATACTCACAGTTGTCCACTCACACAAACTGGACGACCATCGACGGGCTGAAACAAGCGGCGGAATATGGGATCGCGGCGGCGGGAGTCTTCGCCTTCATGCGAACAGAGATCATCCCTGACATGCGCTCCACCCCTCCCGAAGATATGGATGATGTGACTCTGGACAGTCTGCAGAGTCTCTGTCTCGCCCAAGCACAAGAATGTTTCTGGCAGATTACCGTCAAGAAGAACATGTCGGACGGGACGGTCTCTAAATTGGCAGCTAAAGTGTCGGACTACTACATCGCCGCAGCAGACGCGTCCCGCCAGTCAAGAGCAGTGAGTAGTGAGTGGATACATCACATGCAAGCGAAGCACCACCATTTCGCGGCCGCCGCTCAGTATCGACAGTCAAGGTATTGTCTACAGAACAAGCAGTACGGGGAAGAAATCGCCCGCCTAAAAGACAGTATAAACTGCGTCAACGAGGGACTTCAGGAAGCCAGATGGGTCAATGCGACCGTAGTGGGAGACTTGAACGGGTTAAAAACCAGAGTGCAAGAAGATTTGAAACGAGCAGAAAAGGACAACGATGTCATCTACCTGCAAGCCGTCACACCAAAGTCGGAGCTGAGACTGCTTGACCGCACCAACATGGTCGCACCGAAAACACCGGCAGAGGTCGCAAATGGGATCTCGCTCCTTGGAGAAGGACAACCATTTGGGAAGCCTCTCTTTGAGAAACTCGTGCCCTATGCTGTCCACCAGGCAGCCTCGATATATGAAGATCGTCGAGACCGCCTGGTCAACCAATCAATAATTGCGGATCTCGAGGCCATGACTGCGAGGTTGCGCGAAGTCCTCCAGTCACTCGACTTGCCTGGATCATTACAAGCACTGGAAAAGCCTCTCGGTATTCCCGGAAGTTTGGTCTCCAAGGCCGAAGAGCTTCGTCAACAAGATGCCCTGTATCGGATAAAACGGTCGATAGACGACACTACCAAACTCAAGACGAACGACGTGGCCATCTACCAGGAAGGCGTGTCGCTTCTAGACGCAGAAAAGGCCGAAGACGACAGGGCTCGATCAAAATATGGTACGGACCGATGGAATCGTCCTTCATCTGAAGTCGCTCTGGCAAAGCTGTACCAAAGCTCAAAAGAGCTGCAGACGTATCTAAACTCGGCGGCAGCAAGCGACAGCCTCGTACAAGCCAAACTCCGCGAAAACGAGCACATTCTCAAAGTACTGAGTGGCACAAACCGTGACCTCGAGCGGTTCGTGCCTTCGTCTCGACAAGTCGAAATGACGCCGGCGATTGAGCAGGCCGCATCCCGCCTCCGCACGTGTCTGAACGAGGTCTCTCGTTTGGAGACTCGGCGAAAGAATCGCATCAATGCGCTGCGCGAAAAGGCTCAAGCAGACGACATCGGTCCTGCCCTACTCACCGAGGCAGCCAGACTTGAACGTGAATTCCCCATGCAAAAGATCGAACCCGGTCAATTCGAAGGTCTGTTTGATAGACGGCTCCAAACATACGACTCGGATCGTGACGTACTGGTGGTCGAGCAGGAAGAACAAGATCAGATAGTGGCGCGACTTCGAGAAGCGAACAAGGCCTTTCTGGAGGCGCGAAGAGGCGATACCAGTACACGCGATCGGCAGAAGGCTCTACAGGCTCTGGACACAGGATACTCCAAATACAAGGAGCTCATTAGTAACCTCGAGACCGGTCGGAAGTTTTACAACGATCTAGCTGGGCATGTCACCCGGTTTAGAGAAAACTGCAAGGCACAAGTCAACGAACGACGTGTCGAAGCTAGTCAGCTGGAAGCCGAGCTCGCAGGACAAGACATGGGAAGACTTAACCTGGAAGAAACAAGGCGTGAGTTGGCTGGACCGCAGACCAGGAGCCGTGGTCAAGTCGCCAGCAACCCACAGCAGCCACAACGGAAAAGGCAGGGGCAGGGGCACGAGGACGGGGCGGGAGCTGGACAAGAAGGCATCATATCTGCGCCCATACCAACAAGAAATCATCACCCACCTCCCCCTTCTGTGGAAGCAGCCGGAGTCATGCCTTCGACTGCTCCTGTTTCCGTGAACGTCGCAGGTGGAAGTATTGGTGGAGGAGGAGTATGGACGCCAGATATAGGGATCAGGTTTGGTGGTGGTGCCCCAGCGAATCAGCCTGGACAAGCTGGGTATCCTGTCCCTCGACGTGCCTAGAATAAATTGTGTTGTGGTGGTGTGGATCTAGCCCGAAAGTTGCGCAAAATCACTGTTTCCCGGAGACTTGTTGTATTCTTTCTTCTGCTTCTGAGACGACAAGAGGAATCATCAAGCTGTTTTGGTTCTTTGGATCGAGACGGGTCCGTATAGTGAGTAGATAGCTTGAAAAAGACTACTGTGACGAATATACGAGGCATGGAGACGTTGAGGCATAGTAGGGAGTATTCTATCTGTAACGTGGTCAGGACGGCGACGAGCTACGTATCGAGGACTGTTGGAGAGCGATGAAAGGGTTGCGGTGGGGGGTGGTGGTCATGGTGTTCTGTCCTACGAAACATCCCTCATCGCCCAAGGTCGGTGCTTGCCACCTCTCGTGAAGTCAACAATCGAGGGAGACAAATAATCTTGTCTCATAGAGGATATCCTCGGTATACGTACACCGTTCCGTATCCTCGTTTTACTCCTACTGTACACAGCCCCGTGTATAGTCCAGAAACACATCTTGCTCGTCGAGCGGTGATCGATCGTACTCACTGCTCCCTCCATGTTTACTCGTTGGCTGGCTCTGGGTCTCACCGCGCCACGAGCCCCTGAAGCCGGAACAGCGTGACTGTAGCCGTCAAGCTCCCCCGGGGAATGGCGCTGGCATCCTCGAAAGCCACATCAGGGGGCGTGACGAACAAGGTATGTGCTGTAGCAAACCGAGTATTCTGCATAAGCTGCGTGATGACTGCCCCCACAAGATCAAGGTTCATCTTCGGCATGATCTGTACACCCGATCTTTGATCCTGGATGGGAAAGGTCCTCCGTTTTCTCGAGTGAACTTACACAACTGGCTGCCTGTTTCGTTCCAATGATATTCGTGAAACTTCGACGCTGAAGGATCGGTTCTGAGGCTCAGCATGAGCGAATGGCCTTCCAGACTTCCCGAATTATCCATTCGCGTGGACAAGATTTCGAGTATTCCATGTATGTATGGATTTTGGGAATGACAGTGGGCACCGCAAAGTTGCCTGCCTGTTTCCGTCCGACGATGTTCGTAAGTCTTCTTCCGGTAGAGTGTTGGCTCGGAAAGTCAAACGGCCATTCTGACCCGTACACATGTAGCAAACCATCGGGTTTCCAGGCCGTAAGCGGGTATTTCTCCTTTTGCATATCTGGATTCTGGACCAGCCCATAACGTACAGAATCCATTTCCGGTCATGCTTTGGTACGCCTCATTTTATTCTTTCCGGTGGGACTGTTGACTGGATAAACATGGCACATCAAGCACATGCTAGCGCTAGCTCTCTGGATATCGCCCCGTAAGACCCAAAACAGCATGCATTCTGTCTGCTGAGAAAACTTTGGAAGCGTGAAAGTTTTCACATTGACTCACATGGAGGCAAGGCGAGGGGGGTGAGGGCGGAGGAGGAGAGGAAAGGTCTGGGAAACTACAAATGCCTCCCCCCCCCCGGTCTCCTCTCGACTTTTTTTTCCTTTTCCTCAGATTTCAGAACACTTACACGTCACACTAACAATTCATTCAAAATGGGTTGTTTTTGCAGCAAGCAAGCTTCCGCAGAGCCACCAACAACACCTCCACGACCGGTTTCCCTTTGTGGAACTCCAAGTCAACAGTCTTCCCTTCGCAGTGTCAATGTTAAGACTCCGGTCAAGACCAGGTCGCAACAAAGTCACAGCTCTGATAGAATATCTACCAGAGTTCCCAAACCAGTTCCCGAGCACCGCCCTGGCATGCGACGACGCAGGGGCTTCGACGCTCACGGTCGGTCCGTGTTCGCGTCCAGTGTCTATTCTCAGAGTCACGACAGTGATTATGAGTTGGATACCGGATCGGGACAAGGAGCCCACCGTAAGTGGTACGTGAAGCATGATCGCTTCGGCTACTGAGTCGTCGCAGAGTTCTTCGTCCACAGAGGTTCGATAGCGTTCATTGGGGATAAGTAGCCGCTTGTTGCGAACAGCCCCAATGTGTCGCTAAAGGCCTCTGTGGGCAAGTTCTCTGCCATCGAGGTGGTGCAGGCCCTGGTTTGGGGGGGCGATATGGGGAGATTGGAGACGAAGATGAGCCCGTAAGAAAACTGTCAATGGGGGTGGGCGGGCGACCCCTGCATCGTTGTCATCGCCTTGCGCGATGCTTCGGGGCGGGGGTCGTCACCTTCTTCGAAAGTCCAATTGCGCCGACGGTTCTGAAATCTCGGCTGAGGGGAAGAGCAGAAAAAACGGAGGTGAGTTTGTGCGTATCTGAACTCCGTTGAAGTATGAGTACCCTCAGTCAACAATCTTTTCTGAAACGCCACAACACACCTGGACGAGAGCAGAAACGACTTGAGTTTATGGTTTTCTTTCAAAGTCAAAGTATGAAGCTCGGGTGTCAACACTCTTCAAAACCTTTCATGACGGAGGGCGAGAACAGAAACGAGGTGTCAGATTTGGTGAACTCACCTCAAAGTATGAAGCTCTCCGTCGCCCTTCGGGGCAACTCCTTTCATTTCATCTACCCGGGCAAGAACAGAAAATGACGGAAGAGTTTGTGGATCTCCATGTCAGAAGTATGACGCCCGTGGTTCAAAGGCTTCGGCCACAACACTTCCAAACCACTTTTCTTTTGACGAAAGGCGAGAACAGAAAGCGTGCCAGCGTGGTGAACTCACGTCAGTATGAAGCCTTTGCGTCGCCTTCGGGCAACCCTTTCATTTCACTTACCTGGGAGAGAACAGAAAGACGGAAGAGTTTGTGGTCTCCAAGTCGAGTATGAATCCTGGGTTCAAAGGCTTCGGCCACAACCTCCAAACCACTTTTGCTTTTTTTCGCGTGTCCTTTTCAACTGTTAATACTGGGTGTTTCCACAGGGCTCATGGAGGACTTTCATCTATCCCGCTGAGTATCGCTTGGACACCTGGGGGTACTGTTGCTGTTTACACAAACCTGTGAGCAGTGGCAGCCCCATCATGTCTTTTGCCTGGTGCAATTGCTTGGAGGGGTTGTCTCTTGACTACGTTGTTGTTGTCGCCATCCATGACGCTGGAGTCCTGGTCCAGTTGCCGTCTTACGGTCACGTTGTCGTTGTCGGCCTTTTCAACGTTGCCGGCTTCTGTACTTGTTGGACCTGCTGCTTGCTGTCAATTGTTGTGGTGCACTCTCGACTAAGTTGGTGAGTCCTCTCAGAGCAACAAGGTGCTGAAATCCTTTCAAGAGGTCGACCGCAAAAGGAGTTGAGTTGCGTCATTGATCATACTATCAACTGTTCTCACCAGCGCCATGGTCTTGATCTTCTGACGATATCCGAGAATCTCATTAATTCTGCAGCATTGTCGAGCTTTAGTATGGCGATAGTCGATTAAGACGTGAAGATGAATTTGGATTTCAGGTCAACGTCACTCTGCAGCAACGAAGTTGCCCGTGCAGCTAAACTTGATTGGGAGGGCGACATTCCCGAGGCATCGCCAGCCTTCAGCGGCGATTCTCACTGCTGGCCTTTTTTCTTTCTCTTAACAGCAAAGTCCTGTCTCTTTGATTTCGGAATTGATGTTTTACGATTCCTTCGGAACGAGCTCACGAAGTCGAATACGGTTGTCTTGACAGCGTGGAGGGAGTCCTAGGACCTGATGCGATAGGCACTCTGGACCTACGGAACGTCAGTTGAGAGCGCCTGACGAGATCGACGAAAGCCCCGAGGGTATACTACTTCAAAGGAGGCAATGAAATGCTGCAGCAATGCCAGAAATGGCGTCGTTCGTTGATACTTTCGCACCTTCTCGCCAGTAATCTGGCACCAAAAGCCTTGTGAGCTTCAATGCTCACTTCTCAACGTCTGGTGCTCCCCTGCGAGGCGTACAAGTACGCCCGGGGGTGGTCTGAAGATACTGGTATTGGCAAGAATCGTAGTGGATGTCAGCTAAACGTCTCCTGGCATAATATTTGTTTTAGGCTCTCGAGGTCATTTTCAGCACCATATGTATTGCTCTCGCCTGAGAGCAGCTAAGCTAAGGAAGATTTCAGAGATAGAAAGAGAGAGAGCAGAATTTCGTGACAAACGTATAGGCATTTATGTTTGCTTGCGCATTGTATTTCCTTGTCTGTTTGATCTAAAAAGGCGTGGCCTGTATCGGTCACATATCCAGCCTAGTCATGAGGAAAGACAATGAAGCCAACAAGGACCCTGACTCGCCTAGCTCGTGAAGATTGAATATGATTATCGAGGTCTCGATCAACGGAATTCATAGAGCACGAGTCTCGACGTCGAGGGCCCCTGAGGGTTTTCGCGGCTATCGTTAACAGCAACAAGAAATGCGGCTCGAGAGGAAGCGTCACGAAGTCCTCTAGTTGTGGTCATCAGTAGATATCCAGTCGAGCCGCAGTTTCATGCCGATGATATTCTAGATTATGACTTTGCAGGAGACACCTGCAGTTATAGCCGAGGGGTTGCTTTAGAGGAGAAGACTGGCAGAAATCTAGATCCTGAACGTAGTAATGCAGTCAAGGGTCCAGACAAGACAGCATTTCAAATGACACAAACTGACTCCAGAAAATCCACACATCTGGTCATTTGAACAGGATAGTTGCGCCAAGACGCCAAGATTTTGCGCCAACTTTCGACCTTCGAAAAATCATCTGCAGTTTCGCAAGTTGAGACTGATTTCTTCTCACATCTCACAACATCACAACAAGATGGGTCGCGGTCCTAAGAAGCATCAGAAACGCCTCAGCGCGCCTTCGCACTGGCTGCTGGACAAGCTCTCGGGCGCCTATGCCCCGAAGGCGTCCCCTGGTCCTCACGTTCGTCGCACAATCTGTCTTCGAGAGGTGAATGCGAATACTGACTCTGGAACCAGAAAACCCGCGATTGCCTGCCCTTGATCGTTTTCCTCCGAAATCGTCTCAAGTATGCTCTCAACGGCCGTGAGACCAATGCTATCCTCATGCAGCGCCTCATCAAGGTTGATGGCAAGGTCCGCACCGATGTTACCTATCCCGCTGGCTTCATGGATGTCATCTCGATCGACAAGACTGGCGAGCACTTCCGCCTGGTCTACGACACCAAGGGCCGCTTTGCTGTGCACCGAATCGAACAAGCTGAGGCAGAGTACAAACTCGGCAAGGTCAAGCGTGTCCAGATTGGAAAAGGAGGAATCCCATACTTGGTTACGCATGATGCTCGCACGTAAGTCTGCGCTCAAGCATCTATCAGCCGTTGGGCCAAGATGTGGTTGGAAAAAAAGGAATTTAAATAGCTGATGGGTTTAATAGTATCCGATACCCCGACCCGGCCATCAAGGTCAACGACACCGTCAAGATCGATCTCGCAACCGGCAAGATCACCGACTTCATCCGATTCGACACTGGTGTGGTAGCCATGGTTACTGGTGGTCGTAACATGGGTCGTGTTGGTGTCATCACTCACCGTGAGAGACACGACGGTGGTTTCAACATCGTTCACATCAAGGACGCCATTGACAACTCCTTTGCTACCCGTGAAAGCAACGTTTTCATCATCGGCAAGGAGAAGCCATGGGTCAGTCTGCCCAAGGGCAAGGGTGTCAAGGTACGAACATTCCTTTCGAGACATTTTCCTCCAACACAAGATGCTAATTATACTTCGCAGTTGTCTATCGCCGAAGAGAGAGATCGTCGTCGTGCAGTCGCTCTCGCCAGCGGCCATTAAATTCGGTCCAACCGTCTGGGGCATTCCGATCTGGTTTGCAGGTCCATCGAGATGTGATGACCGATTGCCTTTGACCTCCACCAGCATTTGGGGAGGTTCAAGAAAAAAGTCTTCCTTTGCATGAACTGGTACTTCGAGGCGAGACTATGATAAATATGCTTTTAGAGCATAGTGATGAAACTCCAAGCTGCTCTTTTTCGAGAAGATGCTTGAGTTCGTCGGACAAGGCCAGACTTTTTTCTTTGTCGTAGAGGCATAGTTAGGAAAAAAGGAATGAAGAGGCAAAATACCCTCACGATATATTTTGATGACTTTGTTTGCCAAACTTAATTCGATGTATGCGTATGCGTGCCTGCTCGTCGAATGAGCGTCTCTTCTTACCACGTCTTCGTCTTCACACTCGTACTCGTAGCACCGAGCTTTCCAAAGACCCCGGCCACAGTCAAAACCCGATTCACATGCATAAACAAACTCCCGCCAATATTCCCGTATGCCATCTGATTCCACTGCGACAGATCCCAAAACACACTATGCCCCAGTCCACAGTACGCCGCGTAGATGTGCGCGAGGTCCGCAATTGCAACCGCGACCAAGTACTTCCGCGTGATCTCGGCGTGAGTCGTCCAACAGCACGTAATCGCGACGACTGCCATCAATAAGAAGACGTTCCCGAGTTGGTAAGTCAGCGATAGCGCCTGCGGCGTGAACGTGAGACTCGACAAGTCAGCGTTGGGTGACTGGTCAGCGTAGTAGTGCTCTGGGTCGAGGATGGCCGTTGCAAAGCCCCAGCAACTGATTTGCGAAGGTTGTATTGTCAGTGGAAGGACCATCAAATGGTGAGAGCGGACCTGCTTACAGTGCAAGAGGGTCTAGGATGCCAAAGAGAATCAGAGGCCATGTCGGAAGGGCCGAGTATGCCATTTTCTACGGAACGAATAGCGGTGATGCTCGCAAAGGTATGGATAACTTGAAGTACAGAAACAGGCTGGGTGACGGGAGAGGCCTATGCTCTGTCTGAGCACACCCAACCTACCGATTGAGAATGTTCAGAGAGTTTCAGCGCTTTACAGGAGTTAGCTTGTACGGGATGGTCGTCTGGCGGACGCGAGATCCTTCGTGCTTACGGCTGCGGGCAATTCCTCGGCGAACGCCCTCCCACATTCTACATCCTGTATTTTCGAGGTGATGTTTCAAGACACTCTTTTCTTTTGTCAATTCCAAAACATACATGACTGGGTCTGAAAGAGGATTCAATCTGGCTGACGAACAAAAGAACACGAGAAGCCCCGTTTCTTGAGATGATGCAAGTGGCAAGATGCCACTGACGAGATCAAGCGAGTTACCTCAGCCAAATACAAGAAGACTGCATTAAATCTTGAGCACCGACTGCAGACTTTGCTCGAGATCCTGCATAGCATGTTTGAAGTTGGAGCGCATACAACAGGTTGTCATCACCATCTTCAAAATACGGGATATTAGGGATCGTTTGGCTGCAACAGAAGAATTTCCGGCTTGGAGGCGGGAGAAGTCATATCAATCTAGCGATACAGATGATGGAGCTCATAACTCTAGATGTACGCAGACAGGTCTCACAACACCCCCACCGTCGATGCGAAGGTCAGCTTCGCATTGAATCACAACGGGTGGATCTTCGGAACGTTGCTACCCCTTTGGCAAAACCCATTGATGGACTATCCGCAGACTGTCTTGAGTACTAAGTCCACTCAAAGATCTATTGAAGCGTTCAGGAAGAATTTGCGACCAATCTTGCTCCTCACATGCCTTTTATGAGATGTTGTTGCAACACAGGTTGTCCCTTTCAAGGTTCACATCGCCAACCCAAAGTGATGGGCTTCGAACAACATACAACTCTTCACCCTCTCTCAGTCTTTTCCTACCTGTCAACTGTATACCAATTCTTGCTGATTCTGGGATCTGTCTTTGCAGAGTTCATACAATGCTGTTGCTGCTCTTGATTTTATGCTCGGCGTCTCCGTGAAGTATTGTTCGGATAAACCCCGGCAATTGATCCTTGCCAAGGCGATTGTTTGTTGACATTATGAGCGCCAATCACCATCGAAGCATCAACGCATCTTCATCTTCTGTTTCGTTCTTGTTATGCAGTCTCTTTTTGTCGCAGGCGTTTCTCAACCAGTATATTAACGACACAGTTAACCCAGGGCAGCATAAAACGACAATGGCCGTGCCTGTGGCAGCAGACAACGACCTGATTAACTTCGACATCATAGAAACACATAAGGAAAACATACAGTCATTACCCGGTGGCCGGTCAGCAAAGCAACTCGCCGCTATCCTCACACCACGCCCATCTGGCAGACCAGGCTTACAGCCTGAACCTACGCTGAACGAGACCAAGACCCTGAACGACGCGATCCGACAAGAGTACGAGATTGAGCTGCAGTCAATAGCAGATGCTGATGATCCACTGGATATCTACGACCGATATGTGAAATGGACGCTCAATTCATATCCCTCTGCCCAGGCGACACCACAGTCGCAGTTACTGCCTCTTCTCGAGCGAGCAACGAAAGCCTTTCTTACCTCTTCACTCTACAAGAATGATCCACGGTACCTGAAGCTGTGGCTGCACTACATTCGGCTATTTTCTGATAGCCCTCGGGAGACATTTGCGTTCCTTGCTCGACATGGCATTGGTGATGCGCTCGGACTCTTCTACGAAGAGTTTGCCGCTTGGCTAGAGGGCGCAGGGCGCTGGGTACAGGCAGATGAAGTATTCAAGCTTGGTATTGAAAAAGAAGCGAGACCGACCGAGAGACTGATCCGGAAATACAACCAGTTCCAACAACGATTTGAGGCGAGACCACAGACAGATAACGAACCAAGCTCTCCCGCTCTTCCAACAGTGCGGCCTGCATTGGCAGCAAAGATTGACCCTTTTGCTTCGTCGCATAGAGGCAACGATGGTCAGGCGCCACAGCAGCAGCAGAATGGTGCTGCTGCCCGCGCCGCAAATTCTTCTCGCTCTGGCAAGCCAAAGATGGCGATATTCTCAGATGCCGACAATGCTGCACCCCCTCCCGCATCAACCTCGACGAATGGTTGGGATAACATTGGCTCGATCAAGGAGCGGAAGAAGGAAAACACCATCGAAGCTAGACCTTGGGCTGGTGAAAAGATGAAAGCAGGAGGCCGAGTAGGGACAGTACCAAAGATGGAGATTTTCAAAGACCCGGTATGATCGATCTGTCCATTTTCCTAGAGTCATGTACAGTCAATGCCAATTTCCGTTCGAACCACCCCTTCATCTTGATCTGAAAGCTCTTTATCAATCACTAACTTTGGGAGTTGTTCCAGTCCTTACAAGCAACAAGCAGACCGCAAGAATCTGTTCAGCGGCCTGGAGATGTCGTCAATCCACGGACCGGCCGAATAGAGCGTGTGTTTGTCAATGTTGAAGCCATCTATCCCAGCAACGACCAAGAATTCAGTTTCGAGGAGTTACGAGCTATGTCGCGAGGGTGGCTCCATAGAGACTGGCGGCAGCCGGAGGAACCATCATCGGGGACTCCTTTGAAAATTCTTTCTGCAAACGGGCGCTCTCCACGAAAATCCAGATCCAAAGGTAGCAAAGCTCAGGAGCAGGAAGATATTGAGAACCTGAGCGAATCATTCCAGGAAAAGGTTGATCTGAACGACACCTCTCAGGGTAGCCTCAGCGGTCATGATGTTTCAACACAATCCATGGTTGGGATGCCAGGATCACAGACGCTATCTCAACCGCAATCGCAAAGCCAGCAGCCGAGAGATAAGAAGTACAAGATCCGAGAAGTGAAGCAGGAAACACAGACAGTCAAGCTCCGTCTTCAGTCACCCACGGGCAAGAAACTCAAGAGGAAGAACACAGCCGAGCCAACGATGACTTTCCACTCGAAAGCTGCAACAAATGAGATTTATGACATGTTCAATCAGCCACTTCGTAAATCAGAAGTAACCAAGGATGATACTCAAAGTGGTGAGGAGGCAGAATTTGCTGAAGATGTAGACGATGGGTACAGCACGACAGGGGACGCCGAGAGCACCGGCACTGGAAGGGGGTTTGGAGCTGACAGTGAATATGGCGATGATACTTTGGCTTCACAATTTGATCACACTGAAAGCCAGAGCCAAACACAAACTCACAGTCAGCCCGAAAGTGTGTCTCCTTGGTCAGATTTCACAGCCAGCAAGCACGTGCCACGGCTTGACTCTCGGAATACTTCATCTAGCAAGACCTCTCTTTCCTCAAACAAAGCTCACACCAAGACGAAGCTGAAGGACAAACACAGACACGCAATGGCTGACGATGTGACTGAAGGTCTAGCTTCCTCAAGTCAAAATGCAACACAAACATCCGGTCTCGGTAGTGGTTTTGACACACAAGCTATTGCTGCTATTGCCAACTGCAATTTTGACGACATGGACACCAAAGCCATTGCCATGATTGCTGGGGATGTTGACGATGAAGAAGAGGACGATCTTGAAATCCAAGATCCATTGCACGCATTATCACACTCTGAGACAAAGGGCGCGGCTGAAGAAGGAGGAATCGCTGAAGAGGATCAAGAGACTGTACATGAGGATGACACCAGAGACAATCTCTCAACACCTGTGGATGATGTCTTCACGGAGCATCGCGAGATTTCCCACAAGCCTCGCTTCATTCCGCTTCCACCGGAAGACTACGAGCCTACTCCGGTGAGGCCGTATCGAGACCCTGCCCTCGTCGCCCAAAACAAGCTGCCATTCATGACGCCAATCGTCGAGAGAACTGAGAGTTCCCTTGCACCATCGACCGTGTTCAATGACCCAGACTACTTCACGTCGAAGACTCCGAGCAGATTGCAACGAACTTACGAGAGCCCTTCTCAAGTGCAGATCGACAAGCTCTTATTGAGTAGTCCTCAGCAACAAGATGGCACACCTCCTTCTTCTGGTAAAAGAAAGTACGAACATACCGGTATCACAGAAGAGGAGGCTGCGAGTTGTTCTCCACGTCAGAGAAAGGCCCCTGGACGAGGTCGCCCGAATCCAAACGGTCACATCCCTTTCCCTATCGCCAAAGCCAGTCCAGCTTCGACCAAGGATGAAGAGTCTCTCTTCAAGACCCCTGCTGTTCCAGACCAATCGCCGGCGAGAAGCATCACCCAATCTGTCGTAAGGCATAAGGGTCCGGTCGTAGCTGACTTACAATGCAACCCATGCGACGACGTCATCCGACAGCAGATTCTCACCGCCGTGTATCCTCCGCTTTCGTCCTACGTTGGATACCATGATCATTCGGCGGAAGCACTCGGTCAGTACTCTGTGCTAAAGTCCTATGCAGACAAGTTGTTGAAAAGCAAAGCCAAAGGTAGTCCACGGAAAAGCCAGGGAAGCAAAGACGCAGCTATCAAAGCAGTGCCGCCTCTGCTCAAATTCACAGGTGCTTCTCGCGTCTATGCTGTGAAGCGTGAGTTGGGTGCAGGTGCCTTCGCGCCTGTCTACCTCGTCGAAAGCTATGACCCGAACGAGAATGCGCTCGCCATAGCCGATGATGTGGAAGACAAGGAGAGCTCTAGCCCGAAGAAGTCAATGGATTCCACCCGCCAGCCTCTTGAAGCGCTCAAGACCGAAACTCCTCCTGGCACTTTGGTCTGGGAATTCCACATTCTCCGCACTGTTCGTCAACGTCTAGGCTCTGCCGCGCGGACGATGCAGTCAATCGTCCTTGCGCACGAATGCCATCTCTACCGCGACGAGGCGTACATTGTACTCGAGTACAGTCCACAAGGTACATTGCTTGACTTGGTCAACCTCGCACGGAACGAGAATATGAAGGCCGGCAAACCTGCCGAAGGTCTCGACGAGGTGCTTGCCATGTGGTTCGGCGTTGAACTACTGCGGAGTCTGGAAGATCTACACCATGTAGGAATCCTGCATGGCGATCTCAAGGGTGACAACTGCCTCGTCCGCTTCACCGGAACTGATGTCACCGGCCCATACGAGCCTCTTGGTGGATCGGGTTGGAATGACAAGGGATTGAAACTCATCGACTTTGGTCGTGGCATCGATACAAGGATGTTCAAGGCAGGCGCCCAATTCATCGCCGACTGGCCTAGCTGTGCGACTGATTGTGCCGAGATTCGGGAGTGTAAGCCGTGGAAGTGGCAGATTGATTATCATGGTGCGGCGGGAGTGATCCACAGCTTGCTATTTGGGAAATACATCGAAACAATCCCTGTCGGTGGCAGTCTTGGTCCGGGACAAAAGAAGGAATGGAAACTCAAAGAGAACTTGAAGAGATACTGGGAGAAGGAGATCTGGACCGAGGTGTTTGGCGTGCTGTTGAATCCTGCCACGGTGCAAGATGGCGAGGAGATGCCGATCCAGCGCAATCTCAAGCAGGTGAGGATGCGAATGGAAAAGTGGTTGACCGAGGAAGGCGAGAGAGGCGGAAGAGATCTCAGAGGTGCTTTGAGGAAGATGGAACGTCTTGTGGCGGGAAACAAGTCGGCATGATGAAGAAGAGAGACGAGCGAGGATGGCATACTACGGGGTGCATGTTGTACTGGTGGAGATTCCAACCTTGAATATGGCTTTGGAGTTGGTTTGATCCCTTGGGATATTTCGAAACAAAGCAGATGGGGTGGTGACATTGTGTGATATTGGAAGCGAGCGAAGCAGGGCGTTGGAGGTGCTTTTTCTCTTCGGTTTTCTGGTATGTCGATACTGCATAGATGCATGTTCATCGATACCCTTTACCTGCCTTGCCACACATAAGAGGAAGTTGAAGGAGTGGGCCTACTATCCTTGCATGCGACATCCAGAGTGATAGAGGCCAAGTCGTCAGGTATTCACCGGAAAGGGGGATTAGCCATTGACGTTCTTGATCATGAAAACGCTGCAAGAAGTAGTTGTTGGATTCAATAGGTACCTACCTAGGTATACAGTAATAAGTGCACTGTAGCCGTACGCCGGAGGGTGGATATTAGCTATTAGTGATTAGTACCCTTGCAGTGCGTCTCCAAGGATCGTCAGCTTTTCCGTTGATCGCGGAGATTGGGCCCCATTGAGCACTTGCGTAACAAGTATTGTTCGTAGTCAGAGACGATGGATGAATTATGAGACATCGCGATCACACCATCGATCCATCGGAGGACTCTATGGATTCAGGATACGGGATAGATATCACTGTAGATCACTCCATCAGCGCTCAGCCCTTTTTCCCGCCCAACTTTATCTTTCGTTTAACCGAGGGCGAGAGGAAGAGCTCGGTAGATTCGTCTTACAAGTACGGGATGTCAACTTTAGTGACTTGTTTGAATCTATTCAGCTAGCAGTTCGGGCGTCGTGTGTCAATGATATCACCCATCAAAATCGAATATCTTCGGTTCTCACAATCTCACACCCCCGGTTACTGCACACAGACCTCACGCCTCCCGCATCACACCTCACACTTTTCTTCCCAGATTGGATCAACTGGTTTTCTTTTTCTTATCTTTTTGCCCGTGGCTCGCGTCCGTCGTCAGACGCGCTGACATCGCTCTCGGACGTGTATGAGAGGAAAGCGAGCGTTGATATACTTTCTTAGATATCGCTGACAGTGACACACACACACCTCTGTAACTAATCGACAAGGGATAAGCGATCGGTGAGCGGGCCTGCTTCCGAAGAACCGGACGGCGACGGTGACGGCGCAGACGATCATCACACCATACGACACACAGTGCAGAGAATCGACTGAGAGGCGGAGGGCGAAAGGCGGAAAAGAGTCCACGCACCATCTTTTATCAACTCATACAACCGCCACCTCACCCCGTCCTTCCATACGGAGTACGCCGCGTCAATCGTCTCTGAACGCAAGGCGCATAACTTACGAAACGAACATACATCCTCTACCACCGCATCGATTCGTCGAGTCACCCGTGCCTGGGCCATTAGGTACACAAACATACCTAGCCCGACGCAGTTCTGGGGGAAGAGAAAGACGCCGCCAAAAGGGCCAAAAGGGCCAAAAGGGCCAAAAGGGCCAAAAGGGCCAAAAGGGCTAAAAGGGCGCGAGGAACCACACCGACAAGCGCTATACAAGTGAGGTAATACTTACGTGAGCCTCGAATTACCTCGAGTACACAACTCCATGGGCGACGCAGGGCCACCGACACCGCCGCCAGGTTTGGTACAGGATGGCACCGGAAGAGATACGCTCGAGACAACGGATGCGCCAGCATTGAGGGAAGTGAGAGTTCTCGTCACTGGGTTCGGGGTAGGTCCTGCGTGATCTCGTTTTTGCTATCCCAGCTACACCTGGACCTATATTTCGTGTCCTGATGACATTACCACCCTTTGTTACTATATGTACTGACGACGGGTGTCTTCGTTGATCTCTCTAGCCCTTCAAATCCTTCCTGATTAACCCATCATGGCTCATCGCCTCTGCACTCCCAGAGGATCTCTTCCCCGTCTCCGGAAGTAAGTACAAGATCAAACTCATCGTCCACCCGTCGGCGATCCGCGTATCATACTCGACGGTTTCGGAGACCGTGCCGGAGCTCATCCGCCTGCACAACCCGGACCTCATCCTCCACATCGGCATGGCCGGCGGACGAGACTGCTACTCGCTGGAGACGCGCGGGCACAGGGACGGGTACCGGATAAAAGACGTGGACAACCTGGACGGATACCTGTGCGGGGAATGTAAATGGAAACGGGACGGCGTGCCACCGCTGTTGTATTGCATGTGGGATGAAGACGACGTGTTGAGTCGTTGGGAGGCCGGCGTGCAGAGGGAATTGGTCGCGAGAGGGTTCTTGGGTCCCGTGGATGATGAAAAGAAGACGGAAAACACGACGCACCGAGAAAGCGAAGTCGGCACCAATGGCGATAATGACGCGACGAGTACAGCTGCGACCACAAGTGCTACGGACCCAAGTACCACCTTTGCAAAGGGGAACAACGCCGCGCATGACCAACCTCGAATACAGACTCAAAACGTCGCGAGCGCGAATGATACCGTGACGGAGCGGAGGGCAGCAGAGAATCGGAAGAGGTCTGTCGTCAAGCTGTCGAGAGACGCGGGCCGGTTCTTGTGCGAGTTCGCGTTGTTTTCGAGTCTGAGTTACAGGTGGTTGGAGGCGCGGAAGGAGGAGCAGGAGGAGAAGAATGCACAGAACGAGGACAAAGTACAGGGTCAAGAGAGGCTCGGGAAAGTCGCCTTCTTGCATGTCCCCGGGTGGACGGGCGTCGAAGATGTCAATCGTGGCGTCATGGTTGCTGAAGAGGCCATCAAGGCGCTGGTGGGTAGTTGGGAAGATGGGCTACGAAGAAAGGAAGAGGGTGAGGGCGAGGGTGGATTTACGACGCAGAATAGTGAACTGAGGTGATAAGTGACAGAGGTATTGTAATGAGGTGAGATGACAACTAGAATCAGAGAGGGTGCTGTATAGCGACAAGGTGTTGGTGGTGATGATGTGGTGTTGTGCCGTGCTGTGCTATACACAAGTAGTGCTGTTGATGTTGTGACTACCTACCTGAGGTACCCTGGCAATAGGAAGGTAAGGATAGGCAGGTGTTGGGCATCGGTGCATGAACAGGAGGACTTTGCCATAGCTCGGTACGATAGTTGGGTTCCATAGACCATTGCCGTTAAGCATCGTTGTGAGAAAAACAAAACGAGTGAATTAAGTCGACGATGCACTTTATCTCAGCTTGCCATTTTTCATAAGGTGACCTCAGGCTGGCGTTGGTTGTCGAGTACTTGGAAGTTCAGGCCAGGCTTGTACAAGTAATGAGTGCTCCGTTAGTTCCTAGGTAAGTAGATAAGGCAAGGTGAGGTGAGATGCAGATTAGCGAGATCTCAAACATTATTACCTAGGCACCTTTAGTTACCTACAGGACAGTATGCGTAGGCTGTAGTTAGATACCTTACAAGTCATATGTAAGTGACCCCCCTACCTAGCCTACTAGTTAGGGGCATCATCTCGAGCAGACCAGTGATGGCCAAGTCGATTTATTCCAGTACTGACTGCACCCGAGAGATAGATCACAACCTAGATCGAGATGTGTTTTCCGAGTACTGCAAGCGAGAGACGGATAACCCTCCCTTGGCCCCCTTGCTTCGAGCTGAAAGCCGATGAAAACGGGACCACCAACTTACAAGGATGCATCGTGCATGGTGTCGAATCAGCGGATAGTACCAGCATTTCCGACGTCTGGCCAACCTCAGGAAGGAGTTGGGTCAGCGTGATAGTTCATGGTCCGTTGACATAGATGGTCCATAAGCTCCATTGTTGTTCCATTCTCGACCCTTGGAATACGAGGTTTGATATTGAGAGTTTGACATCGACATGAGACACCACGGACGACGCAAGGGGGCCTCATTGTAAGGTCCGCACGAAACATCGGGCGTACAATCGATCACCTTTGTTGGATGTCTCTGCAGGGGGAATTCATCCCCAGATCATCGTACGACGTGGTGAATGGATCCCAGGACTTGTCGAGCTGATGCCATTCCACACCCTCGCATCCGAGCACTCGCAACATTCCGTTTGCTTGTTTGTTTGTTTGTTTGTTTACCCTGATGTCAAACGCGACGTCGAGGATCACACCGATGGGTCTGGAGTGTTTCAGGGCAGGAGAATGTACAGGGTATGCATGTATTTGTCCTGGTGGGCTCTTGTCTGTACGGGCGTCGACCTACGACAGACAGCCGAAGCTAGGTTTTGAAAGGGAGAGAAAGTGTCAAACAGCTGATGGATATCCCCAAAGGATGGACGTCGTATGGAGTAAGCGAACTCAAAAAGTCAATCTCAGTAGACGGCGCATCCTGGTATCGGGTTCCCTGAGAAGGCGATCGATTGGCCCATGTCAAAACGGATGAGGCGCAGATGCCGCCAGACTTATTGAGGTTAGTCCGATATGTTAGCGCGCATCTCACGCGTTTTTTTCTTCTCTCTCCTCCCAAGCCGGACGCGTGAGAAGGAAGAAGAACACGAATCATGGGAGTCTGACGTACCCAGGGAGGCACGGCAAGCCACCATCATCACTGCTTGGGAGGTACCCTATACCTACTGCATAGCTTCTCGAGATGTCGAAACCTCTGTGAAGGAGACTTGAGCCCAACTTGGCTGGCCATAGTGTACTCGTATTTGTCCTCGTCCTCGACGGCAGCCTCATTGGACGTCGACACCTCAGGCAGATCGAATCAACAAGGGTGGAGAGCTGGACCAGATACAAGACAAAAGACATGTGGTACGCTGACAGCGGCTGTAGAGAATCGCGCCAGTCTGTGCTTTGCAGGCTTTGAAGACAGCGAAGTCTTTGATGGCTGTAGATACAGGTACCCTGGGTCTGTAGTCGCACTGCGTACCTCGTACTGCAGCAAACTCAACTCAACTTGTTACCACTCCAGGCAAAAGCACTGTGCTGAGGTCAGGCGAGACACAGCATCGCTTCGAATGGCGCGATCAGCTCAGCTACTCGTAGATGGATCCTACGGACGAGTATCGATACTCCGCGTTCGCCCCCCCAAAAGTGGCATGTTTGTGATGGTGGGTTGTACAGAGAGCGGGAACGTTCAAGAGAGGCAGAATCCACTCGAATGCATGGTGCAGCTGAGACCAGCATTGCAGTAAAGCCCATGATCCTGGACAGGCGGAGGAGACGTCGTCGGGCCCTGGGACCAGGATCTGGATGTGTAAAGTTACAGCTACCTTTATGTAGTCGGATGGAGATGCTGGACGGAGTCGGGAGGAGTCAAAACATGGACCGACTCCAGTTGACGGTGGGTGCGCATAATCGATAGACGCATCTTTTATCGATTGGGACGATAATGTCTGAGGTGCAGAGGAGGAGCAGTGAGAGTGTGAGTGAGGGTGAGTTTTGGCAGCCGATAGAAACTGCGATATACCATCAAGACTATTGAATCTTGATGGTGCTAAGAATCAACCACCAACAGCTAGCTGGTCGCTCAACTGGCCTTTACGAATCCGATATCTGCTTCCAACTTCATTCTTCGCATCTTCCACTTCACCCAAGGCAGAGTCTTTCTCTGCTTTACTGTACAGTTCTCGTACAATGCTTCGCCCGTCTGTTTGTTTGTTGTGACTCCGCCTGTCAAGAAGGTTGAGACACACTGCCGAGCTACCGTAGCCGCTGCAGGCTCCTCAGCACACGCACAAGCCCTGGACAGCGCCAGTGCAGCGAGACCCGACGGACGCTACGACCCTTACCTACTGTACAGTACCTTACAGTTCACGGGTTAGGGGGACTCGTGGTGGGCTCTCACTGGGTTCAACCTGGCTGTTGCAGCCTCGGAGGTGGTGGAAAAGCCTCCCCATGCCTCCACCGCGGCCACTTGTTAGGCATAGCCCTCCGTATTCCTTGCCTGCTCGGCGCCTAACTATAACTAAAACAGAGTTAACCAGTGACCTAAAGTACTTAGTAAAAGTCAAGCCAGGCAGTCAACGAGAGGCGCCCACCGAGCCTGCATGCCGCTGCCATCACCCTCTCGTCCACCCTTCCTCCTCTTCTTCCCACTTGGTAGCGCCAACATTCCAAGGTCCCGTCGACGACACACTTGCTGCCAACAATCCCTTTCTTCCCATCCATTCTCCGTTCACGTCCTAGAGGGTGTGTATGGGAAGTAAACAGCACACATCTAGTTCGACAGACTCTTATCCCTCCTCTCTTCACCAAAGCCCTCACCTCGACCTCACTTTCATTTCACCCACCCCGGAACCCTAGTTCGCTTCTTGCACCCCGGTCCAATTTTCCCCTGCGTCGTCCCCAGCCACCGTCATTTTCTCAACGCCCGTCGACTCTCACACCTGCGATCTTCCGACTTTGACAGTCGCTCTCTGCGCGTCCGGCACGTCTCTTCTGTCGCAAAATCCACAACAAATCGCAGTCTGTTTGCTGGCTGTGCAGACCACTCGACCGATCCTTCCAGCTGTCGATTGCACGCCGCAAGCCGCGGTGGCGCCTCCGTTCGTTTTTCCCCCCAAAGCGCGCTTCCACCAGTCTGGGTGATCGCATAACTGCATAACCGAGCCTCGACACGCGTCTACAGCATGAACGCTTGAAGACGGGAAGATACTCATCTCGATCTAAACCAGTTCTGCTCAAGAGGCACCCTTCCTGCGCAGACATCGCCTTGACGCCGTCGATCTGAGACCCGTGCGCACTTCACAGGCACCCTCAGTCATGGCCGGCCGCGAACCCTCACCCACGCTGTTGGCCTCGTCAGCGCAACGCAGCAAACCACACATATCCATAACGTTGCCGCGCAATTTCGCTCCTCTCAGCCTCGACAGTAGCGACGATCCCAAGACGCCTGATCAGACCTTCGCCGAGCTCAAACTCCCTCCCGCACCGCATCACTCAACCTGCCGCGTGCGGCGGACGCGAGTCACAATGGACAATTTTCAGGCGCGTAACAATGCCCTCCTGCCGACGCTGTTTGCTTCAGAAATCCCAATCCCTTCAAGCGCGCAGTCGACTCAGACCGAATTCCTGGATGCTGAGATTGCCATTCCGTCAATCGAAGCATCTTCCTTGCGACCATCGTACCACCACACCGTCACAGATCCCTCACCCAGTGACAGACTGAAGTTGTCCACCTTTCGAGACATGCAGCTTCCACGAACTCCCATCGCTCAGACCAAAACCGTCTCGTCCGATTACAAGCATGGCGCGTGGGACATGCGACGGTCTTCCTCAGAATGTTCCGTCCGTTCCGATACCTCAGAGTCGTGTTCTTCAGAAAACTTCGCGACGAGACCTACTTCATTTGATGGAAGCGCGACAAGTCCCGACCTGGACTCTCAAGATCCATTTTCGCCTACACTCGTCAAGATCATCCCAGACACACCGTCACGGAAGAGCAAGAAATTGAAGATCAACACCATGCTCTCCAAAGGCAACGTGAAATGGAGTATCGAAATGGACAACCATCTATTCAACGTCTATCAAATGTACTTGGCAGATCCCACCGTGACCCCTTTCAAGACACTCCCTGGCAGTATTCCCCCAACCGGTGTGTGCCACCGCGTCGCCCGCAGGGCTAGGGAAACATGGCCACGAGCAAGCAGAATCAACCGACCGTTGATCAAGCGTTACAAGGTGCGCAATGTCATCGAGACCCGGGCTCTGGCTAGAGAACGGACTCCAGAACCAAATGATTTCTTGCGCACTGATGACGCCAGAATTGCCTGGCCTTCCGAGTCTGCCACTAGGAAGCGCCTGAAGCAATTGTGCAAAGAAAAGTTCACCATCTCCGCGCATTATCAACGCTTGCGAGAATCGAGAAGCCCCTCTCCATTTCACGATCAATTCGTTCGTCATTCCTCTTCGAGACTTTCAAGATCAACGTCAGTTCAACCCGATCCTGAAGCCACGACTGCTTATGCGACGCGCGAATTGGGTATTTCCCTGGTGGCCAGTAGCGCAACGGGACCTCTCGCCCAGTTGGTCACGGATTCACCACCAACACAGAAAATGTCTGATGATTGGTTCAATGCCCCTGTCAACGGTCCTTCGGATCCCATGACGTTATCGACGCCCCTCGAGCCGGACCACAACAAGCTCAAAGTTGCAAACAGCATCCCTCGGTTGGCCTCACCGTTCAATTATAGCACTTGGAATGGATCAAGTAATTCAAACCACCGCCATCGACGGCACATCAGTCATCACCAATTCGAGACCATCCATGCTACAGGCTCAAGACTGCTCTCGCCATTCAGGCCAGAAACTGATATTTCGCTCAACGTCAACAAACGCCGCGCTCAGCACAATCTAGAAGATGAAATGAGCCCAAGTGGAAGCAATCTCCCGGTGAATCCCGAACTCAACCTTCCAACACCCACCACTTTCGAACCGAAGCCTGAGCCTCGGCCTGAGTTGGTTTTCACTGGCGCTGGCGACATCAACCAGCGAAGAATCCGTGTTCGCAATAGAGGTGCAACACTCAGTGCTGTGCACAGCCGAGAGCACATCGCGCGTCTCTTCAACCCTCCGTTGGGCGCAGATGGTGCCGGCGAAGACGACGGCATTCCACCTGTCCCACAATTACCGGCCTCTCTTGCAGCTCTGGCAGCTCCCACCAACAGAACCAGTGCTTCGTCGTCATTGGCACCACCGGAACTAGATCCTACACAGAAGCGACTCGGCAGTCCATTTGAGCTGGACCCCAATAAACGTAGTCAACGCGCAAGACTGCCTAGACACGTTCCAAGTTTATCCGACCCATTCATCAACACAAGCGCATTTGCTACCACGCCTAGTCATGGTCATACTAGCAGTATGAGCATTGGAGAAAGATTGGCAATGTTCAGCACATACCACGGGAGCCATTTTCAACGTCAAGGGTTTCCACAACCGCCAAGAGATGATCCTTTTGCCTAATTGGCATCATGCTTCAAACATGTTGCAAACACGGTGCTATCGTGTCTAATTTGTTTACATCACGAGGAGTTTAGGGCCGTCATCTATCAAGAGAGAGTGACAAAGTGGAAATTTTGTGAAAATCCTGGTCAACGGCGTCCAGGGCGGAGTTCACATTCATACCAATAATATTGTTGGGAACCAATACAACAAGAGACGTTGTAGGTTCAACATGCATCATTAGGTTAGGGCATTTCATTGCTTTCGCCCAAAATTCATCTTGGAGCGATTTCGATTTCGCATGGATCAGGAGTACAGACAGATTGAGATGATACAGTCTCAGAAAGCAAAATCCAGCAAGGGGCAAGACAAACAGAATTGGCACAAAGAAAGACAAAACTTCCAGAGTTCAAGAGCAACACCATTCTTATTCATCCAAAATGCATATCATATGCCTGAGGACAGTTTGGTCTGGCACGAAACGAACGAACGAACACGGCAATGAAGAAGAGATATAATGCGAAATTCGAGTGGACAAATGGGGTTTTCAAATGACAACGTGTTGACGAGGTTGATGAGAGTTTGGAGAGCTCCCCCAAATACATGCTGAACACTTTTTCTTACATGCAACCTGAATACTTGTTTGCAAGGGCTTGATTATCATCGACTTGGGTTTTACTACTCGGTTGATGTATTCAGCGGTATCTTTTCGAGAACGTCCAGCTGTGGACTCGGGGGTTCAGGGAAAAGGACGAAAGCCTGGGAAAGCATAGTCATCCCGGTGGTGATTGGTTTTTGTTTTCTCTCCTTTCGAACGTCCTGGTATGATCGCAGGTACGGATATCGGGATATCGGAATGTGGAATATGGAGGATGAGGCATGGCTAGGCGGTGTTTTTACTACTTTTTTTTCTCTCCCCATCCATAACGAAGATTACGAAACATGAGAATGAGCTTGCATGAATACTATGAATTTCACTCAAACTTTTCTTTTGGTTTGTGTTTCTGTTCGGTATTTTTCTCGGTCTGCTTGACAGTGTATGTGAGGTGAGTTTGGACGTGGATCTAGTCATGGCATTCGTTGATCGTTGGTGGTGACTTTGGTTGGAGTACATGGTGAGGATTGGACTCAAGAGGTGGGGTTGATACCCAAGGTATTAATAATCCATAAGAGCTGTATCCCTAGTCAGGGCCTGGGGAAAAAAAGAAGGAGGGGATTGAGGAGGATGGAAAGGAAGAAGAAAGAAGATTGAATTGCAAGTTTGAGAATTTATGAGATTTCAAAGACTCCGTCCAGATGCTAGTTAATTAGATACTACCTCAACACCTGAGGTTATCCGAGGTAGGTAGGTAGGTAGGTAGGTAGGTAGGGACCTGACAGGGGTCATTTAACTAGTTAGTATGGGGGGGTTTCAAACATCTGGTAAAGCATCCGTCGGTAGACTCGTAGTGATACTAAACCACCACTTTGGTACATACATACCTCACTTGGAGAGAGATAAGATAGATAGGAAATACAGTCGGAGCCGGTGCTGTGTTGTTGAGCTGTGTTTGGCTTGGGTTGGATTGGGTTGGGCCCTAGGGTTGAAAGGGGACAGATACAATAGTTCAATTGCTCTCTCTCTCTCTCTCTCTCTCACACACACACACACACACCTACAGTATCTGTTCCCTGTCCCTGCATTGTGTAACTCCTCGTACGAGTACAGCGTCCGATTTCTGCGTAGAAATTTTGATTGTGACTGGTTGACTCCCCCCCTTTTTTTTGTTTTTTCCCTTTTTCGTTCCCCTTTCTTTCTCGGAGGACCATCATCGTCGTCGTCGTCGTCGTCATAGTGGTCTAGTTTACTCAAGGGTAGGTAGGTAGGTAGGTAGTCAACCTGTCAGTCGAAACATGCTTCGCACGGGTCATGACCGTCACCGCAATAAGGGCACGTGGACCATCCCGGCTCACGGTAGTTGATGGGCTCCATCTTCACCGTGGCCGTGGTCGAGGTTTCGGCCGTGGTCACGACCGTCTCGGTGACGGTGGTTACGTGGATGTGCGTCGGTGTTTCGGTGACGTGTTGAGCTCCGGATCGATGGACGTGGGTGGTGGTCACGGTACTCATGGTTGCCGCTGTTGAAAGTGGTGAGCTGGAAACTTGAGCTGAGATGTTGTTGTCGAGTGTTCGGTTCGTTCGCACGGTGGTGAAAGGAGTCTGAGCACGAGAAAGTCGTTCAAGTCAAGGCCGTGGGAGCCAATCGACGGTTCAACGACGACGGAAGAACAAGAAGTAGACGTAGATGATGAAGATGCTTCCGACGATCATGGAGACGATGAACCAGAAGCAGATGATGAGGAGGACGATGAGTTCGAGGATCATAACGGTGATGATGATGAAGACGATGATGATAGATAAAATCAGAATTCCAGATCGGAAGGAGAAGGATGATACCTTTATACATATTTCACCATCGTCTCCATCACCATCATCACTGCGTTAACAATCGGTGTCACGCTCATTGTCGTTGAGGGAGGGGTGGTGCAGTACAATACAGTCCTGTACAGGAGAGAACAACAGTGAACATTGGTTACCATATGATCTTTCAGTATTCACTCGAACAGGTGCAAATTGACAACGTCATTGTCAACATCCTGGCTACCCAGTGGAACAAGAACATAGACACAAGTCATGTCGGATCTTCGTTGTGGGCGAATGGGAGGACCGTGTCGAGGGCTTTTTGTCGAGGAAGTGCCGAAGAAGAACAAAGCAACAACAATGCGGCGGTAAAAATGTCGTGTACTTTTTGAGCTGAAAGGTCATTATTCACCCTTTCATTCATCTTGTCATTCAAAGGCCGTTGAAGCTGAAAGATCTTTGCACGAGGATACAAGAGGGTATCGAGAGCGGAATAGAGGGACGTTGATCTTACCATAGGTAATTGGCAAGGTAATCAGGGGTATGCCGTCTTTCGGACGGAACAAGATGACGAGTAAAGCCCAGTCTGCTGAAACCAAGAGGATAGAGAAGAGAAGGCTACAAAGTTAGGTTAAAGGACATCATAGGGGCTTGTTCCTGAATGGAACTTCGAAAACATTGAAGGATTGTATATTGTTCTTTTGCTTTTTGGACATGTTTTATCGGGTCTACATTCTTACCACCTATCTCGTCAAGGAGGGGTGACGCTCATGAATGATGCAATAAAACTTCGAGGCGGTCCTCAGTCCTCACCATGGGATCGTGTTGCCGTCGTAGGACATGTACTTTCCGGAAGTTGAGTCTCGAGTCGATTCATCGATCTTCAGTAAACGTCTTGTCAGTGTGTGCCTCTGTTTCCCAAGGGGTGAACAGCGGTTGGGTGTGCCCAAAAAGGGCTCAGGGGCCAATGCCAGGGGGTTCGTCTCATCCGGCTTGCAGCAGACTTACCAACTTTGCCATCGCAGAGATACTGTCCTCGATAGTTGTTGGAGCCTGTTCGATTCCCTGCGCTTTGGCGCCGGCGTTTCCCATGTCTGTTTGTACCCATCTGGTAGAAGCGTCAATATACATATATATCATACTAGCACGTTGCCTCGACAACGGAGACGGGAAGACCACAGAGGTGGATGGACGCATCATGTTTTGAAGCCGCGAGGAGTGAGAGAAAAGAAGGACTGAAGACTAGGTAAACCCACCCTGGATGCATTGGGAACGCGATCAAATGCTCGTTCTCCTGATGAATCTTCTTGGTGGCAAAGTTCAAAGCGGCCTTGGACATGCCATAACTGGAAGCCGGAAAGGGATACTCTTCCATGTTCCCAATGGTGCCCAAACAGGAAGTGATGGTGACGAATCTGGGCTTGCTTTGCGATTGCTTCAACAGCGGCGCAACGGCGGAGAAGAGCAGAACCGGGCCCACGGCGTTGATCTTGAACGTTTCAACCAAGTCCGAGGGTGTTAGGGCCTCGACCCGCGCGATGCTACCCGAAGTGCCCGCATTGGCGATGACAACGTCCAGACTGGCGATCTTGTGCTCGTCCTGAATCTGCTTGACGGCCGCTGCGGCGTCGGTCTCGGAGGAGCTATCGATCTTGACAACGATCAGAGAGCTGGATGGTGCCTTGGGTAGCGACTGGAGATCTTTGACGCATTCTTCTGACGGGTTTCGAACGGCGGCGATCACGACGCTGTTTGGGCGGCTGAGATAGGTCGAGACAAATCCGCGGCCCAGGCCTAGTGAAGGTTGTTCCACGAGTTAGTGGTCTGCTTTTGCATAGGTACTTGGGTACCTAGATATCCAAGACACGGTGAAGATTACCTCGGTTGGCTCCAGTGATCAGATAGTTCGTCGACATGTTTTCTGAAGGTTTTTAAGGTTAGAAGAAACACAACAGTACTGTTCTTTTTAAAAGCACCTTTCTCAAACGGAGAAAGCAGGACACACAGATGGAGGGCCTATCTCCCTACTCGAAGAAATAGAATGAATACTCATGGGCTTTTCCACAACGACCCGCAAAAAGTCGGTCGAAAACTCGGCCGCATGATACGAAGTACGCTTAATAATAGGCACGGGCGATACTTCATTCCATTGCCCGGCCGGGTCCGCGTGCGTGATGTGGGTTGGTTATCTTTGCTTCTGGGAGCTTCGAGAGTGAAATGCGGATACTTGCAGACAGCCCATCGGTTGCCTGACAAAGTACACAGGCTCTGATTCGCTCTGAATACGCTCGGTATGCTATCGTCGGCGAGATGCTGCAGCTACTGTAGCTCTCTGCACCGGGAGTCGTAGGACAGGGTATGCCAGTAACAGTCAGAAGCCCGAATCAATCTTATCCACCTCGCCGGTCGATGGACATGCTTGCCAGTCCTCGCATAGTTGTTACGAGTCCATCGCCAGCTGTTCGAGGAGGGCGTATGGTCAGCCAACCGGAAGCGTGAAACACCATATGAAGACGGAAGGCCCAGGGACCGATTTGTAGGCACCGTTTGAGCGTCGCGTCTTTTGAGGGGTTGTCGGGACGAACGACAGCACGGTTCCAGGCTCTGACGCTGACCGCTAGAATGTACTATGAATAGTCACTCAACAGTAGGCAACACATGCCGGGCTCCTAAATTGTAGCACTGTGAATGGCGATTGTGACCAAGGAGGAGTTCGATCAGAATTGATATCTATAAGGTCGAGCGACATAGACCTCTCCTTGCGTGAGATATGTGCAGACAGAAGCCCCATGCATAGCCGTCTCGCTGAGAAGTTCATCTCACACGCGGTTGGGTTGACGAGGCTTCACCTCAGCCTCGTCGCCTCACCAGCCTTGAGTCTCTAAGATTGTGACGTCAGCCGTGTTTTCGTCGATATGTCTGCTCAAGCCCGCAGCTTTTTCTCCTCGAGTTGGCTTCTGATGCAGCAAGATACTCAACCGAGTTAGCCGGTGTTCCAAACGAAAGAACAATCTCTCAGAGCGTGCTTCCAGTGCTACAACATGCTAGAATAACGCAACAGGACGATTTAATGGTAATGCATGCAATTCGCTACGTTCAGTCGCGCTCAGCCTGACATCTTGCAGGCATCTTTACTGCGCCAGATCGTTGCAGGGCCACGGGCCAGACACCCCGAGGCTGGTCTGGACCTATGCTATGTCACTGATTACAGTCAGTTGAGCCTCCAGGCTCACGAAGTTGCATGCTGACTCCCGATAACAGTCGTTGTCACTTCCGGACCCAGCTCCGTTTGGCCAAAGAAAGCCTACCGAAATCCACTTGACCAACTGGTCTCTTTCCTCGATCGCAAGCATGGACAAGACTGGTCGATATTCGAGTTCCGAGCAGAAGGTACGGGATACCCAGACAAGGAGGTGTATAACCGCATACACCACTTTCCCTTCCCCGACCACCACCCTCCCCCGTTTGCCTTGATCCCAAAGGTCATGGCCGCGATGCGAAATTGGATCCAGCGATGCGACGAGGCTACACAAGAGGCGGATACGCAAAATCAGCGGCCGAGAATTGCTGTTGTACATTGTAAGGCCGGGAAGGGACGCAGCGGGACCATTTCATGCTCGTATCTCATCAGTGAAGAAGGGTGGGATAAGCAAAAGGCCTTGGCCCAGTTTACAAATCGACGCATGCGGGCCGGTTTCGGCCAGGGCGTGAGCATTCCCAGCCAGCTACGATGGGTCGACTATGTCGACAAGTGGACAAATCAAATGGGCAAGTACTACAAGGACGTACCGGTAGAAATACTGGAGATCCACATCTGGGGGTTGAGAGATGGCGTGACAGTTACGGTGGAAGGATATGTCGAATCTGGGCGTAAGATCCACAAGTACCATAGATTCACCCGACAGGAGATGACATTGCTGGGAGAAACCAGCGACGAACGAGCTAGCATTTCAAGCTCCAAGAAAGACCAACACGTGCTGAGCACTCCTCCAGCAGGCACGCCTCGGTCATCAACGGTCAGTTTGAGCACTAGCGCGAACACCTCACAGGACGTCATACTCAAACCATCTACCCCCGTCGTCCTACCGTCAAGTGATGTCAACATCGACTTTGAGCGACGAAGCAAGGCCACGGCAGGGTTCACCATGATGACCGCGCTCGCCCACGTGTGGTTCAATGCATGGTTCCACGGCGGTTACGATGGCCACAACAGCGGCACGTTCGAGATCAAGTGGGAGGCCATGGACGGCATCAAGGGTAGTTCCAGAAAGGGCACGAGAGCACTTGACAGACTGGCTGTGGTCTGGAGATACAGGGAAGATGGCAGTGACAAGGTCGTGCCTGAACCGGCAAAAGGAGAACCAGTACCCGAAAACCCCCCGGCTGACTGGCGCGGTGAGGACAACCCGGAGGCCAAGCCCGCGGATGGTATCGACAGTGGTCGACCTGGAGGTGCGCTTCTGACCATGGGGGCTACCATAAATGAAGGAGCAAGTACCTTGGGCAAGGAACTCGGATTGAAAGAGAAAGAGTCCGAGTCGTCCAGTGAAAGCCTAGAAGGAAAATCCATTCGAAAAGCCGCGGGGGTGCAGCAGGCCGAGGAAGATTCTGGAGACGAAGGCGTCCGGACGTATGGCTTGAACGGGGAAAGCCACGTTCCATACAGAGAGGAGGATGAAGGAAGGAAAGACACAGCGACCGGTCATAGGATGGAAGCTGGTTTGGCCAAGGCCGCGCATATCGTGTCTAAAATGAAACCCTCGGGTCAGAAGAAAGACGGCGAGCGAGAGACTCCTGGTTCTCATGTGCACGGTGAGGCAAAGCATGCTATGGACTCGAGTGACCCGTCTCGGTCTCCGGCATGAATCATGACGTTAGCATAGCATTGATACCCCCCAGCACAAGTACACGCATCGTTAGAAAAAGATCGGCAAGGAGGCAATGTAATATCTACCTGGTCACCAGTATATAAGTTTTCGGTGTTTTGTGTGTATTTGGCAATATGTTAGGTATGTGTGTGTGCATAAATGTATCCGTTATATCACCCCCGAACTGTGCTTTATCCCTTATCCCTTACCGGTTTTGTTCAGGAAAGGGAGCGCTGCCTGATGTCCATTCCCCTTAAGGCCTCAGCTACAAAGCCATTGGTCACATGATATCACGCGAATTTCACTTTTGGTACTCCGTATGATGAGTTCAAAAAAAAAACTTACTCGTACCCGAGGACGAGGCTGATTCTACTCTTCTCGACTTACCCCCGCCGGGTGAGCTGGTCGACACTGGTCCCGTCCGTTCGCACTTGGATGCAGCCATTATCAAACGGTAACCAATAGTCAGTCCCCTTGTCTTCTTTAACGCTGATCGTCACCTAGTGTTCTTCTTCTCCACACCCTTGGCCCCGCTTTTGTACACCTACCTGGATTGTGCTACCGATGGCTGGGATCGTATCAATACCCCAATCTCTCTTCTCGAGGCTCTCCCACAGGTCTACACGGCCGAACTTACGAACCACGAGTGTCTGCACTGCCACCGCATTATGATTGACTCCAAGACGGCGTACTGGATCCAACCCCTTCCATACGACGTCGACCAAGCGCCGCAGGCCGCGGCGGACGGCTGCACGTGGTATGCATGGCTGATGAACCAGCTCCGGAGTTCGGGTAAGCCCGCCCAAGAGCTGGACCGAGACAGGTTTGTTCTTGATTTCAGCTACAGGGACAGTGCCTCTGATGGCCGTGCAATGCGGGATGTGTACTCGATATCCGTTCTGGTTGGGACTGAGTGATGTCGCTGGCCGTGCGCCCGGTTTGACGTCCTCGCCGAAGCAGGTGAGATCTGTCCGATGGAAGATGACCCCGCTCTAATTTTAACTTGATGTATCATCCGCAGACAGTGTGGCCGCTTTGAGTGTAAGCACCAGACCCATGAATCCAGATGTAGGTTCCGAGGCCAGCTTCGAGGTCGCAGGACAATGGATTGCTAATTGTCTGGGATCGTCATCCGCGCTGCCGGCTTTACTTGAACGGCAACTTTTCCCCCAATCGAGTCCTTGATGTTGCCGCGGGAAAAGACACGGTCAGACTGCTTGAGAAGATCCGGCACGGCCCTCCGAGCGCGACACGGTACGTCGCCATATCTTAACTACTGGGGAGGAGATCAACCGGAGAAGACAACCAGGGCAAATATTTCTGAGCACAGGGCCGGAACCTCGACCGTGAAGCTTCCACAAACGATTCAAGATGCCATCCGGGTCGCTCAACGCCTCGGTGTTCGCTTTCTCTGGGTCGACAGTCTCTGTATTGTCCAGGATGACCCGGAGGATGTGGCCAAGGAGATAACCCTGATGCCAGAGTATCATGGAAATTCACTCGTGACAATATGTGCCGCTGGCTCAAGCGGCTGCGCCTCCCAGGGCTTCCTGCGGCGTCGACGAAATGTGGAGTATATCGCAGGGCCTTTCACGTTGCAATACCAATCAATGTCCGGATGGATCCGCTGGGCCCGTCCAGTTGGGTTCAACATCCCAGCTTCTCTCCTAGAGAAGAGGTGGTCAATTCCCGCGGCTGGGCATTCATTACAGAAGTCCCTGTTGTCAACGCGTTTGCTCTCCTACGGCTCCCAAAACCTGAGATGGTCTTGCCTGGAAGATGCATGGAGTGATGGTGGACCCTGGGGAGCACGCTGCTAACTCGACATAAGGATCTCGTGGACGGATTGGAGATTGAAGCACCTCGCCGCTGAAGCTGCCAGGGATGAGAGCGCCACGGAGACGGCAGCAACCCTGATTGATCACTGGAAGGTCATTGTAGAGAACTACACACGACGACGGCTCACGAATCCATGCGATGAATTGCCTGCCCTCTCTGGCGTAGCACGGGGGTCCCACGACGCTTTTTCTCGCAGAAAGCCTTCGACACGACATCTTGGGGGCCTCTGGCCAAATGAAATAGTCCGCCCCAGCTTCTTCGGGTCCCTGCACGGCAGACCACATCCGACAACTTCTTAAGCAACCCGCATCCTCCGAGACCGAGACGATTTGAAGGATCCCTGGCTCCTTCGTGGTCCTGGGCGTCGCTGGACGGGGCCGTCGAGCACGCCGACTGGGAGTTCGTTCCGGCGGAGCAAGATCGGAGAGCCCGCGTTTTAGACTCCCCTTGGGCTGGTCACCAGAGTACTCGCGGGCCGAGGTCGTCGACTCCCGCGTCGAGCCTGTCGCGTGTGAGACGCCCTTTTCCGCCATCACATCGGGCTCTCTCGTTCATTCGTGGAAGAATGATCTGCACGGTCCCCGAGTGGGAGGATTTCGATCTCACGCCCGACACGGAGGAAGATCGCGCGCAGCTGGGCCGGGCCGGGACATCGCTGCTCATCAGCTGCGACTTTTGCAGCAGCTCATGAGGACCGGCATGCTAAAGGGGAACGTGCAGGTCAGGCCGCGGGGACTCATGCTGCTGGTGGACGGTAAAGTTGGAGGCGGGTGCCGCCGGATAGGGACGTTCCGCCTGAGAAACGCCGTGCGGGTGTCCAGGGACGCAGTATACGTACTTTGACGGAGTCGAACCCCAGATCATCATCACGCTGATGTAAATAGGGCCAACACAAAAAGTTCTCTGGGTTCAGTAGATTACGTTGGCAGCCGTCAGCAGAACCAGGGAGGAGGCAAATATTTGTGTTTGAAATGCAGCCGTAATTCTGTAGGTTCGACAACAGTCTGTGTATGTGAGTACCTGGATGATCATCAAACGAGTCGTTTGGCTGTGTCTGTCTTAGCCTAGGTGGGTTTCTTGGACCTTGCCTAGCTGTGGCTTACGTGGATAATATATATATATATATATGTGCAACGTGCTTGACTACTCATTTTCATTTTGTCAAGGTAGATAACAAGACATTGCGCCCTTCCTCGCAGGATACGACACTGTAGTTATCCGGCACCCTAGTTCCATTGATCCTGAGAGATGGTCTTCGCAAGATCAATGTTGCCAGAGTAGTCGATCGCAACATCGACCAGCGACACGCCCTCGTGGCCCAGGGCTTCCTTTATCACGGTCTCGACCTGAGACGAGTCGGAGATCCTGAACCCTTTTGCGCCGAAACTCTCGGCGAACTTGACGAAATCGACGCCGCCAAGCTTGACGCCCGACGAGCGGTTGTACTTCATGACTTCCTGGAACTCGACCATGTTGTAGGCCTCGTCGTTCCAGACGAAGTGGGTGATGTTGCACCCTTGCTGCACGGCGGTCGACATTTCCTGGGACGAGAACATGAAGCCGCCGTCGCCGCTCACGGAGACGACCTTCTCGGAGCACGGGGGGTGCTGCGCCAGGCTCGCGCTGATGGCCCAGGGGAGACCGACGCCGAGAGTCTGTTGGCCGTTGGAGCACAGGAGGCGGCGCGGCTCGTAGGCGAAGAAGTATCTAAAAAATCACGACATTGTCATTGGTCAGTTGAGATCTGTGGCGGCAGCGGCAGCAGGATCAACAGTAGCAGCAGTGTAGAGCTCTTATCGGGCAGGGTTTTGGGGATCATTGCTCTCTCTCTCTCTCTCTCTCACCTCATAAAGTAAATATAGACGGAGCCGACGTCGACGCAGACGGTGGTGTCTTTGGACACGAGGCCCTGGAGAACGGTGATGAAATGGAGCGGGTGCACGAGACCGGAGGACCGTTTGATGTCCGGATGTCGTTGCCAGGAGAGGAACTCGTCTCGGAACGGCCGACATTGTTCCGCGATGGAGGACTCGGAGATGTGTGGAAGATGGGAAGAGATGTACGCGAGGTTCTCGGCTATCGACCCGACCAGTTCTGAGATCGGACGGTACGACGCTCCGTAGTCCGCCGAGGTCACGTCGATGTGCACGATGCGGCCGTCGCCTCTTGGGTTCCAAGCACTGGCGTCGTACTCGACCGGGTCGTAGCCGACGGAGAGGATGAGGTCGGACTTGGCCAACAACTTGTCACCGCATTGGTTCCTGAAGAGGCCGACGCGACCGTAGAAGACGTGCACGAGTTCCTTGGAGATGGCACCGGCGGATTGGAACGTCTCGACGGTCGGAATGGGGAATTTCGACAGCAGTTTGCGCACTTGGTCGACGACCCTTGGCGCACTGGCGCGTAGCCCCAGGAACAGCACGGGCAGCTTTGCGGTTTTGATCATCTCGATGGTCTCGTCGAGGCGTGAAATAGGGGAGATGCCGTACGTTGGGGGCAGAAAAGCATGGCTTGGGAACGGGAGGATCTTGGATTTTCCCTTGGCCACGTCGCTTGGGATGTTGACGACCGCAGTGCCTCTGGGCGAGGAAGACGCCGTTCTGAAAGCGTCGAGGATGACTTCGGCCGCCTGGTCCTCGACGTCGATCGAAACGGCCAGTTTGGAGGTCGGTCCAAGGATGTCGAGCGTCCTCATGCTCTGATGTGTTCGATGGAGCTGCATTGCTCGAGGCACGCTGCCCACGAGAGCTACCACCGGGTCGCATTCCGTGTTCGCGGTGACAAGACCTACACTAGAGGTTAAAAGTCGGTCCCTGCGAGGATAGAGAGCCCGCCTATACCGGTAGCCAAATTGCTCGCTCCAGGACCGCTGGTAGCTAGACACACTCCAGGCGTTCCTGTGATGCGCCCGAGAGCTGCTGCCATGAAAGCCGCGTTCTGTTCATGTCGAGCAACGACTAGTTTGATCTCGGGGTGATCTTGGAGACAGTCGAAGATGGCATCGATCTTTGCGCCTGGTACTCCAAAGACGTAGCGAACGCCAGCCTTGTGGAGGCTGTTGACGATGATCTGGGCGACGGTGTCTTCGGCCATGGTGGGGGGGGATTGTGGCAGGAGAAGGGGAATGAAAGAAGAAGCAAGTTATCAGGCTATCATAGTCCCTTTGTAAAATGATCGTACCTCTTTTCTGGCCGGATAATAGCGATGACAAACGAGTCGACGGCAGGTAATACACTCTCTTATGTTGGCGGGATGGACGGAATGCGAAAAAGGCAAAACGAGGAAGCCCGTAAACGGCAGGATGATGTAATCGGCGTTGATTGGGCGAGAACGAATGACCTCACTGTCTCGCCCACAGGAAGAATCGCAGCTCAACCCTCTTTCACTGTTGTTCTTGTAAGCTATTGTGGCGGACCGGCGGAAGCATTGCACGAGTCGATGAATTTTCGAGAGAATGGCTTACAACGAGATCTACCAGTACTCGCTGGTCAACGCTCTCATGAGCGGAGTGTCGGACTCGGGCATCACAGTAGGGCAATTAATCGAAAAGGGCAACGTCGGGCTGGGAACCTTCGTGAAGATGCGAGGAGAGCTTGTCCTTCTTGACGGCAAGGTCTATCAGTTGCAGGCCGAGGGCAATGTTCGTGTGGCGGACTCTGAGGAACAGCTCCCATACGCGGTTTGCACAAATTTCAAACCCCAAGCCACGGTCAAGGCGACCCTCGACACCAAAGACTCCATCGATGGGGTTCTGGAAAAGTTCAACAACCATGCAAGTAATCTGTTCATGGCTTATCGCATAGAGGGAGTCTTCAAGAGGTTAAAGTGCAGAACTGTCAAGGGCCAGGAGTATGACGGTCAGGTACGTACCGACTCCCTCATGTTGTCTTTATCTTTGGGCGGCAGATCAAGTCTGATGAGCCCGTTAGCCCCTCGCTGAGCTTGGAAAAACCCAATATGTCTCCAACCATGACAATATCGAAGGTACGATTGTTGGTTTTCGCACACCTGAAGCCTGGCAGGGGTTCTTCGTCGCTGGCGAACACATGCACTTCATCTCGAAAGACCGCAAATTAGGCGGGCATGTCTTGGAGTTAAGTGGTGCAGAGGTTACGATGGGGATCGCGACGATAAACAACTTGCATCTTGAGTTACCAACGAGCGAAAAATTCAATGCAGCGAAGATGTCGACTGATGACGTGGGCCTGAAATCTGTCGAAGGCTGATGCACCTGTTGATTCAGGGTTAAGACACTGTATCGATGAAGTGCATGCTTGTCTCGTGGACACGATCAAGATTGCAGTGGCGAGTCCAAGACTGAGCCAGGTACAAGGCGAACGATCATCGGTCACTCAAATGGCACTGTTGGCCAGAGTTGTACCGAGTGCTGCACAGCCCCTGGTTGACGCCCGATTGCGTATCCAAGTTGAGTACAATACATTGAGGCGCGAGCCAGCTAGAACAGGCAGCAGCATCTTGTCTATCACCCCTTTGGGATGTTGAGTCATCCGTGTCTTAACAGAAAGGACATCCTACCTGGCGTCAGTGTTGTAAGAACAACAAAGCATGTTTTGGATGTGGATCAACTGATCACACCCTTCGCAATTGCCCTCCTTCGTCTGTAACCAAGCGAAATGCTCCGTCAGTGCGCGGACGGGGGTATGGGGCCAGACAACATCGACCAAGTCGAGACTTGAAGGACTTCGTCCAACATGGGAGCCTTGAGCGCACATCAGATAGCTTTGGAAAGTCAAGAGCTACTGCTGAGCCTTCTAACTAGTCTTCAAAAGAACTCTAACGGCCTACCCGAACTAACACGCGCAAGCGTAACAATGAAAACCCACCGTATCCCGCGATCAATATAGCCTTAGCCCAGCAACAAGCCTAAACACTCCATAACCATTGCTCTCTATCGTTTTTCCTACCGTTGTCATGATCGTGATCATGATCGCTAGTCTTGACATTCCCGAAAGTCTTCAAAATCACCTTTCCAGCTTGAGTGACGCATTCCTTCTCGTCCTTCTTCCACGTCTCGAAACGGCCCAGTTTCCGGCCATCGACGATCCTATCTCCGCCCGTGAGAATGGCACTGGCGAAACAGATACAGTTGATCCCCTTCTCGTCCTGGCCGGCGTGCGTGCCGTCTGACAAGGTCGACACAACCTGCAGGCACTTTTCGAAGACGGCAAACATGTTCAAGCGCGCGAGGGGCAACGTAAACGCAGCGTTGGTTCCGGAGTCGGTCGTCGCGGTTGCAAAAGACTTATGCGCTGCCTCGGCGAGGTCGAGAAGCCGCGATGATTCCAGTGACGATGATGAGCCCCGACGTTGCGACGAGACCGCGGTGGAGGCAATACTACTGCCACTACTCGTACCGCTCCGTCCCTTGCGCGCGCCAGCGTGTCCCTTTTTATAATGTGTGTTGTTGTTGTTGTTGTTGTTGTTGTTGTTGCTCTCGACGAGCGCACCCCCGCCGTTGAGACTGTCCCACACGTCCTCGCCGACGTGGTAGTCGTGCTGTTTGACCTTGAACAGAAGACAGTCGATCTTGCTGCTCGCGTCCGACGAGTCGCCGTGGGCTCCGAGTCCGGCAGCACGGCGTGCGGCGTGTGCGGGGATCGCCATGCACCATGCGTCGTTGCTGTTTCGGTTCTTATGGCCCTTTTTGAATTTCAGCCGAGCGCCAACGTACCGGCTCCAACACGCGCGGAAACTGCCCTTGGGCCGTGTGCCACCGGGGAAGAAGACGCCGCTGAACTGGTCGCAGAGGCTTTCGAGGATCGGAATCTTCTCGAGACGCTCTAGTTGTGTGAGGGCGTTGTACGAATGCAACACCGCGCCGACGTAGTGTCGGTAGTTGAACAGCCGCATGCCGTAGTAATGGCACAGATCGAGAATCTCGAGCATCTGGTTCCCCGCGACCCACGGCGACTGGAAGTATATGTCCCAGCACTTGTACTTGGCGTAGGAACTCAAGTCAGCCTCGAGGTTCTGCAGGTGGTACGCCAACGTCTGCGTGCACCGGCACGGGAAACATGTCTTGTCATTGAGCACTCGAGACACTTGAGAGGAAGCTTGCTGCGCCAGGCGGAGAGCAGCGAGACGGCACCTGGAGATCTCGTTGGCCGAAGACAGTGATTCGATATAGCTCCTGTAACCTTTGGTCAAGAGACTGAGCCCGAGGATCGCGGACCAAGACTGAGCGTTTTCGTCGTCGGTCCGGGTGATCAGATACCCCACGTCGGCGTATACGGGCGTGCTGTTTCGGATGATGTTGGGCGGCGCCGCGGTCCGAGCAACGAGGTGCACGATATTGTCGACTATCGCTTCCACGAACTGAGGCCGGGCCGTGGTACCGCTGCCGTCTGCTGGCGGTTGGATGTACTCTGCGGGTTTCTGGACGCATGCCGCGCATGACGGGATGAGTAGTTTGCGGTGCCCTTCTCGAAAATGAAGGACTGATTGCTCCAGCTTCTGCAGCTCGTCGAGGAGAACGTGGCCGGCGCCGCCAAAGTTTTCACCGTTCGCTATTTCATTTCCGGACCGCTTACAGCACATCTGGTGAAGTCCCGAAAGGCTGAGTTCCTCATCATGCTCGAGCAATTCGATCCCGACTTGTCGCAACATTGAAAATGCAACATTTGTGACGAAGGCGGCTACTGGAAAGGAAAAGTGCCCATTCGCAGCCAGAGTCCAGCAACGTTCAGCAGACGACGAAATATCGCGGATACGCTATCATGATCAGTTCAGTGTGATGGGTCATAGGAGCAGTTCTGTTCACAAGAAAACACAACTTACCTGAATGGCCTCATTCACTTGGAGAAAAAGCCCGAGCTCATCATCTGCAAAATGGACTTCTGAATTCTTGCCATCACAATTCGTCGGGGTTACTGCTGTACACTCTGGACATGAAGAAAGCGCATTCTGCCCAGGCTCTACTTCGGTTTCGTCGATATGCTCCACGTCCAGGCCAATGTAGGTGTTTTTGGGACCTTCCAAGGCTGTGGCTGCGTTCTTCTTTTGGTTTCTCACTTTATGATCGTTGCGACCGCAACACTCGCAAAGATCGCTGTAAATCTGAGCAAGGCTTCATGGCGATCATAGATAGTCAGTACCGAGAGAACTCCAGGCACACAGCAGCTACTCAACCCACGGACAGTCCTTACCTGGTCGTAAAGTGCTCGTGATTGATCGTGTCGACATCCACAGCCGCTTCATCTACCTGTGCGCGGAAATACTTGCTGAGTCTCTTCCGGGACGAGATTGTTTCTCGAAAATAGAAATGAACCATGTCTGGTACAGAGCGGAGGCTTTTTGCGGCGGTCTTTGCCAGAGCTTCGAGTTCCTTGATGGGCAGCGTTTTGACGCGACGGTTCGGTGTCGGACTGTACTGAATCAACCAGGCCACCAGGGCACGGCTCCCTTTCTTGTATCGCACGTATGCATCGAGCACATCAGGTGGCAAGCCACTGAATGTGATCTTGTGTGAAGGATTGAGAAGCATCGTGATGTGCTATGCTCGGAACTTTGCAGTCGAGAAAACGAGGGAAGACTTTCACTAACCGCAAGGATTGAGCAGAACGATGGAGCGAGTGGAAGCGACGGTTAGCAGGGTTCTAAGTCTTTATCTTACCTGAGAAAATGTCAATGCGGGCAGCAAGCCATGTATAAACATCTTGTGTTTGCTTGCGGGAGATCTCTGCCCGCCATGAGACAAGACTCGGATGAAATTTGAGGACAAGGAAGACATGGACGACCCCGCCACTATCGATATCATCTTCCATATCGGGTAGGAACGAGACCCTGGAGTTGACGTCCTGATAAAATCGCAAAGGAGTGATTGGCGAAGAGTGGTGGACTTGAGAATCGAGGACCTTAAGGCGCACACATGTTTTGACGAAGTGTTTATCAGCCCGGCGAACCTTCCTATAGCAGATCACGAATCTGCATATACGAAAACGAAAACGAAAACGAAAACGAAGCACCGGTCATCTGAACATGTGGTGAAAATACTTAATCATCAATGGTCTATGAGATATAACTAGGTTTCAAATAGTCAACTTATCAGACAGAGGTGTAGTAAATATGCATCAAGTCGTGTACGGTCGTCGTCCGCATAGCGTTATACAAAGGCACAAGCGTCCACCAGTTCATAAGGCGTCATCTAGTACTGTACATGACAGCTCGGCGGTTATCCAACTCGTTTTCCGAGTGTTTAGTCCTCTCCCGTTTCTAGTCCTCCTCATCATACAGCCTCTTATAATACACTGGCATGCTGTCCTTTCGAGCAACCAGTTCTTTGAGAGATATGCTGACTCTCCGTATATTTTCAAGCGACTTTGCACATCTCAGACGGTAAGACTTTCTGGCCGATCTCGCTTTGGCCTTCGTCAGAGACATCTTTTCAGTTGCGGTCTTCTCGGAGTTCAGGTCGTCGGGCTCGGGTATTTCAACAACCTCAACAATTCCCTTTTCAGTCTTTTTCTCATCGACGAGTTGTGCGGGACTGTGGTCGCCTGTGGCCGGAGAGACGCTTTGATCGAGTGGGCAACGTCCATATTCACTGGACAAGGAGCCGATGGAGAATAATCTCGACAGCCTTGATGGCGCGGCGAAGTGGGATCTGAGGTCATCATCTCCCATATGTGTCGACCAAATGACGATGTTGTTTTGAGCGGCCAAGTCACTTTGCTTACTTCGTGCAGATTCACCCCGGCCATATCGTTGGATGATAAGTGACCAGACCTTGCCGACCACCAGGGTGAAAGCGACGAAGACGAGTGATGCCAGTACGAAGAGGGCGATGAGTGTCCCAACGAATTCTTGGGGAGGTAGGTCGCGAGTTTGTAGATGTTGTAGTAGTGGTGTTGAATCGCTGACCTCGATGTCGCGGGCGAGTACATCAATCAACGGAATTGGTGCCATGTTGATGACTACCGTCGCTATCCCAGGTGAGATTAGATTGCTTGATCTTGAGCAATACTGATCTGTCACTAGTTAGGCAACTTCGTTGGCAAAGCAAGTGTTCAGCCTTGTTTGCGGCCAGGAAAAGCTCCGGAGAGGGTGTGATAAATTTCTGAAACAGCATGATCGACTTCCAAGGTGGCAATATACGTAGTTATGTATCTGATGGCTGGTCTGCTGGTGAGCTTCAGTAACGAAACGCCAACCTCGTGAGGTCTGTGCACACGGCATCCAGGCATTCGGAAACATTCGCGATCCTGGTGGCCATGCGGCGCTAGGACCCCTTCCCCAGCCTCATGACGGCTCAGCTCCTGTTAAAGGGTGATCTGTGCGCATCCGGACGAACATGCGACAGTAAGGGAGCGACTTGCTGAATGGTCCAACATCATTCGTGGCTGTAGAATATTGCGATCTTTCCAATCGTCCGAATGTCCGAAGTAGAGAGCCTGAGCGTCGCACGCTGGATATGCATGCATGGACGGCTCGCGTATCTTCACTTTTTTGCTTTCTGATGCTGCTACAGGAAAGTTCCACGATTTACCGTTGCAGCATTGGATGTGCGAGCAGGCTGTCGATGGTGACGCTGGGACCGCGCGATCTGAGTTCTAGATACTGCTGGTCTAGACTGTTCATCGGCGATACAGGGGTCGGCTCTTGAGCTTCTATCGTTGGAATTTCCATGCTCGCTCGGCGGACATCACTAGGGTGGTGCGTGCTGTGGGATAATGAGGTGGTCGACACGTAGTCCTGAGGATCGTAGGGACGCAGGACTGGAAACTCTTGATCTGCGTGGTACGAGTGCGGTCTTATTTGATTATGGCTATACTGCCTAGAAGGCCCTAGATGGGGAGAGTACGGCGGAGGAGGGTCGAGGTGTTCCGGCGGCAGAGCAGCAGCTATTTCCACACTCAAGCTTCTGCGGCGATCTTGTACCTGTTGATCATGGTAGTGTAGCTGGCTATTTTGTTCTTGTACAGCTGCAGAGAAGTACTGGTCCGAACGTCGCCGGTACTCTTTTCGCTTGATATATGGCTCGTTCCCAGTATCAATTCTCAGTATTGGTCGAAATTTCGAAGCGGGCGATGTTGTCCTTGGTCGAGGAGGTGGTCCTGGCAGCGGCCGATAGGTTCCGTAGTGGCCGGATGGCGGCCGTGAAGCGGCTCTTTCCACCGGGTGGTACTCTACCGGAATGCCTTCCCAAAGCTCGAGATCAGGTCTAGAGGTTGTCAAATTGGTTGTGGAAGATGTTGCGGATAAGCGGAAGCTCGACCGTGATTGTCGCCACTTTGAACGCACATTGCTGAAGAAGTCATTTCCTGATGAGCTCATGACAACCGACAAACTTGTCCCCAGTACAGAGGATACTAAAAGTAAGGCCAGGACAATACGGAGCTGAGTATTCTGGGTGGGCATGAAATCCTATAAAACTTCAGAGGAGTCGATGTTGTCGAATATAGAATGTCGACGAGAAGTCGGCCTAATTGGCCCCAATCCGTGTTGTACCGAGATAGCTGTATTATCAGTTGATAATACTAGGAATGCCAGCGCGCCGACACTTGTTGGAGGCGAAGTTGGACACCACTCGAGCTTTAGTAGGTTCACTCAGTGGCGTGGCGGTACACTTTCGAGCCATACCGGACCCATAAAGGACAACCATGCAGAAAGGGCGAGGAATGGTAGTGGCCACTATACTGAATAGGCATGCATGCCTCGCCAGCCCATGCATAAATGAGGCGCACGGGGGAGGGATGCTGTAGTAAGATTGACGACACCACGCGACGAAGGATGAAGGGGCCGGAAATTGTGTTAGTGGTTGCCGTTTACCTCGTAGTGCGGAATATGCTGAGTAGAAAAAAGTATTAGGCTCACCCATCTAGTGGAAAGCAGAAGACAACATGTCCACATGTTGCTATGATGTTGGCTGTGCTGAGCTAGAAGAGAGTCGAGTCCTCGAGGATTGATCCGTCATGGTGAGCAGTACCCATCTCGACGACTAACTTGTCGGCCACACGGGGCATTTCCAGCAGTGTGTCTCTCGTTCGGGTCTGCCACCATGCATGCTCTGCATTCTGATTATTATATCGGTGAGGGTCACACTGTACGCGAGGAAACTTGACTCGAAGAAGTTGGTCTGATGCATGCATACCTGATCCGGTCAGAGCTGACCCTTCTTGAGGCTATGATACGGCCACAAGACACTAGCCCCCAACTTGCAACAGCGGCAGCATCTTGACGCGAGGGTCGAATCTGGGGCGGAGAATAGAATCCCAGGAACTGTGCCCTTGAGTCTTCGGCAGTCTCAAGGGTCGCAGTCTTTGGTGAGCTGGTATAAAGTACGAGGTTGATGGAACTAGATCTCCGAGAAACCGTATTCCCCCTCGCGGTTTTGTGTACACTCAGAAGCCATTACCTGACCCATCAGCTGGACCATTGTAAGCGCTCAGCTCAGTCTGACTTCGACGATGAGGTGACACGAGAAGACACAAGGTGGGCGTAGGTCACTCAGCAATCGAAATACTGTTAATACCATTCTAGCAATTTTGGAGTAACCACCCACAGCACCTGCGCTGCTCGCGGGACTCCGGGGTATCAGAGAGGATGGAATTTCGGATTGGTCACGGAGTACTCGTACCGTGCGAAATTCGCCCAGCATGGTGCAAAGTCGTCACGACTGGTCGACAGTCACTCAGCGAGACAAGAAAGAAACAAGCATTCTGCAATTTGTGCTTGGTTCACTCACCATGGCTTTCCTTCATCATCACCAGACCAGAGGGAACTTTTTACAGTTCCGGCTAGCAACTTTCGTGGAGTGATTACATGTACGGAGTACCGCGGTAGCCAACTCGTACTCACGTTAAGTATAGAAACCCCATGGAACACCATGGTTTTCGTTGGTTGCCCTCGTCCCTACCGAGTTCTGCAATATTCCCAAGTACGTGGGAACTCCTCTTGCCTGGGTCAACGTCATATAGTACCACTCCGATGTACGTAGTTTGGAATACGTTGACACCCGGAACACGGTCCTCAGGGATTTGAGCTACCAGTGCCTTGTTTCAAGTTGTGACACGGCCAGGAAAACCACTCTATTGAAGAAGCAACCGCCGGTGTAGCGAATACGGCGTGGATATTGGCCCGAAGGAATAGGGGGCGGGCTCCACCACCACAGTCAGCAACGTCTAATTTCCACCGATAGACAGGAGCAACACTCTCCACCACACGGCCATTTCCATCTTAAGGTTAACCTTTTTGACCGCCACGTACCAACTACTCGTACAGCGAGACTGGACGCGACAGACGCGTGCGCGTAAGGACCACGATTGGTGCTTGGAACAGGAAAAGACAACATCCGGTAAATGAATAGGTACTACGCAAATACTAGCTACAACGGAATCCCAGCTAGCATTTTTGGCTGCGTCCAAACAAAAGATATGCAAGAAAACCGTTCAATATCACAACCCAAGACATGCTTCCTGTTCTTAGAAATTGGCCATGTGAATCGTGACAAAGCAAAAACGCAACAGTGAAGAGGCATTTATGCCAGGACGACGGCGGCAGCGGCAACGAGACCGGCGAAGGCGAAAGAGCCGGCATTGGCAGAAGCAGCACCAGTGAAGGTTGCAGGGCTGACTGGGCTTGATCTGGGGATATGGTTAGCATTTTCGATTTTCATGTCTGCTGTTTCGCGACAGAACTTACGGAGTGTAGGATGACCAGGCGCCAGTGGAAGCAGGAGCAACTGGGGTTGCAGAAGTAGGTCCAACGGGCCAGTAAGCGGAGCCGGTTGAAGTGACGATTGGGCCAACAGGGGTGCTTGCGCTGGTAGCGACGGACGAGGTGCTGTAGGTGTAATAGCACCAGTCGGCGGGAGGAGCACCGGTCCAGGAAGCCTCGATGGAGCTGAGGACTTCGGTTGGGAGGAGGGAGAACCAAGCAGGAGGAGTGGTGGCAGTGTAGCTAGGGCAAGGCGCAGAGGTGGTCGACACAGGGGACACTGGCACGCTGCTGCTGCCGGTAATGGTGGTCCAGTCACCCCATGCAGGGTCGGTGGTGCTCGAGGCGCTGATTGGAGAAACGGGAACGCTGCTGGTGGTCGTGGTCCAGTCTCCCCAGGTAACGTCACCGGTAGAGGTGGTGATGGGGTCGACTGTCGCGGTGGTCGAAGATGTCCAGTCGTCCCAGGGACCGGCGCTGGTGGCAGCGGCGTATGGGCAGTTGGTGACGGTTGGAGGGCAGGAGGTGATGGTCACATCGTCAGTGACGGTGACGGAGTAGGTCTTTGCGGATGCAGCGGCAACAAGGCCAGCGGCGACGGCGACGGAAGTACGCATGTTGATGGTTGATGGTCGTTTGCTTCGAATTACCGGAATCGAAAAAATATAAAGGCTTCGAAAGCGAAGAGGCTGGTTCGGGCGGTGTATTAAAAACGAACGTGGTTGGAGCTGAACTCGAAAGAGTGGACGACCGAAGTCAAGACGTTTGGATACAGAAGTCACAGCTTGAGTATGGGAAAGGAAAAGTCCAAGGCATTGGGCATCTTGAGGTACTTGTAGGAACGCTCGTAGTCTGGGAGATTGCGGCGGCCAGAGCCTCTGACGGGGACCGACGCTGCGCCAAAGTGTTGGCCATTCGCCGTAAATGGCTAGCGATGGAGCTTGGATGGCAGTGCCTGGAGATTACTTCTGGAGAAGCGCGAACGATCAAGGTGAAAGCGACAGGGGGGGTCAAGGAAAAGGAGCGGCTTGAGTCAAAGCAAAAGACTAGGTGGGCCGCTAAAAGGCTCACCAAAGCTCAAATTAAAGCTGCGGGAGGCTTGACACCAGCGCAGGTACCAGGAGCCTCAGAGCCAGTGATGGGCCTTGATGCGAAAGCCACCGACGGACCACATGGGCGCTAGAATCTTGCAGCTGACTTGAGCCAGGGAGAGAGGCGATGACCTGGCTGGGCTGTCACAGGCGCTCGAGCACCACCAACGGTGGATCTGCGAATAGGAGAACCGAAAACAGCAATTAATTTGCCCCGACGGCCAAGCTTGTCCTCGTCCCGGGTTTGTCTCTCGCGTGCGTATGCTCGTCGACTACGCTGCTTGTTCCCCGGCGACGCGAGATGGAGAGCCCGGCTAGTGGTTCAGCAGAATGTACCCGTCAGACGGGGTGCTGAATGTGAGGGTAACAGTGCTGTACGGCGTCGTCGCATACTCTCAAATGGGCTTGTTATGTATAATGTTTATAGCGCGTCCTGGCGTTTTCCAGCGGGACCCCGGTTGGACGTCCATAGCACACGGCCACTGTGCGTTGAGACTGAAGCTGCAAGGCGTGCAGAATAGAGCCCAGCCACAGTCATGAGTGCTCACTGCTCAGTGCGCGAACGTCGCAAGTTTTTTCATGGCGGTAGATGAAAATGCAACGCCAGACGGAATCGGGCAGTTTCATCTTGGTCCCTCATCGTCAATCAGGATTCAGGGGTGGATGGTGGATTGTGGTCGCTGAGAGACGACGAAAGGCTCCCCATTGGTCTCACTGTTGGCAGCCTGACAGGATGAGACGTCGATGGAGGTGGCCGACATCTCTAGGGAGTCGAGGACCGAATCCTCATGTGATTGATCGTCCTCTCGTTGATGTGCCGTTGGTTTAATCGATGAGTGTGAACACGCTGGGTTCAAGCCGTGAAACCACAATACACAAATTAATCAAAAGATTTCATCGCGTATCACCCACACCTTGTATTGTGAAGCCATTTGCGCCCTCTCGTTCCAGTTGTTCTCATAAGCTCGACAAGAGGTAGCAAATCACGATCTCGATTAATGCGCCTTCGCACTCCGCACTCAATCTGTGGCTGCTGACTTGCTCCGTGTTCGCTTGACGCGTCGCATCTCGGCGCGAAGTTGCTGTCACGATTTCGCCTGACATGATTGCCTGAGCAGTTTACGGAGGACGGACAGTGTGAGTACCTACGATGGCCCACATGTACTACGTTCTGGACGTTGGTATCTTTTGAAAGGTGCGCTACGACAACTGGCAGCCACACCAGGGTTCAGACCCAAAAACCATGAACGTACACTTCGACGACCGACCTTGACGTGTCCAGGCTGGTAACAGGCTAACAGCACAGACGGCGAGGTGTCTTCTGTCACCACGACACCCATGCTTCCCGACCACGATCCCAAACACACCACCACGGGCTGGTTCAAAGGCACGAGACTGTCGGCCAAGTGCACGAGCCCTACCTTGGTCGCAAGGCTAATACACGCATTGCACCGTCTTGTGTTGCTTGTTTTGCTGTCACCCGGTGTCGTTCAACTGCCATTGCGGCTCCATGGATAGAGACTACAGCTTGCTCGGTTCTTTGCCGGTGGAATCGACCGAGGCTGAGCGTTTCCTCTTTTCTTTCTTGACCTCCATAACTATGGACTCTTCTCCTTATATGGAGCACTGCTGGCTTTGCCAGGTAGGCGGACACCGGCTTACAAGACTCTCTACGGAGCATTCTGTTGAATGATGTAACAGGCTCTGGAGCGCCATTTGTTTTCCATCACCAAAAACTCTCCGCCTCATCCACTTCTGCTCTGGCTGCTGAAGAACCTGAGAGTAAGCGCAAAGATTCACTGAGACGACCTAGCATAGGCGGCGTGAATTTTGCATTCCTCCACAGAAATCAATCGTCGACATTCCAGGATCCTTGGCCTCGTCCAATCTTCGGACTCTTTATCCGTTTCTCCGTGGCCCGGCGTCACGACCATCAGGAGGACAGTCGTACATCATCGGACACGAGGGAAATGGTATGCATGGCCCGAACTCGTTTGACCATCAGGTACGAGGTCTGAAGCGACGCCGGAGTCCCATCTGTCCACTGTGCAAGTACTGCGTACGACTATCAGTGATCTGAGCGCGTTGCACGGTAATGTAACTGGCAATCCGGGTGAGCGCATGAAGACAAATGGCCATTCCTCGGTGGCGTAACCCCGGCAGATTCGAATCTTCGAACTATGGCGGACATCATAGATATTGAAGCCGTGATGAAGATGGAAATCATGTCCGGACTAAATGCACCACGTCATGACATCCCACCAGGGTCGAAAACTTGTCCCCAAACGAACTATGCAGCTCATGGACTAATCAATATGCGGCCGGCGATCAATTTTTCGCCGTTAATTCAACTCATGCCTCGCTCTATGCCTCTATAGCTCACCAGTTGTTTATACGACTTCCGGTCGTATTCGATTTTTTTCTCCACCGTCCTTGGATGTGACAGCCTTTTGTGCTTCTCTCCACCATCACCAAATGCGTCACAAATCTGAGCGTCATAACTCCGGCTGTTCCATTGAACCTGAGGAACCTCAACTGCGCTTAGACATCCACATGTTCTACGTAATCAGCTCATCAGAGAGCTCTCGGTGCGGCCTTCCGATGCTTTTTGGCCTCTCATCGCAAGCTCAACTTCGTCCTCTGTGGACATGCAAGTCCACGAAAGAGGAACGATGATGTACTATTGCTAGGGCTGACCTCCACTCACAAAACAACTCTGGATGACGGTGAGTGTATGAATGCTTCACACTCTAGTGAGGTCATTCTCCCTGGTACGGGGAAGAGTAGGTGTAAGATATTCTTTTCACATACTTGTGTCCGGCCAATACATATGGTGTCGAAAGTCCGTCTAGTCTTTTGAGTTGACCATTCTTCGCATGTTGACACACAGGCACAATGAAGTCCTACACTAGCCTTCTGCTAAGCTTAGGAGCTTTGGCAGCGGCCGCTCCTCAACTCACCCTCACTCCTCTGAGCGGCCCTGTTCCTCCTGTGCGCAGTTCAGAAGTGACTGGTCCGACCTCTCACGGTCCTTATTCGGGCACACCCACCGTGACTGGAGCTCTGACTGCTCCTGCGGTCGCGCAATCTATTGCTCCTGGACCTCCGACCCCGGTCACGTACAGCAACGACAACGGTCTCCTCCAAGCCGGCTATCAACCCGTCCCATACCAACCAGCAGGTGGTGCTGGGACAAATGGTAGTCTGCCGTACTACCACCCCTTGTCCGACTTCGACTATGAGTCGCTCGCGTTGGCACTGTACCAAGAATGGATCGAGCTCGATCTCTTCCATAATGGTCTCGCACGCTTTCCGGTCTCGGAATGGGAGGCTGCCGGTCTCACTGCCGAGGATCGATTCCTGATCGAGTTCATGGCAGACCAAGAAGTCGGCCACGCAACCTTGCTGAGCAACATCCTGGGAGCAGCGGTATGTTGACATTCTCTACCACACGCAAACATGACATTCTTTTTGGGCATGTACTGACCAGATGCCCGAATCAGGCGCCTGCGCAATGCACCTACAACTATCCCTTCGAGACGGTACGCGAATTCCTCGACTTTTGCCAGAAACTCACTCGATTCGGCGAATCCGGCGTCTTCGGTTTCCTCGGCCACCTTGACTCCCGCGAGTCCGCGACGTTGCTGCTGCAATCCATCTCCACCGAATCCCGCCAGCAATTCTCCTTTCGCCAAATGACCGGACTGTTCCCCATGCCCGTTTGGTTCGAAGTCGGCGTGCCCCAGAGCTGGGCCTGGACCTTGCTGGCCCCCTACATCTCCAGCTGCCCGGCCAACAACACCCGACTGGCGTGGCAAAACTTCCCGGCCCTCAGCGTCCTCAACCAGCCCAACAGCTTCAAGATCAACCCCAACCTCGGGGCGCCCTCCAACACCACCGGCGCCGACCCGAGCAACGACACCGGTATCGCGCGCAGCAACGCGTGCTACAGCACCAACGACACCGCCAGAGACTGCGGTCCGGCTCTCAGCCAGAACCGCTCCATCCCGCTCTCGTACCCCGGTCGTCCAGTGCACTTTTCGTGGGGCAACGTCAATGAAACCGTCGGTCCAAACAACAGCTACGTCACCTCGCGATCGCCTCTGGCCGATGCGCCGCGGTACGCCATGTTCGTGTCTCAACTCAACGCGACCTACGTGCCCCTCACCAACATCAGCGACAACACCGCCTCGTGCGTACAGCCCAACATGAGCACTTTCGCAGGCGACCCGGCCGTCAACGGGACCATGTTTATCGCGTTGGTATGTACCACTTACCTCATGACCCGGGTGTCGTGCGCTAACCGTGCCTTCTTCTTCCTTGACATAGACTTCGCAGAACCCATATCTGACTCCGTTCAACCTGTCCATGGTCAATCCTTACGTCTGTACGTAACAGTTCTTTCCCGTCGTGCCCGAGTGCGGTGGACGTTAGTATTAACCATGTGAACTATAGATGCTGGCCCTGCTTTGTATCAGGCTGGCTAAGCACACCAGAAACATGACGCCAGCCAAACCACTCTCGAACCACCACCACCACCACCACCACCACACCAATCCTTGACACCAGCTGGCTGTCTTGTACCTGCATGAGGTGGATGGAATGGGAAAGAAATCAAAATATAATCCTAAATTTGCCACAACACCGCTATGCGTTGAGGGCATTACTTAATACATTTCAATGTAGTGTATGTACGACTATGGACGGGAACAAAACATGGACTTCTTTCCGCACGTCACAAATGATATTGGTTCATATTTCATTGTCCTTGGTAATCTTACTGTGCGTGTGTGGACTGTACTAGCTATCACAAGTTGAACTCAATCTTCTAAAAAGTCGAATGCTATGGACGCTACATTCATTCATAACGGGTGCATAATCGTCAGATGGACCATCCTAGCAGTGATAGATAGAAAGGTATGAATGGATGCATGCATGGTATCGATACTTCATTGCTCCCGCTTGCACTCGTACACACACACAAACAAAAGGCCCTCGTCACGGTTTGCTTCGTTACATTCCTTCTCCCAGACCGCCCCCTCATGGGATGGTCCATCATATTCTTTCACCCTCCCTGACCCAAGCCCAGTCAGCTTCGAAGCGCTGCCATCCACCCTCTGGTTCGTCGGCCATTTTCATCTCGTGCACGACCATGTCGTAGGCGCCCTCGCGCGGGATCTGTCCCTGGCACACGTTCCCGCCCATGGCGACGTTGAGCAGCACGACGTAGTCCCTCATGGGCCTCGTGCCGGCGGGAATGGGCGCCTTCATGACGGCCCGCCCGTCGATCCACCACAGCATGCGGCCCTGCTTGGAGGCCTCGTCCTGCTGCCACGCAAACTCGAAGCGCACGGGCCGGCCGGCCTGCATGCCCTGAACAGGAGTGCCGACGACGCGGTGCTTGTCCGTGTCCTGGGGCGTGTAAGTGCCCCAGTGCAGACAGCTGTGGTTGACACCGTCGCCGTTCCAGGTCTCGGCGATGTCGATCTCGCCGTCCGTCGGCCACGAGAAGGGCTCGTACGGCAGAAGCCAAAACGCAGGCCAGATCCCCGGCGCGCAGGGGAGGGTGAGCGTCGCGACGAGGCTGCCGTGGGAGCGAGAGAGGCGCTGGTGGGACACGAGGCGGGCCGACGTGAATTTTTGAGCCGGGTCGGGGTGGTTGGGTTGGCTTATGGCCCGGAGCACGAGGAGCTGGTTCGGCGTGTGGAAGGAGTTGGACGCCGAGGACGTGTACGTCTCGATCTCGTTGTTGCCCCAGCCGCCGTTGTTGCCTTGCTTATGCTCCCAGGTCGTGCTGAGCGGCGTCGACGGGTCGAACGAAGGCTGCCAGTAGACCTTGGATGGGAACGATTGCGGAGCTTGGTGGCCGGGATGTGTACCGTGGGGGATTGGCGGCGGCGGTGGCGGTCGGTATTGGGATTGTTGTTGATGCTGAGTAGAGCCGGGATAGCCTCCTGGCTGTTGTTGCTGTTGGGAATGTGGTGGTGGTGGCGGCCCTTGGTGCTGCTTGCTCTGGTATTCGGATAACCTCTTCTGGCCTTCCTGCTGGAGGTCCTTGAGCTGGCCCTTGAGCTGGTTGAAGGTGCTTTTGAACGGCATGATGCTTTGCTTTGACAGTCGTTGCTGGTGGTGAAGCTGAGGCTGTAGTTAATTCGTAGATTACCTGACCTTGAGGTGAGATGGTGGGACGAGGCCGGTGAAGAGCCGTCTTCTTTCTTCGGTCGGGTCGCTCCGGGTCGGGTTGACGTGTCTTGGTCAAGAATCTCAACTTTCTCTTTCCAAGTAAACCGGCATATAGGGGCGCTTCTTGTGACCTATCTCTTTCCCAAATCTCAAGTCTCACTGCGGTCGTGTCGGATGAATGATGATAATCAAATCGGTAGGCTTGGAAGTGGTGTTCGACTTGGGGTACTTGTGGCTGAGGACAATTGAGGCTGAGGGCGTGACGTTGCCTTCCAAGACTCCAGCTTTTGGCCTTTGTCTTTGAGTTTTGTACGAGAAGACTCAAAGAATGGTCTCGCAAATTCACAGTAGAGCTCTCATGTACGGAGCACTGGTGACACCCGTACGAGATATTGAACTGCTGTTCTGCGCCGGCGAAAAGATTTTCCGGCTCGCTCTCACTACCAAGTCTCCCCCTGCCATGGGTTGGACTTCACTTGTATCCCAAGAGTACAACATCTCTCTTATGTGCACTTCAGCCACATACTGCTACTTCGTCCCTACGCTCGTCAGCAGCGTATTGACCGATCTCTTGAGAGCCTGCAATTGCTTTTCCCCTGCCCTCTCCTCGACCTCCTCCATCTCGTCACCACTTGCGGTCATCGCTGCATCCGCGTACATTTTGGCCACCAACTTCAACTTGATCCTGAGTTGCACAACGGATTTTTCTGCCTCTGACCTCCTCGTCTTGTCCTCCTCAGACATTCCATCGTACGTTACTTTTGCGCCGCTCTCACACGACACGATCAAGTCCGTCCGTGGCTGAAGTCGTTTGAGAACCTCAACTGTCTGCTCGCGGACCTCGCCTTTCCAATCGTACTGCTTTGTCAGTGTCTCGACATGTGCCACCAGTGCTTCATACATCGTGCAATGGCCGATATCAGCGGCCGACCAGCGCGCAGCTTGCTCGACAAAGGTTGGATACTCGACGTCCTCCGCCATCAGTGACATCGTTGACAGACGACTCGGCTGTCTCCCACCCTTCACACCGGCTTCTTCAAGTCTTCGCCTACTGGCCGCCGCCCGCTTAGACGCCAGTCTCTCCTGCATGGCCAGATATTCGGCGTCGAAGGGGTTCTTCTTCAAGGTCATTTTCCGACCATTGATGCCGACAATTTTAAACTTGTCCTCTTTGGACACTGGGATATCATCCACGCCATCGTTAACGCACGGGCTGGATTGGTACTTGGATCGTGTCCAGATGGACCTCCATCCATCGACCCCTCTTTCCGCTGGTGCTCTTACTGAGTGCTTCTTCATGCCCCTTGGCGGCTTCTCCGGGAGGCCCAGTAAGCCGTGTTGCTTCCCGACCTCATGCTCTCTTTGGTCCTGCTTCCAAGCTGATTGCAAGGTATCCGCGGGCTCGGTCGCGGCCTCCTCTTCCGTGGACGATGGCATCTCTGCCTTGGCCTTGTTGATCGTTTGTTCCAGGTATAAGCGGGGACCATCTGAGCCATATACGGCAGTGTAAGACTCCAGATCCATTCGGAACTTGTTGTATGTACGTTCTCTCAGTGGCCTGATAGGTGAGTGTCGTCGTCGTCGTCGTTGCTGTTGCTGTTGCTGTTGCTGTTGCTGTTGCGCTCGTCTTGGTAAATCGGAACTGACACCGCTACCTTCCTCGACATTCGCCGCCGTTGTAGCGGGTACCTCTGGATGAGGTAGAGCATCTTCAACAGGTGGCTGCCGCCGCTTCTTTCCTGCGAAGAATTTGATCCACTGTTTTGAGGCAGACATCGCTGCAAGTACAGATTTTGTCGTAGGTGTCTTCGGTGTTATGACTCGTGTGTACTGCAAAATATGTTCGTGAAGCGATCCACTCATATCAGCACACGGGGTACAGACATTCCTATTGACTGGGCCAAAGAATGTATATGGTGGTTGCCTCGTCTAAAGATCCCTTGTTGATGTCTTGCAGGAGGAGGGTATGGGAAATTTTGAAGGAAGGAAACTCTTTGAAGAACCAGGCGGGCGAGGACCTTTTGCTCCCTCGTTTGTTGTGACTGGAGCCTCGTGGTGACCATGGATATGATATTAGCGCGCACCTTAATCAAGGATCGGGTGAGGACCTGTTGAAGTTTGAGAAAGTTACCAGTCACAGCCTGGTGTTAAATGGAATGAGAGGAAAGCGTAGAGATCTAGGCTAGAGGAGAGTATCCATAACATCTACAACGCCAGGCAGTATAACTCGGTAGAAGTGGATCGTACCCCAGGATCATCCAGTATACACACACAAGTTACGTTGGGCGGGACTTATTGGGCACATCGAGCCTCGGAAAACGGGGATACCACATCAAAGAAATCTGAAAGACCCCAGAAACACACAGTTCACAATCTGATTCGTAATCGAAAATCATGGTGATTTGGCGGCCGCTCTCTCCACCGGCGGGCGGGACATCTCCCTCTCCAGGGGCGTCTATCTCTGATCCAAGAGGGCAACAACGAGAGACGCTGACCAAAAAACCCCTTCACGGGGTGACGGTGACCTCCTCGGCGACGACGACAACGTTGCCCTCCTTCTCGCTCTGGGCCTTTTTCAGTTCCTGCCACCGCTTCTCCATCGCCTCTTGGGCCTTGTCGCGGATCTCCTTGCGCTGGGTTCTGGTCCAGCCGTCCGAGTCCTCGCCCTCGCTGTCGTACTCTGGCCGCTTCTCCGCCTCGATCTCCCAGGCTGCCTTCTTTGGCGCGCCGCACATGCCCTCGGTGAGCAGCCATGGTTCAAACGTCACCAGCGCGTTGAGCTTGGCGATGACCCCCCTCATCAGTTCGCAGGTGTGGCAGTTTCGGTTCCATCCGCCCCACGGGTCTTCGACGGTGACCTTGCACCAGTTGCGGCCGGATTGTATGTATTCAACGCAGTAGTCGTACTTGTCCTGCCTGCATGCGTGGCAAAGCCATTTGTAACACATGTTGAAGGAATGTTTTTTGGAGTTGGACAAAGTCTTGTGGTTGATTCTTGAAAAGTGGTGCTGGTGATAGGCCGTTCCGGACCGTCACGTTGAAGGGACAGGCGTCTGGTCGCAGGCGTGCGAGACAGAAAAGGTGTCTTGGTTTCTCAAGAAGCTTTCTTGGTATCTTCAAACGGTCGTCGCAAGTGGTGGAGTGTCTGTGATGCGACAAAGGACTGATGTGCCGTCGCTCTGTCTGTTCTATGACCCGGACGGTTGAGATAGATGCTTGAGAAAGTAATACAGACAATATACAAAGACGCGCTAGCAAAGTATAGACACGGTGAAGCTACAAGGCGTCGCGGTTCTGGATTGACGCGTGAGGAGGTCCAAACCGTACGGCGAGGACCTGTTCTTACCGCCTTGAATCTTCACAGTTCGGCAATCGATAGAAAAGTATGGTTGACTCCACAATGTCACAACTAGAAACTTGTAGTCTTCAACAACCACACTCTGCTCGTGAGAGAGCAGTCTTCGATTGATGAAACCTTATTGTCGAAACAAGCCCCAAAAGAACTGTGCTGGACAGCATTATCCGGACGGGAGATGGCTCAATTACTCCAGAGAATGTCCAAAACCAAGACTCAACATTCAGGGTGGTGACATGGCAGTCAGAGTGATATCGACGCAGTCGTGGGTATTAGTTAGTTGCATGACACTGATGCAGCCACCGCCAGGTATAGCGCGAGATTCCCATAAGTGTTGAGAATGGAGATAATCCAGCTTGTAAGTTGTACCGAGAGGACTGAGTCAGTCAGAGAGAAAGACCTTCGGCACATGCTCGCCCGTTTACTATTGCCGTTGCGCGACATGGTGCAAGATGTGACAACACATGCTGGCCCACAAGATCGGCTGTGGTTGGGGGAACGAGACTCATCGGGGCGACACGACCGCAAACATCAAACACCACACAGCCCGAGTCGCTATCATGTATCCCTCAGAGATGGGATATTGCCCGAGAAGGGAGACTTGCCGTACTTCATCAAGGTTCAGAGAAAAAGAAACCTACTCCTGCTCTTCTCGAAGCAGTGAGGGCTAGTGCGCACTGGGTCCGACATCAGAGCCTCTGGCTCCCAAGTGGACTTTGGTTTCGACAACAGGTGGCCAAAGCAGTATAATCCGAATACAACTTGTAGAAGAAAGGGTCATCCGGTAGGCTGATGAGGAACATGAAGAGGACGAAGTCGACGTTGGTGTGAACTTGTGGTGTGGCGCAGGTGAAAATGCTGCTGCTTCGTCGGGAATGACGCCACAGTCTCGGCGCTCTAACGAAGCCACCTCGGACTTCATCTGTTGCCCTTCCATCTTCAGCATCCTCGTTATCAGCATCCTGTTGGGAGAGCGACGGTTGGCAAGCTGATGCACGTACATCGCTTCGTTGGACACCAATCGAGTTGACTGCTTGGAACTACGAGCACTCAACACAGATCCCCATCATGGCTCAGATCGAGCACCACTTTACCGTCTTCATCCGGCTGCCCTTCAACCGCGGCGACTTCATTGATCCACCACCCGTAGCATGGTCGGCCACAAAGGAGAGTGCACTATGGAACATCATATCCCGACAATCCAAAGGAAACGAGATCGACTGGCGCTCCTTATCTGAGCAATTCGAAGTCAGCCAGTCATTCCTCCTGCAACAAGCCGCGTGGCTCTACGAGCGCCAACTATCTCAAGTTCGAGCACAAATGCGACGAGTCGGTGGACGACAGTCTGCAACACCATCTCCGGTCCCTGGCTCGGTGTCGGCAAGCATGGTTGGTGGCCAGGCAATGAAGCGAGCAGGGAGCGGCGGATCACGTGTCCCGTCCAGGCTATCAACACAGGCAGCAGGAAGTCCCATTGCTACCGGAGGCGACAGCGTGCCTGGAACTCCCGGGGCGAAGGTCAGGACGTTTCTGCCATTCAGAAGCGCTTCGAACCAAGGAGCCGGTCCTTCACAGCCACGCGTGCCACCAGGTAGTTCCCGACCAATTTCGCGACAATCGTTCAAAGACGACCCTCTAACTCATACCTCACACTCACGCAGAGGAAGCATGCAGCATCAAGTCGTCCGATCACCTGTGCCTCAGAGGACGCCACAACCACAGTCATCTGATTCGGAAGACGAAATGACCCAATCGCGCATAGCAGCTCGTCGACCAAACCCCTCGGCGATTCATCGTCGAGCACTATCTCAACGCCAGAGTCAACGCATCTCGAGCGAGCAGGCTCAGCAAGCAGCCGCAGCGTCAGACGACGACAACGACGATGATGAAGATGACGAGCCATCTTTCCTTCCATTTGCGACACCCAACTCAAACACAAACACGAACGAGGCCAAACCAAGCGGTGCGTCCTCGTCCCAACAAGATCCCAGCGCGACTCTCCGGGGCAATTTACATGTTCATACCCCAGGATCCCCGGCAACTACCGGTCGTCCGAACGTGATAAGACGCATCACAAGCGAACGCGTGAGCTCACCGACCATCGAACCACCGACGCCCATAGCGCCCGCGCGCAAGCAAGACACGGCCTCCTCGACCTCCTCGTTGTCGTCGCCCACTAACATGTCACGAGAGCCCAGTAGCATGGCTGCACCCCAGCCACCACCGCCAGCATCCGGCCAACAACAGTCCCAGTCAACCGCCACCAATAACCCTCGATTAGGCAACCCTTTGTCCCCGCCGCACCGTGCGCTGCTACAGTCGTCGCCGCGCCGTGGTCCCGGGTCCGACACGTCGCCAAGCATGGGCTCCTCGTTCTCTGATCTCGACGATGCGAGCGTAACACAGAGTGCCCTCGAGGAAGCACTACTAAGCGGGATGGGGAACACAACCATGACCATGCCCGGAGGTGGCGTGGCGGGCCGAGTAAGTGGGATCAGCCAGGCTTTGCGGAGTAGGTACTTTGAGGCAAGGGGCGAAGGACAACGAGGTGGCGGTGGTAACAACGGAGTTAGTGAGCGCTAGGCACCTACCTAGGGTAATTTCAGAGTCCTTCGATTGTCGACAACTCGCGCGTTTGATGATGGATTTTGTCCTTACGTTTGACTTCTCTGCTACTGATAAGTCATGTAGGTAGGTGTTTTCGCTTTGGTGGTACTTTCTCTCTTCTACACCTACGCCCTCACCTTCAACAACGGTGCATGCGTAGTTGACTACCTTGTATGTACCTAGCCTGGTGGTACGTAGGGAGGTGGGCAGGTATGCTACGACATGACGGCTTTCTGGGTATCTCCTTTTCGCAACTCGTGACTATTTACCTGGGTAATGATTGACATGTGATGAAAATTGAGAGTGAGATAAGAAATTACCCAGGTACCTGATGTACTCTGTTAATCTCGTTCTATTTTTTCCGGGTTCTCTACTTCCGTACGTTGAAGTATGAAGTTTGCTTCTTAGAGAGATGGCCTGGCAACCGAGTCATGGCCTCCACAGGCCAAGTCCAAGACTTTTTGGGCAACTCCCCATGAGATCGCATATCCAAAGCCTTCGGCCCCATATGCATGAATGATTTTCCTCCCCTTTAAATGTGGTCCTTTCATGTACTCTGCCTCGAGTCTGAACCCTGAGATCCGTGCAGGCCGCCGGCCAACAATGTCGCGAATGACATGGAATTTGCCGTCGCGGCCTAGAATGGGAGGGTACATTTTCGCAGCCAACGCGAGGACACGTTCGCGAGTTTCGGGTCGTGGGTGCTCGGTCCAGTCATGGGATTCTCTGGTTCCTCCGATAATGGTGCCACCTTCCAGGGGCCTGGGAATGATAAAAGTCCAAGTGCCATCGGCGTTCAACTGGTTGATGGTACGGTCGCACGGATTGGAGACCAAGCAGGTTTGACCTATTCGGAAGTGGTTTCTCGTGTCAGACCTTAGACCGTAGCTGATGGCGACGACGACGACATATTCTGGGAAGGCAACTCACCTCTAATCGGAAAGAAAGCTGGATCACCAAAGCCGAATCCTGAGCAATTGACCACAGTATCAACATTGCTCGCCAGAGAAAAGGCTTCTTCTGCACATGTCAGTGATCGCCTCAGGGTCTTGCCTCCCCTCAATTGAAACTTCCTAAGCAGGTAGGCACAATATACAGGCGGATTCAGAGACCAGGTCCTGTACCTAGTGCCGAATGTGATGTTCGTGCCTTTGGGAAGCTCCTGTTTGGGCAGAACTTGTAGACCCTCAGCGTCGCCGTAGCCACCTCTCAGATGTGTATAGGCTTCAGACGGGCAGGACAGGTAATCATAGCCATCCATGAATACGACTCCACAGGCTGGCTCAGAAGTTGCCTGAGAGCGAAGCACGGCGTCCGTCACCTTGGACAGTTCTTGTTGCTGGATCTCAAGAGCCGACGTTGCTGGAAACGGTCGTCCATGTGCTCCTGCCCACGGAGAGGTGTAGTGGACGTTCTCGTCGGATGGCCAGTCCCTTGCGACTATGGTGATGCTGCTATTACTCCCTAGGGCGCTCTGAAGTTGCAGGGCGGACGTGAGGCCAATAATACCAGCCCTGCGTGGTAGAAAGACCGGTCAGCATCTGTGCATGCGTGTGGCAATACGAGGGACGAACCCTATCACAACAATCGACTTCCCTCCTTGCGCCATTGTGGTAGAGAATAGTACTCAATAGAGACAAAGACACTGCGCAAAGGTCTGGATGTGGTTGAAATATGGTCCAACAGACATCTTTTCCCGTCGTCTTGCGACTACTAATACTTCATTCTCCCTAAAGGGCAGCGGAATACTTCGCCCTTTGGCATGGCCAGTTTCCCGTCCTTGCGGCGGCCCTCCTGACGCAAGCAGACCATTCTGAGCAAACTCGAATGCTATCACCTTGGGCGGCACAGGCACTGATTGTCCGATTTGTACTGTACCGGTCGATGATAAGCGCGTTTGCTCCCCTCGGCAGCCGCGGTCCGCATTTGCCGACGAGTAGTTTTCTAGATTGCCAATTACTTTTAGGCCTTGCCAGAACGGCTTCTTCCCATCATTGTATTGCATTTTCGCACCATAATTCTTTGCTTCGGAGACTCTCATCGGCATGGAGGAGGCGGACCATGGTCGGCGACGCCAACGGGTAGACAGTAGCAGCCCGGCTGATTCTACGCCGTCAAAGCGTCCTAGAACCACTCTGGCCTGCCAGCGCTGCAAGTCGCGCAAGCAAAAGGTGACCCCCCCCCCCGGCATGCCGTCAACCGGCAGCGATGTTGAGTGTTTCTTAGTGCGATGGGCTTCAGCCATCATGCTCGCAGTGTCTCAGAGTCTCGGCTCGATGCCAGTATGTCGCTTCGACTGTGCCGAAGCCGTCGGAGCAGAGAGCGTACGTCAAGGCACTAGAGAGCAAAATTGCGGATCTTGAAGCCCGCCTCAAGCACGCTGAACGATCCAGCGTGGAGAGTGAGCCGCAGGAAACTTATCGCTTGGCCGATCTGCCTCCTGAAAGCTCCCTATCCCGGACTATCCGTGACCTCAGTTTGAATGCCAGCGGACAAGGTTACCTCGGCGGAACGTCGAATATCACACTTGCTCGTGCCCTCGAACCCATCTTACATTCCGATAGGGCAGATAGGGCCTCTCAAGACATCCCGATCACTGAGGGACCTGAGATACTTTCTGCAAGGGAGGGTGAGAACTCGGTAGGCATCCCCGCCTTTTCTGAGCCTGTCGTGCAGAGGCTATTCCAGGCGTACGTGGAATATGTGTCATTGCCATTTCCTGTAATACATTCAAGGAAGCTTCAGAAGATGCACGAACGACGGGACAAACCGAACGGTCTCTTCGACATCTCAGTGCTTCACTTGGTTTATGCAATTGGTGGCATCAGCCTGACATTGGTACGTCAGACTCGAGCGCTCTTTTTTTTTTTGATTCTGACAGGACACTTTTGAGACTACTAGGCTGGAAAACAGGGGGAGTTTAGGTCGGAAGATCACTATGAAGCTGCCATGACCCACAGGGCCCAGATCATAAGATGCATGGACCGGAGAGCCATCATCTACCTCGCATTATCTTCTATCTATTGCCTTCGCGCCCCCCGAAACCCTGGCCCATGGTATGAAACATTCACTTTCTTTCAAAGAGCATGATCAGACTCTAAGGAGTTTTGTAGGACCATGATTGGGTTGGCTGTGAAACTCTGCGTATCACTTGGACTGCACCGTAAATCAAGCGCATCAAAATTCAGCCTGGGATCGGAACTCGACAAAAGGCTGTTCTGGGTATGCTATTGTTTGGATCGGGACATCAATCTCACAATCGGAAGGCCTCCGTCGATATGCGACCACGACATTGACTGCACTGTAAGTCGATCAACAACCCAACCAGACCAAACCCTGCAATGCAACAGCCGCTTACCACTCACTGGCAGCTACCACTCGATCTTGATGAAGACAGCATCGACCCGGAGCACTTTGTAGCTGCCATGAAACGAGCACCCGGGTTGTTAGCAGATCCCCCAACCACTCTTAGCTACTTCATCCACCTTGTGAAGCTGAAAAGGATCGCATCTGATATCCAGCACACCGTCTACAGGGTAGACAAGCCTATGGATTTCTCCGAGTCGGTCACAGACAGACTTCTTGATCAGTTGAATGAGTGGAAATCACAAGTACCGGCTGAACGTCCTCGTCAGACATGTCAGACCGCTGCGTCCGGTGATGAGCATTTCGACACTCCAGCCCGCAACCAGCTGCAGGGCTCTTATGTAAGTACTGTGTCTGAGATATCTCCCTCTGGGGTTCGATGGCTGAGGCAAGTGCCTGAGCCTGAAACCGGCAGAGACCCACACTCAAATCCAGTTGCACTGACAATAGCCACTACTATTTTATTAGATGATCCAGTACTATTCGTCCATACGGCTCTTGTTATTCCCTATGCTGATGGATCCGGACAAGGCGGCCGTCAATCCAAAGTACTTGAAGATAATGGTCCACGCGTGCTCAGGCGTCTGCAGATCTTTCAAACAACTCCATCAGCGCTCTACGGGCATGTACTATTCTCCTCTATTCATCATGTCCTTGTTTCTTTCTGGTGAGGCTCTCCCCCCTCCCTTTTTCTCTGTGTGAAGAAAATCCCGTTCGGAGCGTGCATCACCCCCAACTCCTGTCGCATGCATGGGGTTTCCCCCACGACGATGCGATGCTAGAAATAAACCAAGACAAAGGCCTGTTGAATTAACTGCCCGCACACAGGCCTTACACTGATATACTGCGCTTGGCGATCTCCTGAGAGGACACTCACCATGACCACGGCGAACGCGCTGATAGATTGCACCGTCATGTTGTATGTCATGGCCGAGAGATGGCCAACCGCCCGTAAGTACCGTGATGCTTTCGAACGGCTGAAGCAACTGGCTCTCGAGCGGGACCCGCACGCAGACGCAAACGGAGACGACGACCGTGACAACAGCCCGAACACCAACTCAGGCTCAGCTGCGGTGATCGACCTTGCTGCCACCAACGCAGAGCGCGCTACATCTGCACCGGCACTGGCAGCAGCACATGGGAATATCGTCGACCAAGACTCTCAAGTGAGTAGTAGTACTTGGGCGAACAACAGCAACAATGTGATACTCCCTTCCTTTCCCCACATCATTCGCGACATTGTCCGGGAGCCGTCGTCAGTGTGGGAAGAAGGTACCTTTGACCTCAACTTCGACGCTGAAACGGCTACTGTCGGAAATGATATACGCTGGCCGGTGGTGGGCCCTGGCTCGTACGATGTCGACGGATCGACTAATCTCGACCTGTCTTTCTCACCCGGTGGCTTCTGGTATCCTAGTGATTACGATTTTGACCCTGTTACTTTCGATGTCTGGCCATCAGAGGCCGACATGGCCGAGTACGGCGTTGTATTGGAGGGCGGAATGGCTGGGAACCGCTCCGGGACGAGTACGATGCGATGACTTCAAGTCCGAACCAAGTGGCGAAAACAATCCTTCCGCTGTTTGTGCTGTGATGAGATTTATATACGTTGACCCCGGTATCCTTATGATCTTTTAAACCTCTCATTTCTTCTCATTTCCTTTGTCATGTTTCATGATCAAATCAACATAAGCTACGTATCTGCTTCTCTTTTGGAGTTATGTGGGTTCGCTTGATCCTCATCCCTCTTACTCGCCATCAGAACCGATATGACTCTCTGACTCACTCATGTCCCTCAGCCAGCATGCGGCTGAGAGGCCTGGGTTTCTTCCCTGCTATTGCTCATGGACAGAAACGAAACCTAGGATCATTAGTGCCCGTGACGCCACACGTCACATATTGCTGATGCTCGCGGGAGGGCAGGCCCTGGACGCGGTTTCTTCTGCGGTTTTCCCACCTCATCCATGCCGAGTACGAAGCACATGTGACGAGACACAAGATAGCGGCACCGAGGTTGACCCAGCACGACGTAACATAGCGCGGCGCTTCGTTCGCGATGAAGATGTTGCTAGAGATGAGTCCAGCAGTGTTGGCAATGGAGATGAGCATGGCACTGGTAAAGGCGCGGGCGTTGAGATTCGGGATATTGGAGACGATCCAGGCGTTATTGATAGGAGACATCGGGTATGCCTAAAACACAACAGGTCAGCACAGGCAACTCCACTCGGTCAGCGTGATAACAGTCGAGAAGTTCTTTACTCACTCCAACAGTAGTCATGAAGATGGCGAAATACGTCAGGCCAATATTGTCCAGGTTGACTGTTATGAGCAGGGAGTAGCCGATAACGCTGATTAGCAGCGAGATGACCATGTGCATTCCGCGTTCCAGGAAGTGGTCCGACGAAAAGGTCGCAGCTACCAGGAAGACGGTTGCAACCAAAGCAGGTGCCACTGTATACTATGCGCAGAGCCATCAATCGTCAGTGGACGTGGAATGCAAGCACTGGGAGACGGAGAGAACGTACCAGGTTGGTCTTGACCGTATCGTACCCCAGCCGGCCGACGATGATAGCCAGGAAGTTGTTGTTGGATGTCAGCAAGGTCGAATAGGTGACGGCGACGATGATCCGGACATATGGATGTATGGTTCTGAATTCGCCCACTGCCTCCCTCCAGCTAAATTTGTTCTCCAGTGCCTGGGCGGATTCGGCAAGGATGCGAATTTCGGCGACGTTCTTCTCGGCCTCGGTCAGGAACCTGCAGCTTCGTATGTTACGCGGCACGATGAAAAAGGTGAATACTGCGAAAAACATGGTCAACGAGCCCTCAATGATGAACAGGTAAAACCATTCATAGTGGTCCGTGTGCAGCTGGAAGACGCCGTACGAGATCAGACCCCCAAAGGCGGACGAGGCCACCAGGGCGGCGTAGAAGATGCCGATGCGAGAGGCGATTTCGCGGCGAGTGTAAAACATGGACAGATAGTAGACGACCCTGAACAGACAGACAGTATATGAGTATCCCGAACAGCAGAAGACTGGCAAGAAGAGGCTGTGGCCTTACGTGGTCAGAAAGCCCGCTTCGAAGACCCCAACAATGCATCGACAGGCCACCAGCTGGCCAAAGTTGTGGACAAACGATGTCGCCAGGGAAGCCGCCCCGAAGCCGAGCATCATCACAGGGATGGAATACTTGGCCGAGAACTGTTTGCTGAGCATGCCCGCAGGCGGCCCACAGAGGCAAAAAGGGATGAAGTAATACGTGAGGGCCTGATTGAACTGGTCACTGGCCAGGTGCAGGTCCTGGACGAGGCCGGCGGTATGCGCATTGGAGAGGTTGCTGCGATCCAGGGAACTATAAAGAGATAGGGGTATATCTTGTCAGCGTGCAACAAACTCTCCCAGAGGACCAGAAGAACCGGGTGGCGTGCGTGTAAAAGCATACTTGAACAGATAGGTCACGGCCATGGTAGGGATGATGATCAAGTCCAACTTTCTCTTCAGGCGTCGCTCAACGGCGGGATCAACCGCCGCATTGTTCGTGGACGCCCCTACGGCGGTATCAATGTTCTCGTTTACTTCCACGTCCTTGTCGGCTGGCATGTTCGCCTTGCCGTTGTCGGTGAGGTTGAGGTTGCCTTCTGCGCCTGCATGCTGCTTTTCCATCTCTGTCTCGGAGAATTGGGATTCGAGCCAAGTCGTCATCTCCCTACTTTTCTTTCTCTGCAAAGACGGTTCTCTGTGTATCTCGACGCAGGTCAGCTGGAGGGGAGTCGGAGGTCGGAGGACCAGTAGTACTCTTATATAGATGTTCCCCCGTTTCCAGATGATAAGGGGGAAGTCGGTCCCTTGGTCCACCTATCTCCTCGTTCCTCTAGACGCAACGCCATGATTCGCAAGTCCGCGTTCGGTGGCGTGCCGTGTGCGGAGAGAAGCAGAGCGTTCGTCGCTGTCGCGATTATCAGCGTCACTTGTGCCTTGCGGTGCAGGTGGTTATCGACGGACCCACTGGAATTCGGCCCCGGTCGTCGGCTTGTCCGCTCCGCACATCCCGACAACGGTCGAGTCCACGATGTTGGTAAATACCAGGGTAAAGTCGTTGAGATGGAGGACCAGTCGATAACGCCAGAGATCGCTATTTGTATGAGCGGGATTTCGAAGCCCCTTGTTTGCTCCCATGCGGCGCCGTGCTCTTCGAAAAATGCAGGATTTGGTCGAAAGAAGCTCTGTACGCGTCAGATGCCTCTCCCAGCGTGCCGGCCCAGCACTTGATCTGTCCTCAACGCTCGCACTCACCACGTTCCAAGTTAGTTCTTGATCGGCACCACAGGCGACAGTCTCGGCGGAGAGTATAGAGCACATGGGTAGATATTAAAAGTTGGTGGTCCTTTGTTTTCTTCTATCTTCTTTTTATTGTACAACAGGCCTCTTTTGTTTATCCCCCCAAAATTTTATGCCCAGTCTCTGGGGTTCTTCAGCACATCCATCAGCTCCTTCTCCTGTTCGTGTTGGCCGTCTTCTTCCTCTTCCACACTCTCTGGCAGCCCCGTGCCGCACAGTGGGTGCATGTATTCCCAACGAGCCGTCAGCGGGAGACTCATCAGGATACTCTCGACCCTCGCACCGGGAGTGCGCAGGCCAAAGCTCGTCCCCCGGTCGTAAATCAGGTTGAACTCGACATACCTCCCACGTCGTAGCTGTTGCCATTCTTTCTGCTGGTGCGTAAACGGCAAGTCCTTTCTCTTTTTGATGATCGGGAGGTAGGCAGGGAGGAACGATTCCAACCCGGAAACGACGAACTGGAAGATGTCCTCTTGAGGGTTTCTCGAGCTGGGCTGTGTGCTCGCATCGAGATCGTCAAAGAAAATCCCGCCAATTCCCCGGGACTCCTTGCGGTGCTCAATCTTGAAGTAGTCGTCACACCATTTCTTGAACCTAGGATAATACTCTGTGTCGTGCTTGTCGCAGGCGATTTTAAGCGTCTTGTGGAAGTGCTTTGCATCGTCTTCGAACAGATAACATGGTGTCAAATCTGTGCCGCCGCCGAACCACCAATTAGTCTGCGAGGTGCCCGTGGCGTTCACGGGGTCTCGGGGGTCTGAGGTCTCAAAGTATCGGTAGTTGAGGTGGACGGTCGGCGCCATGGGGTTGTGTGGATGGAGAACAAGCGAAATGCCCGCCGCGAAGAAGTTGAGCTTCTCGACGTCCGAGTCAACAAAGGACTTGTGGTCCGCCCGCATCTTCTCGATCGCAGGGCGAGGTAGTTCGCCATAGACAACGCTGGTGTTGACGCCCGCTTTCTCAAAGACGTTTCCGTCCTGCAGAACGCACGACGTTCCACCACCACCGTGTGATCTCGTCCACTTGTCACGCTGGAACTTCTTGCCGTCAATGTCCTCCAGCGCAAACACGATGCGATTTTGGTGTTCCTCAATCAGAGCCTCCATCCGCAGTCTCATTGGGGAGTTCTTTGTGATCTTCGTCCTGCTCTTGGTGACCGCGTCCACCTCAGCCAGCGAGACTGGTTGCACCGGCGGTGAATCATTTGCTGCAGTATTGCTATTGGCCATGGTATAGATCAGACCGCCGAGGAAGACGACACCGAGCGACGTTCGTAGGTACGCGCGACCTGCGGTGTGGTGAGTTTGAGGAATCGGGGTCGAAGCCAGACATCTTCGACTTGTCGAGAAGCGACAGCGAGCCGGTATCGACTGCGCATTCCAGGACGCTGGGGATCTGAGCAGCGAGGCTCGCAATGAGCTTGACGATGGTCTAGCCATGGACATAATTGAGATGGACAAGGACCGACACCACACACAGAACAAAGACTTTTTTTTTGGCTTAGAGCTCCATATCAGAACACCATCAAAAGCAGCAGAAGATACAGAGCGCCAGTCCCGAATATATACCAAATCTTACTGTGCAAGTATGAGGGAAAACCTGCGGGCAAAAAAAGCTTCCAATTGCTAGTTTCCTATATACAATCGTCTCCGCAGCGGAAGCAACCCAGCGGCCGACGCGTGACATGTCATACCACGGCGATGCTCAGTCTATCTAGTATGGAGAGCGATCATGGACAACACCCGGGATTTGGCCATTGTCTGGTGAACACACTCCGGGCTCAGTGGGCTGTTTACCGTCGTCGTCGTCGTCGTCGTCGTCGAAGCCTCGCCTGGCTGGATGGATGTATTCTAGACGGAGGCAGACGAAGTGATTGGGCTATGACTGCAAATAGCTACGAAAGGCTCCAGCGAGTCAACAAAGACACACTGCACAAAGACCCCTGTCACAAACGTGCTCCGGTGACTCAATCGATCATTTCGTTCTCCGGCTCCAGAGTCATCCAGGCGGATTCAGAGTCGAGCCTCGTGCCCAGGCGAAACGGCGTGGGCGGTCAGGCTGCTGAGAACGCGACTTCATCTGACCCGAAGTGGCTGGCCTTCCAGCCCGCGGTGAAGCGGGGCAACGCCTAAAGTGCCTGCGGCCTAATCAGCCTGCGACGCCTCACTCTCCATCATCCCTCTGTCACTCACTCCCTCACTCACCGACAAACCTCTCCATTCCCACTTCATCGAGCCTTACATCAATCCTCTATCAACCACTTTCGCGAAACACCGTCCATCGCAGAATCACAACCGCAACGAGCCAGTTCTGACCATTGTTCACCATGCGTTCCAAGTTCAAGGACGAACATCCCTTCGAGAAGCGCAAGGCAGAAGCCGAACGTATTCGCCAGAAGTACACCGACCGCATCCCCGTAAGTCTACCTGCGTCTGCCCCCGGCCCTCTTCTGAGCAGTTGCTAATGCACATCTCCTTGTAGGTCATCTGTGAGAAGGTCGAAAAGTCCGACATCGCCACCATCGACAAGAAGAAGTACCTGGTCCCCGCCGATCTCACCGTAGGCCAGTTCGTCTACGTTATCCGCAAGCGCATCAAGCTCAGCCCCGAGAAAGCCATCTTCATCTTCGTCGACGAGGTACTACCTCCTACAGCAGCTCTCATGAGCAGCATCTATGAAGAGCACAAGGATGAGGATGGGTTCTTGTACATCACGTATGTTTCCACCCTCCCGCGTTGAGACGATAAGAACCGTCTGCTGACAAATGAACAGATACTCGGGAGAAAACACCTTTGGTGGTTACTAGACAAGCAAGCCAGCAGAGCGAAGATCAATCGCAAGGTCGGGGCAATGAGGCACGGTGTACTCGATCCACTGCGCAGGACTGTCATGGCGGTTGACTACAAGAAGGCGTTTGGACTATACTTTTTTACCTTTTTCCAGCACGACCAAGCATCGAGAAATGAGAAATGAAACCATGGAGGAAGAGTCTACAATTCGCAAGTGAGGTTTGATGTGTTGCTGCAGGTCGTGGTTGTATGGCTGTGTTCCCTCTGCAAAATACCCAGATCAATACCCTGACAGTGTTTTCCTCTTCAATATGCCGATACCCCTCTTCCTTCGCTTGTGCGATCCATTGCACCCGGCGCAGCATCTTTGTGCAGCACGAGTGCAACAGTAACAAGATGCTCGTCACCGATCCTGTTCCTTCCGTCTACAGGTCACCCTCGCCGCTCCAGGTCCAAGGTCGGACAATGGCGAGATGTATGGCATGCTTCTCTGGTGGTGCAGTTCCATAGTATCAAACCCATACAGCTCCTTATCTGAAAGGAACCAAGATCCGTTCAAGTTGTTACTTCATGTTCATAACGAGTACTCCGTACTCCGTATCGCATCTTCAATCAACAGGCATCACTTGGATGACGTCACTTCTCATCCTTTATAAGCGGCGAGTAAATGAGTACCTATGAATGAGAGATGAGATTGGGAAGATGGCACAGTGCAGTTCAGTTTATACCCCTCCCTACTGATATGGATACCAAGCCCGATATCGAAACGATTGTGGTGGCAGAGTGAATTCTTGTACGGAGATTGGCATCAAACCTTCACGCACCACATACATTATCGAGGGCCCTTTGGCGCCCACGCGTCCTCACCAGGGAATCCAAACAACAAACACGCAATGCCCTATTTCATAACGCGCGTTGGATGCGAATCGGCACGGCGGCCGCTACTAGACTCGGCAGCTGTCAGTACCTCGGACGGTATCCTGGCCAATTCGACTGCCAGATTATTACCACGCGAAGACACGACGTGGCATTGGTAGTGACGACTCGAAAAGAGTTCCGAAGTGTGACACGGGGAGACAGAGCCTTGTGGGACAGCGTAATCACAAAATGTCAAATACTGTCTCCTCCAAGAGACTGGCTCGACGGTCGTCTGACCTGCGAAAAGCGCTGGCTCGTAGGGAGGCGTAACGAGTACGGCTACTGCAGTCGTTATGCACTCGGTGAAGGTAGTGTACAAGTATTTAACTAGTCGCTGCTCGGTTGGCCCTCCCGCGGATCACCTACTACTCTCCTGGGTAAAGCCCGTGCATCAGACACCCCGTGGAACTAATCCACTTGGTGGTCGCTTTGAGGCCACTTCGGGGCATGAATTGATGCCCGGTATTGGATCCCTGGCACGGCGTCTTACCTACAGTACCTTGAAAGGGAAGGCCGGCCGTGCGGTATGCAATCGGCTTGCTGCCGGAGTTGCAAGTAAGTACTGTACCTTAAAAAGTAAAAAAAGGAATGGTCCTGCGGGAAAATGCCGCAACATGAACAGATCTTGGGCGCAGTTTGTACAAAGGCGAAGCATGTACCTCAGGACAGGTGGCGATCTCGACTCCGCTTCAACGAGAATTCGGTTCTCCAAGTTTCACATCGAAGGTCAGACGCTTCCTTGGTGCCGCCGTCGAAACAAGATGGGGGCCATGGGCAAAGTTTCGGCGGACTAATGTATACTCTGTATATCAGAGTGAAACTGAAGCAGAGGGGGCTCATGGGTTCATGGGCTCATGGGTTCATGGGCTCATGGGTATCGGGGCTTCTCCAGAAGGCCAGCGAAACCATACAGATACACATGCCCATGGAGGCGCTCCCCTCCTCGGTAAGGCAAGAGGATGTTGTGTGCAAACTATTGCGCAAGCATGCCTAGATGAACGACCTAAACTCAGAGTTAAATAACGGTTAACATTTTGCGCATCAAGGTTGGGCTCACTACACCGGTCAAGCACTAGTTAGGACATTATTGACATGAGAAAGTGGGAGGGGGCCAGAGCCAGAAGAAGCAGAGCAAGGGGAGTCGAATGAGGAGCGCTCACCAGGCATCCCCAACTGCTGACGCTAAAAAGAGGAGAAGATGCCGTTGTTCCTGATGCACGGATCTACGAGTGATAAAGTAAAGAAACACAAGTGATAAGAGCAATAAGCAAAGAAGCAGTGCGCAATACCAGTTTCGGGGTGACTGCGGGTGCTTACGTTGCCTATGTAGGCACTGATCGGTGATCCCTGCCTTCCTGGAAGCCTCTGCGCCTGTTCCTATTGCCTCCGCAGAGGGTCCCTTATAGTTTACCTTTGGTGCTTACCCTCAGGTACCTAGTACTTACTACAGTTAGGTCACGTAGGTACTACTTTCTGGAGCCACCCGCCTAGTAGCCTCCATACTTTAACTATCGTTTCTACCCTACTACGTATCTGTAAGATCTCATCAGTCAATTCTAACCACGACACACCCCCGATAATCTGCAACACCACTCACTGTCCCCTGTCGCAACTCTCAACTCCCAAATCCCTTGCTTAGAGCATATAGAGCGTACTTGCTTTGGACGCTTTTGTCAGTCTATCGGCCCATCGAACCCTTGCTTCGAGTCGGCTGATGGTCTTACCCTCACGTTACATCCTGATCTTCTGAAACCAAAGCCTCGCACACCATGCAGACACGTTAACTTCCCTCCTCCATGGACCGACAATGGCGAAGCGCGGACCCGATCGCAAGAACGATAGTGTTTTTTTCTTCGTCAACAAGACCCAAACGTCCAAATCTCTGTCGAAAAGCGATGGGGCCGTGGCGAAACAGATCAACCGCCACGCCCAGCATTTTCGCACTCGGAAGATCGAGGCGCAAAGGTTTACTTCAGCATTGACCAGTTCCTCCTCAGCTCGTCGCATCGCCCTTGATGGCTGGAATCGGAGAGACGCCCCTCAAAGGTAGGTCGTAGCATCAGCCTGATCAGTGATGAGTTCACTGACACACCGCTGTAGTCCAAGCAGTGACGAGACATCCCCCACCGACAGTTCCGGCCCATCTCCAGCAAATCCTTTTCCAGCAGCACCTCTCACACGCGATACAACACGTAATAAATATGCCCGACGACTATCCGAAAGACTTCCTGTGCAATTTCTTGTGAACGACGACAGGAGTGACTCATCAGACCCGGAACAAGACAATACCCTTGAACTGGCGCCCCAAGTGTACCGGGCAAATTTCACATCCTACGACTGTGTCGACCCTTTCAGAATCACCCCGGTGCGGATCACATCGAAAATCCACACTGTTCTTCAGTATTGCCTCCGCATATACCCTTATTCTGGAAACAACTATAAGTTGGCCTTTTTACCTCATCATGTGCGACTTTCCATCTCCCAGTTCCCAATCGGCACCGTGGTCCAACGCAGCGTGTTCAAGGAGCACCATTTGTATGCTTTGATGGCTGCAATGACAGCTCGTATGAAACATGTTTTTGCAGTTTCACCTACGGGAGACGATCCAAATGAAGTCCGCGCCCTTGCTTCTCGCTATTTGAAGGAGGAATTGATGCGCTGTGCCCAAACCGGCGTCATCGACAAGCAGACCATTCTCGACATCTTGTTTCTCGTCGTCAACGAACTACAGTATAACCTGTACGATGACGCAAGGAAACACCTCATCATCGTCGACAGGCTTCTCGGTATACTCGACCTCAATGAGCATCTAGACAGGTGGATATCCGAGACGGCCGCTCATGTTGACAATCAACTGGCTTTGTCCACAGCCAGACGACCTATCCTGAAGAGTTCCTTTGACCCCGGTCCAATGTTGCCCGAACGAATGGCCACCTTACGGCGAACCGCTCAGAATTTGAGACACCAGACATTGCCCAATCCGGTCAAACTTATAATCCCCAGCGGGCCTAAGGGGTCTTTCGGCCTCAACGATGCCATGGCCGATGTCGCCTCCACGTTAGATGTGCGTATGGGATCCCGCTTTGCCGCTGGACTCAGGACCGGAGCTTTTCCTGGACCGATGGCGACGATTGTGGCAGATTTGGTCGATTGTGTCGAGATTGCAAAGGTCGTCTGGCTATCTCCACTGGCCGTGTGTTTCGACGCAGAATGGCTGTGCAGAAAGGCGAGAGCGGTGTTGCGTGCCTTGCTGGCGCTTGCTCCAGAAAACAAGATCGGTCCAGATGATATTGGTACCAGGTGTATGGAGGTTTTGAGGATCTGTCTGATGATACTGATGACCTATGCTTGTACACTCATCGGACCTCACGTGGTCAAAATGAATGTGAAACGGCACATTGAGGCTCAGGCGGCCGGATTGGAATTCTGGTGTCCTGCCGTCGGATGGACCCAAGAATGTGTACCCATTGTGCCAGACGCACGCTTGCATCCTGTCTATGAGCAGCAGGCCGGATTCGTTCTGTGGTCGTGTTTAGTTGCTTGTTGGAGTGCAGAAAGTCTTCCGGAAGCTGAGTGGTGCATGATTCGAGCGGTGAACATTGCTCGTTATTTTGGGTATTCGACTTATGAGGATCTACACAACCATATGGCACAATATCTGTATTCGAAGACCCTGCAGGAGTCGAGCATGCGGAAAGTTGCAGAAAGGCTCCAGGCGTCACCGCGCGAGCGTACAACCTCAACCTCGGCCGGAACTTGAAGCTGCTGGACATCGTTTGGAGTATTCTGGTTTTGGGTTTGAGCCAGGCCGGAATTTCGTTCCGTTTAACAACAGTGTGTCCACCACATGCACCAAGATGTGTGCGTATGCCTTTACAGTACTTGAGCACTGCCAGGATTCATTCGGCCGAAAGTTCGGAGGATGTCCCAGGTTGGGACAGTCCTCCGTCAAAGCGGGCACGGCGTTCTGCCGACAAATGTCCGTGCGATCCAGGAGGTTGACAGCACTCAAGGTTGTTTTACGATTATGGAGCAAATCAACACCCCAAATCGTCTTGGGAGCGACTCCTAGCTATGTTCTCGCCTATACGGATACTTTTTTGGTCACCTTCTCGCCCTGTCCTCCTTTCTCGACGGTTGATTCCCCGGAGTGAAGTTGATGGCCCGAGAACCCCAACGCTTTCTGTCTTGGTGGTCTACCCATGACTATGATTTGCGAGATTTCTCCTACGAGCCATGAAGAACAAAAATGACCGCATGGATAAAACGGTGCTGTGGAATTGATGGTTCGGAACTGGTGCACATGGGAAATTCACGTTCCAAGAGCACCTTTCCAAAACCTCAGATTCCGCCGAGGCGGTCAAGAAGGTGCAGGAAGAATTCACCCTCTCTCTATGATGATGGAGGCCTAATGCGGTACCACCTGTTTTATTATTACGAAGGCACCAACGCGCCATACGCCGTGTGACACTATATACGACAATCAACTTTGGTCAGGCTGGCCAGGCTACGCTTACACTATCCAGTGTCCTTGGTATATGACTATGGCTGACTTCATTGAATTGGTTGAAGAAGATGACAATGACGACGACGAGGACGAGGACGACAGGTAACTAAACATACCACCAGTTTTGTTTTATTTCTTACTTGAAAAGAATATTGGGATCCACAGTACAGTTTGTGCGAGAATATCCATCGAGTGCTAACATCTACGTTTTGAGAGAGAGAGAGAGTCTAGTTTGGATAGTTTGGATAATTAATACCCTTCAACCCCCAAAGCCTTGTATGCGGCTTTGACGTACGCGGCCGTCTTTTCTGACCCCATGATACCGTCTCCCATCTTGTTCATGACATAGCTAAAGGTGACTTTCCTCTCGAGATCCATGAGGACGATGCTCCCGCCCCATCCGCCCCAGAAGCACAGCTTGCCACCCTTGGGCAAGAAGGGGACCGAGGTCAGCGTGCCGCCCTGGGCGAGGCCGAAGCCGACGCCAAAGCACAGGGCGACGCCGACGACGACGTCGACGCCGTCGGCCTGCACGTCGAAGATGCGCTCGACGACCTCGGGGGCCAGCAGGCGGTGGCCGTCGACGGTCCCGCCGAGGGTGACGGCCGAGAGGATGCGAGCGAGCGATCGAGCGTTGCCGTGGCCGTTGACGGCGCCCAGCTCGGCGGCGCGCCACTCGGGGGTGTGCACCATCTCGGCGCTCAGGGGCGGGTTCGCGAACGTCTTGGCCGTCGCCGACTCCGGGTCGAGCTTGCTGAAGTCCAGGGAACTCGGCGGAGGCGGGAGGAGGTCGGCGACGCGGGCCCAGTCCGACTCGCGCGCGCCCAGTTGCCAGTCGGCGCCCAGCGGGCCGGCGATCTCGGCGGCGACGAACGAGCCCAGGGACTGGCCCGTGACGCGCCGCACGAGTCCGCCGATCAGGTGGCCCATCGAGATCGAGTGGTAGCCCGAGGCCGTGCCGGGCTCCCAGAAGGGTTCCTGCGACGCGAGCAGCGACGTCGCGAGGTCGAGGTCGTACAGCCGCTCGACCGTCATGGGGGACCGCCAGCCCGAGTGGCCCGACGTGTGCGAGAGGATGTGGCGTACCAGCACGGGGGTTTTGGCCGTCGTCGTCTCGACGCCGGCGCCGAATTCCGGCCAGTACTTCGACAGGGGTGCGTCCGGGTCGACGAGGCCGCGCGAGATGAGCACCAGCACCGCCAGCGCCGACACCGTCTTGGACGACGACCACACGTTGGTGATGGTGTCCTTGGTCCAGGCCCGGCTGTGGTCCGCCGACGCGTACCCGCCCCATATGTCGACCACGTTGGTGCCGTCGATGTTGACCACGATCGACGCCCCGAGTTCGTTGCCCGACTCGAGTTGTCTTTCGAGTTCCGCTTTGAGCCCGGCGAAGCGTGCGTCACAATGCCCTTCGACGGTCATTTTTGATTTGTGTCGTTGGTGATGTTGTTGGTGGTGGTGGTGGTGGTGATGGTGAGGGGGGATGGTCTTTTACTGACGGTGAGGGGGGGAAGTTGTGTTTTCGCGAGTGAAATTTGAGACCTCGGGAACTACTCGTACCTTGAAGGGGGTGGAGGTGAGTCAAAAGCTTGGAGGTGAGAGAGGAATGAGAACGATGCTATATAGGATGTCTGAACCGTGTGTTTTGTCAGTCGAGGGGTGAAGACAGAGAGACAGAAAGAGGACAGGTTTCACGACACTATTGTCAGTCCAGTCTACCTTCTGACAAAATAATACGCGGCGGATGAAGCTTGGGGATGGTTGGTTACTCAGCAGAGAAATCCTCGGACCATAAAACTTCCCGCGTTGCAGCTTACGGACGATTCCTCCAGATTGAAGCTTTTTTGTAGCGGTACCCGCGCGTTCGGGGGCCTGTTTTTCTGCTTTGGAAGGACGTGTGACTCGGGTACGGATGAGCAGTAACAGAAAGTTGAGGGGAGCAACCTCGCACTAGTTAGTTAGTTAGTCGTCACTTGAGTACCCTGCTAGTAATTTAACCAAGTAACTAACCACCAGTTAGAGAACTTAGGTAGTAGTGAGGTACCTGTAGTTGACCAAACAAAGTCAATTACAATACGATAGGCCCCCTACAATACGGGTACGAGTACGGCGTACGGTACTTAGAGAGCGAACCCGACCCCTACAGTACCTATTAAGGCACTTCTGCCGAGGTGTAGTTCTCCTTCACTGCGGAGTACCTGCACACGCCCCCTTACAGTTACAAATCTCTCTCCCACAAACCTCCATCACCCCTTGTACACTTGTACACTTATGTACATTTGTATTTGCCACCAGTTGGATCTATTCATCCAACATACTGATCCGACATCGGACCTTCACAACGTCTGGACAAATGGCCATGGCTGAGTAAACACTCGCTCTGGATTGATCGACCCAATATCCCCACGTCACGCTACGTCTTTTGCCCTCCGGTCCGGCAATGACGATTTTCCAACCTTTTACGGGGCACCGTTGTATGTGTGAGGTTATCCCTACGAGTTAGGAGGACCGAGAAAACCCCTTCGCAAGCCTTTGAAATTGGAATATGGTCGTGAATCGTGAATCGTGAAAAAACATATATCCGTACAGTGTCGTCTCACATTTGTTGGTCGAGTGATCACGTCGCGCGAGGTAAGAAAGACTGAATACATATATACTGTCTGCATCCTGCGGTTGAAAGCACGCCGCAAGCTCGATCCCTCGATCTCTACGACCGCACAATTGGTTTAGATATACTCCGTACCGTCGGTCACCAAACATGGCCTCGTCAACCAAGATCCCTCTTCGACCGTCTCCGGCCACACAGCGCCTTCGAGACCTCCTGGCAGATCCTGAGCACATCGTCGTGGCTCCAGGCGTGTATGAAGGCATCTCAGCGCGCATTGCTCTATCACTTGGCTTTGAAGCCTTGTACATGGTTGGTTCTCTACCTCGTTCTCTTCCGTCGTACTTCAGTTTCGTACCGCACTCGGATGGAACTGACCCTCGGAATTCACTTCCAGACAGGAGCAGGAACGTCCATGTCTCGTCTGGGCTACGCCGACCTCGGCCTGACAACGCAACACGACATGGTATCTCAGGCCGAGACGATCGCCAACATCTCGCCTTCGACGCCCCTCATCGCCGACGCCGACACGGGCTACGGCGGACCCGTGGCCATCGCGCGCACCGTGTCCAAGTACGCCCGGGCGGGCGTGGCGGCCCTGCACATCGAAGACCAGGTGCAAGAGAAGCGCTGCGGCCACCTTCTGGGCAAGGAGATCGTGGCGCGCGAGGTCTTTTACTCGCGGATCCGGGCCGCCGTCAACGCCCGGCGCGACCTGGGCCTGGACATCCTGATCGTCGCGCGCACCGACTCGCGCCAGAGCTACGGGTTCGAAGAGGCCCGCAACCGGCTCCTGCGCGCCGCCGAGATTGGCGCCGACGTCGTCTTCCCCGAAGCCCTGACGTCGACGTCCGAGCTGGCCGAGATGGTGCGGGCCATGCGCCGCACGCCGTGCCTGCTCAACATGGTCACCAAGGGCGTCACCCCCGAGTTGTCCGTCGACCAGGCCAAGGAGCTCGGGTTCCGAATCGTCATTTTCCCGATCGCCGGGTTTGGCGGTGCCATCAAGGGCATCACCGAGTCTCTGGCCACTTTGAAATCCACCGGTCGCGAACCAGAAGACCTGATTGGTGTAAAGCAGGCCTTTGAACTGTGCGGGTTGAACGAGTGTATTGAACTTGACAAGCGGGCCGGGGGGAAGGCACTAGCTGGTTTGGAATGATATATGACTAGTCAATCACGGACTTGTGTGGTCGCTGCTGGTCCAACAATTTTTCATTTTTCACGATTCATATCGTGATATAATAATCCTCAGAACGTTAGAGCCACATAAATCATGTCGACGGGGATTCTTCATTTCAAGTTTCATATCTTATCTGACATGGCCATTCCATTTCCGTTTCCATAATAATGTAAGAAGCTTGTTTTTGAAGCCACCAACCTACCCTCCAGCGGTAGTCTAAACCTTCTTCTTCACACCTTGACCCAGTTTCAATCTAGCAAGAAGGACGAACCCAGCAGCAGCCAAAGCGACACCACCAGCGTAGAAGATGGCCGGACGATAAGGACCGATCGAAGTTGGAATACCCTTGCCATCACCTCCACCATCACTACCTTTGGCATCATTTCCTGAAAACGCACCAATCCCCACACCAGCCGCTTGAAGCAGATATCCCGCAATAGGCGCGCCGAGAAGATACCCGGCTGTCCACCCGGTGATGCTCATACTCATGGCGACCGCCGCCGCCGCCTGACCGTCCAGTGCGTTGGCCGTACTCATGACGACGACGGGGTACAAGGTGAAAAAGGCCCCGTTGGCGAGGCCGTTGACCATGGCGAAGATGACCAGTGGGGCGATCGAGTCGGAAAACGGCCAGATGGCCAAGATGCTCACGCCGTTCAGGAGCATCGTGCAGAGAAACATGTTCACCGGACCCATGATGTCGCTCGCGTATCCCGACAAGAGCCTCCCGATCGCAGTGCACGCGTTGAACCCGGCCACAAGCCCGGCGCCCGTGGCAGAACTGAGCCCTATCGTTTGTGCGACCAGAGGCAGGAAAAACGGCGGGACGAACAGTGCAAAGGTCCCGACTGCACCTGCACAGAAGACGGCCGTGAAAGGGAGGTATTTGAACAGGGAAAGGTCGAGGAACGGCGCGCCGCGGCCGATTGGGACTCGTTCGCGCAGGAACCATGCCGCCGGACAGCCTGTCGCAAGGATACAGAAGCCCAGGATCCGAAAGGTCCACGCCACCCCGACACGGCTTATCATCGCGTCGACGCCGATACTGAGTACTGCTGCGCCGACGCCGCCACCGAACTTGATCAGACCCGATGCCAGACCGAGCCTGTTGGCAAAGTACTGCGTTGGCAGCGTGTTGGAGAGCGCGTAACACAGGCACGCTCCTGATCCGAAGAGGGCGCCAGACGTGACGAAGAGGCCGCCGACGTTGGAGACGGTGAAGCTGGAAAGAATCTCGGCGCAGGCGAGAAGTGCGATACCCGCAAAGGCTGTGGTGCGCGCGCCGAGCAGACGCATAATACGAACCCCGAAAAGGCCGAACGCCACGATGGTTGCGAGGCCGAATGTGCCCACGAACGATATCGTCGAGGTCGAGGTCGATTCGAGGTTGGAGCGGAGCAACGCCGCCTGGAGAACACCCCAACTAGCAGAGATGCCGTTGAACCAGAATGTAAGAACGGCACAGCATGTAACAACTACCCAGCCGTAGCCGCCGTCGGGTATGGCCGTGGCGACGTTGGTCGAGGGAGGTTCGCGGTCAGGAAAGTCTTCGGTGTGGGCATGGTGGCTATGTTCGGTGTTGACACGATCAAAGGGGAGCTGTGCCGGACTGTTGTTCTCTGTGGTAGCAGAAGGGAACCTGATGACGGTGCGAAGCTCCGTCTCTGTGGTCGTCGACATTGTTGGTGGAAACGTCGTCGACGTCGGTCGAAGTAACAATCGTAAGAGCGACGGTGACTGGGATGGCAAGTTCAACTGCAGCCTCCATCTTCCGAACCATCATGTATACCCGAGGCAACCATGACTCATTTGTATGCTGCTGCCGTCGCTCTGACGTAACTTGAGAAGCGGTTGATGAGGAAATCTTTATGTCACGACGGGCCAATAGTACGGACTTGGCCGCATCAGCCTGATCGGGATTGTGTGTCTGTCTATATTGTCGTAAATTCGTATATCATACTCGATTCAATGGGCTTTGCATTGCCGTCGCGGGCATCAGCATCCATGTGTCCGCACGTGCGGTTGTTCGAGTCTCTCGTTGTCAAAGCCGGGGTTGCCGTGGGGGTGTTATGAGTGGCAGAAAAGCAGTTGGTAGGAAAACCTCCACACTCACGAGTCCATTTGATTGTCGTAGTAGCCATCATCAGGACCAGGAGTGAAGCCTTCCATTGCAATGTCTTCTTCGTCCGCCTGCTGTTGCATCATTGGGAAAGACACTCCTCGACTGTCGATGGAATCTGCCGCTTTTAGTAAAGATCCCACCGCCGACTCCAGAATGCCACTAGCAATCTCCAGAAACTCGGCGCTCTTGTTGGACACGCGCAGAGTCCATCGATACTCCAGGAGTCGTCGTTGATAGAACTCAGCTTCCTCCTGGCTGACCGATGTGACGAAACACAATCCAGCAAACGTGCCGATGAGAGCAAAGTTGAACTTGGACGCAAAATACCAAAAAGACTGCAGATGTTCCGGCTTGAGTCTGTTGAAAAAGTCCATGGCGCTGATCAAGCGTGCCTTCGCCGCCGACCGGCAGATTTGTATCATGTACGGGTCGGTGTTTTGGGACAGAGAGCGGAGGATTCGTCGGTGCAAAGTGATCTCGGTCGCGAAGTACGCGAGATGCAGGTACCCGACGGAGCTCAGCTTGCCCACCTTTGTGGCATCCATGCGCAGGGCTTCCGGCATGTCGGCGTACCAAGATCGAAGTTTCAACTGGATGGGCTTCGCCCTCTCGAGAATGGCCTTTGTCGTGTCGTAGGAGCTCTTGACCTCGGCCTCGGCCTTTAGAGAGTAGAGATCTTCCAGGACTTCTGCGAGCATCTTTGTCAGGGTAATCATGGCACTGAATAGCGTCCGGCCTTTCTCGACTTCGGTGCTGCCCTCCTCGTCGTCCTCGTCAGCTGCACTCTCCGGAAAGTCACTACTGATGACCGGCTGGACGGCCCAGTTCGTCTCGGAGATGTGCGGCGGGCGGCCATAGATCAGGGCGGACCAGGTGTCTTGCATGAAGAGAGCCCATGCCAGCCGTTTTCGTAGTCCTCGTTCCCAGCTCGGTATGCGCCAATTGGTGCAATCCAGGTGCAGCCCGAGATCTTGGCCAATGGCGACTAGCTGAGAGGTCAACTGCCAGGCTTGGTTGCTCCCGGGACGTTGGAGCAGTAAAAGTCCTGCCTGTACCGTGGACAACTTCGCTCGCTGCGACACGCTCTGCAACGTTCGATATGCGATGTCCTCCAGGAGCGCGACATCAGGCTTGACAGATCGTGACAACTCTGAACTGTATGACCACCAGTTCAGCGCCAAGACATATACTGCAGCGAGCAACGGCGGAGAGAATTCGCGATGTGTTCGGCCATACTTCTCGAGATAGACCTTCTTGTGCAAGATGGGAAAGCTGGGGTGGACGATTCGGAAATAGAGCTTTATCAGGGCTTCGCCGTGAGGGGCCACAATGCGCTCAATGTTGTCGAGCTCCTCTATGTCGCGAGAATACGTAGGGGAGTCAGCTTCTGGATACTGATGGAAAAATACCCCTTGATTGACTTTGCGGAAGGATCCTAGATCTGCAGGGCTTTCGTTCTTGACGTGGTCGTACAGCCGGAGATCCAGGAGGGCAAAGTCGTGCTCATCTGTCGGGCCGATATACTTTGCGTATCGGTTCACTTGGAGCCTGGACGACATAATCAGCCACGGAGACGAGGTTAGGAAAGGCATTGACGAAGAGATATCAGGGTTCGGAAACAAACTCACCCAAGAGTTTTCTTGAGAAGACTCTGGCCCTGCAGGTTGGCATAATCATCCACGATAACAGGGTCGGTTCGAATCATGGATTCAGCGGATGGCCGTCGTGGGGCGTTATCATCAGAAGCTCTAATATCTGCTTAGCCTTGCGATAGGGACACGAGACAGCAATCCCAAAGGCAACGAAAGTGGCCCAGGGGCACGAGTTATGCCTTGGGGAGGGGAGGAGGGGCTCACGTCGGCCTAGCCGACCCAGTGGAAGTGGTATCGGCAGGGTTGGTGTGTTTTCGTCGCCTCGGAGCTGCTTCTTCGATAAAGGTACATGGCTGATTGTGGAACTGGCACATCACACATGTGGACGAGTCTGCATTGATGACGCACCGACTCTTCCGCCGACGACAGCGATCGCAAGGCCTCTTCTCTGCTCTGCTGGTCCCGGCTTGCACGGGGGGGAGGCCGTCAGCCACGCGAGCAGAGACAGGAGGAGAAGCCATTACGCTGCCGTTATCTGGAGAAGGACCTTCAAAAGGAAAGTCGGCTTGGTACTCGTAGGGACGCGGCATGGTTGAGAGCATGGTTATTATGTCGCAGGGGCTGCAATCTGGTGGCCTGTCTACTTGTCAGGCCGATAGGACCCAGACGCAAGTGTGTCAGTTGGTTCTGTTGACTTGCTTTTGGCTCTGGCTGCATAGTCGGTCAGGGATTGCTTTTTACACCTGTTGCGTATCTGGAGCGCCTGTCAGGATAAGCTTCGATCAATGATTGTTTGCCTCAGCTTGGTCTCGCTGCTGGAAACAACAGGTCCGATAGTCATGGGCGGGAGATACAGATCTGTATGCAGCCTCCGGGGCCACGGCAGATTGGGTCCGCCGGCAGCTAATAGGAAGCCAGCCATAGCCAAATCCCTGCACGCCGCACCGCATCATGCAGCAATTGATTGAGTAAGAATTAGCAGGCAAGCGTCCTAGTGCAGGCTGGGAAACATGGAGAATTGATAAGGAACCCGGATGTGATAGGATAATTGCCTTTCGGGTTACGAGAAAAGTGGGATTATGGCGGCTGTCTAACTCGAGTTCGATGGAAAATCCATGCTGCTCCCGGGTGTCACTGGCAACTCTTTATCAGGTCCAAGCTCACTGGAGGAGTAGCAGCTTTGTCATAAAGCACAGCAATACAAATGACAGTAGAAATGCCTTTGTCGCGAATGAACTGGTGAATATCCTGGGTCCCCTTATTCCTCCGTGCTTGGTCCCTATCCTAGGAATAATTAGGGACCAATCTGGTCTCCCACGCCTTCAGGACATCTGCCGCGTGACGTGCCGCTGGTATCGGGATGCCACTGTCAGCGTTTCACTGTCGGAGCAACGACAACCGAGAAAAGTAATGCTGAACGGTAGCTCTGTCGTACTTGCTGGGAATGAACCTGACGGTACAGCCACCGCGCAGAGATCGAGAACATTGCCGAAATGTGTAAATGTGCCCAACTTGGCATTCAGTTTGATGGGGTCTGCCAGCATCGCCTCGATTGTTGGGTGTTCGGGAGCCGTCGGTACCACCAAGACATCAATACCAAGCTGATCGGCCGATGTGAATTGGGCGGTGGCTTGACGCGTGTACAGCGCCTTGTTGTGAAGGTCTCGAAACAACTGAACCGCCGTGCTCTGTCGCTCTACGACCTGCCGGAATAATTTCAAAATCACAGGATGAAGGTGTCGAGCGTTCTTGTCGAGAAAATTGTCTGGTAAGCTGGCTAATCTCTCGGACACAAATGTGCCTTCGTACAGCAGATCTGCAGCTCTTTGGAAGGGAACCCAGTCGATTGGGACCAGGGTACCGCCCATCGCCTGTAAGCGACGGACAGCCTCGGTGAAAAGTCTATGATACGTGGGCGTACATATCTCGAGGGCTTCTGGAGGAGGAATGCCGAATCGAAACGAGTCCTTTTGCGGTCCGGTCGCGTTTACGTGTCGAGGAGCCGGGAAAGTGTCTCTGGCATACCGGTCATTAGGATCAAATCCTTCACATACTTGCCACACGGTTCTTGCATCTTCGACGTTCTTTGCAATAAGGGCAACGCAATCGAGGGACAGGCATGCAGGAGTGACCCCGTCAAAAGAAATGAGTCCTCGCGTTGGCTTGAATCCTACAACGCCATTGAAACCAGACGGTACCCGGCCAGAGCCAGCTGTATCTGTCGCTAATGAAAAGGTTGCCTTGGTTCAGCTGTTAGAAAGAATTTCGAATTTACTCGTTGACCCAGAATAACTTACCAGATCAGCCCCTACCGAGACTGCACTTCCACTGCTTGAACCGCCAGAAATGTATTCATCGCTGAAGACGGAATGTGTAATGCCATATGGTGATCGACAGCCACTTAATCCGGTGGCCAGTTGATCCAAGTTGACCTTTCCCAGGTAAATAGCTCCAGCATCGATGACTTTCTGGTAGCAGACTGCGGATTTGGATGCCACAAAGGCCAGTGGAGGACATGCCGTGGTCGTTTCGATTCCCTGGACATCAATGGAGTCCTTCACCGTGAAGGGAATACCAAACAGCGGGGGAAGGGCGTTTCTGTCTGGAAACTGTGCAACCAGCTCCGCTACTCTTCTCAGGACATCCTCTCGTGGTTCCCGCCTGATCCACACTGTTGAATCCACGGTATCATACTTTTCAATACGGTCAAAAAGTTCGTTGACCATGACCGCAGGAGAAAGCCCATTTTTGTACGATGCCAATAAATCAGATATCTCAAGTTTACCATCCCATGGAGGCGGCGTCTGAGGCGGCGTGTTTTCCCCGGAGTTCACTTTCTTCCACGGAGACAGCACATCAAGAACCGGCTGCAAGTTGGCAACAAATCCAAATAGGCCTTCTGACCAACTTATCATGTCGAGTGAGGCAGTCTTGAATTCCGGGTTGTATCCTGCCGTGCTCTCTCGAATACCAACACACTCGAACCCGCGATCATTTGCCTCTCTCAAGGTCGTTGCAAAACAGCATTCAGTGGTGCTAGAGGGTTGTTAGCCTCGTAAGAATCGCATCGGGATTAGACTTGCAGTCTAAAAATCTCATGTACAGCATGAGACGGGCTCGTAGGCATACTCACACTCCCGAGATGAGAAGATGGGTAATCCCATAACTTTTGAGCTTATGCAAGATGGCTGTGTTCCAGAATGAGCCTTTCCCGGGCTTGTCAATCACAACTTCAGAAGGTAAGGGTTTGAGCTCGTCAACTATGTCGTGTCCGTACTCCCCTCGAACGAGCAATCTTCCCATGTCACCTTTGTCGCCAATCACTTTGAGATGCTGTGAAGACGGAGACGCCGCTTGTCTGATGAGCTTTGACGACGGGCAGTCCGCCAGAGACTAGAGCACGTTAGCCTGGAGCGTCCCATTGAAAGCTCCAGAGGCGGTAAAGCCACATACTGGGACGTGGCCTTCTCTCGTGTGGAAGATCTTCATTCCTGCCTCCCGACATGCCTCGAGCAGTGCCTTTGTCGGGGCAATTGACGCCTGGACGGCTGATAGATTCCCGCCTTGAATCTCTCCAAAGCCAGATGGAAGGAGAAAATCCCTCTGCATGTCGATCACAAGGAGGGCCGTTCGACTCAGGGGAAATGTAAACGGGTATGGTTTGGCCTCAATAGTGAGGACGTCTTCAAGTAATGACCCCATCTTCGGGCTGATCAGACAAAAAGCGTAAACTGTCCGTCCAGGTAGACCGAAGGTAATGTCGACGAGGCCGATGCAAAGATGACAGAGAATTGAGTACCTCACCTCACGACGATTCCATGGGTCAAAGTCTTGTGTTTTATGCTGAACCAAGCCAGCCCCAGGCCGACGGTGTTACCCTCATTAACTTAAGCTTCACAACCACCACCTCGTCCCAGTGGCTGATCTGATACAGCTGATAAGGAGTTCAGCCACGCCGCGAATGACTAGTCCGTAACAGCGACACCGTAATATTTCGTTCTCCCGCTGGTCTTATCACTGGATTTGCCGGTGCGCCGTCGGCGGTATTGTAATCGTGGTGTTTTCACACGCTGATATGGTCAAGCCGCCGCCGTCGGCGACGCTCCCCTGTGGCCGCGGCACAATCTCCAGCTTTTACGTGGATATCTCTCCATATCTTCAGCTCAGTATCTGGCATCGTCCCACTGCTGGATCTCTATTTCCCAACTCCAGATGCAGATCCCCCAGTCCAGGCCACCAGGCTTGGACCTTTTGTGCTAGTCGGCGCGTGTCGACGGGCCTTCGCGAGAGTTTCGCCGGCGTCGCTTATCTGTGCTCTCCTCGTGGCGTCCCTGTCTATCGGGAATATCTCTGCGTGACCTCGTCTGTATCAAACGAGATATCATCTATCATCTTCAATATGGTCAAATTTTTCGTCCCACGAGATCAAATCTCTGTCTATAAAACCTTTCGTCGACCATGAGGCTTGACCTGGCTTTACAGGATCTGCATCTCCATCTCCATCTCGGACTTCTTCTAACAACCAGCAACTTGTACCTCCAGTACTGGATCTCCCGCTCAAGATGGTGACGCTTTCAACAGAACGCTTCTCTCCGAAGCGAATCTCCCCTAAGCACATCAAGGCAAAGATTGAGCCTCATCTCCACTGGAAGGTGCCCATGGAGAAGGGTGTCTACCAGGTTAGTTTCCTCTACCGTCGTAGCATTCCATCGAGACTGACAAGATTTCAAGGACGCGTAAGTCGCACTCCAGGGCTGTGAAATATCATAACAGTACCTGACTGGTACCACTGTTATCAGGCGTTGGTCTAATCCCGACCTCGACCCCGTGAAACCCGAAGACAGAACTTGGGGTGCCCTGGTACGTTTACTGTTCCAGAGCGACAGCGAAGTTTGCAAAGTTGCTGACTGAATCTGCAACAGGACTATTGGGCGTACTGGACCAGTGATATTTTGGCACCTCCCCTGGCTTCGACTGTCTCTGCGGTAAGTCATTTCACTGTCGGAGCTGAAGGCAATCCAGCCCAAACATGTCACATTGTCGTGCTCTCCTGAACACATATACTGACTTTCTATAGGTAATGAGCTTGGGGTTCACCGCGCGCGAGACGATCCCAATCGTCTTTTGCGGCTTCCTTCTCTGCTCTGGAGCTTTGACACTCACTGGTAAAATGGGTGCTCGTTACAGTATTCCCTTTCCAGTTTTGGTCCGCTCAATGTTTGGAATGTACGGAAGCATGCCAGTCATTGTGCTTCGAAGTTTTGTCGCTGCAATGTGGACCGCCATTCTCTGTGTAAGTGTCATGAAGTTCTTGGATTCCGACCCAAAAACACTGCGGCTGACCAGACAAAGGTCCAAGCTGGAGACTTCCTCAACAATTGCATAACAGGTCAGTACCCGGAACGAAGAACTCTTCAATCATTGCTTCCGACAGTATCGCTGACTGTACTTCCAGCCATTTGGCCGTCTTTTGCAAATTTTCCAAACCACCTTCCAGAGAGCGCAGGCATCACATCTGCAGGGCTTCTTTGCTTCGTAAGAACTCCTCTCCGGAATCCTAGACCATCCCAACTTGCTAACACTTATGGCGTCAGTTCATATACTGGATATTCCAGACGATCCTGGCTTGCATGCCCATCAAGAAACTTCGAATTCTTTTCTTGATCAAAGGCATCGTCGTCCCGCCCACATTCCTCGCACTCTTCTTGTGGGGAGCCATTGTCACTCACGGCGGCGGTCCAGTATGTGCTTCATCTCCTCGCTGTTTGCGATTCCTTCGAAGTTCTACCCCTTCCATACATAAATCCAATGCTAACACCGAGGATAGCTTATCACAGGGCACGCAAAGATGACGAGCTCGTATATGAACACGGCTTATTCCTCGTTGACTGCGCTCAACAGCATCATTGGGCTATTTTCGTCGATGGCAGTCAATTTCCCAGATTTTGCCCGCTTCTCCAAGAACAACCTTGCTGGGTATAACCAGGTCCTAGCATTGCCTATCATTGGAACGTAGGTGCTTTCCCAGACAGAGTCAAATTATCGAGGCCCGGCTAATGAATTTTGTTCCAGCTTGGGTGCATTATGCCCTATTTTCGTGACGGCTGCGCACAGCTACCTCTGGGGATCATTCGAGTGAGTGACTTCCTCCCATCCAGCAAGGCTTATACCCAGCCCTTCAGGGTTTGGGCGCTACTTGAACAGCTCTCTGACAAATGCCCAGATGGTACATGCCTGCGGTGATTGCCAAGTTCGATTCTCGCGCAGCAAAATTCTTCACTGCATTCAGCTTCATGCTCGCCACGATTGGAAATCAGATCGCAGCAGGCACTTATCCCTTCTCGAACGACATCTCCGGGTTATGTCCCAAGTACATCAACATTTTCCGAGCGACATTGATCATCTCGGTTTTCTGCGTCGTGTCGAATCCATGGCAAATCATCAAGAACGCAAGCGGTCTGCTAGCTTTCCTCTCGGGCTATTCGATGTTCATGGGCGCCATTTGCGGGTAAGTCGTGCCCCCAGTGATGGTTTGGAGAGATTCCCACCCCATCCCGTCCCGTCCCGTGTCGCTGAGTGAATGAGGGCTGATCTGTTTTGACTCCTCCCAGGACCATGTGTTCGCAATATTACTTGATCCTCAACAAGAAGCTCAACATCCACGAGCTGTACAACGGCCACGGTATCTATCGGTACAACAAGTTCGGTATCAATTGGAGGGCATATGCTTCGTTCACGATCGCTGTTGGACCACTGCTTCCTGGCTTCAGCAAGAGCATCAACAACAGCCTCAACGTGGGAGGAAGTTGGAAGATATACACCTTCTCGTGCATCTATGGCTTCGTTGTGTCTGGGTTGACGTACTATCTCATCTGTCGGTACGTGTCAGATGTGGGAGAAGCGAAGATTGTAAGTTCCTTTTCCAGTCAGAGGCGCTGCACAAAACGGAGTAGTACCTCGTGTCATGTTTCAAAAAGGCTAACTTGGTGCAGGACGAAGCCGTGTATCCACCCTCAAAGTTCGAGAGTAGTGACCTCGAGATCAGAGGTGCAGATCCCGAACAAGACTCATATGGGGAGAAGGAAGGCGACATTGAGGTCGCAATTGGCACGAAGGAAGTCAAGGCGTGAGAGAGGTTTAACAGAACCAAGTCAAGGAGATGAGCCGAGGAAACTGGGAACTTGCGTAGGGCTGAGAGTCGGTGAAAGATTCTTCCAGCAATTTAATCGACACGTGAAGCAAGTCATCGGTAACGATAGTTCTGAATTTTCGCTATGCAGCTTTCTTGTTCGAGATGAGAAGCTGATGAGCCCACAAGGAGTTGTCTCAGCGTTAAGTCATTCCATTTCGTAACTTCGTGAATCATCCATCAGTAATACTCTTCAGTACGCCTTCTGACCTCATGTTCAGAGTACTCAGAATAATCGTCGGCATGTCGTCGTGATTGTCGTCTTCTAGACCGGCTTCTTTGCGGTGGATAGGGATAGGCTGGTCGCGGTCGGGAATCGTCTTCATACTCGTAGCTCCTCATAACATCCTCGGTGAATGTGCGTTTTTCGTCGTCATACTCCTCCTGGCCAGTAATGCGCGGATCGCTCATGCGTTGAGGTCCGTATCGTCTTCTAGGCCGATTTCGATAGTCATCCTCATTGCCGTCGTCGTCGTCGTCGTCGTCGTCGTCGTCTTGCACACGTTGGCCCCTGTGACCGACGAGGTATCTGCCCGCGATGTGTGCCTCTGCGCCCGGTCGTTCATGGCGACTCTCGCTGGCGTCGTGAAGGCTGACCTGGTCTCTGAAGAACCCTACTCGGCTCCTTGACCGCTTGCGCTCCCAAATTTCAGGCGGGGAGTTATTTCTGCCCCTCATCGCACTCCGTAGGCGCATTGCTGGTTCCTCGTCCTCGTACGGCCCCATGCGACGGCCCCGTTGGTCGCGAGGATCGTCATCGTAGTCCTCGAGCACTTGCACATCCTTGTAGACGGAGTCCTTGACAACGCCGCGGTCTCGTCCACGGGCGTCGTACACGACGACATCTTCGCCGTGTCCCGAGCGAGAGTCGACGTCGTAGGATCTCGCATCGCGGCCGTCTCGGCCTCGAGGGCGGCCTCCTCCAAGATCGATCACGTACGCACCATCGGCGTTCCTCGTAGGGCGAATAACCTCATACTCTGCACGTGCATACTCTCTTGGGCTCTCGACGACGACCGCGTCGCCACGTTTGAGGTACGCTTCGGACTTCCTGTCCCGGCCGACCTTGTAAGTCGTCCTGGTACTGCTGCGGGTGTCAAGGTCGCTGCGGCTGCTCCTGTCGATCTCTACCCGTTCATCACGGTAGTCACGACGCACCACTCGTTCTCGTTCGTTGGGATATTCGTAGTCTCGCCGCGGCCGGTAATCGTCGACGCGGTCGGAATCTTTCTTCCTGCTGGTGTAGACAACCTTGTATCCGCGATCATCCCCAGCAGAGGACATGTTGTCTCGGCAAAATTAATCAAGCTCGCTGTCATATGGAGTCGTCTTACACCCCGGTATTTCGAGATGGAAAGATGTTGTCAGATCTCAAATAGGTAACAGCTCGAGGCTGCTGATCTCATCAAGAAGGTGGACTGATCGACCTGTCTCGCCCCTCGGCACAACGGAATTCGGGGGGGGCTTCCGACGGCGACTCTCTCTGTCAATGAGTATGAAGTCCCCGAGTGTTAGTTGTTAATTGTTCTTGCAACCCAACACAGATGTCTGCGAGGGCAGTGCGATGCACGAGATTGCAAAAAGAACTTAGCGACAAGCAACGATGGATGGAGAACGAGGCCGTGAGACCGCCAAGTGCGCATCACTAGCCCGGCAATGCTCTTTCGTACGGCCCTCCAGCGCACAAAAGTGCACAAAAATAACATGTGCCCAACAACTTCCACATTGAACCAAAACAAAAACAAAAAAACACACAACACTGATGCTCCTCCGGACAGGATCGAACTGTCGACCTTCTGATATATGTCTTCAGCACCCAATTATGCTGCTAACAGTCAGACGCGCCACCAATTGCGCCACAGAGAAAATGTGCCTGAAATTTCACTGTGTATGGGACTTCAAGAGTGCAAGTATCCGTTTTGTCGTGCTCCAGTTTATGGAGTACTGTCTCTTCCTCATGGTGCACTATTACCTAACAGACCCAGACAGGTACCTAAGGTAGTACTGCAAGATACCTACGAGTTACTAGCATAGGCATTCGGAGTCGATTTTTTGTGGTGGAGTGACGCCCTTCCTAAAATCAGACAGAGAATCATGAAATTCCCCCTCAACACGAACTGGCGATTTGAGGACCTACTTCCGGTCCAAGAGTATTTGGTGGTTTTTGTTTTTAGATTGCCCTCGGCTAACGATGATCTTGCGGGTGTATGGCCTTCCATGCACTTATGGCTCGTTAAGCTCATTCACATTTCTGAAGGCTCCCAATATCCAACACACTCGGCCCAGATGATCCAGTGTTCTCTGCGGCACTAACAAGCCGAGTACTGACCAAAACGGCTTTGTAGCTCTAGGATCTCGCTGGTGCTTTCAGAGTAGAGAGAAGGAAGTCTAGAGGCTCCCTTTCAGGTCGTCACTAGGTGTACCGATCAGGTTCGATAACATCTATCAACTGCAATGATAGCTCAGACCAGTGTTGCGAAGGCGTTCTCATGTTGCTCACTGGATTCGACATACATGGAGAGCAGCCGGAGACGTAGCGGCCTATTCGGGTCCATATTCTACTTTTCACCGTCCTCCTAAAAGGGTAGGTCGTTGGCATCAGGGTGTCGAACCCATTCTATCAGTGCCACATACATTGGGTTGACGCAACGGCCTCCTGCCCCTTATCACAGGTTGCTTTATATCTCCATTAGCGCTCTTCCTCATTATCGGCTTGCCCTGCTCAAGGAGTTTTTCACCGATACGCAGGTGCCTTACATCGATGTTGTACACCATGCATAATGGACATACCTCAATCGCTGTGCATTCCGTGTAAAGTCTTGATTCACGATGGTTGAGGGTCGATCTCCCTTATCTCCACTTGACAGGAATGTAAGGCAGAGGACCATTGGAGGCAGCGAAGGCGGAGGATGACAAAGCGCTGGGAGGGTCCTTGACTTCCCACGTTGAGATGGACTATGGGAACGGCGATAGGTAGATTGAAGAACTCCATCGGCAACACCCCAGTCCTAGCATACATATCTCGTTCCTCATCAGTTCACGCCCATCCACACGTGTCCCACTTGTCCATCCCAGTGTAGTCCCAGGGTTATAGACAATCCCACAGCCACAACGTATGCACAACTTATTCACCATACTACCTGCTCAGCTGTATAGCGCGTTTGATTCTCAAATATGCTTGAAAGAGCCTCATCTTGGCTTTCGCCGATGATCCGTTCTTCTCCGGCCGTTATTTCTAGGCTCTCAAGGACCTCGTCAGGCACAGCCAATGGCGCTTTGGATTCTAGTGGTAGAGCTGGGTAGGTGGTCGCATTGAAAGCAGGAGCTGCGAGGATGATTCTCTCAAGGGTTCTGACAAAGGTTGCGTCGAAAGAGAACCGTGCGTAGCGTGTCGACAAAAAGGCGGGGTCTTCCGGTTGCCAAATCAGCCAGTCAGGGGCATCTGGGTTGCCTTGGACAGACAGTTTCGTGGATGTGCCAGTACATCGAGATTCCCTTACCAAAATTCTTCTTCTCCGAGGTGGATTTTTCGGAATGATTCAATCGCCTTCGAAGGTTGATTACACGAAGAACGAAAGGCATCCACTCTGTTGGAAGCGGTGGAGGGTGGTCATGAAGGGAGTGGGAGGTGCCAACGACCAATAGTTGCGTGCGTGTATCATACCTCGATGCACTGGCTGCCACCCCGATTGTTCTTGGAGCAGGAGCGGCAATTCTTGGACTTGACACCCCGCGGGGTCTTGTACTCGCAGACTAGCGGGCGACACGCTTGCGTTTCTTCTTTGGCGGGGGAGAGGCGGAGGCGGGAGGAGAGCGGCGCGGAGGAGCTGCGTGCGATTAGCATTGAGAAACGCATGGGGAGCGAAAAACTCACAAGGAGGCGGGGAGCCCCGAGCTCTAGTGGCTGTTGAGCCCGGGGTGAAGTCAAACGTCAGCCATGATCTGCAGCGATTAGCATGATACCCGCACAGCGCATGCAAATAGCACGCGAACAGGCATACTCACTGTTTGCGTAGGTTCTTGCTGGGTACATTTTCAATATCCCAGCGTGGGATGCAGGCGCAGTATCCTGTTTCGATGACACTTGTCATAATGTGCCCCTCAATATTTATATATAGATTTGTTGAGTTGTTGACCGTCTGATATTCCCGCAGTAATGCCCGCACTTGTCATTTCTCCACTAGTTTTATCGAGACTGGCGTACACATCTCGACTTCAATCGGTGAGATGACTTTCTGATCATGATAGTCGCGGATCATGGTGAAGAGTCTTTCGATTGGGTCCATATCAGAGCTCTTTACTGCCGACATAGACATGGACATCACGATCGACAGTTGCGCTCTCTTCGCCCATGATGAAGTTCTTGTTTGCTCTCTCCCCGGCCGTGTTAACCGCACTTTCGCTCAGGACCGCTGTTGCGATCATCAACGGTTTGCCAGCAACCTTGAAGAACTGGACTTGGAGGCAGGCATGGTTGAAGGCGAGTGACTCTCAGCCGTGGTAGTGTGTAAGAAAGACTGAAGAGCCTGCGTGGTAGCGAGATCGAGGGGGCTACGAGGTACCTTATATAGCGGGGAGGGAAGGGAGTAGTGAAGAAACTTGTGGAAGTTAAACTGTTTGCGCGTAATCATGCATATTGCCGCGAGGAAATGTAGTAAATCCCCTCCGCTGAACAAAGCGTCAGGCAATGACAAACTTGAAGAAAATTGTCTGTGAATACAACTCGAAAAGTCGAATTCGGTTGTCCATGTCTTATCCATACCAAATGGCCATGACATATTCCAATGGATGACGGTGACGAAGACTCTGCTTCAAACATCAGAAGAATTTCATGAATGTACCTGGCCGGGTGATGAGCAGAGACATTCCCAGAAGCTGAGACTAGGTTTTAGACAAGGCTCCGGCTATATGTGCGCTTCTTCACGCCTCCGAGAACATGTGCGGGTGAACAGCTCTTGTTGAAGAACTGGAAGTGAAGCTCAAAGATAGCTCAAGATCAATGTTACTCGACATAACCTGAGTGTACAACACAATGTACGCCTTTGGCGTACGCTGAATATGCCTCGCAGAGCCGGCCCCGCGTTCGAGTCGCGGCAGAGACCAAATTTTTGACAATTTGCTTTTTTTCTCGCTTACTTACATTAGACGTGTCATTGAGGATGTTGAATGATTAATGAAGACTGGTGCCCCAAATCTGTGCCAAGACTATTAAAGGCCGTCACGTGCGATGTGTATTATTAAGCACTTTAATCTTAACTTCATCACTATTGAAACCTAACCCTAAAGATTATAATGGTATGGTATAGTTTCAATCTCGGATGAGAAGAATATTAATTATAATAGAATATATCTCTGCTATTTAAAGAGTATTTTATATTACTTCGATAATGATATTTAAATAGAGTAGCCATCTATTTCCAAAGAAAATTTTAGAAAATACTCAAAACGCAAAAAATTGGTCTCTGCCGCGACTCGAACGCGGGGCCTCTCGCAAATCATGTGACTTAGAGTTGTCCCTAAGCGAGAATCATACCACTAGACCACAGAGACGAATTTGAACTGTGTCGAGTTCAGGTGTTTTTGTTGAGGGAAAGTGGGAGACTTTAGAATAAGAGCGCTAGAGCTTTGGCTTGGCGGTAGGGTATGTTTAGGCGAATCAAACGTCTCAGCATTTAAGGCTGACCACCTAACCAAATGAAGCTTAACTCTAAGATTGATTGTGCCTGGTGCGCCTCATCCTTTAGGTTGGGAAGGCACGACCATGGTGCTAGATTGGGAAGGCACGACCATGGTGCTAGATTGGGAAGGCACGACCATGGTGCATGGTAGTGAAATGCCATTAATAACGAGGGTGCTACTGCACCCTCGCTACAATACCTGATGCTCAACCTACGTCTGGCACTCTCTCCACGGACTGATAGGACACGATTGTATACAGCGACGCTTGCTTGCACTGATACCTGAGGGGTATAACACCACGATCACAGGTAGGTTGGTATCTAAGTCAGGCTGGTCAGACTTTCTGTTCGAACTCTTCTTTCACCCTTTCCACTTCCTTCTTGGAGAAGATTAACAAAATAGTTGGCATAATGCTTTTCCCAGGGCGAAGCTTGGTTGAGAGCTTCGGACGCTAAACATTGAGCCTGAGCCTTGACGAAGCTATCGATCCCAAGGAGAAGCGACACTACAACAGCTCTCAACGGTTAAAGATCCAAGGTCAGCCCGGGTCTAACAGAGCGGTTTTGTAGCTGTGCATTCGATCCTGTTCACCTGTCTTCACCCAGCAGTCTGCGAATGCTGCACGGGAGAGCTCGCCCTGCTTTGAAATGGGTTCTGGTTGATTTTATGAGGTCATTCTATGTTGCTCTCGGTTTTCGGAACGGCACAAACAGTCAATAGAAACTGGCGACGTGCACGTATTGTACTTGGACATCAAAGACAGTATAGGGAAACAAAAGGTGAATTAGATAATAAATATATTGGGGGTGCTGCTGTAATCTAAAATGACGTTGTTGGAGAAGGACGCAGCTCCCGCACTTTTCGTATTGCACCACACATACACCACTCGAGGTACCTTACCTAGGTGTGTATCGACACGCGACAAGACGTGTCTACTCTTCGATTGGAGTGGCTTCAATACCTTGCGCTACCCTCAAAGATGTTTCATACCGCTCTCATGCATTTCACCAGCTGAAACCCCCACATTCAAACACTGGCCGCCGCCGACATGTCTTCAGACTTGACCTTCACCCAAGGGCTAATTCTTGGTCAAGTGTCGGTCGCTCTGTTTATTGCGGCGTTCATCAAGTTCTTCATATTCGGCGAGCCTCCTCCCCCCCCTTCTCGTTCGACGACGCGGACTCCTAAACACGTTCGGACACCCTCTCTCCACAGTGTTGCCTCTTCCAAAACCGCCGTGTCGCAGTCTCTTCGAAACAAAGCCAGCTCGAATGTCCTCCGCCCGGTGCCCAACAATGCCACAGACATTGCCTCGATCCTGCGTAAGACATACTATCATATTCCGAATCGACCACACAAGAACAGTCATTCTACTCACCAGCCCGAAAGCCTGGACTGGTTCAATGTCTTACTCGCCCAGACAATAGCACAATATCGACAAACGGCGTACAATCTCCGGGAAGGCACTGGAAGTACGCCCACGATATTGGCTAGCCTGGAAGAAGCAATCAACAATCCGGACAAGAGACCTTCATACATAGACAAAATCAAGATAACAGAAATTTCCATGGGAGAAGAGTTCCCGATTTTCAGCAATGTTCGAGTGATCTCAATTGACGACGATGGCTCGAGCTCTACAGGTGGGCGGCTACAAGCTTTGATGGACGTGGATCTTTCAGATGACAACCTGACCCTCGCGATCGAGACGGCACTCATCCTCAACTACCCCAAACCCTTCTCCGCCGTTTTACCAGTCGCTCTCGCTGTTTCGGTGGTGAGATTTTCAGGTACTTTGTCCATCAGTTTCGTCCCCGCGACGCAGGATGATCCAGACGATGGGAATTCGAAGAAGAATGGTTCAACGGGAAAGCCCAAGACCAATCTAGCATTTTCATTCCTTCCTGACTATCGACTCGACCTCTCTGTGAGAAGCTTGATCGGCTCTCGTACCCGGCTACAAGACGTGCCCAAAATTGCACAGCTTGTAGAGGCACGAGCTCAGGCTTGGTTCGAGGAAAGAGTCGTAGAGCCTCGCGTACAGGTCGTTCCTCTGCCGGGTTTGTGGCCACGAATGGGCAAGGTCAGGGTTAGAGAGGGCCAGGACGACGACAGGCCATCAACTCAGGACGAACATAGACCTGCTTCTTTCGTCGAGCGAAGAGATCCGAGGCCTACTGATGACTTTCCGTCACAAGAAGAAACCGAGAGGATCTTCGAAGGTCTCAGACGGCGTACAGGCCGTGATCGATCGAATAGCCAAGTTTTCGAGCATGATGAAGACAGCGCCGCTCCGCAATCGGCGCCAACCATGCCTGGTGCTCTACCGGTGTGAGAAGATCCCGAGCTCCTTGCTCGCCAGTTTCAAGACTCCACCTTCAGTCATTGCGCTTACGACCGTGGCGCGAAATCTAGCCAACAGGAACGCCACCTTTCAACCTCCTTCGCTGCTGATCTGGTCTGATGGAAACAATTCGCCCCAGAGCTTCTGGCCTGCCGGGCTGCAAACTGGCTTCCACCACAAGTGTTTCAAACAGATCGTTTCGAGTGCGGGCCAGTCTTTGACTTCTAATGCTGAGACATATTTTCTCAGTTGCTGAACATACAGTTCACGAGCGGGCATGTGGCTTGCTGCAATTGCGCCTAGTGTGAGAGCCCATAAGAGCACTTGACCATGCAGATCCCAACAGCACAACTCCTCACATGCCTGAAGGATTTTGAAAAGCCTGGAACTCAGCCCAGCTTTCACCCGCTGCGTTGGTGGAAGTGGGATAATTACCATATCGCCATAGACCAGTGTAGCAAGTCGAGTTGCATGGAGAACACAAAACTCGGGATTGTCGGTTTCCAAAATTTCGGGAAGCTGTGACAGCAATGAGTGTTGCGAAGCAGTGCGTGCCTCGACGAGATCAACAAAGTCTGGCGCCGTAGGTCCTCTACGTATGTAGTGATCCAGTGCGATAGTAACGTCGAACCAGAGTTCCAAGACGCTGAGCAGTTCAGAGCCATTGGCGAAGAATCGAAAATATTTGAAGCCACTACCAAGTTGAGAGTCCATCTCGATGGCAGTGGCGTCAAGTTTGTGTCGGCCGCTGAGAACAAGAGACTGGGGTGGACGTCGCAGTGGGAAGATCGGCCTACGCACATGCTTTGTCGCGAAGAACAAGTCGCACCTGAGAGAAGTTTGAGTATGTCAACTCGTTGGTCATGCGAGACTATCAGACTTACAAGGCCATCGTGTCTGCCATGCCGAATAGCTCCATTGCGTCCAAGCCACCTTTCCGCATAATCAACATCAGGATGGCGTGCACATGCTGCTCATCGTTGATCATGCTACCGTAGACATGGAGATTCTGGGCTTTTGCGAGCGGTGAGACAGGATGTATTTCCGGATAGACGGTGGCGTCATATTCGCCATGAATGGCCAGTATTGCTATCGACATGATAAGAGCGTCCATGGGCGGGCCTTCCAGATGTCGAAGGTGCTCGTTCAGAAGCTTGATGACCTGGCCTTTATGTTGGAGTCGCATGACAGGAGCCGAGTGAATCAGTTCGCGGCCTTGGTACACGCACAGGAGGTGAAGCGTCGTTGCATAGATGAATGCATGAAAAACCACCGGCCATTGCATCGCACATTGTAGCCATTCTCTCTTGACGGGGTTGCTGTTCCTGTCCCTGCATTTCACCGGGACAGTGTTTGGCCATGAAAACGTGAGAGCCTGTTTGGAAGTTAGTTGGGTACTTGCCAGACGATACCTTGGATCATGGCCATCTTCATTGTGACGATGAGGAGTCGCAGCAGGAGCTGTTGGATCCGGAATATGTACGTACATGGTCAAGAACCATATGAAGGTATGTAGACATCTTGCGGATAGGCAGGGCATCGAACGGGTCTGTTCTCCCCTCTCCAAGCACTTGTTTCAGCCCGGGTAAAGGCTCGCGCCGTGGTCGTCTTCGTGGCAGTCGACTATCCTCCACAGAACGAGTACCCGGAGACCCAACGGTGGGTGGCCGTGAATGCTCTTGTTGTGAAGAGAAGAACTGTTCCGGTGCAACAGTCTCCGGACGCGTTTCTTCTTGGTCGATACCCTCGTCGGGGCCGTGTTGCGCTTCCGGCTCACTGCCAGAGGTACCCTTTGTTGGTGTGTCATCTGGGGCTTTTTTGTCGTCAGGAATCGAGCCGTCGGCAAGTCTCTTCACCCTCAGTTTGCGATGAAACTCTTTGGTGATGTGCGCTCGAACTTCGCGCGCGCCGCCTCGCCGTCGTTTCTGCCCTTGCACGGGAACCGCTGGCTCCTTGTACGCTACAAACATGTACCGACTTTGCTTGCTGGTGGAGGCCATCGCGGAATGAGCCCGACCATACTAACGTAGGTAAGGTGGAGGTAGATCTAGGCGTCGTTTCGCTGAATCTCTGCGCATTAACCTACCCTAGGTAGATATAGAAACTCGGCTTCACTTCTGATTACCTAGAACGATGGGCCAGACAGACGACACCCAGGAAGATGGTGGTCGCGCTCCGGCGAGAGTGTGAGGGAATGTTCAAAAGAAAGGTTATGTCAGCGAGATTTCCCAGAGGTTGTTGGGTGGCATCGGTTTCCGCCCCCTCGTCTGCCGCTGCGTTCCAGGCTCACCAAGCTAAACTTAGTGAAGCTAATTGTACTCTTAAGCCTCTCACTAGCCATTGTCAGATAGATGCCTTTTGAGTTCCCGACGGTGTGTTAAGTCGGTAGGCAGGTCCTGCGCTGCTGGTCTTGCAGCTTCATCTAAATTTAACCGCAATGTAGGTATGTAAGGAGAAATGCGATGCAGGTGTGTACTAAGCGCATTGGTCAGAGCTGACTCATACAGCAAATTGCTACGAAGTACCCGTCGGAAAAGATCGCTATGAAGCCTTATATCAGGTACTCGTACGAAGTAGGTACCTAGCGCATCACCCCCCGGGAGATGAAGAACGATGGATGACGGTAACGGGTGGAAACATCCAGGGTTGAAGATGGTTCCAAAGTTCATTATATATACATCACACATACTCTAGGTTCTTTTGTATCAAGGCGGTCAAAGAATCCCAAGTCTCACTTGTCTGACTATTTTGGCCGTACTACAGATGAAGTATGGATAGGTGAGGACCTAACTCACGACACAGCGACTGGCGCGGCCTCTCTCGTCTGCAGGTATGCTTTGCGGTGCTGGTTCACATCGGTCTCGGCACCTCTGTTCAATGGGGTCCACTTGGGTTCGTCCTTGAAAAGTCGCATGGCTTGAATATACTATACGTGAAAAACATGTCCGTGTTAGCATGATAACTTGGTTTGATCGGTTTCTGTGTTGTTTTGTGTTTCGCGTTCCGGGTTCCTTACGTTATTTTCATCCGTAGTAAATCGATGGTATATGCCAGCAGGCAGAATAATCATGTCGTCCTTCTCAAGCCTGATGCGCACCCAGTCGTCGTTCTCGCTTCGGACGTCAAAGTACCCTGCGCCGTCGCGGATGTATCTGATCTCCTCGTCCTCGTGGAGGTGTTCTGCGAAGAACATCTTGACCTTGTCCTCGTAGACAGGGCCCATGGCGTCGGGCGACACGGTGATGACGTCCCTGTTCTTATAGTCGCGGTCTTTGGCGATGGCGTCGACTTCCGATACTTGCGGGCAGCGGTAGTACAGAACGCCTAGGCTGGCGAGGTACGAGGGGTCGACATCGCGGCCGGAGTCGTGCGTCTGGCGTTGGTCGCCCTGCGGGATGGGGACGTCAGTCACGTATGAATGGGGTCGTATAGAAGCGCATCAAAGGTCACGACTGGGACTAACCTCTTGGTTATCGAACCAGTATGCCCTCATGGTTCTTATGCGCTTGGGTGTAAAAAGTTTGCGGACTTTTGTTGTCGGCCAGCGGCAGGGAAAAGAAACTGTTGGTTCCGGTTCGGTGGAAGTTGGAAGATTCGCTGGTAGTGTCAACTGGATAAACCTTGAACACGCTTCTGAAGAGGGATGGATGGGTGGATGGATGGAAAGAAATCAGTATAAGGATTTATTAACTACTTGGGTGAGATTTTGGGCTTTCGTTGCAGTCCACAGTTCCAACAAGTTGACGCCATCGATCGCCAACCACCAAATGGCGGGGAACAGGATCAGCACATGCACCAGCCAGTGCCATAACAGCCAGTAAGCAGCGCACTCAGTCCAGCGCTTTTTAGCTGTGCGAGGATCCATCCCTAGTGGGAAATGTAGCCTGACAAAAGCGGCGGGATATTCATGAGCATGTCCTGCCCCGATCAAAGGTTGCTGTGCCCGCCTCTGCTTAGGGCGGCCATTTCTCCCACATTATGAGAATCTATCTACTGGAGTCAAGAGTACCAACCAATACTGGTGAAAGTATTCATATTGGTGGTTCCCTTCCCTCTCACGAAAGACCTCCTGGGTCGGATTGGTGCATCGGGGATCGTTCATAGGGCAAGTCTTCACACAGTACTCCAGGGACATCTTTGAATGGACGTCGAAGAGGTGTCCATTGCGGTTCTATATAACTCCCCATCCGTCTCTCACATACGCCAGCAAAAAGCGACCCATTGTACGAAGACGAAGACGGGTATAGGTCCCGCAACAACTCAGCTGTCGGTATCTCAAAAGAGCGAAATGTGTGGTCAAAGTGCCACTGGACGATGAAACCCCCATGACAACAACCAAGCCAGCTATGAAATCTATGCAGGGGAGCATCTGAGACGAGAGGACTCGATTGCGATCACTGAACACCAGCTCCTCTTCCAGGGAGCTTATATTTCCCAGGCTGCTCTCTGGAGTGTGTAATCGCCAGCACCAGGCCGGATAGCTTGACGGCACTTTTCCCAGAACATAACATTGCAATGGACGCCCTTCTTCGGACCACGTCCCGGGATCAAAGCCAACCCTTTACCATAGCGCCCTCATCACCTTCCACACAGCGATCTCCCGCCTTTTCATCCGACTCAACATTCAAAATTGCACTTCCCAGCACGACAGACCCGCCTTCTGCGACCAACCCTCCAAAACAGAAAGTATGGGTCATCTTTGGCGCAACAGGCCACATGGGCCGCAGCGTCACCAAGACTGCTCTTGCCCATGGCGATCTAGTCTGTGCAGTCGGCCAGTCTCTTCAAGACAGTCCCTCCACGCTCTCAACGCTACTATCAGTCCTGTCCAATGCCTCATCGACCAACTACGCTGATACGTACCTCGGCCTTCTATGCGACGTCCGCATCCGGGCCTCCGTATCGTCCACGCTCGACAAAACAATCGCGCACTTCGGCCGAATCGACATCATTGCCAACTGTACGGGCTACGGCGTCATTGGTGCCTGCGAGGATCAAGACGAGCATGAAATCCGCAACCAGTTTGAGACCAATTTCATGGGCACGCTAAACATCATCCAGCTCTCTCTACCGCACTTTCGAAAGCGCCAGGCGGGTCGGTATCTGATTTTCAGCAGCACGTCCGGCGCGCTGGGCGTACCTGGTCTAGGTCCCTATTGCGCAACAAAGTACGCTGTCGAGGGACTGATCGAGAGTATGCTGTACGAGGTCGACCCATTCGGAATCAGGGCAACACTGGTGGAGCCGGGTCATTTACGGCGTGATGATGGTGGTGTTGGTTCCAGCACTGCCGCTTCTACTGGCGCACAAGGCGCCGTAGGTGTGCCCACGACGAACGGTAGTGGCGCTGGGGTATCTCGACCGGGCACTGCAGCTGCAGGTTCCGCCGGAGCGGGGAACAGCGTCAACACACTCCCGCTGTTCGGCCACTTCAAGGTAGCCAAAGCGTCCGAGCCGTACACGGGCAGAGATGCGCCTGCTGCACATGCACAGCGGACGTTGCACTGGATAGGCAACAATCAACCTGTAAGTGTGGTGAAAGCAGCTGAGCTGGTGTGGCAACTGGGTCATTGTCGGTATCCTCCTCTACGCTTGATTCTAGGCACATTCGCCGTAGAAAGCATTCGAGACAGATTGAAGAGCATCATCGAGGAGATTGAGGACTGGAAACACTTGAGTTTCCCGCCACTAGAACCAGAACCCGATGCAGATGGTGAGGTCGATGGAGAGGGAGAGGGCGAAGACGACGCCGATGAGCAAGGCGACGGCGACGAAATGGACAGGGACGGAGGGGACGACGACAACGACGATGACAACACCGATGGCGGAGATCGATGCGACGACAGGAAGAGGGCGGAGACAAAACCGCAGCAACGCGGCGCAACGAACTACGAAGGAACACCCGAGGTTAAAATGGAGGATCGCATGGACGTTGATCGGTGAATGCGGGCGACGAAAACGAACAACTATAGAGGAACTCTGAAAATCATCTGTTCGTGGCTAGCTGCGGGATGTTCCCGGCTCGAGACTGCGATAAGGAGTCCGATGTCGAATTCTACGACAACAGGCACGGCGGTCGAGAACCACGTCTGGGTCTCCCTAATTGATTCCACCGAGGGTGCGCCATTCTGAACCCGTTGTACTGTGTTACAACTGTGCGTCACGTCAACAATAGTGTCGACGGTTGCACCTGCCAAGGGAAGTTCTCAGCCTCGTGGTCCAGCGACGTCGAGAGCACATTCTGACACCCCTTTTGTTGAAATACACCTCTAGGAGAGACTCATCCATAGCGATTTCCAACACAGTCCTCAGAGCGGAGATATCCTGCGTCGTGATCTCCACAAAAATCACGCGCTCGGGTAATCAAAGTCGAACAGATGAATGAAGAATCGGAGCCCGGCTCAACGACCGAGCTCAGGAGAATTGATGTGAACGAGGTGTATAAATACAGTTGTGGACTTTGCTGTCATGGATCAGAGCGTAATCCTCATGTGGTCGTTGCTGCCAAACGCTTTTCCGCAATTTGGACATTTTCTCGATCTCGACGTCATTCGTTCTTCGACGCATTCGTTGCAGAATGTATGGCCACAATTCTTCATGACGGTGTTCTTGAGGTTCTTTTTGCATACGTTGCAATAAGCAAATTGCCGCAAAATCTCGTACTGTTCATGTTGGCCACTCTTGCTCTTCCACATTTCGAGGTTCCGCCGGCAGTCTTTCAACGAGGCTTTTAATTCTTCGGCTTCAACCTCCGCCGCACGGCAAACACTGGATGTCTGAGCTAACGTGGTGTCTTTTGCAGTCAATTGATTCTTCAGTTCAGTGACCTGAGAATTCAGTCTCGAAACTTCGAGACCTTGAGTTATATTTTGCTGTTGAACATTGCGGTGCTCGTTAATCTTCTGGGTTAGAGCATCCTTCATTTCAGCCAGCTGTTTCTCCATTGTGACCAAGAGAGCTCGGCTGGCATTTTCGGCCTCTTTCAGTTGCGAGACTGCCTCTGCAGATTTCGAATTCTGCAAACGCAACGTCCGTACCTCAGAATCGCGAGTTTCTTTGCTCTTCATGGCTGCGAAGAATTTTTGGTCTGCTTTGGCTTTCTCGGCCGACAGTCGCAGCACCTTTTCTTCCATAGCCGCAAAATCGGACACCTTCTGAGTCGCAATTTTGGACGTCTTTTGGAATGCCGTAGACATTGACGACAGTTCGACGTTCAGTAAATTGTACTTACGCTCCAGTTCGGTATATTTTCCTCTCAGCTCTTCGAGACTTAGACCTTCCAATGCCACATCGTCCACGGCCATGGCATTCGACTCGGAAAGACGCTCATTTTTTGACTCCAGTGCGCGGATCTGGTCTTCTAAAGCTGAAGATAGTTCTTTCATTTTTCGCAACGCTTCTTGATCTTGCTCGAGTGTTGCTTTCTTGACGGCTTGGTCTGCTAGCAACTCATCTCGATTATGTCGAATGCGTGCGAGATTGGCTTCCGACGCTGCAAGAAGGGACTCTTTCTCTTGCAAGGCAACCCGACGCTCGTTCTCAAGATGCAACTGAAACGTCGTCCTCTCCGATCTTAACTTTGTAGCTTCCTCCTTCAATTCAGTATTGACTGCTTCGAGGTTATTTATTCTCTTGATGACGTCTTCATGTTGTGATTTCAACTGCTTGAACAGCTCCGTTTTCGCGTAATCGTCATCCGTCAATATCACCGATTTTGTCGTCAATTCTGTTATTTGGGCATTCAATCGAGCGTTCTCTTCTTCTAGTTTTTCCAACTGATCTTTCTGCTTCTCGAAAGCTGCAGCTTTTTTGTTCAGCTGGGTTTCAACCTCCGCAAGTTCTTCCGCATGGTCAGTTGTCCCGTTGACAACGCTGTCTTCTCGCTTGACTGAGCTGCCGTCTTCGGTCTGCGTCTTTGTGGCGCCCATCAGTGCCTGTTTTTCAAACTTCGCAACAGTCACGCTCTTGGCTCTGTCGATTTTCTTCTCCGCAACCATATACCGCAAAGATGCGTTTTCTAGCCGCGCCTCCAGATCTTCCTTCTCCGATTGCAGCCTTGATAGTTCCACTACGTGACCTTTTTCAGCCGCGAGGAGCCGTGAGATCCGCGACTGCATTTGTGTTATGTCAGGAGAAGCGGGATTCTTAGAGCCGAACAACTTCGATATCACAGCTTTGATCTCTTTTGATCGACTCTGTAAATGCTCTTGAAAATGCTCTTGGTCTGTAAAGAGGAGAGACGATGGCAACGATGACGACTCCATATCTACGTCGTCATCGCCTTGCGCGATGAGCTTGACTTCATCTATTACTTGTTGAAACCAAGAATCAATGATCCGCAGATGGTCATCGTGATATCGGGCCTTCTTCCTCATTTCTTTTAATTGCGACTCAAGTGTATTTTTCTCCCTCTTGTATTCTTGCATCCGTCGGAGGATCGCATCTTTTTGATATGTCTATCGATGAATTGTGTTAGTGGGCATCTAGAAAGGTCGATGCGAGTTGCGCTGCTTACCTCGAGATCATCTTTCCATGGCATATCGTCATCTTTGTGGGACTTTGACGCGCCATTTGCAGAGGTAGCCAGCTTTTTTGACGGGGGAGCCGAGTCGACCTGATCGTAGGGACTTGGTCTTTTGCGCTCTTCCATCTTGACTAGGCTCTGTTGAGAGAGGGAAAGGGGAAGGGAGTCGACGGCCGTCATCAGTCCTGGTCAGCTGAAGGGCGGAAGTTTGTGGAAAGAAGCCGTCCTTTCAATATTTGGATTTGACAAAGACAACGAAGACCGCCAGGACAAAAGAGCGTGGAGTCAGAATCATGGCAAAGATCCCTATCACCTGAAGGAGGGCAAGATCTTGAAGGCGCATGAAGTTTGAAGGCAATCAATGCTAAGCCCTTTTTAGTTAGTTCCTTGGCATATTGCCGCTGCTTTTGTGGTGACACTGTCCCGCGCCGAAGGCTGTGATGTTGGAAACAACTTTAACAGAGACGAGTCTGCAAAATTTGCTTAGTTCTACGTGAGATGGCTAGTGTTTGTTCTTACAGACATGACCTTCTCCTCAGTTGTCAAAAAGCCAGGGCAGAAGAAGGTCACACCCAAAACTGCGCCTCGTCGAAATGTTCAAAGATCCCGTCCGACTGCGCCGCCTTCTTTGACCCCGGACAGTTTGACATCAAGTCCTGCGGTTGAGGTTGCGGAAGATGATACGACAAGTCAAAATACAGAGCCAGTACAGGCGCAGACTGTACTCGAGTCAACTGAAATACCTTCCATTGTCGAGTCGGTAGAGACCTCGCTTCCACTTTCCAATCCACTCGAAACATCGAACAGAGAAAGGATTACGGAGCCTTCCAACGTGACTGCTAACACCCCGCTGTCAGTCCCGGTAGAGATTACTGCTCCCGGAAGCACAAGTACAGGAGTTACTATCATACACCCAGTGCACGAGACTACTTGGGAATCGAGATCGAACACCATACCAACGATCGCGGCCAGCACCGCACCTGTAAGATCTACGCGGAAGTCTACGGGCGCTCCTACCCCATCAGCGGCTTCCGTGGAAACAGCACGGCAGGATGAGGATCTTACAGACACAGGATGTCAGTCTCCCACGGACTCAAGAAAGAGGCGGAAGATCACACACACGGTTCATGAACTTGTCGAATCGCGAGCGCAAACCACCCCGCCTCCCTCCGATGATATACCTCTGCTGCTTAGAGCTAGTCCTCAACGTAGACGTAGTGAGTCTCGGACTTCAGAGGTCCTTCTACAGGATGCGACGAGCCAACTTGCCGCGATTTCCGAACTCGCGAACTCGATCGAGCAGAGAGCCCGATCTCTCCGGCCACGTTCCATGAGACTCAGCTATTCGGAAACGGAAGATGTCGGCGAGGGCGACACTGAAGCACAAGCAGGGTCTCCTGAAGAAACGTCTCTGGAATCGATGGCGAAGAAGCGCTCGCAGAGGAAACAATCACGCGCGAAGCGGATCCGAGAACTTGCGGAGCAAGTGGTCGAAAATGCCGTCGATGGAACGCCAAAAACTCGGCGAAAGGCGCGACTTCCCACTCCAGAGAATGCCGATGAACTACAGATCGACCCGGAAGAGGTATCAATGGGCGACTTGACCAGAGACAACAAAGTGGGGAGAAAGTCGGAAACTGAGAAACGAATGCAAGAAAATTGGACCGATATCCAAAAACGTCGAAAAGAAGACGTCGAGCGCCGGCGTGAAGCTGCTGGAAAAGGCAGAGCAGGCAGGCAAGAACTGTTCCAGGATGCGTTGGTAGAACCCATACAAGTGCCTAAACAAATCATTGTCAACGGACAGATTATCGTGGCCAACGAATCTCGAGAGGTTGCGTTTGGTGCAGGCGTGGAACAAGCGGCCGACAATGACCAAGAGGTGGCTCTCGAAGATGACCGCATATACAGATACGTCAACCAGGGGACACTGGGCAAACGCGCAGGCTTAAACAGGAGAACAAAATGGGATGATGAATCCACCGAACTGTTCTACAAAGGTCTTCGAATGTTTGGCACTGACTTTGCCATGATAGCGAATCTCTTCCCATCTTTTGACAGGAGGCAGATCAAGTCGAAATTCGTAATTGAGGAACGTCTCAATCCAGTCCGAGTGAAGGACAGTGTCGACGCCAAGGAAGCCGTCAATCTCGAAGAATATGCCAAAATGTCGGACCAGCAATTTGAGGATCCAGCCAAGCTCATGGAGGAGTTGGCTGCAGAAGAGAAGAGGCTCCGGGAGGAAGACAAGCGAAGACGTGAAGGCGACGGCTATGTTCTTGAAGGCGCAGACGTGCCACTCCCATCAACTGAAACGGACTTTGAACAGGGCGACAATACACTGGAGGGCGATGGCACAGTGACAGCGGCCGGCGTTCATAGAGAGCGGATATCGACGTTGGCAGATTCAGCGGCCGCAGGGTCTGCTGTGCCCAAGAAGAAGCAAGCTCCGCAACACAGAGCGACGAAGGAACCTGTCGGACGTGGACGGCAAGCCAAGAAAGGTAGAAGACCGACTGAAGGTGTTGAAGAGGCACTTGGACCGATTGATGAGGTTGGTCGGTAGAGCGTTCAAGGCTCCTTGTATCGATCAGCTTCAGCTATCAGGCGAGCATCATACATGCAGAGACATTCAAGCTCGTCAAGCTTCAAAAAAGATGTCGTGTCCGATCTGCGTTTCAGTACGCTGTTGGTATTTACCGCCTTTTCACCCAACACAAAAACACACAACTTGCAAGGTGAATTCCATCCAGAAAAGAGCAAAATCGAAGCCCGCCCAAGCTTCATCTAATACTTATCCCGACTATGTTTATCTGTGTCGGCTAGATAGCTGCTAAAGGTTTTAATGATACAGAAGGGAGCCGCGGGGACCTTCCGAAGACTCCCAGTTCAATTTATTGAGCAGCTGGTTTCCAAGGATAACCACAACCTCCAAACCACTTGAGTCAAAGGGTCGCAATTCGACACGGTGAGTCTTACTAGTTGCCATCCAGGCGTGCCTTCGTTGAAGGAGAGAATTCACCGGATCGAACATATGGGATATAAGGTCTCCTCTCTGATGTGATCTTAGCATGTGTGCCTGAGTTAGTGAGGCAGGTTACCATCTTCACAGTACCTGCAATGGCGATCTCTGTGAATCAAAGAGAAGGGTTGACTTTAGCTTTTGACCCTCCGCGTGGTCGCCGAGGATCTTGACTGTGACTAGGAACATCGCCATCGCCCGAGACATTGGCCAAATCGTTCATGTTTGCAAAATCATGAGCTGTAATAGGATTGACAACAGCCTGGGGCGGGTGGCGTCTGTGCTGAAAGCCACGCTATCATCTGGCATAATGCAGCTCGATATGGTCGGTAATGTGCACAAGGGCGACTCGTCCGTCGTGTGAATGTGAGGTAGCAGCCCCTCCGTCGTAATGTATGGTTCCCATGCACCTCTCCAGATTGGCTACCCATGGCGAGGCTTGCTCAAGAATTGAAGATCCGACTGTACAACATCTCATGCCTTCCAATCCACAAGTCCATGGTCGGAACTACCTGTCCAGCATCCTCGGGCTGGAGAAACCATATTTTCTCCAGGCTTTGGTGAATAATGGTTTGTAGATCTCGACCAGCAAGGATGTTCTGCGCCATGTACGGACCCATCACGGAAGCTCTGACTGCAGCACTTAGGACAGCCTTAGCATGGTTCAACAGAAACAAGTATCCTGCTTCCTCTAGGTTGAGGCCCAGTGCGAGACATACTACGCCCCATAGCGGGGCGAGATGGCCATTGACAAGAGGCAAGGGATCCGAACTTAATGACGCAAGTTTGAGGTCGCGTGCGAAGATTTCGATTGTCAGCAGAGCTTCGAGACCGTCGCCTTTGTCGGGTCTTGCTTTGAAGGCCGGGGAGAAGGCCTTCTCCCATACACTCAAAAGCGCGCGGCCTTGAGCTATACTCGCGCGTCGTGCCACGGTGCACGGCGTCGATGCGTCGAGATCGTTATCCAGGTCCGCGAGGCCAAGAGGGTCGCGAAAAGCGGATAGAGCGTACGGCACGTTCGTGTATGCGACGGACTGAATTGATAGTTTGAGAAACTTGAGGAAGAGCGTCAGGGTGGTCTGGTCTTTCGGCAAAGGTTTATGGTGTGCTAGGAAGGACTCGAGCCCGGAAGAATATGCAAAGCTCCCAAGAGGTAAGGCAGAGTCGGACAGCAGCATAAGATTGTGTATAGATGAACCCACGGGGATTGAGACAGGTATCGCGAAAGCGTTGCCGGCATCTGATTCTACGCGATTGAGGAGCGCTCTGGTGGTTTGGAGTTCTGTCTCGAGCTCGAGGACTCGCTGACGGAGCTTGTACGCGTCGCTGTTATTCATGACATGCTTTAATCGATGTCAGGATGCTATGGTGATCAGTCTTGAGAAGGAAGTTGAAGTTGGACATCTGGGTCACCTTGAGGTGCTTGGACGCTTGAAGTGCGGAGAAATATTCTTTAGCTTCCATCCAAGGCGAGCAGTGTATGTCGTCAACTCTCGACATCCAAGGCCCATGACATCGTCTTTTTGTATTCTCTAGCTCACCTCCTGCCTCTGAGCAAGCCAATTGTACTTCTCTGTTCTCACGTATGCCATAGTACCGTAACGAGGGTCTTTGACCCCATCTACAAACATGTCCGGCAAGAGAATCCTTGACGCAATTGCCCTCCTCAATGCCTCTCGCAACATCGCACTCAAGCATGTCGACATCCGGTTTTCCCAAGTCAAGCTCTATGGCCAGACATCCTCGGTTGTCAAGGCACTGAGAAATCGAGCCTTGCCGGCGTTGGCTACTTCGGTGTCACGATTTGCCTCCTCGCAACCCCCGTCCAGACCACCGAAAGAGGGCTTGAACCAAGATCACTTTTACGAACGCTCGGAGCAGAACTCGACTGCTCAGGCTGCGCCAGATGGCAACCTTGATGTCCAACAAGCAGAGGCAAAGAGATCTCCTCTTCCTGACGGAACGATACCCACGGAGGGAAGCCCAATTGGGCAAGAGATGGGTGATGGAATGAGTTTCAACAAGACACCTGCTGGGGAGACGCCGCAGCATCCCCTCGAAGGAGGCGGCGCTCAGGAGCTACACCCGGAGTCTCTATCACAGTCAACCATACCAGATCCTACAAGCCGACAGCCACTGTCACCAGATGAAGCCCGAAGGCTCCAGCGCCAATCTGAGGACCAAATCCCTGCAAGGCCAGCCGAACCTCCTACGGGAGAAGAAGCAGAATTTGGGGTCGGTCAAGAACAGGACGTCTTCTATCAGCCTCCGGATACTGCGAAGCCTGTTTTGTCAGCACTTCCACGAGTAAAAGTCCCGAAATCGGAAAATGATATCCAAGAAGGCATCTCGCATATTCCGCCAGGTATAAATGCAGATGTCTTCTATTCTGGATTGAAACCTCAACACGGAACTGTGGACAACGAGCCCAGCGAGGAACAATTATCACAGCTTTTCCACAATCCAAGACACGCAACGACACTGCTCCGAAAGAAATCCAGTAGTCTTCCCTCATCGAAACGGCGTTTTCATACTTCGCGACCCTCACCACAGAAAGCCTCGGACACCGATGAGGAAAGCATCAAAGAACTTGCTGCAGACATGGCCAAGGACGCTCAAAGACTCAAGACGGTGAGAACCTTAACCCTGGTCCATTTGATGATCGCAACTGATCAACTGACAGATGTCCTAGGCTCAACCAGTCGCCAATATCGCGCCGTATCAGATGCGAGAGTCGCGAGTCCCGTCTTCCAGAGTTGGCCGCATTCTCGAGTACGGAGGTCTAGCAGCCAGTATGGCATTCGGAGCAGTCAGTGAAAGTATTAGCCGGTCTGGTGGTCCCCAAGGTTCAATTATGCTCAGTGCAGGCAATATGGAGCGCCTAGTCGCGAAACTGTCCAAAATGCGAGGTGCAGCTCTGAAATTAGGCCAAATGATGAGCTTCCAAGATGCCAAACTGCTGCCCAAGGCCATTCATGATGTGCTGCAACGTGTGCAAGATAGCGCTGACCACATGCCTGCGTCCCAGCGTGATGCAGTGATCTCAGCCGACCTGGGCCCCAACTGGCGTGACTTGTTCGAGCAATTTGAAGAGCGCCCTATGGCTGCAGCCTCTATTGGGCAGGTCCATGGTGCTGTCCTGCGCGATTCTGGGAAGAAGGTTGCGGTGAAAGTGCAGTATCCTGGGGTGGCAGAGTCAATCTCTTCAGATCTGAACAACCTCTCCTTACTCCTCACTGCTTCGCGTCTGTTGCCGAAGGGGCTGTACCTCGACAAGACAATAGCAAACGCTCGTACCGAGTTAGGTTGGGAATGCGACTATAAACGTGAAGCAGAGGCTGCGAAGCGCTTCCGCGAGCTCCTCGCCGATGAAACGGCGGTCTTTACAGTCCCAGAAGTCTTCGATCAGGCTTCTGGGAAGCGTGTGTTGACGATGGAGCGGATGGAAGGGTTTGCGGTGACGAAGATTCAAAATTTTTCGCAAGAGCAGAAAGACTGGATCGGAAGTCAGATCCTTCGACTCTGCCTTCGTGAGATTATCGAGTTCAAATACATGCAGACAGATCCCAACTGGACGAACTTTCTCTACAACGCCAAAACCAACAGACTGGAACTGCTGGACTTTGGAGCGTCACGAGAGTATCCAGCTCAATTCATTGACTTGTATGTCAAGGTCCTGGACGCAGCGTCGAGGAAAGACAGGAATACTTGTCGAGATTTGTCGATAAAACTTGGATACCTTACTGGCTACGAGTCCCGAGCTATGCTGAACGCACATATCGACTCTGTTATGACGCTTGCAGAACCATTCATGGACTCGGCGCCGGATGTCTATGACTTCGAAAACCAGACTATCACTGACCGGGTCCGTGGTCTTATACCCGTCATGCTCAGAGAACGTCTGGCACCTCCGCCGGAGGAAACGTACAGTCTACATCGAAAACTCAGCGGCGCATTCCTTCTATGTGCTAGACTTGGCAGTCGAGTTCGATGCAAAGATATGTTTCACCAAGCTCTCGTCAAAGCTGGAATACGGTGATTATCAGAATACTGAAGAGTCATCATCTTCGTCGCTGTGCTCGAGGATGGTCTGCTGAAGCAAGCCATGCCTGTTGGACACAGAAATATTTGGACTCAATGGACCAATAGGTGTGCTCGACAGGGGCATCTTTCGGGCTTCACGGACGGCGTCTTGCAGGAGTGGTTGGGAGGCTATCAATTTGGCTTGAACAGCCAGTCGTTGTTGTTCTTCCAATTGCTTCCTCTTTTTCTCTTCTCTTGCTTTTCTGTACGATATGGCATCGTGACCTGTGGGGGGAGCAGGATCGACTTTCGGTTTCTTGTCGAGTTTGAACATGAGAACAACCGCACGCATTGCGAAATGCAGGAAAAGACCGAGAGCGGCGCCGAGAACGACAGCACTGCCGATGAAGTACCAGAGTGCCTGCGATAACAATAAGTACCGAACAACGCCAAGTGCAATCAGAGATGATGGCAGACCTCGAAACGAGCGAATATGCGCCATGGAATCAATATCAGAGCGAGGACTGATGACCCAATGTATATTACGGGGGTAGATATCAACACCAAAATGTATAATAGTGCCTTCAAAAGTACCAGGATCGGATAGAGGACGATGTAGTAAAGAACGACCGCGGTGATTTTGAGCCATGGAGCTGGCAAAGCGGTGTCTGTTGTCATTTCATTGTCTTGCTGATTTTTGCGTGCCTCCAGACTCTGGTGCAGTGGCTGGGACGAGTATGGAGTCAAGTGAGGAGGCTCTAGGAGTGCACAGAAGACGAGATGCACGAGCAAAGCAGAAGGAAAGAGAAGAAGAGCAATGATGATTGATGGGTGCTCTGCTCTCCTTGTCCTCGTACCCGTAGACTGCGGTGGTCAAGCCCAGTCTCCCCGCACACGTCAACAGTACCTAACTAAGGTACAATTAACTAGTGGCCTAATCAAGCGGATGCTGCCCTGAACTAATGCATTCAATTTCTCCCCCCAACCGAGGGTCCCTACCCGTATAGGCGTCTCTTGTGCCCGGCCACTGCCCGCCGCTCCCCCCTCCAGCCCGTCACTTGTTAAGTTACCTGATTCAACCCAAAACCCCCCCAGCCCATCGCCCATTAACTCACCTCTCGGAATCCCTTCCACCGTTTGTTGGGCATTTCAATCCACGAATCCTATGGAATGCTCATCTGCCTAAGCCCTACCAGGTTCTCTTCTGACTTTTTGTCGCCGTGACATCGCCCTCTACTGGGTGAGGTGCGCTCCCCCGCTACTGTCGCACGACACTGCCTTGCCGTCGGAATTCGAATTTCAGCCTCACAATGGGTCAACAACAATCTTCAGAAAAGAGCTCGGGTTCACGGTCAGGGACACCTCAAGCCGAGAGAGATCGCCGAGTGAACAGAAGAGTCTCGATCCAAGCCCTGTCGCAGGGTCGCTCGACACCTGTCGACCCCTCGGCCACCAAAGACACCGCTCATGCGCAGACCACATCAGCGCACCTCGAAAAGCCCGCCTTGCAACAGTACCTGCAGGCTTCTTCTCCCGAATCCAGTGCTAGAGCCGCCAAGGTCGAAAGATCGACATCTCGGGCGTCGCGCGAGAAGAAGAATGAATTAGAACACCGCCCACGACCACAAGCGTCGGTGCCTGTACCCCGGGCTTCAGGTCCCGTGGATGTGCCCGTAGCCAGGAGCAAACAGGACTCGGCTGAGGAGCGATTCGAGGACACCACTTCAGCATATCAGGACCGGCGATATACTCCTGTTGCGCAGCTTCGCCCACCACGCCTTCCGCTTCCTATTGCAGATGTCACAATTCCTGAATCACCTACTTTGGCACCCATCGACAAGGGCAACGCAGATGTTCCCATCTTTGAGACCGACGAGCCGTTAGCGGCAATCGAAGCTCAGGTACGGAGGAAGAGTTCAATGATGAGCACTACGACCGAGTCTGAGGAGGAAGTTGGCGAAGAACTCCAACCTTATGCAGTTGAGCCGGCCACTGCCCAGACTGTGCCTACCGTCATCGAATGGAATCACGGTGGTCAACGAGTATATGTCACGGGTACCTTTGCCAATTGGGAAAGAAAATACCGACTTCATCCAAGGTATGCGCGTCAGTGTTTCAGTTCTTTGTTCCTATAACCCATGTCGACTCTACATGACTTGACAAAAAACGGAGGGAATTCCATCGCCTTGAGCCTCAACAACCCTCCAGGTAGTCTGTGCTAATATGAACCGTAGGAAAAATGGTACTGGAATGTTTACAACAATCAACTTGCCATCAGGCACACACCACCTCAAATTCGTCGTGGATGGTGAAATGGTGACCAGCCCAGACCTGCCCACGGCCGTCGACTTCAACAACTTCCTAGTCAACTATATCGAGATTGCGACCGAAGATCTTACCAAACAACGGCGAGAGAGTGCTCTACCAGCGAGTCGGTCTGGCGCTCTTGCCCCCGAAGACCAAGACCAAGGCGCATCCGGTGCACAGACACCAGAAGCCCAGGATATGGAAGAACTTCTCGCGGAAGAGATACCTCCTGGAGACTATCGCCAGCTGGTTCCTCAGTGCCTGGTCGATGTTGATTTGGCCGAAGACACCGAAGAGTACAACAACGCAGTCAAATTGATCCAAGACGCACAGCAGCCGCCAGCGTTGCCGCTCTTCCTGAACAAATCCATTCTGAACGGTGTTTTGCCGGTAAAGGACGATAACAGCGTCTTGACCTTGCCGAACCACACTGTCCTGAACCATCTCATGACCAGTAGTGTCAAAAATGGGGTATTGGCCACGAGTGTGACAACTCGTTATAGAAAGAAGGTACGTTCTCATCTAAGTGTCCGCTGTGTGGAGGAAAGAATCCGCTGACGCTTTGCAGTATGTGACCACGATATCCTTCAAGCCTGTGCCTCGATTTTAGGGGGTGTTTTCCAATCAAGGCATTCTGGAATCCAAAGAGTTGATAAAACTTCATTTCATCGGCGACTTTCCTCTCAAAGCTTGCTTGCGGGTGTTTCATTCGTCGCTTGGTCTGTTTCGAGCTTGGCTTAACGAGATCATGATGGTACGTACGGCCTTGATGACAGTGCGTTCGAAAGAAGGCGGAGCTTGGTTCATCGTCGTCGAGCGCTGTTTAGTTAGATTTCACTCTCAGCTCGCGAATAATGCGAGCGAGAAATTATGCGTGAAACCAGACATGCTTTTCCTTTGTGCAGAAAATTCAAAATCAACATCAAAATTAAAGATCATCAATCATCCCTCCACGCAACGTGGACCTCGTCGGTCCTGAATCTTTGCGTGCACGTACTTTCCTCGAGACTCGTGGTGAATCCCGTCTGATAGGCCAGTAATCCGGCGTGGGCAATCATGATTCCGTTGTCGATACAGAACCTCTCGTCGGTTGCGTAGACGCTGCCGCCGCGCTCACGAGCCATGAGGCCCATCATCTCCTGCACGCGCTCGTTGCAGCCTACACCGCCCACGATCAGGACCTGGTTGCTACCAACGTGGGCCATGGCGCGCTCGGTGATCTCGACGAGCATGGCAAAGACGGTCTCTTGCAGCGAGAAACACAGGTCCGCGGGCGTGACGTCCAGAGTGCCGGCGTACATCTGCGCGGCGAGCTCGTCGACCCTCGCGAGGATTCCGGAGAAGCTGACGTCCATGCCCTTGACGGCGTACGGGAGGTCCACGAGGACACGGCCCGACTTGGCGAGCTGCTCGATGTTGTAGCCCGGCGCCGGGTCGTTGGGGATGTGCAGCGTGCGCGCGAACCGGTCGAGGCAGTTGCCAACTGCGATGTCGAGGGCCTCGCCGAAGATGCGGTACCGCTGGGACGTGTACGCGATGACCTGGGTGTTGCCGCCGGATACGTACAGCACCACGGGGTTGGAGGCGCCGGTGATGGCGCGGCCCATTTCGATGTGTCCAATGCAGTGGTTGACGCCGACGAGGGGGATGGACCAGAGCTGTGACAGCGTTCGCGCCGCGATGGCGACGGACTGGAGCGGGGCGTACATGCCAGGACCTTTGGTATAGCATATGCACTGTTTCGCAGACGGAGAGTTAGCGGGAAATGCGGTGCCAAAGGGTAGCTTGATTCCGTTTGAGACTGCGACTGGGAAGGGGGAAGATGTTGTGCAAACTACAGAACATGGGTACAGCGGTACGACGGGTCGTTGAAGACGTCTGGCGTCGAGTAGCCTTTAGTGTTTCCATTGCTGACGGACGGACGGCCATCCATCGAAGAGTGGGATGGCATTTCCTTTGCGCGGCACCCCCCTGGGAGAACGAGCATGTATGGTTTGATAACAGAAAGCGAATAGGGTCATGCCACTCACGTCAACATCGGCAGTTTTGATGCCGGCTTCTTTCAATGCTCGCTTCACGAGTGACACGACATGCGAGCGGTGGTGGATGGCCGTGTCTTTCGGTAGGAAACCCTCGCCCGGAGGGGAGACGTACGTATGTCGAATGTTTGCGAGGATCTGCGGGTCGCCTTTGCCTTTGGCTGGGTGTAGGATTATGCCTACGCCTAGTTTGTTGGCAGAGCCCTCCAGACCGATCGCAATCATACTGTCTTGCGTAGATTCAGGGCAAGACACAAATCGTAGCGTTGAAGTACAATGTGGGCCGCTCTCTTGCAAAGTGCGGGTTATGCAAAAAAGGGTCGCTTGGAGCCACTTCACAGTCTTGAATATCGACCGTTGACGGCCCGTTGGCTAGATTGTACGAGTGCACACTCTTTCGTGGGAGAATAGACCGAATGAAGTCAATGGTTTGATGCCGAGTGAGTTGACTTCAGGCCGGGTTTGTCGAGTTCCTCATACCAGAGGACGATATCTCTGTTTCCTTACGAGTAGCGAAGAATACAGGACTCGTCCTGTCCTTCGGTGGCCAATCGGATTATCAGTTATGCCGATCCTTGGCGTCGACCGCAGAACCGCCTCTGTGTCATTCCCTCCCACTATATTGTGGTTCCACACTTTTGTCAGATGGCCTTCATTCTTCATGCCACAGAGTTTTCATTCATCCTATCGAGCAACAGAAGTCTTTAGCGATGGGAGAGTCTATTGGACCTGTTATTCCCTCGAATCTTGAACCGGGGAACGTCGTGTTTCTCGAGTTCTCCAGCGCAGCTGATGGAACCGAGCAAGTACGAGGTACCAAGGTCGACCTGCGACGTGCAAGGCGAAACACCATTGGAAGAGGATTTCTGCATGCTCTCCCTGCATCTTGTCGGATTGTATCCTGAAGAACCTGAGACATCGCCCGAGAAGACCCTTGATGCCGGTCAGGGACTATTCGCCGTTCCTCGACATCTTGTCCTCAACCAAACGACCTCGAGTCTTTCCCAATCAGCACTTTGAGCCTCTAACGAATTTCGGAGCATACCTTCCTCTCATCGTCAACCAATCTGTACGAATTGCTTTGCAAAAGAAGTCTTCGTGGTGTATATCTTCGAGCTTGCCTAGTTGTGTACTGCGCAGAATTTCCAGTCTCACAGGCGAGCGGTGTGGTGGGAATGATCAGCAAGCACGACCTGAAGGAATTCGGAGATGGTCAATCAATCCTGTTGCAATGGCACATCGAGACTTTCCTCTTTCCTCTCAACCACATCCTCGGGATGAGCCGTTAAAGCCAGCCTAGCTAGCCGATAATCTTGGTCGTTGCTTATCCTCTTACCGTCGATAAGGACCACGATGAGCAGCTGGCGCCCCGGGATCTACCAAATTGGGCCTCAAGATGACCGTGACGAAGATTTACAATTTGACTTGGAAGATCATCTGGCGGATCCGAGAGACTCAGTGGCCATTAAAGACGCAACTCTGCCGCTGGCGGAGTCGACCCAGGAACTTTGGAGTGCGGAACAACATGCAAGGAAGAGCAGGCTGTTTTAGTCGACCTATACTCTCTCAAAAGCACTCTGCTACAGAATGCTTCGGTGTTCCCGGCTGTTCAGGTGCGACTGGGGGAAAAGAAAACTTTACAGGGATGGCGCTCTGTCAGTGTCACCGCAAACAATGTCAGTCGAAGGGACATCACCAACCAGTGCGAAGCTCTAAAAGTGTGGTCCGAAGCCCAAAACAGCAAGAATTCAACCTCGAACAAAAGAAGGCGACATGAAGGTTTACCATTTTTTTTGGTTTCTGGATTCATCAGGCGCTGGCCTTGATGTTTATGTACAATCCCATCGTCACCAAATGGCGCCATCGAGGGCTACCCTGAGTTCGCAAGCTCCTGTCAAAACAGGCCACACCATCTTACACGCCCCAAATGGACGACTGTGTTGATTCACACAAAGCCCTTCCTAATCTGGATAGGGACTATGAGAAGAGAGTTTTTGAATTGTGCTCTCAGGGACAAGATAAAAGCAAAAAATTCCAAACCATCGTGGAGATATCAAGAAGGGGTCGGCGTCGGCTGAGGGTGCGCCTGAGGCCCTGAGGGTGACTGACTTGGACCACCGGCATCAGCTTGTTGCCTCCTTGACGAGACCGGTTGAGCAGAGCTCGCACCCAGAAGGTATGCCCGCTGTGACATGCGGGAGTATGACATATCTTCCGGCGAATCCATGTCTGGAGCATCATCGTCGTCCGAGTCGAATCTAAACTTGTCCTCTTCGGCAGAATCCCGTTTCGGCCGGGGTAGTCTTCGATCTATTATGATTCGACCTCCACGACCTACTCTCCGTCGGAAGGATGGCATTGGTCCGACCGTTTCGTCATCGGCTGGACTTGCGTATCTAAAAGGTGTTGACGGCCGAGAGACATCTTTCATCACGACGTCTTTATCCTCAGCTGGCTGTGGCTGAGACTCTTCATCCGAGATACTAGCCGGCGGTGTCGGAAGATACTCTGTGGCAGCCATGGCTTCTCTAAAGTGTTCATCCGGCGAGGGGTAGTCCTCAGCTTCGGGTGTCAGTGGTGCCATGGTTTTGTCGACAAAACCTTCGTTCCAGCGAATATGTTTTTCGATATTCGTTTGTATCTCTTTCTGAATCTCTCTTTCTCGAGCGGCAATGACATCCTCAAGAGTCCGCAATTCAGGGCCGGGGCCAGGCGGCATGGGCATGCGGAGTTGATGGGCGAGGGCAGCTTGGTTGGGAGTCATGCCCGGAGGCAGTTTCTGCTTCTTCGACAAGGTGAGTACAACGTTTTGCTTTGTGGAAAGAGTTGGTGTTACCTTCTGGTTGATGAGAAGATCATCATCGCCTTTCATGCCCAGCTTTCTCTTGGTGTCTCTCAAGGACTGGCGCTGCTCAAACACCTGCCGGTCAATCTCGAGACATTCCTTACGGAGCATCTCTCTACGTTTGACCATCAACAGCATGCCTCTGGCAGTTTCCAGCTCTGTGCGAAGTTTCCGCAGCTTCTCGGCACTCTGAGCATCACGGTTTCTCGTCTTTCGAATCTGTCGCAGCTCTCTTCTCCGGAAGCATACGTATGGGTCTGAATCATCTGACTCTTGACCGGTCTCAAACTTGAGACGCGGTGCAAGAGGTCGATTTCCCTTTTGCTCCCGCCGTGACCGCCAATGTTCATACACATACTTGGAAAACGTGCGAACATAGGCAGGGGTGGTTTCGTCGAATTGCTCTTGCAATTCTTCTAAAGGTAAGACTGGGGGACTATCGACTGCGGCAAACGGTTGTTTGGCCTGAGCGGTTTCTTCGAAAAAGTTCATCACCTCTTCGAACTGGTCTTCAGTACACGGCGGTTGGCCAGTAGGCAACTTCCCATTGATTAACTTCAATGCCAGTTCATCCTCCTCGTCCATACAATACGCCACTCCAGAGCAGTCTTCGACTGTTGCAGAGGAGCGGACGTATGTGGCGGGTTGCTGCCATCCTTTTGGATAGAGAACATCATACTGGAGGTCACTGGCAATGGTAGGTGGCGTAGGAATGTATGCATCTTTGACTTTGGCATCTGCCTTGGCGGCTTCTGCAGCCTTGATTGCTTGCTGAAGATGGTATTCCTGCGCACAAACGGTCAGTAACAGTAACAGCAGCCGCAGTGTGTTGTGGCGGAGGATTGAATGATTGAGCGACTCAATGACGATGGGAAGAAACGTGGTGATGACTAAGCCAGGAGAAAAGGACAGAGAGGAGGAATGGACAAGACAACCAGGGACGGGTGAGTAAAGGTGAGGTTTGACTTACTGATTCCTCTGCCTTTTCGACACCAGTTTCAATTACAGCGCGTTGAGAATCATAGTCGATCAGAGAATCAACTTGATCCTCTCGAAAGATCTGTACATTTTGTTTGGCGTTGAGCTTTTTGGGGCGAGTGGCTCTTGCCCGTGACATTTGAAGTGGGCGAAGAAGTGAAGGGTAAGCCTAGGCGATAACCATGGGATACGGGGACCCGGGCGACGACCACAACAAAATTTTCAAGGAGCCAAAATGGGCGTCAAACGGGCCCAATAATTCATAAAAATCCCATCAAAATGTAGCGAAGAATTCAATGAATGAACCTGGCACTTCACTTGATAATTATTGAGAGGCGTGGTTGAGATTTTGATGGATAAAGGCCGACGCGAGGATTGGAAAATTTGCGACGAAGACTCGGACGAGGAGGGTGGGAGTCTCGGTGGGTGATGGGCAGGCAAAACAGAAGGCATGAGCAGGCAGATGATCCAAGTTGGGGCCCAGCTTTAGGCATGATTTGGAGGTGCGTGCCCTGTCATCGTGCAGTGTGCGCGAGGTGAATTAATTGGGCCAAGCAGCGTCGATTACCGCACCCACTAAGTGACTGGTGCCGCCACTAGCGCCGCGGTTTGAGTGCAGTTGTCCAACTTAACTGGCGCTAATGTAGAGAGGCCAGTTTAGTGGAAGTGTGAAGCACGGGAACCGACGACGCAATCAGGGTGAGAGGGAGTACGTGAAGAATCCGTACGATTACAAGTACTCGCATCTGAGTCTTCAGGAACGTCAGTCAGTGAATGCCTCGAGAGAGCCGCTGCTAGTGTTTTGTAGATCCGATCACTTGTTGGTACTGTAGGACACTAAATATTCTGGTCGCTCTTGGGTTGGACCTTTTCCGCATTCCCCCTGATCTTGACCTCTTCAAGACAAGAGCCTGTGGCGCAGACAACTGTGGCTAGTTGCCTTCTGCCACACACGCACACACACAAAAACCCAAGCAATATGTCCTGATACTATCTGCGCTGTCACTGTAGGTACAGAAGCGGGGTGAGTGTGACAACTATGGAGGAAGTCGACACAGTTCTTATACTCCCTGATATCGTGTACTCAATTCAGATCGACTGAGAACTACCTAGGTAGAAGGAAGCTTGACTGCGGCCTTGTTTTGGACCGCAACAACGAGAATACTTTCTCAAGCCTTGATGGAACAACTACAGTAACCAGAAGGCATTCAAATCCGCCTCCATGATTCAGTTACATGCCCAGAGAAACCGAATTCCTCATCATCTCTATTTCTGGGGGCCCAGATTGATTGGCTCCTGACGCTGACAAAGCAAGGCAAAAGTAAGTGAGATCATTGGACATCTATTAATTGCCTGCGCATCCTCGTAATCGTATTGTAGAGTCCAATGGGTGCGTTGTCTGAGATTCGGGGTCCGTTTGGCCCTTGGGAACCTCCATGTTACACGACCGAGTGATGCCAGCTCGTCGGTCTCGAACCTGATCATCATATTCTACCAGTACTTGTAGTTCATTTCAGCTGTTACTTCAGGGAAAAAACACACTCACACAAACCTTGTGTTCCTTTATACTTTGCCTACATCGTACCCTCTCCTATACCTATTCACCCTCCTGCCCAGCACGCCACTGCCGCTCTCCTTCACGCAAGCCTCATCGTTTCTACATAGCCTTCACCATGGCGACACCTGCCTTGTAAGCCGTACCCGGAATCCGAAAATATCACGCAGCGCTTCTTGTACCATCCTTCTGGCAAGCCAATGCTGACGGACATGACAGTGGAGCGCAGGCGTCTACTGAAGCCGAACCTAACAACGCCGCACTTTTTGAGTCTCGAAGACGACAGACAATCAGCGGCTCACAGATCCTTGACAATATTGTGTCTTTCTCCAATTGTGCGTCTGCGTCTGTTCGAATAGCGACTCCTGAGAAAGCGAGCGAGCGCTCGCTCATTGCGATTGAGTTGAAAACTGACTGCCACACCACACTTTAGTCGATCGAGACGAGGTGGACCGATTACGGAAAAGATTCATGAAACTGGACAAGGTACATCTACGCGATTGTGCTTGCACTTGCAGAAGTTGACACCAAGGACCAGGACAACAGTGGAACAATCGAAAGAGAGGAATTTCTCTCGTTACCCCAAGTCTCTTCGAATCCTCTGGCCACAAGGTGCGCAAGCAGTTTGAGATATTGGCTGCAGTGGTGGTGGGTGGCTGACGTTGAAACAGAATGATAGCGATATTCGACGAAGATGGCGGAGGGGACGTCGACTTCCAGGAATTTGTTCTCGGGCTGTCTGCCTTCTCGGCCAAAGGACACAAGGAGGAGAAGCTGAAGTTTGCGTTCAAGGTGTACGACATTGATCGCGATGGCTACATCTCCAACGGCGAGCTGTTCATCGTGCTCAAGATGATGGTGGGAAGCAACCTGAAGGACCAGCAGCTGCAACAAATCGTGGACAAGACCATCATGGAAGCCGACAAGGATGGCGATGGCAAGATCAGCTTCGAAGAGTTCACACAAATGGTCGAGAACACCGATGTGAGCATGAGCATGACACTAGGTAAGTCAACTGTGTGCCCTTGGACGATCAGTGAAGCGCATGTGACTAATGTTGTGCTTTTCTTTTGCAGACCAATTCTGAGCGTCACATCGTACTGGCTACGATTGGATGGGTATATCGAGAGTAGGTCTGGACGAGAGGGTCTGGCACCGCGAAATGAAAGCACGATGATGCGTGACGTCTTGATGATTTGCGCCACGGCAGCATAACGGCAACAACATACGGCTTGAAAAGCTCAATATAAATCACCTAAGCTACATCTAGCCTTCGCTGTCGCCTCAAACATGACTGGTCCACCTGGCTAGATCTAGCAACTAGGTGTACCTCTTCACTGCTACCTCACAATGACTGTTGATACATTTAATGTGTGCAAATTTCCTTTACAATCGGGTCCCACAGGTTTCCCCTACGACTGCCCAAGCTTGCCTACCGATTTAAAATTGTGTTTCACTGGACAGGCAAGGAACGCATAGGGTTTAAAATCCGATCACATTCACAGTGGGTAGGTCTGCTAACGAATGAGGTGAACCTTGAAAGCGAAGAGTAATTGACGGATCGGTCCCTAAGGTACCTACCTGTACTCGCAGGGCGGTGGAAGGAGTAAGTAAATGCCTTCACTTACCTAGGTATCCTTGATCAGCGGTCTACTTGGATGCACTCATCTCAACAGGTCACAACCGAACGGGTAGGGAACGATCTTCGAATTTCCCACTTCTCAACCACAGCGAGAGCCCAGCATCACAGAACTCAGGATCAGGTACAGGTATATATCTATTCACCGATTTTGATTTCTATACTACGAGACAATCCGATCTTCACGACGCCGCCTCCTTTTTCTGCAGGCTCGCCAAAACAGCAATCATCTCAGACAAGTCCTTGGGGCAACAAGACAGGTTAGACATGTTCAAACTTTGCATGGGTGAGAGAGACACAGCATCGAATCAAGACAGCGACTCACCGACCATCCCTGATACAACTTCAACCTTGGCCTCCCTTCTGACACGACCACCACCGCCCTGGCCGCGAATCGACCTTCGCGCGTTTGCCCGTCGTCAAAGGTCCACGTCACGACCCCAAACAGCATGAGGTCATCGGCCATTTCGTTGCAGGTGTATATCTTGTCGATTCTGTGCTTGCGGCGTTGCAGACCAGGTGGTTTGCCGTGGTTCGAGTTGGATATTTCTGTGACGAAACATCGAATGAGATTGGGGAAACAGTCAGAGGTACAAATGAGACGGGGAAAAACACTCAGGGGAGATGGTAATAGAGAAGGACGATGTAAGTGTGCAACTTGTGTTCGAGGAATCTGTGGTAAGTGAGTAACTCACCTTCAGCCCCGTCAATGACACGTTTGTTGACCACGATCTGTCCATCGGGCGTGAAGATCTCGGTGCCCATGCGGGCGCCGTCGGCTGGACTCGTCGAGTCACCCAGTTCGAAGAAGGAATGGAGGAGCGTCTTGATCGGTTCGGGGATCGGTGTCGTTGGCCATTCTGCGTGAGCTAGAGCCGAGTCGGGGGACTGGTAAGATGGCATTTTGGATGAAGCAGTACTTGTTGTGCTGTGTGTGGTGTGGCGTGGTAAGGGGTTTCGAGGACTCCGTTGCAGACTTGTCCTTTTCTGGATGGGACTTGACCTGACAAGATGCGTCCGTTCGTCCGTCCGTCAGTCACTATGAGTTCCCTAAGGAGAGACGTTCGGTCAGGCATGGGGGAAACAGTCCTTATATACCTTAGGTGGATACTATGTGTTTGGGCCGTATGTGCTTTTACCTAGTGGGTGGACGGGAAGAATACCTTACCATACCTTTACCTTGCCTTTACCTTGTTAGAGGGACGACCATCTATGGAGTACTACAATGCTCGCTGAGCCCGGCAGTCACAGTAACAAATCATCACCCACGGAGTGCTAGGGAGGAGGAAGGGAGTAGCTACGTTGAGGTATCAGAAGCGATACTTGCTTGTCCCACGGGTACCAAACAACCACGCACGCGCAATGCCCCCAACGGGTGAGTTGATCATCACAATCACAGTTGGGTTTGGTCAAGCCGGAACTCGGTTCACTTTCAAGCCTCCTTTGTCGTTATCCCATTTGAAGGTAGGCTCCTCCCGTACCTGCGTCGCATTTAGGCGTGCTTTCGCATCTTAGCGTTGTTTTGCGGGACTGACTTGACTAAGGCAGTTAGACTTTGCTCCGTACCGCATAGTCCCATAATACGGATATGACTTCACGGCAGGTCTGGTGACTGACTGTACTCCTTGCACCTGGTACACTGTCCCGACAGATCCTTCTTGTCCTACCAGGTTTCTACCACGGCATTCTTAATCCGTTCCTACCTACCCATGTACCTACGGGTGTCTCGTGGGACGTGTTGAAAGCGTGTGTGCCACGTCGGATACCGGCCCATTATGACTCCGAGTTTGGACACGAGTGGCCGTGTTTTTAGGTATAATGTAAGCCACGACGTGATCCTCGTGTCTTCTACCACTCGCCCAGTATATATAAGGTAGATGAGAGATACTCAGTGTACAGTACGTGAACGAGAGATACTCTTTTCTGAAAATACGAAAATCCATGTACCGCTCGAGAGAAAAGAAACCACCGTCGTTTTGCGTTTTACTTTCTCTATCCATTCCGCACCGTCAGAGCGAGCGAGTGATTCCTCAGTCCTCGTTTGGAGGAGAGGAGTGTCGTCACCACACAATGCCCGCCCCGATCACTCCAGGGCGTGTTTGCCTGAGCCTGGTCGCCGGCGTCCTGGGACCAGGCTGCTTCGTCGCCGACTGGAGCCGCACACACGTCTTCAACCCGCGCTGGCCCCCGCACGCCAAATTCCACAACGGACAGACCATGGCCATGGGCGCGTCGTTGGCCTTGGGCACCTTGTACTACACTTGGCGCGTGCCGGGTCGCCATCTCCATCTCCACCTCAAGGCGGGCCGGGAGGGAGCCCTTCTGCGTGACAACGACGATGGCAGCACCACGGACACGGACGTGGACACGAAGCGCGAGTTGGAAAAAGAATCAATCAGGATCGCCACGCTGCTGGGCAGTTTGTACTTTGTCACGGCGCTGGCGGCCTGGTTCTTCCCAGGCAGTCTGGCCGTGGATCCAGAGTTTGGCACCGGGTTCCCTCAGTTTCCGATGTTCTCGGGCCTGTTGATCCTGGCGTGGGTGGGAGGATGGCTCGAGTTGACCAGGTTGGAGGGTCTGGACACCAAGCACGGGAAGAAGAGAATCTAGGAAGGATATTGGGCTAATCTGGGTCACTGGTGCAACACGAAAGAAAGAACCATTCGGCATTATCTTTTTTTTCTTCCCTTCTCCTAAATTGTTGAAAAGTTCGGCATCGATCACGAATCCAAAAAAAAGGGGGGCCAAGTCAGTGTGTGTGTGTGTATTGTTGTTGAGCGATCAATAGACAATATTTCCCCCTTACTTTCAACTCTGCATGGCTACGGCGTTCTACCTGCCTTCCCCTTTACCAAAAGGAAAGAGAATGCATGGGAACAGGGCTGAAAGCTGACCGATGTATCCTCACGGGCCACGGCGTGCTACTCACTGTTCAAAGGCCATCCGATCGTCTGCAGAAAATCTTCCATGTCCTGCAACATCTCCTCCGGTTGCTCCATTACCGCAAAGTGGCCTCCCTATAAAAGACGTAGAATGTGTCAGTTTATTCTCTCTATGACTAGAAGTGGATCCACATATTCCTGCGTAGGAAAGAAACTGAAAACGACAAGACGACGACTGAAAACTGACCACTTCATGCTGTCTGAATTGCACAAGATTCATATCCTGCGCGACCGCCCACGCTTTCGGAACCGGGAACACCTCCTTGGGGTACCATGACCACGCGATCGGTTTGCGATTGTTGTATTTGGGTTCGCTGTGCGGCAAGACGCGCCCGCCCGGGACTCCCGAGTACTAGATCAGAGAAACAGACGAGTGAGTAAAGGGAAAATGGATATCATCACACACGGCTAAGGTGTGATCGTCCTTGACCTCACCTCTCGATAAGTATAGATGCAACGTGCAAAGGACTGTGTGAACCAGTATAGTGAAATCGAATCGAGGATCTGGTCGAGAGGAGGAGTCACGTCGGTCCATTCGATGAATTTCTCGCCGATCCTAGCAAACCATGCGTCAGCCGTCAGTCGAAAACAGAAGAGCCAATCCATCCATCCGTCGGCTCAGAGCCTCACAGGCATCTAGCTGGAAGTGCTGATGTTGCATGATGCGCGCAAGGATCACGTCGTACCAGGCGAGAAGGGCAAGTGGACTGGCGGACAGAGCAAACCCGATGGTCGCTGGCCGCGTTCCGTGTTCCCTTGCGTATGCGTTTCCAGTCAAATAAAACGCTCTTGCCCTCGTCTCCATAAGATGCTTCTCTACCTCAGTGAATTGACTCTCGTCCACGCCCGGCGGCACCTGGTTTTGCGCAGCAAAGTTGACTATTGATCGCATGCAACATTTCCCGTTACCACTTGCGCTTTTCAAGGCACGCAGGTAAATGTGAGTGGGTACACTTACAATGCGCAGCTGTACACACAGAGACCCTCGAGTCAGTTTCGCTTTCTAATCTGTCAAGGGATCATCGCGTTTGGGGGGCCAGAAACTCACCTTTGCATTCATCGTACACTCCAATCATGACTTTACCCGTAAACGAGCCAATATCGCCACCTTGGATAACGTAGCCAGCACCGAACCCGAGCCCGTGCATCAACTTGTTCATGAGACGTGCAATGTCCAGCGTGTCGAAGTCTCGCGTCAGAGGTGGACCCGAACTGAGCGTCCACCCTGGCAACGTGGCGGCGATGATGTGGTAAGGTAGATTGTCCGGTGAATACTTTCTGCGATACAAGTTCAAGATGTCGAGGCACTCGAAGTGGCTACCGGGCCAACCGTGCATGTACAGGATCGGGATTGCATCTTCCCGTTTCGAGAAGAGCCCGGCAAAGTGCATACGGTATGTCTCGCCATCATCGTCCTCGACGTGAGCAATGAAATTAGGGAAAGAATTGTTGTGCGCTTCCACTTTACGCCTAATCTCAGTTTCACCAGAGTCAGGATTCTGTGCTTGGAAGCTTGAGAACGAGAACAGAGCACGGCGACATACCAGTCATATCCGTGCAGCCAGCGTTCTTTGGCCTCCTTCATCCATTCATGACTGACTCCAAAGTGACCATCGTCGGTATGCAGATTCTCATATGTCTCTGGAGCAAGAGGTGACAAGCGAATCAGAGTCTTGAGGTCTGATATCTGCTCGTCGGAGATTGCTAGTTTGAACTTATCCAGTCTGACGGTTGCTCTGCACGGGATGTTGTCGTATTCCGCCATGTTGAGAAAGACTGAGTTGGATGTCAAGAGGTTGTAGAGTAACACGAGTTGAGTCCGAGATCCTGAGTACTTGGACTGTATATTCGTCTAGTGTCTTACAATGTGTACACTGGGATCAGTGAGCTGGTTGTTCCCCCTCCACGTCTAGATCTCTTCCAAGGTTGCGACAGATCTGCAGACTTGATTCAGAGTGACTCACGGAGATGTAAAGATAGCGAAACTTGGCTCTTCCGAAACTAAAGGATTCATCCCAGAGAGATCGCAGAACTTGGGGTCCTCGAGAAGGATGCCGAAGCAAGCTCGACTACCTAGATTACTAGAGAACGGAAAACCTAATTGCCGTTTACAGTTTGATCCTAGAGGGTGAGCGAAGGCTGCTTTACCCCGAGCTTTAACTGAGCCCTTGGCTGAATATCACTGAGCGCTCCCTGAGCGCCCACGAGCAGCTGCCTGAGCTACAAGGGCCCCCAATCTGACTCCTAAGAGATCGGTTACACCGGCCTCTCACGCTAGGCATTGGTTTCGGATATCACTCACTGATCCTGGCATGTCCCTGCCCCTACTATGTATACAGCTGCCTAATTTTCCTTGCCCATGGCGCCCTTCTCTCCATTCCCGGCACCAACGAAGCACGGAATTAAGCCCTCTCCTTCCCCATTTTTCCCCAGGTGGAGGGGATCCCCATACTCTGCTTGGCACTGTCGAGGCCCTCTATGAACGTTCCCTCACATGCTAGATTTAGCAGTCTCGCTCCCTTTCCTGAACGAAAAGATAGGAAATTGTATATGGCTCATGTAGTAGTGGACTTCCTTCTGCGGCGGGTATTTGCAGCTCATGCGAGGTTACGGGATGCTTTGATGTAGCCGATGTCGGAATGGCGAAGAGATACATTCGTACGAATGGGGCAATGATTGGCCGGGCTCGAGGCGTTTTGGTCCCGATTTGCAGTCGTCAAAGGGATGCCCGCGAAATCTTCAGCCGCCACTGCAGCTTTAAGGTCTCGGCGTGTCGTCCGCCTTTGAGATCGCGTCAGAAAGAGAACCCTATCCAAAGACATGACTGTATTCGTCCTTGACACGGAAGATCGTGACCGCTAGCTTCATCAAGTTGTCATACACCAATATCTTAACCAGGAATCCTACAAAAACAACAGCCAAAAGCTTCATCGTCACGGCCAACGCTATGGCGCAGGCCTGAAATGCCTGCTCTCGGAGCGGTGTCTCTCGCGGCAGCCAGCGAGGGCGATAAACGTAGACGTAGTATCTTGCGCAGCCGCTGAGCCCGTATATGAGACGAGCAGTTGCGGGCAGAGTCAAACTCCAGTAGAAGCACTGGAAGAATAGAGACTCTTGCTTGCTGAGTTGCATCTGACAGGTGAAGGTAATCACATGCCACAGCATGTAAAGGATAACAATCCCAACGATCGCCAACATTGTAATGAAAGCCGTATTCCTCGGCGGTATGGTGTCGACATCAGTGAGGTTGTTGTTGGCATTGCTGTCGCGAGGGACTTTTTGGCGCTCTCATCGTACTCCGACATCGTATGTCCGGATTGGCAATCATCAGCAGCGGCCAGAGCATCTTTTTCGTCGACACATTCGAGAATGTGGAGAGGGAATTCGCTCAAGAGAGGCGTCGCAATAATACAAAGAAAGTATTTGATGACTGGCCGCATGTTTGCGATGGCGAAGGTTGCTATCTCATCAGAGGTAAGAAGCTATCGCCCTCGACTTACAAGGTCGCTGTTCTTAGCAAGGCGCTTGTTAGTCGCTGGGCCGGGCCAAGCTGGCTCTTCACCGACGAAACGCGACTGAGATGTGGCAGCGCTTAAAGTGGCTTTGGCACAGCAATGCCTCCCTCCAAATTCATCATGAGACGCCACGATTCCACGATTCGAGGCCCCGCGCAGTCAACCTGGAAGACAATCTGAAGATGCGATGCTAGTGGAAAAGAACTCAGTGATCTGGCTTCGAGGACATATTGCCAATGACATTCGTATTCTTTTGATCTTTTATCTGTCTTTGTCCATGTTATTACATGCGAAACTCTGTTGCTCTGCCCTACCTCACAATTCATTTTGACCAGATCATTCGTGACTGAAGTCAGAAACTAAGAGGAGATCTGTTATCTCACTTTGTCGCCTCGCTAGCATCGCTCGCAGGCTTTGCTTTACTCTCATCCCCCTGATCTACCTTTGCTGACCCTCCAGCGTTGGCTTCCGCAGGCTTGTTCTTGGCCTGCTCTTCGGGTACGCCCCTCGTTGAAGGATTTTGGCCTTCGACGTCAGGATGGTCTGGCGCAACACCCGACGGGTTAATTTCGTTGCCCTCTTCGTCAACAAGTCGTGTTCTTGTTTCGTATCTAGTCTGGAACGAAGCTTTTCCTTCATTCAGTAGGGCTTGGACTTGCTCCTCGTCCAACAAGTTTCCATCTTGGTCACGGTATTCCACGCGCTCTTCTAGGCCAACGACATTGGGTTCAGCAGCTTGTGGAGTCACCGCCGATGGGTCATCTTTTCGTGTCGAAGCAACTTGTGCTGAAGGGACTGTGGGAGTGGCACCCCCTACATTCGGCTGGGATTCAGCATACTGAGAGTACTGCGGTCTGTTAGCTTCAATGTCGATGGTGAGAATGCACAAGGTCTTACATCGTGGTAAAAGGTATTGCAATCAAAGTCCCATGTGTCGAAGAGCTTGACTGCCCTGCATTGATCTTGCGTCCAAGTGTTCCCGTACGCGAGGGGCGCGTAGAGAGTGAACACTCCAACAGCGAACGCGACAAAAAGAACTGCTACAGCACGACCGATTTCAGGACGCTGTTTCAAACCGAGGGAAGCAATCCGGTTCGCAGCAAAATCGAAGATCTGGCACATCGCAATAATGGCGAAGTAGAGTGCTGGGAAATAGTGATGCAAGAACAGTTGTCTCGCCATGAGGTAGAACGGGAAATAGTGCAGCGCCCAGCCCAATACAGTCTGGCCGATTTCGTAGTCAAATCGCTTGAAAGTGACATTTGAATAGTCGTTGCAGCTTCGCTGCCATCGAAGGACAGCAATCCCCTTGAAGACAACATATGTCAGGATGGCGAGGGTGGACGACCACCAGATCGCAGGATTCCCAAGAAGGTAGATCTGGCGATGGTCTTTGCCCCAGAAATTGATACCACGTCGCAAGATTGGCCATGAACCAGGTCTAGAATCCCAGGCATGTGACTCGACCAGGCCTGCGTTGGTCTTCCACATCACCTTCTGTAACTCCCAGAATTTGCCCAAGAAACCGGGATTCCGGTAGTTAACCTTTTCAGCTGTTTCATCCAGCTGAGGATGGAAGTTTTGTTCAATGTACCAAACGCTGTTTGGCAGCGTTCCGCCTTTAGCGCAAGTGACCTCCTGTTGCTCGAAACCCCAATCCGGGAGTTTGACTTTATGGGAGAACAAAACACAGCCAGTCATGATGTGCACGAGCTTGAACTTTGTCTGGATGGTTCGCAGTCTCTCTTTAGCCTCCTCGCCGTCAGACATGGACTTGACAATCTCAACTCGGAAGAGGTCATTGGCATCGCCTTCAAAGCCTTCATAACCATAAGCAGTCACTTCGTTCTGCCACTCTGCTTCGGTGATCGGAGGTCGAACATCATGAGAATGAATGCGTCGGTGAGTCATGGTGTGGTAGAGCCTAATAACGTCGCCGTCTTTGATCCATTGAGGGCCGTCAGTGAGATTGCCCCAAGCCTGAGGCCCAGGAATAGTGATGTTATCTGCGGTGATTGGTTGGGTTTGATTTTCAAGGAGGAAAACATTGTTTTCATCTTTGTGTGGGTATAGTGTGACCTGTTGCTGTTTGCTACCACCGGGGTACATGTGAGAGTGAGAATGAAGGTAGCCTCCCTGTGTGTTGTGATGCCTGATAGATACCTCGCTACCAAAAGCCACATCCGCAGGGGTATCGGCCATGCCCTTATTGTTGAGCGTGGCTTGAAATTCAGAGGACATGAATCCATCACCATCGCCAGGGTTGACTAGACACAGGAAGTGGATGCCAAACATGCCGACATAAAATGCAACCGGAATGACGATCAAGCAGAAGATCCGAGCAAACAAGTGCTTGAACCACTTTCTCGCTGGGACATTGACAGTGTCACCGAGCAGGAGCCACAGTTGCAACGCGGTCAAGCTGCCGACCCAAGCAATCGTGAAGAGGCCAACCCATTTGACGCTGACAGTCGCTCCTAGACCGAGACCTGTTGCAGCTAGCCAGAACCACCAACTGGCATCAAACGCTCGTTCAGGACCGAGTTCGTGCTGGTTGCTGAAGCAAGTCCATGCCAGAGCAGTAAAAGCAGTGCAAATTACCAATGGAGAATCGAGCAGAATCAGTCGGGATTGTGTGACCAGGCCGTTCTCAAAAATGAGCAGGGCCGCTCCCAACGAAGCTGTAATCGTCTTGCATCCGGCAGCTTTCAGGGTGAGGAAGATAGTAGGGATCGTAAGGACACCAAGAATTGCGGGTAACATGCGCATCGCAACATAGGGGACGCCTGGCTCCAGATAATCCTTTCCGATATCTTTGAAGTCGAAATCACCCTTGAACCCGGCGGCCCAACCGGCGAGTGTGATGAGCAATTTAGCCAAAGGCGGGTGGACGTCCATAAAGAATTTTCCCTTGATGTACTTGGTTGCAAAACCACCGAAGCTATCAAGTCATTAGCACGCCCTCTTCCTGAATAAGTGGACAAACTCACTGAACCTCATCGAAGACTACACTTGAGGGCTGGTAGATCCGGAACAGCCGCACCACCGCAGCGAGCATCGTCAACAGCCCCATGAGCTGGTAGTCGGATACGGGAAGGAGGAAGACATCGTTGTCTGTTACTCCTTCTGATGCGTAGCTCGTCTTTTTCGGTGTGACTGCCTTTGTGGGCCCCGGCGACTGGCCCTTTTGTAGAGTTCCATTCTTTCGAGGTTTATAGGCCATGATTGCGTAGGAGAGAGGTCAACTGAGGATTTGCGGGATAGTTCTCGCTCTGGACTCGAGGATTGTCGCACAAGAGTGGTTGATGATTCCGCCCCCAAATGGAGACAGGGGAAACGTGGTCAAAGAGAGACAGGAAAGAGACGGAGATTCATTAAACAGGTCAGAAGACCATATTAAGAGAGGTAGGAACAACAAGCATAGAAGAAGAGAATATGTGCGAGGGGATTGAAAGGGCGAAGAAAAGGACAAATGTTCAGGAGAGACTGACAGGACAAGTTGTTCTATGGATGCATCAATTCGCAGTCAAAAAGTGACACAAGAGGCCACATGCGCGTCGTGAACAGTGAAAGCCGCAGTCGCGGCCCCTGTCAATGTGACAAGCCTGGAGTCGCGCGGCCTCACCATAAGTTTAGGTACAAGGTGTCAAGTAAGTTCGGGCTCTCCAGGCGCACTAGTCAGTTAGGCTCGCCTATTCGAGCTCCCCACTAAAGTGCCAATATGCCTCGTACTCGTACTTGCTTGTGCACCAGCCACAGCCTTGCACTAGCCACACTAACCACGTCTTCCCAAAGAAAGTCTGCACTGAATTCTACAATTTCATGCATACTCGACTACAACGCCCCATGACTGATCAACCTCTCTGCCATACAGTCACTACGACAACCTTTCCCGATGCCGAGTAGAGGATACCAGAGATAAGGTTGTTTTAAACAAACGCTATTCGGCTTTACAGAGCAAGTTGTACCTGGAGGCAAGAGGTGGAAACAAATCTCAACGACTTCGCGACCACCATGACTTCAAATGGCGCAGTCCCAGACCTGCCCGAGTCGGTCTCTAAGCCTCCTGATGGCGTCGTTCTACCTCCAAAGGATATCCGCGCGATCATTGAGAAGACCGCAGGCTATGTCGCTCGTAACGGAACGGTATTCGAGGATCGCATTCGAGACAAAGAAGTGTCAAACCCCAAATTCTCCTTCCTCAATCCTGCCGATGCCTATGCTCCCTTCTATCAGTGGCGCTTGGATGAGGTGCGCTCCGGCCGTGGCACTGCCGTCTCAGCAGGCCGAGCTGGAGACGCGACGCCCGTCCCAGAAAAACCCAAAGGACCCGAACCGCCTCCAGAGTTTCAGTTCAGCGCCCGTATGCCCAATATCTCTGCGCTAGATCTTGAAGTTGTCAAACTCACGGCGCTACACGTAGCCCGCAAAGGAAAAAGCTGGATGACTTCTCTCGCAGCTCGCGAAGCACGAAACTTCCAATTCGATTTTCTCCGACCTCAGCATTCTCTATACAATTTCTTCCAGCGCCTGGTAGATCAGTATACCATTCTACTACAGACCGGACCTGAAGGTCAAAAAGCAGAGCAGGCACGCATACAAGCGCTCCAGGCGAACATTCAAGATCGATTCCGTGTGCTGGAAAGAGCAAAGAAGCGATCAGAGTACGTCAAATGGCAAGACACACAAAAGCAAAAGAAAGAAGAGGCCGAGGAAGCAGAGCGTCTGGCATACGCTCAAATAGATTGGCATGATTTTGTTGTCGTCGAGACGGTCCTCTTTACAGAAGCAGACGACCAAGCCGATCTCCCTCCACCCACAACCCTAAACGACCTTCAATCCGCCAGCCTCGAGCAGAAAGCTATGATGAGTCTGGCGAGACCGGACATGCGCATCGAAGAAGCTATGCCAACGTCCGACATGGACTATGCTTATGCCGGATATACAGACCCATACTCTCAACAACAACAGCAGAATGGATACCAAAACCCCCCACCCCAGGTTCCCGAAGTCCAAATGCCAGCATATACACCCTCACCCCTCCCGCCGCAACCTTCACCCGTCCCCGCTGCTATGCCTCCCCAGATCCCACCTCCTGCATCGTACTCACCCGCACCTCAACCAACAGCCTCACCAGCTCCAGGCCAACCTCCTATGCGTATAAAGCAAGACTACGTTCCCCGCGCCCAGCAACGAGCCGCCCGCGCCGCAACGGCCCTGTGCCCGAACTGCGGTCAACAAATCCCTGTCGCCGAGCTCGATGCACATTTGCGTATCGAGCTGCTCGATCCACGCTGGAAGGAACAACAATCCAAGGCTGCCGCACGCTTCTCAACGACTAATCTCGGCGGCACGGACGTCGCGGCGAATCTCAAGCGCCTCAGAGCACGAACTGATGGCACCGGCGCAAACTCTGGCGCAGACCCTGTGGCCGAAGCCGCGGCGCGCGTCCTCGGCGAGCAGGAGGAAGAGGAGCGGCGAAAGCGGGCCAAACTCGACATACCGGGCCAACCACAGGTTCAGCAAACCCAACCGCCTCCAAACGTGCAGGAGCAGATTCAAAGGATACACAGCAAATACGCTTCATGAGATGCGCGTCCTCTAGGCACAGAAAAGACTAGCCAGCTTCATGGTCTAGTGTTCGAATTTTCGTGCTTGACAGGGCATGAAGCTCGAGCCTCAAGGTATGAGCGCGAGCTGTTCATTGTTGGCGTGTCGTGAAGTCCTACCAATCAGCCATCAAAAGCGAACCCGGATATTTCAAGGCAATCGAGGTTGAAGAAAGATGGAAAAGGCTGCCACAGCACTTTCTAACCGACTAGCTGATGCTTTTAAAGCCATCAAACTGAACTGCAAGCGGTAATGGCGCCATCACGAGAAAGACCCTTCTTCCATACCGAATGATGATCGTTGAGCTGTCGTTTGTACGGTCTTACGTATGACTCCGCCCTCGCATTCTCAGCTAGAATCTTCAGGCGCCAGGATGGCTGGACCTCGGTGTCTGGGACGAGGTATACATCCTGTGTCGGTACAGGGCGGCAGTCTTCCACAAGGAGTCACTCTCTTCAGATGTTCAAGAGCCAATCTGACATCTTGAAAGCGACATGGCCACACCCACGAGACTGAATGCGTCAACTTTGCCAGCCGGTGTGGTAGCTAGCAAGTGTGAAACAGATTGATATGAATTTGATTTGTTGACTCCCGTCCTTCTGTCTCCTGTGTGGGTACTACTGTTGCATCGCTGTTTTAAAAATGTCCATCCATATACTCGAAAGGAAATCTGTACTAGCAATATCCATTGTACTACCATCAACTTAAACATTCAAATGCCACATGGTGTTTTCGATGACAAACTCGGTTCAGCTCGTAAGAATTCAAACTTGATAACCGCTTGCACGCTTGAGCATGATTTGGAGCCCGGGGTATTCGCAAAAGCAAGAACATCGACGCAGAGCTATTTAGAAAGTGGTGTGGGACTCGAGTAGACCCCCATTTCCAAGGTAGATAAGATGGACGGTGAGTCGATCAGTCAAGGGTAGTTCTGTGGTGCACCGGAGCCGTAGCGCCACTACTGGCCCTCTCATTGTCCTGGGAGGACGTGACACGTTGCGCGGAGAGAAGAGATGTGGTCCGGTAGTCCTTGGAAGTCCTCGGCACCCCGTCGCGAGAGGAAACTGGTTCAATCACCGCCGTGGGGCTGACGACGGGTCGAGTGATGTCCAATTCCGGATTGTAAGCGGAAGCCTCCAGATCGTCAAAGTCCTGGCCAGGATTGGCAGTTTGGTATTCGCAGCTCTTGATGAACCAGAAGAAGCCGGAGGCGATCAAAGAGCCCAGCAAAGGGCCAAGCCAGTAGATCCAATGTTCGGGGGGGAAGTAGGAGTTGGCAACGCAGGGACCAAAGCTCCGAGCAGGGTTCAAAGAACCACCGGTGTAGTAGACGCCTTGGTAGTTTAATCAGCTTCGGCACCGGAAAAGGTGTACTGTACTGGATTCCCTCCTCGTTGGAACTTACCGGCCAGTTCGGCGATGAATAGAGAAAGCCCGATGCCAACCGGAGCGAGAAATGTGCCCTTGTGCTTCTCAACTGCGAGCATGAGGATGGTGAAGACGAGTCTGTAGCGAACCCACTGTTAGTGGTCTTAAAAAAGTGGTGGGTGGATAAGAAACCCGGTTCTTTTGCTTACTGGGCTGTGAGAAACATCTCAATGAACAATCCTTGTGTCTTGTTCGTCCCTCCACTGAGAGAAGTCGTGACGGCCAGAGGACCGGGAAACAGGGCCTTGACGACGCCTGCAGACGCCATGGCTCCGAGCATCTGTGCAATGAAGACGAGGAACCCGCGTAGGAAGGGAACTGCGCCGATAAGGCAGAGGCCCAGCGTCACCTGTATACAGTGCTCAGCCACTTCGTCTTTCTCCTAAAATACACCACTCACAGCTGGGTTGAAAAGGCCACCTGAGATCCGGTAGAATATCCACGCATTGACAGCAAGCGAGAAGCCAAAGCAGAGGCTGATATACAGGAGTTGTGCCGGGTTCGGGCCTTGAGGGAGGTTGGTGCTGGTACTGCCGGTGGTGGTTTGAGGAGTGTTGGCTACCTGCGTGCCAGCAAATGCGAAGAAGCTGGGAAATATGGCAAAAGCCTCGTCAGCGCATCTTGTTGCCCGTCAGGAGCCACGAGCATGGGGCAAACGTACAGGAAGAGAAATGTACCAACGAATTCGCCAGACATGGCCACGAAGTGGTTTCGAGGGCCGTTGGGAATCCTTAGGAAGAATGGATGAGCCTTCGGGCCTTGCATCTTTTCATCTTCGCCTTGTGGTGTCGCTCCAGTGGAATTCTCTGCCGTCTTGACTCTTCCCCTTCTGTGGCCAAAGAGACCAGGAAGGAAGCCAGACTTCGCCCGAATATTGTCCATGTTGGAACGTCTGCTGCGGATTTTATTGTTTCTTTTGCAACGAAAGAGCGTCAAAGTGAGAACTAGGCTGTTTGCGAGCGTACGATAGGTTGAGAGGGAACACGATCAAGGTCAGATGGCTGCCCGACGCGACAAAGCCCACGGCACGAACAGAAGGCTGAAAAGCTGCAAGGATAAGAATGCATAGGAAAAATGGTCGACTCAGCTGAAGACAACAGGTGCCATACGAAGGACTTCAAGGGTCGATGGGCGACCCTGACATCCTGCCATCTCCTCCACCAACATCATCGTCAGCAGACATGTGGGTGATAAGGACAACACATGTTGATCAAAGCGGTAGTACGCGGCAGCGTCTCGTGAATGGGACATGGGCGCCATCCAAAGCTAAAAGATCGATTTGTAGCGACCTGATGGGCATCTGGCTCGCTGGAAGGAAGGGGATCGGAGATGGTGATCATCATCACTTCTCGACAATCGATGCCGTCATGACGAAAGCGGCAGAGACAGCGAGCATCAATTGGGCTTCTGGTGGCTGTTGCCACTACGAGGACGAGTAGACACTGCACTTCGGGGTTTGCCAGTCCCAAGTCCCGCGAGTTGAGCTGAGGCTTCTCCAGCGTTTCCGCAACTTTGTGTCTTTCCAAGAACCTAGAAATGTCACAAACGGCCAGGAAAGGCTGGGCGGGCCTTGGTAAATAAATACTTCTCCAAGGCGCCCACTGTCTTGGGATAGCCAAAGGTTCATCGCATCTCCCACTGGGCCATTCAATTGGCCTATGGACCGTATCATAGAACCTGGCGAAGAGGATCTCCGTCTTATAAGTTGTTTCCACTGTACGGACTACAATAATGTACTGCGACAAGATTACCGATGGGCGCTCCCCGTCCACATAACGCTTGCGGATCGTCTCGATCGTCGTTATACAGGGCTTCGTCGTGTCTGGCCATTTATGCGAGGGTAGCATTGCTTTCTACCCGAAGATCCGCTTATAGTGCATTTGATTTGTATCCAGTTACATGCACAATTATCCTCAAATACAATGTGCAATTTTCGCTGGTCGAGATGCATATCTCCAAATTCCAGATCAAAGGAACATTCCCAAGACTGTACGGAGTAGAGACTCCTTGGGACACTGGATCTCCATATACGAAACTCGCTCCTCACAAGAGAGTCTCAGCAATATGGCGCAGCAGATTTTATTCACGCTGCGTTTCTAGCACGTGTACACAAAGTCTCCTTGAACGAGGCATTGTCTCGTCCACGGAGTTGGATCAAAGGAGATTGACCTGCAAAGTACTCCGTATCCATGTCTGAGTGAGAGACAAAGCCTGATCAAAACTATCTTAGGCGTCAGTCTAATGCTGCAGCATCACCATGTGGTGGTGATCGTAGTGATGTATCCTTAGTGTCTCGCAAGAACATCAATGAACGCCGCATATGCGCAGTATTTGGTGACAAGAATAGCTGAGTCTGACTTTTATCCTGAGACTGTCTGGTCCTTGGGACGTATGGCGCCTCAGGGCGCGTCTGCAAGAATTGCACTTAAAGGCCCGTTTACTCTGAACTATCAGCGCACGTGACCATGCTTCTCCCATTCCCTAGACGCGCCCGTATGTGGTCATGATACGGATACACGATCCCGCCTGCGCCCTCACTTGCATCCCATGACAAGTTCACACCCCGGATCAGGCTCCAAGGCTTGATCGACACTTCACTCACATCCCTTCCAACTTATCGAAACACTCTTTTTTTTTGAGTATCAACTCTTACCATCGCCTTCCTTGTGTTCAGCGTTATCAGCGTTGCTCTGTCCCCTGTCGACTGTTTAAAGCAGATGGCGTTTCCATAAACCACTCCTTAGACTGCCTGGGAAGTTCTACTTTGCCAGAATGAGGCCGCTACGGTTTCTTCTCCTCCTCACCTTCTTCATAACGCTCCCGATAGCCTTGACTTTCTTCTCCCTTTTCTCATTATCCGAGAGCAATGCCGACACCTTTCACACCGGCTACACCCCTCGCCAACGTAGCCTGCGAGCGTTCTTCTCATTCCAAACCCCATCCAGCTTGTTTCCGCCTTCAGCAATAATTAGCCTAACAGCGGATAATTCTACATTCTTCCTGGCCAGGCCTGCTGCGTTTGGACCGAGCCTGCCTTCGAGGGGACTCAGCGGGCAATTGTGGGTGGGCAAGGGGTTTGGAGATGATGCACTCCTGAAAGAAGAGAATATTCATATTGTGGGATGGGAGTTAGGCTGTTCTGACGTGCCAGGCTGGGGCGAGGAGACCTCCAAGAGAGAGAAAAACCTGCCTCAAGTCGATCATCTACAGGAAAGCTCCAATAAGCGCCGAGATTTGGGCCGTGATGGCCAAGCAGGCGATGAGGATCTGGATGGTTCAGAGCCCTTTCAGGAAAACGTGGAGGACGACGGAACGGATGACTATCTACATCACCCTCTTCCAGACTCGAACCCTGCTACACCTGGCCACCCTGGCGAGCCTGCTAATATTGGTCCCTCCGATCAAAAGAATCCAACTCATGCCGACATTGAATCTTTACAAGAAAGCGCCGATATTGCCGGAAAGATCGTGATGCTTAGCCGAGGCGGATGCGGATTTTTGGAAAAGGTCAAATGGGCACAACGCCGTGGAGGTATAGCCCTTATTGTGGGAGACAACGAACGCGGAGCACAATTAACAATCATGTACGCCAAAGGAGACACATCGAACGTCACTATACCTGCCGTCTTCACCTCGTATACTTCGGCTCATCTTCTGGCCTCGCTGGTGCCACCTGAGTCGGGCGAAGACGAAGCTGGCTCTGGCAAGGGCTCGGACAAAGCAGCGAAGGGCCCACAGAAGGGTAACAATCATGAACAGCAGGACAGCAAGCCAGTGTTTACTTCAACCAAATCTCGGAAACAGCAGCCGACCATTGTCCCAGCTAAGGATTCTGCCACCGCTCAAACTGAGAAGGGCTGGGTAAGCAATGTGCTCAGCGCGATTGGCCTGAACGAAAATTCTCCTTTCTCGCATGTCGAGGACAGCCGCCGGCCACCAAGCAGCGGTAACATCGATTGGGTCCTCGTAGAAGACTGGGACGACGACATGCCGGTGAAGTCGAGCAAAAATGCAAAGCCAGCGGCCAACATTCCCACTTTATCAACATCAATGCTGAGAACAGAAGCAACAGCCTCTAAAAAACCAGGAATGGACGACTTCGTGATCGGCGTCCACGATTGGCGAGATACCGACTTGGTGGCACCAAAGCCGTCGAAGAGCATTGCCAATGTTGTCGCCAACCCAAAAGCTGGCAAAGGCAGTCAAGCAGAAGCCACCAATGTCGTCAAGCCGTCCAGTCAAGCTCAAGACGCTCTCAAGGGTGGCAGTATTACGCCGGGCAGTGGCGAATATGTTCATGAGAAATTCGAACAAACGAACCGTTACAACAGAGGGCAAGATCGGTCGAAACAGCAGCAAAAGCATGCTGATGCTGCTCCTGTCGAAGAAGCAAAGGGCTGGCTCAATTTGTTCAGCTCGAAGGATTCCAGAAAAGAAGCGCCCAGGACACCTGCCTCAAAACAGGAACAGGATGCTAAAGCAGGCTCTGCCCAAGTGCACAGTATAGCAGGCCACCAGGAGGATGAGGACCACCCGGGTTTGTGGGTCACCTTGACACCGACAAGTGTGTCGACAAGCCCATTCTTTGACACGCTGCTTGTGCTTGTCATCAGTCCCTTGATTACGCTGACGGTGGTCTATGCACTACTACTGTTGCGCTCGCGTATCAGACGACGAAGATGGCGTGCACCCAAATCCGTCGTGGAGCGATTACCTGTCCGCACGTATCACACCATGAATCCAGCGTCCTCGACCACATCGTCGCAAGTGGCCTCTTCAGATGCGTCCTCACCAACGTCCCCCCTTCTGATCTCCTCATCACAGAATGCCTCGGCGCGCCCACGACCACGCTCGCAGACCACCAACAGCGTATTTCCAGGAAGTACCGGCTCGACTGCCTCCCAAGCTCGCAACCTGACTTCGCCGTCAGAAAAGGGCCCATCAAAATTCGCCAGGCGGAAGCGCTACACAGGGCGCCAGATCGAATGCGTAGTTTGTCTGGAAGAGTACATCGATGGCGAGAGTCAAGTCATGTCTCTGCCATGCGGGCACGAATTCCACGCCGAGTGCATAACTCCCTGGCTTGTGACGCGGCGACGTACATGCCCCATCTGCAAAGGTGATGTTGTGCGGAGTCTTGCGCGCACAGACTCCCGATACGAGGAGGATGTGACGGAGGGCGAGCAAACTAGTGATGATGTGCAGGAACGCGCTGCTCAGACGACCAATGAGGATGTGAGTGCCGCCATTCCCATTCCGACTCTCCTCCGCGATGCGAACCACGACGTCGAACAAGGCCATGCTGTCGACGCTGAGGATGACGTACCTTTGCTCAACGGCCAACATGCAGGAGGTCAAAACTTGGCTGCGGCGAGAGACGGAAGTACAGTGTGGAGAAGTATCAGCGCCAGTGTGAGTCGACTGAGTGGAGAGACTCTCTGGAGAAACACTCCCGTCGATCGCAACAGGTGAGGAGGCTCGAGTCTGGCAAGCCAAGGGAATGATCTCCGGTCTTGAGACAGGAGATATGGTGGCGTTGATGTCGTTGTTAGCCAGGAAAGGAAAGGAAAGATACCCCAATTGGACTCTTGAAGTCTATTCTTTTTTCGATATTCGTTCTTAGTTTCATGTTTGGTTTGTTTTTTCATATCGTGGTATGTTTCAAGGAGCATCAAGCGCTTTGAACGTGATTGTAAGGCGATGGTAATTTGTGCCGCTTCGGCCGAGAGCTGCCAGAGGAATCAATGGCAGTACGTTGACCTTACTCTGCTAGTCTAGAAATACCTATTGCACAGGTGCCTACGTAGCACGTTGCGAGTCTTCAGAGAGGACACAGAAATCCCAGACAGGGAGAGAAAGAAGATGAATCAATCACACCTCAGGTATTGGGTTTTGTATTTTTCGGGCTTTTGAGACCGCCAGGACTCCTCCGTTTCGTTGCAGGACATCTCAAGGAAGGAAGGTGGCTAGGTAGGCAGGTAGATACGTGGATCAACTCAACCCAGGCGCTGTTGATGGCAATGTTTTTGAGATATTGTGTTCTTGGAATGACGTGCACGAGGATACTTTTGTGTAGATTAATATTAATTAATAATACAGTACTATGGGGATGTAGAAAAGGCACGTAGGCCGGGTAGCTAGGTACGATGTAGGCAAGTTACGTAGGAAGATACCTTAGGTAAGATGAACAGGTAGTTGCACAGGGGTTCGAACGTAATCGTCTCCGGGATAAAACCATGCCGTGTAGGCACCTGGCATGAAGTAGGATACGATAGGATAGGATGGTATGATGGTGTGTATCGCTTTTCGACTCTTTGAAAAGGGCATGATGGGTATTTTATCGCTGTCATGGATCTCGTCGCACATTTTATATCTTGGGGTTGGTGTCCGGTTTATCTTTCGGGAACCAGGTAATTCCCGCTAACTTTCTGCTATTTTGTCCTCTGATGTCACCACAGCAGCAGCAGCAGCAGCAGCAGCAGCAGAAGCAACATCAGCAGCAGCAGTAGCAGCAGCAGTAGTGTCCAGTTCAAGGCAAGGTCCAAGCCCATGTCGATGTCAATCGACCTTTGGAAACGGTGACCATTTCGCCGTATGGCTTGCCCTAGCGATCTTGTTGAGCTCCAATTGACTGCGTCTCTGGAAGTCACGGGGTGGCGGCTCAGGCGTTCCTTCAGGATGATCCTCGTCGACGAGATAGTGTCTGGACATTGGCTCGAGGATGTTCGTCTCCGGAAGATTCAGTTTCCGCGGCTGCATGTCCGAGGGCATCTCCCAGCCTTCAGGGGCCGGGATCTCGACCTTTTGGCCGGTCGCGGGGTCGACGATGAAGTGGCGCGCGGGGAGAACCTCGACGGCCCGGATGGGCTGGATGTGCGTGTAGTAGTGGTGCACGTGGATTTCGCGCGTGACTTGTTCCTGCACGATCTCGACGGTGTGTTCCTTGACGACTTCCCGCGTCACCGCAGGCTGCCAGGCTGTCTCGACGTCTGTCTGGTGCGTTGAAGAGCCGGGTCGAAAGCCCGGCGGGAGTATTGTATGTCCGTTGTAGTGAGGGGAGCTGGTTTGGGGTGTGCTGGAAACGGTGGGAGTGGTAGATGGCTGAGTTTGTGGTGGTGAAGACGAGGACGCCGAAGGAGAAGATGCTGGTCGGAATGGTAAGTTGGACATCTTTGGAGACGGAATGTGGTACAGAGGGTTGAGAGGTGAGGGATCGAACGGTGCTAATGGGACGTGACGAGGTGTCCGTGGAGGCTGGTGAGGGCCGGATTGATCTCGTGCAGATGTAGTGGGAGGTGATGGAGGTTTCTGGTCGTGCGCCGCGGCGGGTTCCTGGTCTGCGTCCTGGGCGTCGCCAGACGGCGGCCGTTCACCGAGTTGCTCAGTGGACGGTTTAGATATGGCTCTTACTCCCTCGGCGGTCTGAAGCCGTTGTTTACGAAGAGACGAGGAGCGCTGGGGAATCGCCTGGGTGCGTAATTGAGGCAAGGCTGTGAGGCTCTCGTCAGGATGCTGCTGGACCATAGCGGGTGGCACGATCGGGCCAGTGGTGGAAGAAACAGTCAAGGCATTGGAAGATGGACGTTTCTGCAACCGGCGCGACCTTTTTGGACGGACGGTAGGGCCATTGCTCGTGTTCTGGCGGTTGCTTGCTTCCTTGCTCCAGCTTCGACTGCGGCTGCGAGTGGTGTTGTGAGTGAGAGTCGCCGCCTCGCTCAAACCAGCCGACATGACGTAGAGTGAGTGTCCTCTGCGCCTCTCGAACGGTTTTGATGGGGATTTTCGCTATTATCGAGCCCGTTGCCACGCCAGGCTTCTTGTCAGTAGTGATGTCGAAAGTTCAGTCAAAGTATAAACTGTCGTCATGACCAGTCCCAGACGTCTCGCTCGCGCAGAAACAAAACGTGGAAAACGAGGCGATGGGGACGACTACGCAAAACGAAAAACACAGCCAGACACAGCTGCCCTGTTCTTTTCGCTTACCTCCTGAGTGATACTAGTCGCCATGGTTGACCCGGTCTAACTAGTGGCCTAAATACTGGGATGCCACGAGCTGGACATAGGAGGTGGGCAAACACGTTAGCTAGAGAACCGTGAGAGGCAGCTACAATAGGCTCGCAGCCGAGCTTCGGATGGGGGGTCGCTGGCGACTGTCGAGATACGGAGCAGTTCTAGGCTCCTAGTTAGGGAGTCCTAGACTCGGTAGAGTCGTAGTAGTCAGAGCCACGCTGCAAACTTCAGCATGGCCCCTCTGGCTCTGCAGGGATGTGGCGACTTCAGCGAGATAAATCCTAAACCTGGACTCTGGTCTAGGCAGAGTTTGGCAAATGTGTTCAGGCCCGAGACGCTGGCGAACCTTTTTCTCCGCGGCGCCACTTGCTGAAATTGGTTGCCAGGGCTGAGGCTAAAAGATCATAGACATGCATCATCACTGAGCAGTCAAAATCAAAACTTATCAGTATCGCCAGAAAACCAGGAGCAATGGCAACCGAGCCCTGCGTGGTGACGGTGATGCGGCGAGCCTCTTTTGCCTCCACTCGAAAAGGACCCTCGGACGCCTTACAACCGGCATAGGCTCCTCAGGCTCTAGACTCTAGACTCTTTGCGATGAACAGGGCAGACGTGCCTTCGAAAAGCCACTATTGAGGTTCTGGTCAGGAATGGGAAAGGCCCCGGAAAATCATCCCTAGAACATTGAGTAACGAGAACCGAGGTGAGAGATCACGGATCAACGATGCCATGATCACCGCTTCTGGTCCCAGGATCGTGGATGGGACGATTGGCCGGAAGTTTTGTGCTGGTGGCTTGTGAGTTGTCGATCAAGCTTCATCCGTGTCGTCCATCATGATCCTCGCTTTCCATGTCTGTGCTCAAAACTGTGTCCTAACTAGGTATTCTACGCCATCGTACATACAACCTTCTACACAGGGTCTGTCCTCATATGCCCCGGACCGCCTGTTTCATCATTATTGATCTCTATGGAGTACTCATGACGCACTATGATACATAGAATTGTCCTCTTTCAGCTGCCATGATCGCTATGTCGCTGGTGAGTGGCATCCACCGTTGTCGACCCCGTACGAGCACAGCATCCTTTCGTGTCGGGGTCGCCTCCCCACTCCTCTTTCTGTCCTTACATACGCTGTGGCTCAGCGCTGTTCTTAAAGCCCAGACATAGTATCCGTACATTGCACCTAATCGTCATATGTCTGTGTGAACTCGAGTTTGCAATCACATCATCAGCATTTTCGAGAGCATTCGAAGAACCTTTCAGACGCGGTCATACTTCGCTAGTTGCATGCATCTCTGTCACCCCCCCCCCTGCTCAAGATCCATAGGCGACACTCGGCTAACGACTCCATCGCCCAGATCTGATTGACGAAACCTTCAGGGACCTGCACGTCTGATCAGTTTTACACGCCATGGCCGTAAATGCCGGAGTGTTGGTTCCCTCGCGGAGGGCTCATGCTGTACTGGTAGGGTCAGCAAGTGCCATGATATCACATCCCTGACGATGTATCCTTCTTGTCCTGGCCACCGCTCAGAGACGGTGTATATAGTCCCGTCATGTTCCTGGATTGTGGCTTCTTTCCGAGTCCTCACTCACATTTTTCAAATTGACCTGTAATAGATCCCAAAGCTCAGCCATCCACCTCGCCTTTCGCAGACATGGAAGCAGCCAAAGCAGCCGTTCAGAAGATCACTGGCCACCGGGGTCAACACACCACGGTCGAAGAGACCGTCAACCCAGCGGTTACTCGAGAAACCATCAAACCACATCGTCACGAAGAGGCTACTGAAGCCGTTGACCGTGAAGTTCATCAGCACCACTACCACACGACCGTGCAACCACTTCAGCACCAGGAAAAGTTGCCTGAGAAGCACACCCACAACATCCTCCCTACCGAAGAACGAGAGTTCCACCATGACAACCCCAAAGACACCGAGATGAAGCTCAGCTCAGAGCTGGGTCACTTCAAAGACCACAGGACCACTGAACAGGTCCGTCAGACGCAATCTGTAGCTCCATCCGTCACTGGCGAGCATGTTCACCACCACGTCCATGAGACTGTGGTCCCGGTAGTCCACAAGGAGACAATTCAACCAGAAGTGGTCCACACCACGATTCCTGTACATGAGTAGGTATCGTCACATTTTACCGAAGGATTTTGACTAACAAACATAGAACTCACTATGCCGCCGCCCAACATCACGGCTTGTCCGCCTTGCCCATGAAGACCCTTGATGAGTTCAAGAATGCTGGTGGTGTCCTCACTGGGGGTAAGCACAGCGCTCACGAAGAATACGAGGGTGCTCCTCGCAAGTACAACGAGAAGCTCTCCACCACACTTGACAAGCTTGGCCTCGAAGCCAAAGAGGCAGTGGGTGGTCATCACAATAGTAGCATGAGCAACAGTCACACTGGCACCAGTGTTGGTAACGATGCAATCCCTCGCAATCGTGCTGAAGCTGCTGGAACTACTGGCAACGATGTCGGTGGTGGTCTTGCTGACAAGTCGAATCTCCGTAAGGATTCCGGGGTTGGTGGTTTGGGCAATGGAAATGACCTACACAGGAAGGAAGTTGGCAGCAACACTCACACCAAGCCCAGTCTGAAAGAACGACTGGACCCTCGCGTTGACGCTGACGGCGATGGCAAGCGTGGCTTCGCAGACTGAAAGCTCAACCCAGGCGCGGTGAGGGCTTTCTGAGAACGAAAACATGTATAAGGGTGAAACAGACGGATACCCCCCCCCCCCCCCCCCCAGGTAATGGCTGTGATAGTGTTGAACAGGCTGAGTTGTGACGGTGTCATTACAACCCCCATACTCGCGCCGAACGCCTCCGAGGAACTCCGCCGCCTAGAACGCTCCTTATTGCGCATTTCGCAACACTCTTTTCACAACTATCGAGTCACTCATTGAACTATATCATGTTGACAGCAATATATAGGCCGGTCTATTGCCAATTATTACCAATTATCGGAGCGCTTGTTGCAACCATTAAGGTTCACAAGGAAAGGGCGACTTGCGGCCTGTGATGAGGCAACGAAAGAGGCCTCGACCGGACAGAGAATAGTCGCTCCTTTTGCCTATATATATCATAGTCCTTGACCTCATAGTTATTGAGGTCAGACTCGTCAATACATCCCATTTAACTCCCATTGTGTGAGCGTTGCACGATAGTTATGAGCCCGGTTCCCGATTTCGCTTGAGACACCTGTCAGTTAGTGGTTTGATAAAGCCTCGTCATTGTAAGGCTAGCCAATCAAACACGTCAGACACGTCAAGTTCTCTACGCGCCACGCGCTTCAGGTATCCACTAGTAAAACCACGCATTTTACTATACTTCCTTTTCAGCAACCTCAATATGTCGGAGTTAAATCCAGAGTCTC